ACTGACAGGACCAGAGAAAGCCTCTCATGGTGCTGCAGTGCTCTGAGGAGATTTTTGCTCCCTTCCCTTTTCTGTGGGTTAATATTTGATTTATTTGTTTTACCGCAGCTTTATATGACTCTGGTCTGTTTGTTTCTGCGAGCTATTCAAACTTGCAAAAGAAACAAGGTAATCGGGAGGTACACTGACTACACAATAAACTTGTGTTTGATCAAGAGATACAAAGACATTGGCTTAGAGAGGTGTTGAGTGACTAGCTATTTCAATAATGAACAACAACACTTTCCACACCTACAGCTTACCTATCAGGAGATTGTCTGATCCTAGAAACTGTTCTTTTCATAGACTGTGGACAACTTGGCTCCGCCTTCTGCCATTATATGGATTTGAAGCCAAAAAGCTTTCGGTATTTCCAGGTTTTTTCTCCACTTCCTAAAACCGACACCGTCTGCCTCCTCGCTGGGTGAAGCCACTCCTAGAACAGCACCCTCTGTTGATGGGCTGCAGTATAGGTCATAAATCCCGCCTCCGCCAGCAAAGCTTATGGAGCTGTGGACAAACTTTAGAAATTTATTACACAGAACATAAATTTTCCTCCCCCCTGCTTGTGATGTTGACATGTAGTAACTGTAAGACTGGTTTGTGCTCAAGTCCTCTTTTTTCTGTACAGCTCCGTTTTTAAAAGTTATTAGGGGTTCATATTTGCTATGATTGACACCTGATACAGCCTATGGGCGTTCAGGGATTGAGTAGCTCTCCCGGGGGATACGCTGTTTGAGCCGAGCGTCATCACAGTGACTCTCTGCGACTGCGCGGCCGAATGCACACAATGCTACTGCACAGCGCTGGTTTCAGGAAATGAAGAAAAATCCCTGAAATACAGAGAGCTTTTTGGCTTCAAATCCGTATACAGGCGGTAGGCGGAACCAGGTTGTCCATAGTATATACAGTCTATGGTCCAGAGCTGTTAACCATGAGCCATCTGCTGTTATGTGAAATCTTTAATATTTCAAGATGATTGCATCTTAATCACACCTGCTCCCCCTGTGCTACTCTGTTCAGGGAATAATGGAAATGAAACACCTTTCAATATCCAGGAGTAATCTGTTTTTACTCTTGGCTCAGGGGCTGCTCTGTGCATACGTAAGCATGCAGTGCGTGGTCATGGTGTTTCTGTTTTTTTCTGTCTTATCCTTCAAAGAGCTCCATTAACACATTTTTTAATCCCTCGGAATGATTGAACTGTGAATAATGACCGTTAGAGATTTGTGTTATTAGTTTGAATAATAAAGCTGACGCATGCTGCATTCTTGAATGAATGAACGTCATTCATCTGCATTCTTGGCTTTTGAATGGAGTTTCATCTCTTCATGTCTGTGTGTTTATGTATAATGTTGACACCTGTGTGAGTGGTTTTTGGACCACGCACACACCATCAATAAACCATGTTACTAAAACTCAAAGTTGTAAGAAAAACTATTTTTGATGGAAGACATCACCAATTACAATCCATTTATTGTTCAAAGACAAAGAAAGTCCATAAAAGGAAATGGTAAAGGCACTTAAGGTGATGAAAGTCTTTTTTCTAAGTCTTTAAAAGCCCCTGGAAGCCGAAAATGTATGCTGTGATTACTGAAAAATAAAGTAGTCCTTCAGAGGAACGTTTTTTGTCTTTGAGTGGCTGATGGTGCATCATTTAGTACAACTGTGTGAGTTTTCTGCCATTCACATATACAGAAGACAGTTTTATTCGCTTCAGTTAGAATCTTCCATATCCTAATGTGTATGAATGTTATTGGTCAGTCGTCTGTTGGTTTAGCCTCGAGCTCCCTAAGCTCAGACCTCTTCTTATTCCACAGACACCCTCTCACTTCCTCCACATGAAGAGGACTAAGCCTTCTTTTACTCTACTTGTCTTCCCTTCAGGCGAGCTCACCCTTTAGAAAAAGTCAGTGCTTTGGCAGTATATCTGTAGGCTGGAGTCGGTAAGACAGCAGTCTGCCTGTGCTTGAGTCATACTTTGTCAAAGGCAAAGGCGCTGAAAGAGTGACCCTGGACACACTAGTTGTGTGCCTGTAAGCTTGGTTGCCTGACCTCTCAGAGTGCCTTTCACTACATGTCAGCAGTAACGCCTTCAAACAGACGCACATCCCCATTGACTGTGAGTGCTACAAATCAAAATGTTGCCTCTCAGTTGGTAATACTACATATTCAAACACGAACAGAAAGTAAAAGCTATGCTTAAGGGTGCAAGTTAAACACTCAGGATCCAGGCTGATGCACAGTTTCAAGACTTATATTAGAAAAGTTGTATTGCAATAAAAACCCTTTATACTGGTAGATTTAATCCATGCACAAAAGTTTGCTTTTCCCATCAACCTCTAAAGGACCCAGCACTGCGCATCTAACTTTGTTTATTGGCCCCAAGGTCAACCTGTGCACCACTGATGAAACCCAACTTATCGAAACAATATTTTATTATGTCAGAATGAGACTGGTCCAAAGCGTTCAGGGCTACAATAAGAAAATTGGATTTTGATGAATGAGTGTAATTATTTCTATGGTTAAATTCAGGGCAGCATTTTGTTGAATGAAGTTGTACTCCAATGTTTCATTTTAGGACCAGTACACCTCTAAGCAGATGGCACTGAGCTAATAACGGTGAGAATTTTAAGAACCCTGAAGCAGACTGGTTAAAGGGGTGCATCATCAGCTGTGGAGAGCTGTATCTAATTTAAAGATGATGATGACACTAATGAAGTAACTTCAAATCACTGGCAGGCGGTGTTATACAGCAGTGCTGTTACCTTGAAGCTGAAAAGACCATCTGCAAAAAATATTCTAATGAGTGTCTAAGCACTGAAGACCAGCACACAGCGTACGTTGACTAATCGCTCTTTCATTACCTTACTAAGTGGTGTAAAAATTGGCCATTGAACACTTTTATTTCTTTGGCCTCAATGTAAAAACAATGACTGCAAGGTGATGACAAGAGATTAGTCGATTATAATCACAGAAGGTTGAAAACAAACAAAAGGCCAACTTGCGGTTAAAAAACTGCTGAAACTGGAGTAAATAAAAATCTTCACTTTACCAAATTTCTCAGGGTTAAAAAGGTTCTTTAAAATCATACAGTTTGCTGCGTTTTTATTTTATTTAACCTTCGGTTTACTGGGAATACTCCCATTGAGGTACAAATTTACCTCGACTTTTTAGTAAGAGCGCTAAAAAAGTCGATTTCAATAGAATAAGTTACTAGTTGGACAGTTACGTAGATATCACTGAGCATCATCTATGCATCACAGGTATAGACAAACAGGACCTCTACTGTGATATTCTTGTTGGTTTAACACTCACTTATGTACATGTTACAGACTGTGAAAATGGAGTGACTTTTAGAGCTCTCACTAAAATCCTATAAAAATTTTTGTTTTATAAAAAGTTTATGGCAATAATTATACCAATCAGTAGGACGGTGAATTGACAAAAAGGAAAAAAAGATCATGTTATATTTGATTATATTGTCTGAGCCCGATTATTATCACGATCATGAAAACATTTTAACTCAACAGTACAACATAAGTAGATAAATACTAAATAATACAGTGTACCAGTTTACAGTCCTGAGTGTTTTTGGAGGTATGCAAGACCCAAAATAAACAAATCGCCCCCTCAGGGATAATGAAGATGCCTTAAAATGTAAACATTAGATGATGTAAACATTAGATGATACGATACAATTGTTTGCTGCTTTGGTCTAGGGCAGACTCCACTCGCAACAGATTTGTTGTGTATCTGGTATTTGAGGGCACTGACCGCCAACGTACCCTGCACATCGGCTTAATTGCTCAACGTCACTTTGGAGATACCCGAACCACCGCCACACAACCGACGTTGAATAACTTTTCTTCTCACCAATAGCATCTTTGGAGGATGACTCAGTCATGGCTGACATCTGTTTTACTGCCCTCAGCTCCACGTTTAGCTCCATGTTTGGTCATTCTGTTTACTTCTCCTGTTTCTGGCTCTGGCAACTCACTGAAGTGGGGCAGGAAAAGCTTGACTCTCTAATTGGCTGTGGCATGCACATTTCCGCCATGTTTGATCAAGTAAATATGCTCACAGCTGATCACTGTGATTGAACTGAAATTTACTGCAATCATTAATCACGATAATATAACCGCCCGGTCCTACCTATGAGCAATATTTAAACCCGACTACAGTTTACAGACTAGATTGTTGTTGTGGGGCGCCATGGTTCAGTGGAAGAATGGGTCATTTACAAGCAAAAAATGTTGGTGCTTTGATTTGTGGCTCTGGCATTTCATATGCTGAAGTAACCGTGGGCCATTGAGATGATGTCAATGTGGACCACATGTCTACAAGTGTAAAACTGGGTTTTAGAGGCAGTGTAGTAAGGCCTTAACTGCAGTCAGTCACCAGGGGAAGCCCCGAGGGTGTTCTGGTTTCACCTTTAAGGAGTGGTTGTTCCGGCCATCTTTATATGGACTCTACAGCCCAGACACTAAACCTTTATGACTCCTAGGGCATATGTTTCAGTATGAATTCATGTGAATGTATTTACAAAAAAAGGCCCTGCATGGTGCTGCCATTAGGGTGTGAATGTGTGTTAAATGTGGAGTGTAGAGTAATAGGGGCTCAGGAGTGGTTTGACTCATAGACAAGAGCTACAAAAGGACAGTGTGTTTAGCCTTTGCCATTTAATCATAACAGGACAGTCGTAAAACAATATTTGAACAGCACAGGGCTTTCTCTGGAACCAGGATCTTTGGTCCCTATTTAAATTAACTTTTGCATTGCTGATCCCATGTTTGAGATGACCGGGGAATCCCCAGAGTTTATGACTGTGTGCAGTGCTTCAGTTTCACACACTGACTGAAGATAAGCAGAAGAGAGTAACCTTTTACATAACACACTGTTTACAATCTTCTCCTGGAGTTAACTCGTCCTCTGTTTCCTTCACAGTCTCTGTCAGCAGCATGGGCCAGCATCTAGGCAAAAGGGAGTCACCCACTGACAGCAAGGTAAGAGTCCGCACTGCAGGTCTTGTTTTTTACGCCTGTGATGATACCTTGAAATGTATGTGTAAGTAGGTCTGAGAGTGGAGCATGTGTTAGAGACTTTGAGCCTTATCAGTGTAAACACAGGCCTTTATCAGCAGGACTTTTAACTCTTTTGTAGACAAGCTGTCAGGCTCTGGGAGTTGTACTGATTTGAAACCCTCACTGCTCATGTGGTTAAGACTGGTTGTTTTTTTACTCCTCTTAAGGCAACTCTGTGTGCCCGTTTTTAGAGCTGTAATGCATGAGTAACACTTCATCTCATGGCTATAGACATATCAGTTGAGAGTGGAGGAGGAATGAGAGGAAGTTAAGTGGATTACCTTACCAGGGGGATTTTTTTAGGTTAATATTTGTCCGTTATTTTGGTGGGGAGAGTTGGTTAAAATGATAAAAATGCACCTTTTTTCACGGTAAGCTTCTATGAAACTGTTTTAACCCACCTTTAATTGAACTGCCTCACCATGGCAGCATCTGAAGCATGATGAGTCCAGAATGGCTCTTATGCGTCCACTAGCCTTCGCTCCCACAGCGCTCCACAACCAAACCTGTTTAACCTGGAGAGAGTAAATACATGATTGCTCGACAGTAAATGCTCTCCAGGCACACATCTCATTTAAACACACACACAAGCTTTGGCTCTATTGTTATCAAGAGTGTATTTGACTACTCCTGCAATAGGGTTAGCATTGATATATCACCAGCTACATATCGTCAAATCATAATATCTACCTTATTTGCAGTTTATCAGATTGTCTCATTTCTATTCTGTTGGAAAAAAAGAAAAAAAGTTGATGCCTCAGTGCTCTTGTATCTTGAATCACCATTCAGTCAGATGTTCTGCTTAAAACAGCAAACTGGATTAAAGTTTCAGACAGCAAGACATTTTGCTAGCTCTTGTTCTTTTTTTTTTCTGCTGTTCCAGGACTTTGTTTTGGCAGCAAGTGGGCAGAGAAGTTGGAAAAGAAGCACTTGAATTATATCTAGTTGTATCAGGGGGATTAAAATCTAAGCTTGTGACTGATGTACGGTCTGTATTGGGAGGTGTAGTATTTCACAGAGACGATGTGGTGAAACGTGTTGTGCACCAACAAGCAGCAGCATAAGTAGACCTGAATATCAAACATTTTTCATCACAACATCTGTAGACTTTTGTATTCATGTCAAGCTTGTGGTTGTGGTCTTAGCTTTACAGTGTGGTTAAGTAGCTTTGGTATATGGCTTATGTTTGCAGTGCTTTTATTTTTTATGTAACCTTAGCCATGTTGCAAGATACCAAGAGGAGAACTGAGATCCAGATGGGGAGGTCACGGCCCATACCTCTGACTGGCCATCTAACATTTCTGAACTTTGTTTATCAAAAGTGAAACTTCTTTTGAAATTTAAAGGAAAATTCCAGTGCAAATTTAAGTCATGGTCAAACACACTGTAACACCGAGTTAGACACCCTCCCGAGAGATGAATTTTGCCAACTGCTTGCTTCTTTATTTTTACCAACTGCAGCAAAGACCACACGATATCAATATACAACAATCTATGTCTCCACGCGCAAACCTCAACTAAAAAGCCCTTTTATAGCCCCAAGTAATGCTCAGAACAGCACCTAACTTCATCAACTATACATACAGGGTCCCAGCCATAGTACAAGCCATCAGCATTAGCATTGCCTGGTTTCTTTAGCAAGGAGACCAAACACAACTCACCCACTCTCCCCTAGGAGCAGCTTGATTGTGGGGTAGCCCTGACGAGTTGATTTTTACTAAATGGAAATGCAATTAGATCGAGACACTAAGGCAGGAGAACTACCTCATCTGCAGTGCACATACAAGATACACAAGAACTCTGATTGCATTTCCATGAAGTAGTAATCATAAATGTTCCTCCTTGAGCTGCGATACTCAGCTGCACTCAGTGAACTCATCAGGGCTCCCCCACAAACAAGCGGCTGCTGGAGAAGAGTGGTTAAGTTGTGTTTAGTCTCTTTGCTAAAGAAATCGCGCAAAGCTAAAAAGATGTTTAGTGGCTAGTTCTATGGCTGGTACCCTATATGTACTGTTGATGAAGTTAGGTGCTGCTCTGAGCATTATTTTTGACTATAGAGTGGCTTTTTGGTTGAGGTTTGCATGTGGAGACATAGACCACTGTGTATTGCTATCATGTGGTCATTACTAAAATTGGTATAACTAGAGAAGCAAGCGGTCGGCAACATTCATCTCTGGAGGGGGTGTCTAACTCAGTGTAACGGTGTGTTTGACCATAAGTTTAATTGACACTGGAATATCTCTTTTAATGTTGCCACTTTGTTGTGTTGCATTTTACAGTTACAGTTATATAGTCGTAAAATCTTTCAGATACTTATACATCAAATGCAACTAACTCATTTTTGAAACTCACTTAGGAAATACAAAAGGAGGAAAAACGTTGTTCTTAAGTTGTTAATTTTTTCATTCTTGCTGTTGTTGTTTTGATTATTATTATAACACAACAGCATGACTAGCCAGCTTAGTCATATGATGCTTTTTATACACTCGTGTCTCTTGAGTTGTTTCTTATGAAGTTATATGTACACAAGAGATAACACTTCTTTGAAAGTGATAATACATATTCAGCACTCCCTCAACGTCACATTGACAAAGCGTGACACTTGGGAAGGCGTGTATGATAAAGACTGAGGTTCATGATGTCTCCATACAATGAGCCTCATCTTATTCAGCAAAGGGACATGCTGTTTAAAAATCCATGTATTGTCCTACTTCTGTTCTGTCCTCCTCAGATCTAGTTGAGGTAATTTAAAAGAACTATGAATTTGCATCAGACTAGATCTAATTAGGTCAAATAGCACAGAAACATTCTGTATCATTTCTAAGTGGGATCATGGGCTCTGTTTTAAAGTTTATGAGTTGTTTTTTTTAAAGGAGAGATGGAGTCCTCTACTGTATGTCTGTGCTCTGGTACAATATAATGAGCGATCAGATGTTAAAAAAAGAGAGTGAAGGTCTTGAGGTAAATTAAGTGTAATTTCCTCCCTTTTCTTTTATAACAGGAAAAGTCATCAAGCACCTCACAATAGGCCATTTTAATTTACTGAGGAGCAAGGTGCTCCAGGGCCTCTACTTGGCAGAAATGGTCTCCCTCTAATTGTCCTATAATTACAAAGATATGTGAAAGAGCTTTTTTGACAACTCTTTCTCTGCTCTGAGTGCAGAAATTACAAGCCAGACACTGTGAGAAGAAGGAAGATCAGGATTAAACAGAGACAGTAATGTTATTTAATGATATGAACACGTAATGAAGCTGAACCTGACTGAAGTCCCATTTGTCCTTGCTTTTAAAAATCAGTAAATATATTTAGGCTAAGGCTGTAAGTATTGAGGAGGTTTCTAGCTTGTTGTGAGCAGTATGAACCTCAAACTGTGAGCAAAGAAGTGTAGAGGGAAAGAAAACAGAAATATGGATAAGAAAAGCGCTCCTGGTTGTCAGCATGTGAGGCTCTGGGCAAAAGTGGAGAAGCTGCTTCCTTCCTGTGGTGCCTGTAATGGGCGGAGTGATCCTGAGCCGTGCTGGTGATGAGGGGCGCCTAAACCAGTGGGGAGGCTGATAGCTCAGCTCACAGATGATTTGTTTCCTTACCCTACAAAGCACACTCAAGAGAGAGGAGACCAAGAAGGAGAGAGGTGGATTAATTTGTTGAGTGTGAAGCTTCGAGGAGACGTGTCAGGGCGGCAAGTCGCACCAGAGCTGCTTTGTTTATTTGACTTTTAGAATTACTTTGTGTATCTCTGGGTCAGCCATTTGTTATTTCTTTTCTTTTGGCTTGCTCAAAGTGACACTGAAGTAATTTCAAAGGTCTTACCAAACAACCAGTTGCCATAGCAACAGGGAAGCAGGAACAGAGCGTGACAGAGTAAAACCTGTTTGTGTTTAGATGCTGTTTCTGAGTCATGGTCCTTCTCATTCATTTCAGGAAGGTTGAAATGTACCTATGCCTCTCCGGACAAGTTGCTCTGACAAAATACTCCTTCGCCAGTGGTCAGAAATATTTACACTGCCTATAGTTCACAGCCTCACATCTACTTTTAAATTGAAGTATGACAACACAAGACTTTGAAGGATGCTTATGTCATCTGAGTTGCAAAAAGGAGTTAGTTTCAACATGAGTAATCTCTGTTTGTTGGCTCTGCATTAAAATGCTAAATCTGCAGACTAGGGACTGCAGACTGCAGGGCTGGACTGTAGTCTAACTGTGTTTGCAGGAATTGGCTCTGTGCAGGAAAACAGTCAGAAAAGAGTGCAGACTTTGTGGGACACATATCATTGTAATTCCTCAATGCCACTGCATTTCATTTGATTAGGTTGCACTAGCAGATATCTGCAAAAACCTCAGCCAACAACACCCAGTAAGAAGTACTTTTTCAGCACAAACTTAAAGGCCTGTGTTCACCAGTTGCTTGTTTTCTGCACTGGCAGCACTTTTCTGTTTATATAAAACCAGTGCAGTTCTTTGTTTTCACCACTCAGCAGGCTAAGCCTTGAAATGCCCTCACTCTTGGCTGTTTTCTTGCTGCACCTCCTGTGCAGCTTTATTGAAATGCGTTTGACTATTGGGACACTGAAGTGTTAACGACAACATTTCTCCCCTAATGTTCTATCAGAATCATAGACTGTGGATTTGAATGGGTGGAGCAAATGTTCACTGACTGTTAAGCCAATAGAATTAGAGCTCCTCCCACTGGCTGGATTCAGTATAGGTCATGAGCCTCACCTCCCCTATGTTAACAGATGGAGAAACTTTGTCATTAAAATACATGCCATATACACAAACCGTATATACAATGGATGCCGTCTGGCTCCTCGTTGGGTGAAGCCACCCCAAGAACAGCACCCTCTGGTGATCAGCTGCAGTAAAGATCATGAATCCCGCCTCCTCCAGCAATCCCTATGGAGCTGTGGACAAACTTTAGAAATTTATTACACAGAATAAAATTTTTTCTCCTCCCTGGTTGTGATTTTGACATGTAGTGACTGTAAGACTGGTTTGTGCTCAAGTCCTCTTTCTTCCTCTGTTTTTTTTTTTTAAATACAGATTTTGAAATGTTATTAGGGGGTTTGCATTTTCTATGATTGACACTTGATACAGCCTATGGGCATACAAAGTTAACGTAGCTCGACCGAGGGATACGCTGTTTGAGCCGAGCATCATCACAGCGACTCTCCGCCAAATGCGCAGAATGCTACTGCGCAAGTGGTGGTTCCAAGAGGTGGGGAAAATCACGGAAATACCAAAAGCAATTTGGCTTCAAATTTGTATACTGGCGGAAGGTGGAGCCAAGTTGTCCATACAGTCTATGGTCAGATATGGTTTCTGCCATTCTAGCTGGTGCTCAGGTTTCTTAAAACATTAGTTTTAATTAGTGACTGAGTTTAAATAGAGAGTAAATTACATCATGATTGACAGCTCTTTTGTTAAATGCAGACTCTTTCAGAGTTCTATAATTAGCAGAGCAACAAAGGAAGAGCAAAACAAACAATAACAAGAGTTATTGAACTTTATATAGCCGTAAGCATCAGCCTCAGATTAACACACAAATCTGATCTACTGTGGACTGAATCCACCTGAGGGTTTTTTTAGTGTTTTGTCACTGAGTTCAATATGTGTTTTGGATACCATTGTGGTTTGACATCAGTCCCATAATGCTTCAAGCCAGGGTGTCTCTGCACAGGTTTTAGTTGACTTGCCAATAACAATAGTGAAAGAGAGAGTGATTAAATTTTTAATATGATAAAGTTAGTTTTCTCCAGTTTCTGTCAGATGCCTAAATGCAGGAAAAAAAATCCATACTTTCAGAGAAGTCAATTGTTTGCTTTTTCTTTGGCTACTTGACCTTTCAATCTTGAAAGCTGCCTGAAAACATACTTCACTTTGAATGTTAATAGAGAAGGTTTCAAGGATGAATAATCATTAATGAAAACCTCTGAATAATCAGAACATCTGTGGGCACAGAAGTAAAGGCAGAAAAATAACTCATTTGCTCAGGCAGTAATGAGACTTATCCTCTAATTAAACCCTGTAAGGGAGAGTTTTTGCATTTTCATGGCTTGAAGGTGCAACTTTTTTTTGCAGAAAGGACTCCAGTAATCCTTCTATAATTATCTCCTTTGTGCCTGATTGTGACTGATACTGCTCTGATACTGAAACCACTGACATAAAGACTGAAGTCTCCAGATGAGGGAGCTTGAGGCTCAGCTTGTAGACCCCAGCCATCACAGACAATCACCTCCACCATCGTAACCAATTAAAGCGCAGTGTGTACTGTGACCGGCCCAGCAGGATTGTTCTTATTCCTTCTGTTCCTCTGTGTGAGATCTGAATCATATCGTACTTTTTCCACCCCCAGCCTGATGCACTTTGTACTTTTGAAATGTTTTCACTGAGAACACCACTGCTTGACTCAACTCTGTCTCTTCTGCTTTTAGTTAACCACAATGTTAGATTTGGAAAATATCTATTGAGGAAAAGGTGCACAGATTTCACTTTTTTTCCAGTGATATTTATTTATAGCCAAGTAAAAAGGTGAAGTGCGCAGCTGCACGCTCCATTTCTCTTCCATCTCTGTGATGTGGACAGGATGAGACACTAAAGCCCCAGCTATCACCAAACCTCAGAGAGAAGAGGGAAGTTGGAATTCTCAAGCCAAATCCTAAAAGGTGTTCAAAAAGCTGCACTCCTCTTCCCCTCTCACCTCTCCAACAAAGAGCACATTCAGCCACTTTGAGTCCCATCCAGAGCCTTGGTATCGAATCAGAGTGTGGAGTGGAGTCAAGGCAGCAGCAGCAGCAGTATTTTTGAGGTCTTGTTTAAATCAGTGATGACTAAAAAGCAACTTTAAAGACGTGATGTTCATTTACACCATCGCTATTTAATATGTACTATATGTTTTAAATATTTTTAACTTTTGAGTATCGGCTCTGAGTATATGTATTACTATCTTCATCCGAGTCCTAGAAGATGTCCGTTACGACTTTTGCTGTGATAAGCTGCTGTTTAATATTTGCACCATCTTCCAAACTCCAAGATCTATGTTTGGATCATGCATCAATTATCACAACCTATAACGTCTAACTAAGGATACCAAAGATTTTTTTTTTTTTGTCTCAAACCAGATTTTTAAATTACAAGGTCACACCTTTTTCTAAAAGTCTTGATGTAGTTGCGAGTGGTCCTTTAGATTTATATTACACCTATCCCATTTTTATGTTCTTTGGCATTTAGTGATAGGCAGGTGTAAAAGGTCATCCACTTGCTGGGTGTAACCTGGAAATGGCAACCATAGGATTTGTAGCAATAGTGATTTTATTTTCATGTTTTATAAATCACATTCTGTTCTGAGCTCGATGTGCCTGACACTGACATTAAAATACAAGAGAACAAGACTCAGCAGTTGCTTTAGCATTAGTGTGGCTAGGAGTCCTGATAAGCTCCACCTGCTGTAGTTTGAGAGGTCAGAAATGTTCTCAGGGACTGAACTATGGAGAGCTTTATGGGCTGATAATGGGATTGAGGACCAGGGTGATGTTGTGTTCCAGTATTTATGTCAGGTCGAGTCTCTGGCTGCTGTATTTTGGATGAGTTGGAGTCATTCTGCTAAAAAGCTCATGTCCAATCCTCTGCGGTTTCTGACTGACATGCAGTATTCAAGTTTTGTCTACAAAACCTAATTCCATTGAAGTTGGGAAATTGTGATAAACGTAAATAAAAACAGAATACAATGATTTGCAAATCCTTTTCAACCTATATTCAATTGAATACATTACAAAGACAAGATATTTAATGTTCAAACTCATAAACCTTTTTTTTGCAAATAATAATTAACTCAGAATTTCATGGCTACAACACGTGCCAAAGTAGATGGGACAGGGGTTTACCACTGTGTTACATTACCTTTCCTTTTAACAACACTTCATAATCATTTGGAAACTGAGGAGACTGATTGTTGAAGCTTTGAAGGTGGAATTCTTTCCCATTCTTGCTTGTTTTACAGCCTCAGTTGTTCAACAGTCCAGGGTCTCCGTTGTCGAATTTTACGCTTCGTAATGTGCCACACATTTTCAATGGGAGACAGGTCTGGACGGCAGGCAGGCCAGTCGAGTACCCGCACTCTTTTACTACGAAGCCATGCTGTTGTAACACGTGCAGAATGTGGCTCGGCATTGTCTTGCTGAAATAAGCAGGAGCGATGCTGGCTTTTGAACTTTGCGTCGATAACAGTCCGCATGGTTCTTTTCCTCTTTGGCCCAGAGGACACAACGTCCACTATTTCCAACAACAATTTGACATGTGGACTCATCAGACTACAGAACACTTTTCCACTTTGCATCAGTCCATCTTAGATGAGTTCCAAATAGGTGTTTGATGATCATTCCTCAAATTTCTCAGTATTTTTTGCCACCTTTCCCAACTTCTTTGTCACGTTTTGCAGCCATGAAATTCTGAGTTAATTATTATGTGCAAAAAAATAAAAAAATTATGTTTGAACATTAAATATCTTGTCTTTGTAGTGTATTCAATTGAATATAGGTTGGAAAGGATTTGCAAATCATGTATTCTGTTTTTATTTATGTTTACCACAATTTCCCAACTTCAATGAAATTGGGTTTTGTACATCCAAGAGTCTATATCATTTATAAAGTCTGACTGTTTTGCCAGGACTAAAATAACCAGATGACGGAAAAATACAAATATGGGGCAGGGAATAGCATGAAGTAAACATTGATAATTGGCAGTGGGATCCTGAATGAGCTGCTTTCTTGATCTGTCTACATACCCACAGGGTCAGGTGATGCTTCACTGTCTCCAACACTGTCTCTTCAGTAAGAGTCATAGGCCACCAGTAATGAATGGGTGTGAAGCCATGCTGACAGCAGCTGCAGGGCGCCATCAAGCTGCTACTCTGGTCTTCTTAGAAATGAAAAAAATAGATGTGGGTAATCTCTTCTATTTTCTCAGAATACCAGCTGGGATAATGAGAGGAGCCCATATAGTGTGGGATATTTTAATGGTCTTCTGTAGTCTGCAACCTCTGTTTCTGTGTCAGTGCAAATAGTAGTGAACTGTGGAGTTTGTTGAGTTTCCTGAGGCTCAGACTGCAAATATTCCCCAGAGCCAAAGTGTTTATGAACAGGAGCGCTCATGTTCATGTGGACTGCAATTGTTTTACCTTACGTGATTATCCTGCAAGCTTTAGAGAGATAAGATACATGCACAGTAGGGGGTTGGGAATCATCCATTTCATTTTCATGTGGCAGTTATTATTACAAATAAAAGAAAATAAGTCCACCTGGTTGATTTAAAGGCACAGCATGTCGTATTTTGTAGCATTTCGCTAAACTGTTGAGGTAAAAATGGAATATAATATTCTAGAGTGTGTTAACAATAGTGAGAAACCACCTGAATATAAATATTGGTTTGTTTTTGCTTATTATAAATGCATTTTACATCAACACAAAGAGGTGAGTCCTTTCCATGGAGGCCATTTTTCTACAGTCGCACAGAGTAGACAAACAATACACCATACATGTTTTTGCTTTAAATGAAGGATCAAATCTACATATGTAGCACAAGAGCTTTCTCTTCTTGAAGGTGTCACCAACAGGAGGGGTAGTTTCAATTTAGAGTCTGGCTGTTAAAGTACACCAAGCATTCCTATCTCTTTGCACTATCCCTTTAAATATGATTGCTGCTCTGTTTTCTTTCTGCAGTGCTTTAGTGAGTACTTAACTGACTTCAATGTTTTCATGACTGTCACCTCAGCAGAAATAATTTGATTTTGATTTTTGGATTTTTCTTTTGGAGTGCATCCAAGGGAAACATTATATTTGCGTCTTTAAAAGAACCTCTTAAAAGTCAAAGTTCAATAATGATGGATGAAATTGTTTTTTTTAATTTTTTATTCTAATTCTTTTGAATCTAACAGTACAAATTATACCTGATGTTGCTTTTAAGATAATCTTTTCTAGGATAAATTAGAGGAAACCGTTGATGCAAAATGAAATAATTGATTTTAAATGTTGCTTTGATTGAACTGATAAAAAGAAATCAAGGTATCCACGGGATCTCTTATTAAGATGTAATTGGCCATCATTTTCTCTATCTTTCACAGCTGTACCAGAATGGTGGTTTTTCTTTTCAAAAGGGCACTCAGCATGATTCTAGCACACAGGGGGGGTCCACACTTAACCGCCATCTGTGTCTGACATTAGGCGCAGGAACACAAGGCCAATCCTACCTTTTCATATTTCCTTTAGTAGGATGACACATTTGTGTTTGGGGTAAAATATCTCTTAAATGAAGACAAAATTAATCACCAAATCTAAAATAAAAGGGGTCTAACAGTTTTAATGTCAAAACAAATTACTTTAGGTTCAAGGGATATTCCAGTGTAAATTTAAGTTGTGGTCAAACACAATGTAACTCAAAAGTTAGACACCCCTTGGAGAGATAATTGTTGCCGACTGCTTGCTTCTCTAGTTATACCAACTTTAGTAATGATCGCACAATAGAAATACACAGCGGTCTACATCTCTATGTGCAAACCTTAACCAAAAAGCCACTCTATAGCCACAATAATGCTCAGAACAGTGCCTAACTTCATCAACACATAGGGTCCCAGCCGTAGTACTAGCCACCAAACATCTTTCAGCTTTGGCTGATTTCTTTAGCAAAGGGACCAAACACAACTCACCCACTCTCCTCCAGCAGCCGCTTGTTTGTGGGAGAGCCCTGACCAGTTGATCACTGAGTGCAGTGGATTATTTCCATGAAGTAAACATCATCATCTCAATCATTTTGCACTGCAGATGCAGTATTTCTTCTGCAATTTCTTCTGAAATTAGAAAAAAAAGTTAAGTTTTAGACCTCAAACGTTTCCAGTCATCCATCATTGCAGGTTTGGTTTGAGTTGCCTTGGCCTTCAAATACACCAAAATTGAAGTCACCATCTCAGCTCCTGGAATGTGGATGATATTTTTGTGTTGCTCTCCCTACTAATATTAATGTAACATTGAAGTAAGAGAAAATACAGCTGTGTCTTTGCCTGAAGGTGTGTTTGGACAAAATCCAACAAAGGTGGGACACCGATGGCATTATGACAGAATAAACTATGTACCTGGATGTTCCAGGCTGTAGAAAAGCAGTAAGAACGTAAGCCCTTTCAGTCATCAAATCCGTATTGCTTTAAAGCTTTGTCTTCTTAAGAGAAAATGTGGACTTCAGTGTTGCTTTTCAATTTGAACATTTGATAGGATGTTACACCACTTTGTTATGAGTGCAAGCAGCATAAGGAAGAGTAAGGTTTGTACTGACCTTCTGTACCATACATCTCTTTTGTTAGTGCTTGTCAATTTGATACTGCTCTCTTCTGATGATTGTGCTGATGTAAGCCAGCAGTGTTGTGTCTTTGCTGTTCTGGCTCTGTTGTTGTTGTTGACATTTTAGATTTCCCTATTATGTCATCTCTCCACAATATGTTACATGCCATAAATATTGATTTTCTCTTGAGATATCAACAGTTTCAAAAGAACAAAAGAGAGACTGTCTCAAAATTTACATTTGTTACCACAGGACTATTGATATATTTATTGATTTACTGGATCTCAACTAGTTATTATTGCAGTAACAACTATTCCTCTTTAGGTCGATAGAGCCATTCTAATTTTGGTACAACAAAAGTGTTTCAATTATGTGTCCATCACCACTAATAATTCAGAAGAAATCATTTGAATTTATAAGAGATTTAAGTTTAAAATAGATTAGTAGTAATAAGTAACATATGGTGAAAGGCCAACAAAGCTAGATTGATGAAAAAGTAATCACCATATATCTCCACCATGACTTTGGGCTCATTATTTTGTTGTTTGAACCTTTTAACTGCATCTGGTTTGCTTTATAATGAATGAAATTTAGAAAACTGGCAAATAACGTCACCCCAGTGACAATCATGAGATCTGCATAGGTAGTTTTTTTAATTATTTTTATTATTAGTTCGTTTTATTTTATATATTTCATTATTTATCTAACTATTTAAATTTTTTAATTTTTAATTTTATTTTTTTTCTTTGGGGGGGACAATTCAGTTTGCATAATGGGCAAAGCCTGAGTTCGACCAGGGCAGACAGGAGATGGTTTTATCCTCAGGTTTTCTCAGCAGTAGCTCTGAGATTTCAGGCAGCACTAATGACCGCAGCAAACAATGTGATGTCCTCTGAAGTCTATGCTTAAAATATTAAATATAGACTCTAGGAAAAACATTAAAAGATGAAGTTCATTCTTATGTGGACAGATTTTTGTGAAACATTGCCATGCAGCACCAAATGGGGATTTCAGTCAGATCTGAATATGAGTTTAAAACAGCTTGTTTGAATTTGAGGATTTCCATATCTAAGTCTGATTAAATCACAGGGAGGCATTAACAGCTCTCATCTCAACGGACAAAAAGGGACGTGTTGTCACAGCAGAGGCTATCATCTCGTTTTGATTTTCTGATTCACTAGTTTTAATCTAAAACTCTTGATATGAACCCAGTTGCATTTCAACTTAAAGGGCTCAAGATCTGAGAACTCAGAGTGTAGATATAGTTCTGTCATATGCATTAATACTATGATCCCTTCTTGTCTCATTACAGCGCAGTGCTGTCCATGAAGTCATTAGAGTAGGAACAAATGTAATGAGCACAGACATCTTTTAAATGGATTTTCACACAGATACAGACCGTTCCTGCTTTACAGACTGAGTCCTGCAGATCTAAATCTGAAAAAGTGTACTTTTATGTATGTATTTACTGTATGTATGCAAAGCTTTCTTTCTGAGTCTTAAATTGATGGGTCTGAGTATAAATTAACTGTAATTATGAAGTCCAAAAGCCTAATCAGTGCTGCTATCTCTCTACCCCCCACCCCCTTCCCGTAGATCTCTTCCTTTGCCCTGTTGCTATGGTACCTTAGCAACTCACCTCTTCAATCTGTTTTCTGTTTCTGTGTTCCCATGAAAGGATCCATCACCTGAACCCAAAGAGGAGCAGACAACAGCAGCAGCAGCAGAAACTGAACAACACGACGAGGTCTTTGGTAAGCGGTCAAGCCAGGTGTTGGATCTGAATGTACAGAATGTATATTGATGATGTTAAAAACAGACAGATTTCTAAGGCATCAGAAAATTGGAGATGTCAAAACCTTTGTATTCTTACCAAAGTACAGTTGAAAGTACTGAAATGTTTACCTACTGCATGAAATGAACCCGGATCGACAGCTTTAAATCCACACTGATACAGTTCACCGGAGCAAACTTGACTATGTTTGTTTTTCTTCCCTTTTTTGGGGTAATAATCAAAGTTTTGCCTCACAAACTGACTCAGAAGCTTTAACCCCATGGTGTGACATTTGCTGGGGTGAAAAATCTAGATGGTAGATGGTTAGCAATTAGCAGTGATGAATGAAGTATGGTGGTTTATGAAAGCCAACCATTTCTCATAAAGATTTGAAGTTTGGTATTTCATGCAACATGAAGTTTCTTATCTTCCAAGTTTCTCCTCAGTGTAATTTATTGTGACATGCTCAGAGTGAGAGGGCAGAGATTTGTAGTACTACAGCTTAGCAGATGAGGGCAGGGTTTAATGCTCTACAAACAAAGGCATCTGAAGATCAGGATTACGTTTACAGATTTTGAGCTGAGAAGAAATTGCAGCTGCACAGTTGGTGCATTCTTTGCAGGAGGAAGCCTCTTGGGAAATTTAACCGGTGCAAGATTTGTTGATTTAACTTGAGCATGCTGCAAAAAAAATCAAGAAAAATGGGATAAAAACTCAATCCTTAGGTTACAAGTTTTCCATGAAAGAGCAGCCTCAAGGGAGCCTCACTGTCAGCCAGAGGGGAGAGTTTTCTGTTTTTTTGTACATAGTAGTGCTGTGGCCAAATGTCCAGAGGCCAACAACACTGCCATGAAGTGTGCAGACTTTCTTTTTCTGCATGTTGGTGATGTGCCAGAAAGCAAACACACCAAGTAAAAAGACCACTGGCTGCTCATTCTGCATTTAAAAACACTCTCAACCCTGACCACATTTGCATAGGAGGAGCACAAAACCCTCAAGAGACAGAGAATAGAAACCAGGGTTTTCTTCCTTGTTGTGAGTTTTGGTCTCGTGTCTGTGGATAGTGTTCAGGGTAGGCTGAGGTGATGAGCATGAGAGGCAGGGTTCAGGGATGTGTACTGACTGAAGTAGCAACAGCTAGTGATCTGAGTGTCAGTGAACAAAAAGTTTGACAGTCTTGAGATCAAAAAACTCTGCAAGCATCAAGATGGAAAATCAGTTCATCTTTAAAAACACCACACAGTCTCTCAGAACAGATACCACAGGAAGTGTCTGTAATTTGGCTTGTGCTGATTTGAATTAGTTGGTGGCGGCAAGCCCGGTGAAGTTTGGCTCAAATTTTATTCTGTAGCACATGGTGGCATGTTTGTGCAACAATGATCCAACCTTTCAGTCTTGCGATTGCATCAAAGAGTTTTCAACATCTTTTATATACTGTATATTAAATTCAAAAGAAAAACCAATAAACCTAAACTTATCAAAGGATACATTTTGTGTTGTTGAAAAGGTCTGGAAATCTAAACCTTAAGTAAAAGTAATGATCGATAGGTAATTGAATAATTTACGTTATACATGGCCCACCTTCTAGTGATAATATGCATTGCCTGATAATAATACAAGGGTACTTAATTGTTTTTCTACTGATTTAAACTACTTGCTGCTCTATTCTTTAGGACAGGGTTAGGTTAAACTGACTGGTGACCCTCACTGTCTCTCAAGATGGTTAAAAGTTGCTTTAAGCTGTGCACAAGAGGATAGAACAATACAAAAAAATACACCAGCCAAATAACTGTAGTGATGTTCTGTGATACTTGAAAATAGGGTACAAGCTGAGCTTCATTCTGGCTTAATACTATATACCTAATTTAGCTTGTCTGCAGAAAATTAGCCCACTTGTGTTTCTCAGTCTCCTTCACTACTATGACTTAACATCCTGTAAGTTATGCTGTCCATTTTCCATCATAGTCTTCAGAGGGGTCATGAGGCAGCAAAGTATTAAACTGCCTACACATTTAACTTTGCTCGTTGTATTTATCATGAACTGACTATTTGTGTCAAGATTTTTACAATAGTGGATTATATATGCCATTTGAATTCATTTCAAATTTTCAGTGCTTTTAAAAGGCCTCCCACCCCCCACCCCCCCATCCAACTGTCCAGGGGTCCCAACCATAGACTGTATATAGAATGGACGCCATCTGCCTCCTCACTGGGTGAAGCCACCCCGAGAACAGCACCCTCTGGTGATGGGCTGCAGTATAGGTCAGAAATCCCACCTCCTCCAGCAATCCCTATGGAGCTGTGGACAAACTTTAGAAATTTATTACACAGAATATTAATTTATCTTCCACCTGGTTACGATGTTGACATGTAGTTACTGTAAGACTGGTTTGTGCTCAAGTCCTCTTTTTTTCTGTGCGGCTCCATTTTTAAAAAGTTATTAGGGGGTTCATGTTTTCTATGATTGACACTTCATACAGCCTATAGGCGTACGCCAAATGCGCACATTGCTAATGCACAAGTGGTGGTAGAGAGCAACACTGCTTCAAATTTCGTATAATGACGAAGTTGTCCATAGTATATACAGTATATGGTCCCAAACACTTCTTTAAGACAAGTAAAGCATCATACAGTGGGATGTACAATACCCTTTTACCACCTGCAGCCATGCTGTTCCCAGGGGGTTGTTTTTGTGCTTTGGATTTGTGACTTTATCCTGTGCTGGTATCAACCAGCATCTCAACAGACTGGATTCAAGTCAGAGAATCATTTACAGTGACGACTGAAGTAATTGAAAAAATATAAAGCCTTGATGCTTTTTCTAGAAAAGAGTTGCAGTTTGTTACCATGTGACACATTTCCTCATTGATCTGTCTGTGCTGAATGACGAAATCTATACGTGGATGTTTTATATAGACTCGATCGACTGTGTTCAGTTGTGTCTGCTGCAGCATCTTTGAATGACATCCACTTCTCATCTGGATGGGAGTTAAAATCTTAGAACACCACAGTATTAAATGTACAAATACTGAATAATAATATAATAAAATAATAACGTATAAGAGAAACGGCATCATCAAAATAACACTCCATGGTGTTATTTTTGCACTACAGATTAATTCACATGTTTCTCTCTCATCATTCAGAATGTGGTGCAGTTTTTAGATATTATCACAATTTACTTAACTGAACCAAACATTTTCCTTTTTTACGACATACCTGTATTTGACATTTATAACATCGTTTTAAAGGCCTTAAAAGATTAACAAATATTTTCTTTCTAAGATCCATTGACATTCATTGGAGAGTTTCTATGCTGTGTTTATGATTAATAAGTAAAGATCTCTGCTCAGTGATGGCTAAAGGGTATTTGTAATGCCTGGATTACTGGCTATCATGAAATGAAGGTCAGTGTTCATCCAGTATCAATCAAAACTATTTTTCTGAGCCTGGATTCATTGTGTTTGTCTCTATGTGTGTGTGCACAGAGAGAGAGGCATGATTGGATTTGTGTGGGTCTGTATTGATTTCATGTCATGGCAGCTTGTTTGGGCATGTCATCATACCTCTTTGTGTATTGGGAAACTCACCAGATGTCAACTTCTGCACACATCGTCTGCTGATCTCCCTTTTGCCTTTATATCAGCAGAAAACTTATATCTGGCATCAGCTTTGTCAGATTTTCCCTGAAGCTAATTAATCTCCCATGTGTTAACACTTTTCATCGACTTCGAGGATCATCCACTGTCTCAAGTGATACTTCAAAAAAACAGCCCACACAACACATGGTCACATTATCTTTAGTCATTAGGGGCACCATGGTTTAAAGGCAGATACATAAAACAGTCAGAGAGACAATAGAAGACTTTCTTAGTGCTTGATTGATCGACCAGCCTGACCTCTGACAGTTTTCTACTCAGATTTCTCGGACTGATGCGTCAAAACTGCACAGGATATGAAAAAACATGAGCAGAGGATGTAGATATGGGTGACGTCTCTTCTGGACAGAAATAAATCTAGCATATTGTGACTGATTTTATTACAGCCGTGCATTATTGCTACCTGCTTTAGTGGAGTTGTAATTGGTAGGCGTCATGACTCATCCCGGCCTGTCCAATGTCTGGGGATGTCTCCGTGCGGCACTTCCTGTTTGCACTGCATTTCCACGGAAAGGCAAACACCACCATGAGCTGTGCGACTGTTAAAAGCCTATTATGGCTCCATTACCTGGCCCAGTCTCGGGCAGGCCTCCGCACAGTAAAACAGACCCCCTCTATCTGCCTGATCTGTCCTGACTCTGCATGGGTCACTGTGTCTTTATCATCAAACGGTGAAGTGACAAGAAAGGAACAGTTGAGACGAGTGCAACATGAAGGCCTTTGAGGAAAGATTTGATTATGTCTTTAGGTTTGAAATCAGTGCGATTTCAGTCAAGCTCACCTGTCAACATGGATTTCAAGTCTAGTTTCAGTCGGACTAACATGATAAATCAATTTTTTTAACAACATGGTAATGTACTGAGTTGGATAGTGTTGGGTAGGGCTGCAGCTATCGAATATTGTAGTCATCGAGTATTCTACCGAATATTCCATCGATTAATCTAGTAATCGGAAAAAACATATATATATATATATATATATATATATATATATATATATACTGTGACAGTGCAATTATTAATATACAAGAGAAAATAAGACATTAAACTTAATAGAATCGCTGAATAGCTCCTATGTTACCTGCTTCTGCTACTACACCAGCAACGTTAGGCTGCAAGCTAGCATGAAGAGGAGTGTGCAGAGCAGAGCTGTCTCCGCCCATGACTCAGAGGCAAAGTGCTAATGAGCTACAGGAGCTCTGCAGAAGAAAAGCCCCTTTCATCATTCATTTTTTACGCTCTGCAAAACCAAAACCGCGCTTACTCCTCCTTCTACCGCAGCAATGGAAGCGCGTTGTGTCACTTTGAAAATAAGCCATGCGAAACAGTGACGATTTAAGCTCATAAATGAGTACTCGAAGCAGAGAAAATTCCTTGATCATTTTTTTGTAATTGAGGTACTCGAGGAATTGTTTCAGCCCTAGTGTTGGAAAAAGTCATGGTGCATTACAAGTCTTTAACTTAAGCATGTAGCTTTGCAAAATCAATCTCACATTTTGTCCAAATGTTCTGAATTTGATTTTTGCTCGCTCTGTTTTGAAAGTCTCACTCTTCATTCTTATGTGTAATTATCAATTAAACCCAACTTTTTATATGTATCACTGCTGACTTGATCACAGTAACTAGAACGTCTTATTTCAAGTATTGAATGTACAAATTCAATTTAACTGGGGATTTAACTGAGCTGGGCTGTTTGTTCAGACTAAAAGCATATTTACAGCGTAAAGGTCATGTCGGCACTTAATCCTACACAGAAGTAGCAAGCCTTAAATTGCTGTGCTTGAGGTGTGAACAGGCACATTTTCTATAGAGGTCTTTATAAGGTTTCTGAGATATTCAACATGATTCATTACAAATGCATCAACATCACTTCGTGATATTAGCAAAGTAATTCTTTTGGTGTTCATTTATGAAGCTTTAGATGTGAGGATTAATCAGACAGGAGTAGCAGAAACCTTGTAAAAGCTTTTCACATAGATTTAAAACCCGACAAAGAGAGTGAAATCAAGGATAGACATCTACCGCCTGTAAGCTGCTGCCTGCCAGGTTCACACAGACAGAAAGCAGGGATGCAGATTTAAAAAGGCTCTGAGCTGTTTCCCTGGAGCACTTCAAAACATTAGCTTTTGTAATTAGTAATTACTTTGTTTTTGCTGAACTCCCCTCCTACTCGCTCAGGAGAGGAACTTCAATGAAATTAATCCATAGGGGTTACCTAAACTCTGTGTTGCAGGTCCATTTCTTCTCATGCAAAAGAGGGAGGAGAGTAGAAAAGTTTAAAAACACAAAGCATAGAGTACAAGTGAGGCTACAGCTTCATGGCGTAATGTGTATGTCTCAATATTCCCCTGAACACTTATCTTATTTCCCCTCTGTTACAGGGGTTATTTGAAGACAGAAAAATGCTTGAGACACACAAGTGCGCTTAGAGAGTGAGTAATCAGCCTTCAGGGTAACCTCTTCAGCCTGTTATCAAACCAAAAATTATTACACGGTCAGTAAAGAACCATTTCTAATTCCTGTCTGTTGCATGGAGCTGCTGAGAAAGTTGGTACCTCTAAGGTCTAGTCGAGCAGCGGCTTGTTATAAAAGCCTTTAACCCAAGAATAGAAATTCAAAAAGGAGGCAGGGTACGGGTATGTGCAGCAAATAAACTGGATCATAGTTTTATGGCTGCAAAAGTACTTGCTGAGTCCTGACAATTTCGGTGCCATTCTTTCAAGATTGAAAATCAATGTACTTCAACATCCTCTGCTATTCTACACATTTTTTCACTTTTACAGTTGGTTTCTTTCAAAATCAAATCTCACGCCAAGACCAAGTTGTAAAAGCAGTATTTTAGAAATCTCTATTTGGTTTTACAATTGCAGAAAGGGGAGCAATTTGTGAACCTTGAGCTTGCAGTGTAAAACCAAAAGCTTAAAAAAAGGTTACAAGAGAGACACTTCACTGGAGATCAAGTGAGCTGTAGGTCTGCTGAAGTCTCCTCCAATGTCTGAAGACCTGAGAGCACCCAGGAGGCATCCTTGTCAATGGCCTGACCTCAGCTGGTTTCTTTTAAAGTGAGTATGGAATCAGATTGGTGTCAAAAATAATCAAACAAAACTTCCTCAATATCAAACAATAATAAGAATTTGAGAGAGAATAAAACTCACTGAAGCAAAAAAAAGGAATAATCAAGCAAAACTTCTTCAATATCAAACAAAATTAAGAATTTAATAGAGAATAAAACTCACTGAAGCAAAAAAAGTCATCTAAAAAGTAAAACTTGTAAGTTGCAAACAAATTATTTGTGCAATTGTGTAAACTACTGGTCTTTTACTTTTTGTCAGAGATCCTTTGGTCACAGTATCCTCTGTTTCTTTCTCGCTGCTCAGACTTTTGCTCTCACCGTCAGTTTTGCAGTTATGCTGCCAGCTGTCGCGTTCGCTCTCCCTGAGTTTTTGTTTGTGTGACCAAATCCTGTGACCAAAGGATCTATGACAAAAAGTAAAAGACCAATAGTTTACACAATTGCCTGAATAATTTGTTCGCAAGTTATAAGTTTTACTTTTGAGATGACTTTTTTTTTGATTCCATAGTAGAGGAGCCACTGAAAACACAAAACAAACTAATGCAAAAGAAAAAAAAGGCATGCTTTTTCAGAAATCAAATTTACCCCTTTAAATGCTTTATATCTGGGTTGGTTTGTAAGGGAAAGGGGCTGGATGCCAGAGGTAATGCAGTCCTGTGTGATGCGATTTCGCTTTTTTCTTTCCTACAATCAACATGCCATCCAGCTGGGCTCCTCTTTTTTATTAATTTATGATCATATTTTTTTCTAGTTCTGTGATCCTCACATTACCCTCTCTATTTTGAGTACAGATTGGCAGAATAAATGAACTTGTGATGTAGTAGCTGTTGAAGTTTGTGCATTTTATGGATTTTTATTCCACTAAATTGACAAACACCTGTTAGATTTCCTAATTAAATCACAAATTCTTTAGAGTAATGCACAGGGGTACTGGTCAGGCAAGGCTGTTTTATAGGCGCCATGCAGAGGGAGTCAGAAACGTCCCAGTCAGAACGTCACTCTATCATACCATACCTAAACATTTCCTTTTTGCAGGATTTAGTTGTTTGTAGCAACCTTCCAAATGGTAGAATACAGTGAAGGGATTGAATTAGTTCATATTTAGTTCATTTTCATTTGTACTTATGAACCTATATTTTATTCTGAGGTAATATTATTTGTAACAATCACCTTCTTAAATGGTTTTCCTTCCATTGAAGTTTTGGAGATAAGGATCCTAAGGAAATGTTTATTTATTCACTCATTTTGTATTTGATGTCCGAAACATGTTCCAAGAAATCTGGGACAGGGTCATGTTTGGGGGTCTGTGTTACATCACCTTTCCTTTGGCTCCTAAACCTGATGTACTTTTCAGCACTCTGATACCGTCACAGATTTTAGAGTTTGCTCAATTTTCCTTGTCTTTTCTTGCTCCTGTCCCAGCTTTTTTGGAACGTGTTGCAGGCATCAAATTCATATTTGCAAAAAAAAAAAAAAATCAATCAATTTTATCACTTTAAACATGAAATATATTATCTTTGTTGTGTGTTTAATTGAGTAAAGGTCAAAAAAGATTTGCAAATAATTGTTTTCAGGTCTTTATTCATGTTATTCACACAACATCCCAACTGCATTGGAACTGGGGTTTGTAGATACGAGATGAAAAATAATCAAAGACTGGTTATCAGCGTGATTTTTGTCAAACCAATGCGCAGAAGAGGTGCGAAGAATAAGAGTAGAAAAAGAAACAACAGAATGAATGCTACGCACGAACAGATAAAATCATATTTAACAAACAGCATGGGGCCGGATAGACTCAGCATACTGGCAATACTTTTAATAGAGAAGAGCAGAGCCAGAAATTTTGACCAAAATAGTTTAGTCACGGACTTGTCTGAGCAGAAGGAACTTCCTATTAAGCACAAGTTTGTCTTTGATGTGGAGTGGGATGGAATTTAAAGTTTAGCAGCACAACTGTTGCCTCTCATATGCCAGAAAATATGCACCAACTGTGTCTGAGATTGAAAATGGCCGCCACAAGGTTAATGATAAAAGTTCAAGTCTGCATGTAACTACATCAGGGGCTGTCATCAATAATGTATGGTGGACATATGTGTATTAAGCTCCTCTCTTACCTCTGTTTCATTAACATACAGTGTGAGCTGCCTTGGGTCCAGAGCTACTTTGGATGTCCTGTACTTGAAATAAACCAGGCTGTGGTAGCTTGAGCTGTTAGAGAAACAGGCTGTATGAAACATGGACTTAGTGTTGTTTCACACGTGTTTCTGACGTAATGTTTTCAAGTCTGTCTGTGAGAGTCACCTTATTGAAAACACTGACTTAACTTAACTTATTATAGTCATCTTAAAAGGGCGGCAAAGAGGTAAGGTAGAGTTAATGTTCTGAGCATTATTTGTGGCTGTAGAGTGGATTTTTGGTTGACGTTTGCACATGGAGATGTAAACCGCTTTGTATTGCTATTGTGCGGTCGTTACTAAAGTTAGTAACTAGAGAAGCAAGCAGTCGGCAAAATTTATCGCTCAAGGGGGTGTCTAATTCAGTGTTACAGTGTGTTTGACCCTAACTTAAATTTACGCCAGAATAACCCTTTAAGATCCTTCAATTTCAGGAAGGAGGGCCCTAAAATGTTATATGTTTATCCCAGAGGCTGTATCTGTTATGTTCCACCACTCATAAGAAGTATTTTTTTAAGAGAGGCAACACAAAACACTCTCTGTCATGTTAAAATACTTCTGTGGGATCAATCTTTAAAAATCAACACTGCAAACAGTAACTAATCTTGGTTTTTGATTTTCAAAGCCTGTTCAAGTTTTTCATTTTCTGCAGGTTTGCTTTCAATACACGCCGGTTGCTGTTTATCATCGGCAAACCAGTCATACCCATGCCAGCCATAAAAAAAAGAAAAGTGACATCAACACGTCAAAGCGATGACGCAAGTCTCAACAAAACTGGAGCCAATCTCTGGCTCTTCAGCATGCCAGGCAGTTTGCCTACTTTGTAGAGCTGCACACACAGTTTAATCTTCCTGCTACTGTCAAAGATGGCATTGAAGCAGTTTGAATCAAAAACCTAATCTCTGTTTATAGAGTCTACATCTATATGGAGAGAGCTGGGATTTGGTTTTTAAAAGTTTCTATGAGCTGTTGGCTCTTGCTTTATGCAGGAAAACAATCCCTGTAGAGGGCAAAAAGGATGGGAAAGCAGTCTTGTGTAGCGCAGTCCACCAAAACCCATCAGTCATCACTGACTGTTTTGCCATTGTTGCTGTTTTTTATTTGTACCGACTGATTTTGTACAGATGAATATTCTCAGTTCAAAACTAGACGGTCCAAGATCAAGCTTTCACTGACAGTGCATGCAGCACCGTAATGAGAATGTGAATGAGTTTGTTCCTGTGCTGTATATATGCCTTCTGTACACATTTGTAAGTGCAGTGGCTCAGTCATTCGTCTCCGTGGCGGAGGCTGACACAGGCTGGTACGGGCCCTGGCACTGCCAACATGAAGCCCCTCCTCTCCTCCCCCCTCAAAAGCTCTGATTGTTAAAGGGCAACGTCCATCACTGGACCAGTGTTCTGTGGTTTGACACCATTGTTCAGATTCTCCCTTTCTGTCCCCTCTCACCTCACTTTCTCAATTCTGATGTCTTTCCCTTTCTTCAAGATTTCTTTTTCCTCCCTTGTCAAACTGTATCTAAAATTATTCATGAACCCATAACTTTTTAACACATGCAGACTTTTTTTGTTATTCATTTATCAATCATGTAAGGACTATTTATTTCCACCTGTCTGCTGTTTTCTCATAGATTTTATGTAGACCCACCTCTCTATGGGTTTTACGCCTGTCTATTTGTGTGTCTCGTTGTAAGAGTATGTCCCTCGGTGTTGCTATGAGTCCGGCAGACCACGTCATCCAGCTTCGACCATCTGGCAGGACAATCAGTGAGTGTATGTGTGAATTAGCAGCTGGATTTGTGGCTACAAGGGTCTAAGGGGAGGGGATGATGGGTAACCAACAGAGTACAAAAGCACTACCCTGGTTTCTGCATCCCATATGTCCAACAAGATGGATTGGAGTCCTTTACCCTCAGAGGGAAATAACAATCTCAATTTTAAGTGGAAGCAAAGCTGCGACAAGTGTCTGTGACCATGTTTGGATGTCCCTGGTTTCATGAAGAAACATGTTGAAGACTGATCCAGTTAGGATTAATCTTGGAAATAAAATGCATGAGTCATGTGGTCGTACTTTGCCTCATCGATCACATTTGAAATCTGTCTTGAGTTATCTCAAGGATGAAAAGAGATACAAACAGAGAGAGCTCCACTTTCACGCTCCTCTGACACGCCTGGTGGTTTGAGAGCTCGCCTTGAGAGCAAATTCAGAAGAGCTTGATCGGTTTTCAAGAAATAGCAGCAAATTTATCTTTCTGCAAGTTGCAAAGAATATCAAGTGTGCTTTTACTGCAGCAAAGTATCCACTCTCTTCTTTGCACATCTTCAGTATGTGGTGATGACACCAAATGCTGCAATTGGATCATATTCATACAGCCTATTTTGTGTGATTCCAGCAGATCAGAGTGCTGTTGTATAGAAATGATCCAAGTGTGCCTCGGTGTGCTTAGCTGGAAGAAAGGAATTCAGGATCAGTCAGGTTCCTGATCTAGTATTTCTTAACTTTCAATTTCTCATATTAAAAGGATCAGTGCTTCCCTTCAGCTCAGTGGATGCACCCGACAAAGACATCTGCTGCGTTTTATTTATTCCCAATCGGCAAAAAAGCTTTACAAATCAGTGCTTGAGACAAAACTTAAGACAGTAGGGGAGAGGGGGGTAAGTTGAGCCACCCCATGTTGCTCGGAAATGGTAAAAGAAATTGATCATGTGACCAAATATTTAGGAGATGGGCATCAATTCATGGAGTCTGTTAGGGTTAGAAGGGCATGGGTGAAGGGGTTAGACATTTATTTCCAAAAAAAAGAAACATTTCACTCTTGAAATAGAATTTAGTCTGTCATAAGTTTGATTAGAATTGTGTTCAGACCAAAAAAGATCATTTTAGATTTGTTTTATACATAAACTGTAGTATCTTTGAGCTACAACATGAGGTCAAAAACCTAGTATAAAAGTCCTCCATTTTAGCTTAGAGGATTTCTGGGGTAAGTTGAGCCAGTGGCTCAACCTAGAATTTAATAATGATGGGAGGATCAGAGTTTCAGTTCAGATTGTGGAAATGTGTTGCTTTTCAAGTAACTTTTCTTTCTTTTCAAGAATACAGCTGTGAATGTTGTGAATCACTTACAGACATTCTCATGTTAAAATGACTTTTTACAAAACAGCTTTTTAGCAGTTATATGCAATAATAATAAAAATAATTATTGTACCAGTTGAATAGTGTATGATAGTTATAAATACACATCAATGTGAAGAAGTGACTGTTAATTAGGGCAAGAGAAAAGGGGAGGGCTGGAGTGAAGAGTGGGGGGGTAGTAGGGATACGGCTCAACTTACCCCGCTCCTATGGTCAACTTACCCCATTCAACGAGGTAAGTTGACCATAGGAGACCACTTTTTTTTTGGCATGCTATATTATCAAGACAGTTATGTTTACACTCATTCTGTTGGTTTGCAGGGATGCACAACATTTTGAAATATGCAAATACACTAGTTAGAGACAAAACTATGATTGCTTTGATGTAGTGATCCGAAATATAAAAAATAAATGGCTCATCGTACCCCTCTCCCCTATATATCTTTCTTGTCTGTTAGTGAGTGAAAACACTGAAGAGTTTCAGTAAATCTTGGTCAGAATAGTTACTCCAGCCGTAAGTCTATTCTGGACGTACAAATTGGCGCCCGCCGTCTTGCTATGGTGACGCTTGCTGTCGTATGAAGAGGTTTCGGTGTATTCAGTTCGCAGCAGTGCCAAATATCAAGATTGTGTTCAAACGCTTCCAGGATGATGATGCTGTTTATTTTCCAGCAGTTACGCTGAAGAGGTTGGATGTAATGTCTCAGTCGAAGCGTCTTTACGCAAGCAACCAGCTGGCTGACGACTCCAGGACATTAGTCATGTCCACTGCCCTGCTGAAGTGTGTGTATTAACATGTTTTAGTGTCTCATGTCTCCTCGGGTGAGGAAATGTCCCTATGCAATACATGGATGGCATCAACCCATGCTGAGCTCTTTTCTTCTTATGTGCTGACCCACTGTCCCACTAGAGACGGTCATTCATACAGGCTGCCAGTAAAAACCTCATCCTCCACAGACATGTCTGTCATGACAAAGATGAAGTACTGTGTGAACACGCTATGCTGAACTGACCAGATTCAAAGTCAAGATCCATGAGTCAGCTGGAAGAAGACCTGTGAGTTTGAGAATAGAGAAGAAATTTTGTTGATTTATTGATGACATAAAAATAAGTTGATGTTGTCTTGTTTAAATATGAAGGTCTTCTCTGAAAAGGGCATTAACTAGTGATGTTGAATACCACAAATTTCCTTTACGATACTGAGTAAAATTCAGGCTGGTATTGGCAATACCGATACTTTGTTCAAATACATGTGTGCCTGGTAAATCTGGAAAAACAAACAAACAAAAAAAACAGCGTATTTCAAATCATAGCTTCCTAAAGATACAAGTAATCAGGGTAACGTATTGATCTATTTATTTTAAACTCTGAAGTATATTGAGGTAGCGGCCTCATTTGCAATATAGCCGAGATAATACAACAGAAAAAAACAGAGGACACAATTATACATAATATGTGAAAATGGTGTTTAAAACAAACCAAAAAAGTAAAATGATAAAATCATTAAAATAAATAAGAAAATAATAAAGAAAACATTATTTATATAATTAGATTTATCTATTTATTTATAACATAATTTCCCAAAGATATCACTTTGCTGTTTTTAGGACTGAAATAGCTCCACACATGACTCCTTTTCCGCTCTGCCATCGACTCTACACAGACTGAGAGAGACTGTTGAGTGAGCAGAGGGTTCGTATGGTATTATACACTTACCCAGGCGGAAGAAAAAGTAGTTCCTACCAACCGCGCGTCATTTGGACAAGTTAATAATAATAATAATAATAATAATAATAATACATTTTATTTGTGGGCGCCTTTCAGGGCATTCAGGGACACCTTATAGGGCAATTAAAAGACACATCAGTAGAATAGTAAAATCATTAAAAAACACATCAACACAACAAAGTATTAAATAAAAAAAGTTGTAAGTCTGGACTCTGCAGAAGAACATCAAATGCTCGTCTGAGTCGGCCTGTCTGAAATAATGAGTTTTGAGACAGGATTTGAAGATGAAGAGTGTGTCAATGTTCCTAATGTCAGGGGGGAGGGAGTTCTGAAGGCGGGGGGCAGCGCAGCTGAAGGCTCTGGGTCCCATGGTGGACAGACGGGCCGGAGGCATAATGAGGTCGACGGATGAGGCAGACCTGAGAGTCTGGGTGGGAGTGTTGATGTGGAGGAGTTCAGAGAGGTATGGAGGAGCAAGGTTGTGGATGGCCTTAAATGTGTGGAGCAGAATTTTGTAGTCCAAGCGGTATTTGATGGGAAGCCAGCGAAGTTGGTGGAGAACAGGTGTGATGTGACTGATAGATGGTGTTGTGGTGATGATACAGGCGGCAGCGTTCTGGACCAGTGAAGCTTATGGATAGACTTCTCAATACTTTACTTTCCAGTGTGTTCCTGTTAATGATATACATTACCACAAATGACTAAAGAATCAGAAGTATTGATATTTTCATTTGAGAATCGATTTTTGAGCACACAGACCTGGTGTTGGAAGTATCGATATTTCAGTAACGATCCGCACATCACTAGCATTAACTTGATGCCAGCATAATTGCTTTGGGAACCTATAATATCCAGCATTAATGGTGTCTTCCCATATACATACTGCATGTCAAAGAAGTGTATGCATCACCATACTATCACAGTGCAGGCTTTTGAATGGTGACCACAGCACAGTTTTCCACTTTGCGTTGGTCATCATAAATGGGTTCAGGCCCAGAAAATTAGCTCACTTTTGTTTTTAATGTTTGAGTTTTCTTTTTGCGAGAAACACTTGTAACCTTAAATTCAAACTGTGTTAACAAACTGTGGTTTTTGAAAGTGATTTACCGCCTGTGCTGCAACTTTCACTACAGAGTCAATTCTGATTTTCATGCAGTGCTGCCTGTTGACCAAAGATCGCAGCCATTCAGCGCTGCTTTTCATACGTGTCACTAATTATTGTGCGGAGATTCCTCCAGACTCTCTGAATCTTTTAACAACAATATGTCCTGTGGAGGATGGAAATTTTCAACTTTCAATTTTATGCTTTGAAATGTGAATTTGAAATGACTGAACTTTTTGCTCCCACAGTCTCTCACAGAGTGATCGACCTCTCCCCGTCCTTACTCATACGGGACTCAGCCCTTTTAGATCTAGACGTGTTACCCAAACTGTTGCTAATTAACCTTCGTAGCTTGGATGTGTCTGGCATGAAATTTGAAATAAGGGAATATTTTTATTTTTTTTAATCAAAATTTTTAGTTTTTACATGTTTTTGCACTTTTTTTTTTACCTAAATGTGGGAAGTTAAATGATTTACAAACCATAAAATTAAGTTTTCTTTCAAAATGTTATACAACATCCCAGCGTCTTTGAAGCAAGAATCTAAAATTGTCAGCTCAGTCTCAGGATTCATGTAATGTATGTTTCAGAATTTTCTCAAAACGATGGTCCATTAAAAAAGTTCAACAAATTAATGGAAAATAAAATAATTATTGATACCAGCACCATAATCAGCTAAGTAGTACTGATGCCTGTTGAGCCCACAGTGACAAGTCTAAACCTTTAAGAATGGTAACTGAGAGAAAAACAGCCATGAAGTGAACACTGAAGTGAATTTACAACCAGCACACCGTTGCTTCAAATGCTGATTCAAGCAAACACTTTTTGTCTTCTTTGACAAGCAGGATGTGACTTTAGGAGAGGTGTGAAAATCATCCAAAAGTTCAGAAAAGGGTTAGAGTCTTAGTTTTTGTCAATACAGAAACTTTGACAGTGATGTCTATGTAAGCTTGTTTTTCAATTGATACCTTTAAAAATAAGTGTGCATCTTGTTCTGATCATGTCCTGATTAACCATTCCAAAGTTCAAAGGTCACCAACATGGCCAGGGTTCAACGTTAAGTGGGGAGTGGTTCGACTGTAGTTCATATCTCCACCAGAACAATCTCTGTAGGACTTATGTCCTGGATGCCAGATGGGGTTTCAAACACAGAGAGCTACTTTTTATCCGGAGCTGGTGGGTGTTTCAGATCCACCATGAATGCAGCGGCAGAGAGATTTTTGGCCCTGGGTGGGAGGTTTGGTTCAATTCCACATAGCTATGGGTGTTTTTTCAGAGGAATGCTTCCCGTGCCTCTGTCCCACTACAGTCCTTGTTGTTGTCCCAGATGCTAGGCTACACATCCTCTTCACACCAAGGAAGAGGAGGAAAAATGATGAGATTGAAGCCCACTCCCTGCATACTTCCTCCCTTTCAGATGCTGATCTTTCTTCTGGAGCATGGATCTGGATTTCTCTGCTGGACAGATCAGCGATGCCGTAATTAGTGCTAAAACCTGATAATTAACCTAGGTGCTACAGGACACAGTCGTGACGGTTGGTTAACATCCGGTTGTCATAGAGACTTCTTGGAGTTGTCATGGAGAATTAATCTAGATGAGGTAACAGGCTATTATCCTACTAGCTTCAGACCACAGTAATGGCTCAGCTACATTGAGAAACATAACCATGGCCAGTATCTCATGGTGATGCAGGGGTCACATGTTGGATGGTAGTTTCTGACCTTCTTCCTCTCCTCTTGTGGCTGGAAGAACCATCTACTGAGCCAATAATGGGCAGACCTGAGAACCTGACATTATGCTGTGGTTCACTGCATGAATAAATCAAGTATATATGATGAAGGCCAACAGAATCGAGGCAGCATGTTCTCAGAGGACCTCTCCTTTTCACTGCAGTCTTCTGTGATGGGTTGGCCCTGAACAACTGGCCCTTAGTGCTGTTTACATAACCTGTTGTGAAGGACTGTGGAAAGGGAAAAAAAAAAAAACCTTTGTGTTCCCTTGATCCTTTAGCTTCTGTCAGATAGCTGGATTAGTCTAGGTAATCAGATGAAGCATCCAATACAGCCCTAATTAGAGAAAAGTTTGTTATGTGCACCAAGGATAATGTTCGGTGCTCCTCTGTGCTTAAATGCCAAACTTGTAGCACTTAATTAAAACAAAAAAGGGGATAAAGTCATGGTGGAAGATCACTGCCATGAGACAGGCTGTCAAAACACTGTCACTGACCCAACCACTGAAACTAGGTAGCTTCAAAGGGTGGTGTCTCTGTTGGTTTAGAGTTAGAGCCGTAAGAGCCCAACTTATTATCGCAGGCTATGTAAGGGTTCACGATCAAGAAACTGAATTATACAAATCCAATCCAAACCGTTTTATTTATATTGTACATTTAAAAAAAAATAAGTTTAATAAAGTGTTGCACACTAAAGTTAAAAAGACCAAACAATGCAGAAGTAAAAAAAAAACATCAAAAGGAAATAAATAAAAGCAGGTAAAAAAAAATAAAAACGAATGAAAATGAAATAAAAACACAAAAAGGTGAAAGAAATAGAAGTGATAAATGGACCATAAAAGACATAAAAGAACAGAGATCACACAACTCTCATGCTGAGAAAGCCAAGGAATAACAATGAGTTTTTACGAGTGATTTAAAAGTAGAGAGAGTGGGGGATGTTTTAATCTCAAGTGGAAATTCGTTCCACAATTTGGGAGCCACAGCCCAGAGAGTTCGGTGACCACAGGTTTTTAAACGAGTTTTAGGGACAACAGGTTGAGTTGATCAGTAGACCTCAAAGAAACATTTAAGAGGTCAGAGATGTACTGTGGTGCTGATCCATTTAAAGATTAAAAAAAATAAAATTTTAAAATGAATTCTTAATGAATGGGAAGCTAATGGAGAGACACCAGGATTGGGGTGATGTGATCATGTTTTCATTTTACTGTTAAAAGATGAGCAGCAGCAGCATTTTGGACGAACTGTAAGCATTGAGGGAAGCGCGATTAACACCAACATAAAGAGCATTGCAGTAGTCCAACTGTCTAGAAAAAAAAGCATGAAGTACTCACTCAAAATCATTAAAAGATAAAACCAATTTAATCTTGGATAAAAGCCTCAGATGACTAAAACTAGATTTAACAACAGAGTTGATTTGTTGATCCAGTTTTAAATCACTGTCAGTGTTTACACCAAGATTTAAAACTGTGAGTTTAAAAAAAAAGAGGTAAAAGAGACATGAACTCAAACTAGACAAATACTTTTTTTTTTTCAAAGGCCTCACCCAGTCATTTTTCATCCGCATGAGACCAGTATCTGTGATCAATAAATGACTGATCCCCCTCATTCTGAACGCCTGTGTACGTTGCAAATAATGCCTGATCCGCAGTTGACCAGAGAGAGACATTTCCTTCAGACATTTCCCTCCTTTAATGTAATAAATGAGGTCATTGTCACATGTTAAATGTAAACCACCTTCAATGTTTTAAGTCGGGTGCAGCTGGTTAGTGTTTCTCTTAGTTTTGGATCTTTCTTAACAAGCCTCATCCACGCACAGATCACCTGTTGTGGCAAAAGTACATTCAACACATGAGTTGTGATTTATAAAGGCCTGCCTGCTTTCCGTAAATACTGAACATTTGTCATTTATTAAGGCATCCAGAGACTATCAGCAGCATTGATCAGATATTCAATACACTTGTCGATATGTATTGACTGAAACTCTCCTACCTTCACTATACAGAAATTGAGTTGACCATTTTGTCAACAAACAACAGTAACATTACTGGGTCATTTAAGCTAGATGTCTGAAATCTGTTTGGGTCTGAGGTTGTAGATCTGACAGACACAGAGATACCACTACCTGACTCAGTAATCAGTGAGTCACCAGCATTAGTCCCACACCATGTATTTTAGTCTTTTTGTACATTAAGGTGCTAAAATCCTGACTTAATGAACCGTTAAGAAGAGCACACAGGGAGTCATCCCACTAATAAGTTCCTCATCAGAACCTTTTATGGTCAAACTGGTGAACACACCCTGGGTGGGATGCTGCATTATTCTGGGCTCTGGAGGACTGTTACAATTCAGCCATGTCAGGCTGTTTTTCTCTCAGTAATTTGTCCTTCATTGGTATGCTTGTGGTATAAAATAGCACCGCTGGGCTTAGAAACAAGATCAACAGGTGATGGATGATAGAAATGGTTTAAGTAGTCTCATGGGTAGGTCAGAAAAACAGAAACTTTTTATGTATTCTTGTCTTTGTTGTAGGATAACAACCACACAGGCTCTCCTGAGAGGGAACAACATTTCAGTCAAACACATTCACTGTCAGATAGAAACAGATGATTTACATTTCAGATTCTTTACTCTGAGAAGGTTACAAATTAGTCTAAATATGCTGCGGTAATTCTCTGAGGTGGTGTTGTTGTTGGCAAGTATGAAGCTTAATGTTTACAGTCGCAGCTAAACTGATTTCCTCATTCTTCATAAATCCCTGTGGAAATGTCACCGATCCATTAACCACATTGCTCATGTAAGGCGGCTATCTAATGAGCTCGCTGTTTGGCTGGCCTGACCACATGCCAGCTTTTCCTCCGGTGACGGGCAGCTCATGCTGTCTGCTAACAAAACCCCCAGTTGACACACAACAGCAAGAGCTAACACTACCACATTAAAAGTTTTCAGTAACAAAATAAACTGCAACCTGCTGACTGTGTGCACAAACTCTGCCAAAAAACAGAATGAAACCAGGACTTCCAGCTATGGAGCTCTTCACTGTTAATACTTGGTAACTTTCAGTGTCCAAACTCAGAGGAGAATGTGCAAAGCTTTACTGCAGCTGTCGTCATTATTATTGTACTTATATGGACGCCATATGTGGTGCTTTATCTTATTTTTATATTAATTAGCATCAAGACTCAGAAAAGAAAGCTTTCATCTTTATATCCTAAAGATCTGATCAAGAAAAAATGGCAGCCCACTCTCAAACTGTTCCGTTTTAGTCATCAGAGCAGTTTAGAAAGCTCAATAATCACATCACAGCATTTACACAGAGAGCTTCGAGCATCCTCTACCAGAACATGACCTGACATCTGTCTGAAGATATTCAATTATTGGTCAGTAAAGCTTTTTAGAAATGAAGGGACCTTTTACGGTGATCTATAACCTGTCATTATGAGTACGTAACACAAGTGCGTTTCAAAGCTCTCAGAGGTGAAACCACCAGAGAAGGTTGCCGATACTTTTTTCTTGTCTGGAGGGATAACAAGATCAGCTGCATATATGAGGAGTATTTTGGAAACACTGAAACCAGCCTAAGTGTGTAAATGCACATTTTCAGTGACAAAAAGCAACCGGTTTATTCTCTCTCTCTGCTGCACCAACACTGATCCTGACCACACCTCATTTTGAGAACTCTATGCCCGTGGGTGCACAGGTGGGTGCTGGGCATGAACATGACAACTGTCCTTTTAAATTTAGCAGTGGCAGCTGTACTGTACTGTAAGCTGCCATGTACCAGGTGTAAAACAGAAACTGAAGTATTGTGTCAGAGACTTGAGGCAGCTGTTGACTGTGAAAATGTGAAGAGGTTGAAAAATGGAACTTTTGTGACCTTCATAAAATTCTCTTTGAAGGTAAAAAAAAAAGGTTTTTGAAGGCATTGAGCTGTTTTTACAGCAGTGCAGAGTGTTTGGTTAGACAGATTCTCTTCTGAAGAAACCATTAAGGTGCCAGGAAAATGGTTTAATTTGGAGAAAAAGATTTTACTTGTTGTAGCACAAAGCTATGGAGCCCGGGAGGTGACATGAATTTTTTTTTTTTTTTAATTTGCTCGTGCAAAAATTTAGTTTCTCGAACATGCAGTTTATACGTATCTTGTATGTGTGTTTTATTTGCATCTTGCACATGCGCTTTTGTAAATAATCCTCCACGCGCCTCAATTGTGAGAGAAGAAGGACAGTGTCATGGACAGAGAGCATATTATCAACATTTTCTTTTACTTAGGTACCACTCACAAAGAGATAGTTTATAGCTTAGCCACATTTGATGTTGTTTTGAGTAGGAGACACCTCAACAGGATCCTTAAAGCACAGTGACTTTGCCGTCGGCGATACTCGCACTTGCAGGAAGTGATTTTGTTTATTAATGAACAGTTAAATCACACCTGCGATACAATAAAATGCACTTGTGAGATACTAAAACGCACATGCGAATTAAAAAAAGTTAATGTCACCTCCTGGGCTCTGTATAAAGCAGTGATGTTCAAAGTCAAACAGATCTGTATGTTACAGGGCCTGAATTCGGTGTGCACATAACCTTTGATTCCAGCAGGTGTCACATCGCAAACACTTGCGCATTTGTGAATAAGGACTAATGGCTCCCTCTGTATCACCTGTGCTCTCTTTAACTAACACTTGTATTAGACAGGTGTGTATTGACTTGCAACAGAACACTGAACCAAACTTCAGCACAACACAGCTTCATCAAAATGCAACATGGCTCTTTCCCACAGAAAACAACAACTTTGTTTAACATTAGCAAGGTTGGGTGAAAACAATTGGAAGGCAGATGGTGTAATCCAGGGCACCACAGATGTCTCATTATTGAGACATCTGTGGAGCAAACTAATGCTGCATACTTGCGTTAGCATTGTGCAACACAGTAACTGGGTAGTTAGATTGCTTTGCTTTTATGTCGGGTGGATGTTTCCGGGAGGATGTTCAGTTATTTCTAATACTGCAGATTGGGTTGGAACAATAGATGTGACTGTGAACATTGATTTAGCTATAGAAACGCCATTTTTCGCTTCCTGCAGATGTGTTAGATTTGGTGCAGCGGTGTGTTTATCAATCAATCAATCAATCAATCAACTTTATTTCTATAGCACATTTTAAAATAACCACAAGGGTAGTCAAAGTGCTGTACATAAAACAAATAACACAAAGAGCAAGATAAAGTGAGCAGAAATACATTAATGCAAGGGGATAAATAAGTAAATAAATAAGCAGGCTCACGGCAGGTGCTAAAATGATAAAAAACAAAGTAACACTAAAAAGTATCAAAAGCCAAGGAGTAAAAGTGTGTCTTTAAAAGGGATTTAAAAACAGGAAATGAGGAGGCCTGTCTGATATTCAAGGGCAACTCGTTCCAGAGCTTCGGGGCAGCAGCAGCAAACGCTCTGTCCCCTCTGAGCTTCAGCCTTGTATATGGGACCGTCAGTAGCAGCTGATCGGCTGATCTTAAGGGTCGGGGTGGGCAGTAAGGCTGGAGCATTTCAGAAATGTAAGGTGGAGCGAGATTGTTCAGGCTTTTAAAAACAAATATTAAAAGCTTAAAATGAATTCTGTACTGTACAGGGAGCCAGTGTAAGGATGCCAGGTGCAGCTTTTTCAGGACTTGTTGCCTCAGGAATACTTCTTTACTTCTACATGTTATGTTGACATGCACTATGTACTGCAAGAAACCAAGTTAAATAGCTCTTTTCACTGATTAATATGCTTTTGCAATGAATGAGGAGTAATTCTAACCCAGCATACAGTATGGAAGCAGCATTGCTCTACACCCAGAGAAAACAGCCCGGTTGCTCCCGGACCTCGAATCAGATAAGTGTCACCGTGCATTGGGTTGAAAATCCATACTTATAGGAGTTATTTTAGTGACACTGGGCCCTTTGTTCCTCTGTAATAACTATGCAGCTCTGACAAGAGGCCTCTGTTTCAAACAATATTAGCATGCAGATTCTCTGCTGTAGCGCTACACCATTTCTGCCAGTACAGTGTGTATATTGTTCAGAGGCAGGAATGCACTGGATGTCCTCTGCAGTGGGAGCCGGCTAGCTTAATGGATAGCTGTCAAAGTGGATGTTAGAGGACCAGCTGTATTTGCATTTGGTGCTGTTGCAAAGATCTGAAGCAGGTTTTTGTTTTTTTGTGAGGATCTCTTGTAAGAAGCCTCAATTGCACAGTTGTGTAAACCCAGTATTAAGAGGAAATGTTTTGTGTAAGCAGTCTAATGCATTTTAATTGAACTGGGAATTGTGAGCACACCTGCTACAACGATTGTTTTCACTCGAAACTCCGCCTCAGGGATGAGAGGGTGGCCTCAGAGACAAAACAGTACTCAGGCTTGATCACTTTCTCAGTTGCTTGAGTCTTTAATCTCATGTTTCCACTGTTTCCTGTAGACCAGGTAAGATTAGTCGTAGTTAAATGTGAAATGTTAGCTCTGCTGGTGTCCGCTGCAGCAGGAAGGGCACTGCCCTATGAAAGGAGCTCTTTGTGCTGCAGCGGTTTGTTGTGTGCCATGCAGGCCCAAGCCCATAGATGACCCTTGTTGTTTCTGCGCAGGCCTGGGTGAGGCAGATGCGAACCAGAACAATGGCTGCGTCTCGGAGAAGCCGGCGGTGACTGACTCCACGGGCGCTGAGGGCCCCCACCAGCCTTGGACCGACGCCAGCACAGCTGACCCTGACGCTGCTACGCCACGCCCCCACCTGGTCCGCCTCTTCTCCCGAGATGCCCCGGGCCGAGAGGACAACACCTTCAAAGACCGACCCTCCGAATCGGACGAGCTGCAGACCATCCAGGAACACAGCGGAGCGGCTTCAGAGTGCGGGTCGGAGAACCCCGAACAGGACCTAGAATAGGCTAGCTTTTTTTTTGTTCCTCCCTCCCTTTCTTTTCTCTTTTCCCTCCTCTGTCTCTCAATCTCTCATTTAAGAGAGAGACAATATCCCCACGTTTGACAAACACAAAGTACTACCAACCACTACTACCACCATGGCATCCGCAAGCAGCTCCGCACAGGCCGCCTTCGGGCTGGGCCGGAGGAAGAAGAACCCCGGACTCCTGGATCAGATTGGAAAGTTCTTTGGAGGTGACAAGAAGAGGAAGAGCAAGGTGAGAAAGCAGGAGAGTTGAGGTGAAAGCTCAACCCTTCTCATCCTTCTCATGTATCTCAGTTCATTCTGCTGATTTGCTCCTAGAACCACCTTTAACTTCTGATTCTTTAACCCATCGTGTAAAAATTAGTTGCAGCGTATTGGTCAAATGAACTTGTGTTGGTTTTAATGTTGTTTCTGGTAAACCGAAGTCTGACATTGTCCTGTGATTCCCAATAACTGGCTGATAGGCAATGAGTTGTCACTGGATGATGGCTTTGGGTGGGGTTGGTTTCTTCTTCTTGTTTTTATTACAAAGAGGCTGTGATTTTGAATCATTTACTAATAGCTCTATTGTCTCGTCTTCTTTTATTTTAATGGTACTGACATTAGTAGCATTCTTCTTTTAAATTCACTTTAATATATCACTTGTAGTCGTGATCCGGTGGAATTGCTCTTTCGTTGCTGTCGATTTGTTCATTAGCAAACGTGTCAAACTCCAGATAGGAACAGTCGTGCTTTGGATCTGGTACTTCCTTTAATGATAATGATGATAATGTGAGAGTTGCCAATATCATTTAGATGAAATACTGGTTGTATTATCATGGATTTTATGGAGGCATTAGGCTTACAGCTTCTCGGCAGAGATAGTCTTTAAGATTTCTCGGTCTTGAGTCATTTGAGCGTCTTTAAGAGGTCAGCCACAGGGAGGTTCTCTGATACTGTTTGCATGAAACAGCAGTCCGCCAAGTCTTTCTTAAAAAGAACTGATTACATTATGCTATATATGATCAAAGCGGTATAATATTTCTGTCATAATAACATTATTTATCATAGTATTGGAGCATATAATCACCACCTGTTTAGAAATACCGCAAAGTCTGCGTAGTAGGAACGGGTTTTTCCTATCGAACAGACAGCTGATCATGAGGCACTTGAGCCTGCAATGCTTTTTAAATACTATGCTCTGCAGTGTTGTCAGGATACCATCATTTCAACCATTAGCTTCTATAACTACCTGGCTGATCAGGACTACTTTGTCACTGAAAGTAAAGCTAGCTGCTGTTGTAAAAATGACATTTCAAACTCCATCGATGTGGACCGACAGGGACAGGCTAAGAAGAACCAGACTGCAGGTCTGTTGGTTCCACCCTGTTTCTGTCAGCGATGCCCTCTAGAGGTGGTGTGAAAAAAAGGAAATTTACCAACATTGAGTCCAAAGATGGTGTTGAAATGTTTGGATATCCTGAGAACACTGCAGCTGAATTCCAAAGCTTTTCCAGGTGCTGTAAAAAAAAGTGAAAACTGAACTCCACCTGTAGTCATTTCTACTGCTGTTCTCAACAGCGGCTTCAGTGGGTATCGTGGTTTGAAAAAGGAGCTGCATTGAAACAAAATGCACCCTGTGGACATAAATAACCCTGTCTTATTATAAGCTTATAGCCTGTAAAGATTGCTGATCAAAGTGCTTTAAGAAGGCGATTATAAGAGATTGGTCAACAGCATGAATATATGCATTTACCTCCCACGCCTTATGTCAACTGTAACAACAAATAAGATTTTATTGAAATGTGTGCTATAGATGTTTGCATCAGCCTGTTCTGCTGATCAGATCATGTTTTGCTTTTGGAAAAAGTTCAGGGAAAAGTATCATCAGAACAAATTGTGAAGCTTTCACTCAACATGAGGTTCGTGATCCGTTTTCTGCAGTATTTTCTTTTCTTTTCGCTTTATGCCATGAAATTGTACATTGCTCTCCATACTAATGAGAAGTTTACTCAAACAAAGATGTAAAAATATATATATTTATGTATTCACCAAGGGTTTGCCTTTGAACGAGGAGCGTTCACATGTCATGTCAAGTGAATGACGGACAGGTTTGCCCCACCTCTGTTGCCTCTAGCAAGAAAAACAACAAATAGCCTGCACTAACTTTTCTGCTGCAAACACTTATTTTTCCAACAAAAGCTCAACATGAAGACAGATATTTTTAAGCTTAGACTCTATCTGCCTGTGTGTCTGTGTGCACAGATTCCCCACAGACATTTTCAATGCATACTTCAAAGTGTGAGGCTGCAGTGTTATTGGACAACTTTGTGTCAGTGTTTTCTGTTGCATCTTGGAAATGCATGCTTATTTGAGTAACTTTGAAATGCTTGGCAGTTGCAAACTGACTCCTCATGCTTTTTACCTGTAATGCTTTTCCTTATTTATGTACTTAATTTTCAACAATATAAGCCTGAGCCTTTCTAGAGAAAAAAAAAAAAGTTAGAATAGTACATGAGAGATGTTTTACAAGCGGTGAAATGATGCCAAAAAACTCCAGTCTCAGGACATGAAACAAATGCAGTAAATCTGCACTTGATTAAATTCAAATGATGAGGATAATGATGTGCTAATGGAAGAGGAAACCACGTTTGCATGAGCCTCAGCTAATCAAGCAGAAAAGAAGACTCTTAAAGTGGAGAATATTTTTAATCTTTCATTTGCATTTTAGTTTGTTGAATGGTAAGACTCAGTGGTTTCTGTGTAAGACCGGGCTTTAGCAGAACAGCTCACAGTCAGAACTCCACCTCTCTGGTACTCTGGTACTCTAACCCTGGTGTCTTGGATGAACGAGCGGTGCATCAGTGCTGATACCTGTTTGGTAACGCGTTCAGCTCTGCTGCAGTGGATTCCTGTAACCGTTTGTATCTGTTGTGAACTGTTGTGACCAGTGACCTGTTCCTAACCTGACCCTGTTTGGAGCTTTTATGGATAACTGCTTGATTAAAACTCTTTAACAAAAACCTCAGTGCTCTCTTTGTTTTGTTTTAATCCATGTTTATTGATGTCTCTCTTTTGGTTTTGTAAAAAATGTGCATTAACTGCTCTGCTAACAGCCAGCGTTCAATAGTTATTACTTCTTATTTCGGGTGTTTGTTCAGCCACAAGCAACGAAGCAAACCAACAGTGAAACTTGAGCATTGATTTGAAGTGTTGGGACAAATATTCCAGTCTGATCGATCACCTAAACATGCAGCAAACACAGGCTGTATTCAATAATCTTTTATCCGAGAGCTGATGACTTCTTTGTAAACTAAAAGCAGAAAAACAAAAACCCTTTTCACTCAGTTTGTCCTCCAAAAAAAAGGACAAAGATTGTTCTTGTTGCCTGGAGACATGCATGCTTGAATTAGAATTTACTGATCCAAAGCGATCTGAGAAAAGCGTCACCACAATTGAGTCACTTTGCGTGATTTTAAAAGGCTTTGCATGTGCATGAGCAGCAACGTGTAAATCAGGATGATCACATCCCGAACAGAAAGAGGCATCAGCTCAGAAGTTCCGCCTGCTCGGGTGGATTTCAGTCTCCATCTATCTTAGAGTCTGTGTTTTTTATTCATGACTCAGTAAGACGGTCCAAGAAACAAGTTCAAGCCAGAAGGGCTGCCATGGAAAATTACTGCACAAAACAAACAGACAAGGATTTTTCAAAGACATGCATTTTAATTTCAGGCCAATACAAGCTGCAAATCAGTGATACTGCAAAACCATCAGTGTGTCTGTTTTATCAGTCGCACATGAAAGGAGACAGTGAAACCTCCGTGTGTCCCGCTGAGCCCCAGAAATTGAAAGTGTAAACACTGCTAAGCCTTCCGTTCCTTTGGATCAGGTTATGAAGAGGAAATTTAATCTAGTAAAACTTTAGAAAGTGTTTCAAAGTTATCTGATGCACAGGGTGACTGAACACAATGTGTTTTTGTCCAGAAGAAAAGTTACAGATGAAAAAGCCTCACCAATTTAAGATATAATTTCAGATTTCTACCATGATCGGAACAAACAAGAAAAGTTTCTTTTTAAGAAAACAGAGAGGTTTGAGACCGTTAAACCGGTTATCAGTGAGAAAAACTATCAAGATGACTGATTCAAGTGTTTTCTCTATTTTTGAAAAGAGAAGGGAGTAAGAATAACATGACGCCAAATCAGAAATTTTCAGTCTTGTTTAAAAAATTTTTTAAAAAACCTGTCTGACAAAAAACTTCTCAAATCTGCTCACACGTCTTTCATTTCTACTCAGTCTCCTCGAAAAGGCAATCAATCTTGTTTTTTTCCTCAATGGTTCGATTTGTCTGCACAGATAATTGTCTCATTTCTTCTCTTTGTTCACAAACAACATTTAATTTCCCTCTGGAGGAATTTGGCACTGATAAATTTTAGCCTGATTAATCAATTAGCCAATTAATCAGGCCAATTGGAATAATGAAGTTTAATATTGCTTCTGATATAAGGATTAGTCATGACCTGAAATCTGCAACATAACCAATGCATTCGCCTATTTTTGTATTTTATTCAAAAATTCACTAACAACATATTATTGTCTTGGATAACCCTGAATATGACATTGTCATGCATGAAAGACCGGAATTTTCCTTTCAATTTCTTTTATAGTCCAAATATTGACCTTTTATTTTCTCTTTTTCAATTACCGCAGATGGCTGCAGAGAAAACTAAAAGTTTCTTGTGGTAATTTTTCACAGGGCCAAATAATTTTCACTTTGCATTTATTCAATTAAAAGTTCACTCAAGTTCAGCAATGCTGTTTCTCATTTGTTAGTATGACTGAATCAACATTTTTTGTCAAGTGATCAGCGCTCTCATTTCAGCATTATTGAAAAACTTTGAATCGGTCATCTACTGGTGTTTTTGTACTGATACAGGAAAAAAATAAGTTACAACTTTCTTCTGTGTGAGCTTGGATGAGTTTGAGAGTGAAGAAATAATAACTGTGCTATCTCATTGATTGTGGATGATGGGCTGCAGATGTAAGGTGAGGCGAGTTTACAGACTGTAATGGGCTGTCTGATCTGTGAAGTTAATCTACGAGAATACTCTGAGGTTATAGACAGACATTTTCATCCATAAATCTGTTGTCCCGAAAGAGGAATCATTAAACAACATCCATTATAGAGCAGACGCTGACCAGGGTGTGACCTCAGCTGAAGCAGCTGTGATCATTAACCTGAAATCTGTGGCCACTAACAAGGTTTAGTTGGTATCCTGATTGCAGATGTATTACCTTATTTGTACGTCCTCAGCTCACATTATGGGTTTGATGGGAACATTGATTTTGACACTGACAGATAGGGGGAAAAAAAGATAAGAATTAAGAAGAAAAGAAGAAAGGAGAAATATCTGGCTAGGCTCACTTATTGCAGATTTTACACAAATAATTCATTTTAGTCATCTGTGAAGTTTCCAATCAGCTGAAGTCATGCAGCTGAGCTCAACAGCTAAGAGATTTAGAGTGAACTTTACATGAGTTTTCACAGTCCCCAGATTACAGGTGAGTTCAGTGAGAGTGGCACCATTATCTGATACAGACATGTAGATGCCATTCTCAGGCTTGTCAAATGTATTTGCACAGACTCAATCCTGGAGAGAGGTTCTCCGCCATCTGATCTCATGTGAGAACATAGTTGAGGCAGTACAGATGCATATTTTTGTTAGAGATGTTCTGATACCAATTTTTCCCTCCCAATACAGATTCTGATACTTGTGCTGTGAGTATCGGCCAACACTGAGTACTGATCCGATACCAGTATATTATAAAAAATATATATCAATATATGATAATCATTGTGTAAGGTCTTACTATAAGGTCGGGTTAAAACCCTTTGTAAAACACAAATAAATACAGCAAATTCAATACTGTTTTAAATAGAACAGTATAAAAAACAGGAAATAGAATTTAACATTTTTAAATAAAAAGGGAATTTAAACTGAACAGAGTCAGCGGAGCTAACCAGTAAATAAATGACTGATTTAATAAATTACATGGTATCAGATCGGTGCCTGGACTTCAGTACTCGCTGATACCAACACCAGCATTTTCGGCAGTATAGGAGCAGTTTCTGATACTGATATCGGAATCAGATCAACTCTAATTTTTGTGGGGCTTTTGTGTCAGTCAAGGATATAAATGTCGCAGCTGAGTATCAGTGAACACTGATCGTCAGTTTTGAATACATTAAACAGCATTTTACTGCGAGAAATGTTTTAAATGTTGCATCAAAGAAAATAACAGACTGTAATGTATGAGAGAATACTTAACGTAGACCACACATTATGTTATAAACAATCACACATATTAAAAATAACTATTATTAAATACCATTGTTAATAAGGATATTACAGTAAGTGTCGAGATGAGATAAAGTATTTGATTTTTAAACAGCACTTTAGTTTTGGTGCCATTAACTGCTGTCCATTATGGCAGCCTCACTGTATTGAGCAGCAGTAGCTGATGTGGTGTCTAAAGGTCCTTACACACCAGGCACGAATTCGTCAGGCGACTTATTCGCCTTTATTCACCTTTATTCGCCTTTTTTAAAAACAGCATAAAGTCAATGCAAGCTTCCACACTGGCGGCGTTTTTTCCGCGGGGCGAAAAGCCTCTTTTATTTTTTCACTCTTGTGTCGAATTTTTCTGAGATTCGCAGGCGAATATCTGGACCTGCTAGACCTCTGGCCAATCAAGAGTCATGTTGTTGATGACGTCACAGACCCATGCGGCTGCAGTTCACACGACACACACCACCACTGGCACCAAGAGCAACGGATGTCAAAATATTGACATCCGAAATAATCGCACGATAAAAACGGTCCCAGTGTGAAGGATCTTTAGCTTTGCACGAATCCCTGTGCATGTCGTGTGGCCGAGAGAGACTCGAATAGCAATAGTCTCTGAATTTGTCCTATTTTTTCTGCATACAAGCTGTCTTCAGTCTTTTTCAACCTCCATTCAGTGCCTTATTTGTTCTACATAAAGCTAAATTGCTCTTTAAGTTTCAACAGAAAAATATGAAGACAAAAGATTTAAAGCGTTCAAAGCATTTTTCATCTTTTTGTCCCCCTGTCTGCATCTGAAATAAATGTAATTTGTATTTCAAAGAAAGCATCAGCTATAGAAAATCAAACTCTATTAACTCGAGCCAAACAATAAAAAAAAAGGTGTCACAAAGCCGGAAAACAGCTTGCATTGTCAATATATGATGTGTACAATATTTCTTTGGAGCTTAAGGTAAAAAAAATGAAGAATTTAGTCTCTGCAGGTTATTTTCAGGTTATTTTTTATTCTTTTTGACGCATACACACGACTCTCAGACTGTCTACTGAGCCGTGATAGATACTGAACACTGCAGGAGTCAGAGTTCAAGACAAACTCTCAACAAACCTTTTAATTAAAACCCCAGAAACCTTTTCTAATAACAGCCCAGCCATGACAGGACGTGCCCTCATCACTCGTCCAGATCTGGATGTCTCAGCCATTATGAAAGGCATTTTAAGAGCTATTCAAAACTTTATTTGCATTTCGTTTTTTTATCATTTGACATACTGTATGTATGCCTCTACTGCAGAGGTTATTGATCCTCAACTTTCATACATAAAAAAATGAGGTATACAAAGTGTGTTCGAGGAGGTGAGGAGATGGGTGGAGAAGAAACACAGAGGAGGGACTCACTCACATCAAAGGGCCACCAGCTGCAGGATTCATTGCACATTATTTGATCTCCTCTCCCATTTTGTACTTATTTTTTCCCCTTCCTTCCACCACACACAGGCTCGACTGTCACCACCGAGGTTGTGCTATTTTTTGCCCTCCCTTTCATTTCTCCCTTGTTCTCCTGTCATTTACACTGTGGAGGGACACAGAAACGCACCGCTCTGCAGGAGGACACCGTTAAGAGGTCCCTAGTGAAGATCTGCTGCACCTACAGAGCTGTAAACCACTCCTACAAAGAGACCAGATTTACACCCATCCAAATAATTCCATAACTAGATAAGCATTAACTGAAAGGTTCTGTTGTTATTTGGTCTGTTTTTAAAAGAAACTAACGCTATACAGACGTTAAAGGTGACACGTAATCTAACACAGGTTATGTAAATCCTTTACCCCCCTTCATCTGTTCCCTTAAGCTTCTTTTGATGTGAGATAATGGACATGAGTCACAAACAGCACGCCCACCCAACACCCTTTATCACCCAGCCCCCACCCCCACCCCTTCACACAGACATAAACACACTCATGGACACACACGTTTTCTTTTTTTACATTAATAGGGTGACAGGAAAGACCTGAATGAGGTGGCATTATCAAAGGCTGCACCTCCTGAGTGGGAGGAAATTAGTTTTCCTCATGTGGGCTGCAGGTTGTTAGTGGTGTTCATTATTAACAGGTTTAAATGTTTCACCTTTAGTTCATCTGTTTTTTTTTCTTTTTTTCTGAATGACTTTTTTATCTAATACATCAGTTTTTTCAAACATATTTTTAGGCCTGAAAGTTCGAGCTCATCACCTCATTGAACCGTCATCTTGACACATCCTCTGTAAAAGTCTGACTCTGCAGAAGCGGGCCGCAGTGATTTTAAACCTCAGGATGATAATTAGTCCTCTGTGTTCAAATCAAGCTGCTGACAAGAAAATACCGTCATTCTCACCCCCTCATTTGTTCCAGCTTTTTTTGTTTTTCATGACAAGTTTTCCGTTAAAGAAGTCAGTGAGGTGGGAGGTGACATTGACGTGAGGCTGATAACGATGATGCAAACTGAATGAATACCTACGATAGATGGTAAGACAGTCATGGCGGCTATTTCTGGATATGAGTCAGACACTGATGAGGGTAAAGACATCCCGACTAACGTCACGAGGTATCCAGCCGTCATTAAAGACACACAGAGTGTGACAAAGGTGATAAAAAATGACGATTTTTCCACCTCTTCTAAAGTTTCTGGCCTCAACTTCACTGCATCCTTCAGCCAATACAAAACAAGTATTTAGTTGGAAAGATGTATTCAAATATAAGTGAATACTGTATCGCTGTTTCAGGTAAGTATGCTAGTTATACAACATGATTTTAAGCTGCTTCTTGTCTCAAATATTCTTAGCATCACCCAAGCACTGAATGATTCAGCTTTTGTTTTTTATTTTATTTTTATTATTATTATTATTATTATTATTATTATATTTTTTTTACTTATCATGAGACTACAAAAGAGGATTAGGGCCACTTAAAAAAAAAAAAAGGTCTAATATAATTTTTTAAATTATTATTCTGAGAAAGAATTCTGAGATTAAAGTCAGAATTCAGACTTTTTTCTCAAAATAATAATTAAAAAAATTATATCTGACCTTTTATTTTTATTTTTTGTCTTTTTTATTCAGTGGCCCTGACCCTCTTCCGTATGAGACAGTGTAAGAATCAGATGTTTTCTTTTTCTCATTCATGAATGAGAGTAAAAGAAAGCAGGACATTTTTTCTGTATTTTGAGTGTTGTAATTTATCTGTGTAGTTTCAGTGTTTTTAGTTGTACGTAGATTAAACCACAAAGTAATAGATGAACTATTAAAGCTGTCTTATTTTAATGGTAAAACTTGATGGATGATCTCATGTGAGGCGTAAAAGTCAAGCTTTTTTACTCTTGAGTGTGAGTACACGTCTCAAACAAGCAGGTCTTTTGTCCCCTTCTTTCTTTTCCTTTCTATCCTTTCCTCCTCAGGGATCTTTCCGGGGTGCTCTCTCCCCAGCCCCTCAGAAAGCCTCTGCTACTTCCCCACGTAAGAAGGGCCAGGAGAACGCCGTGGTCCACTTCTTCCGCACGATCGTGAGTACACTGTGAACACAGTGCATCTTTGAAAGCCTCACCGTTTGTGTGACTGCGAGTCTGCCTCAGACTTGTTCTCTCCATGTTTGTCCCTTTACTCTTTAATCTGTTGTCTCTCACTAACTCTGTCAAATCTCTTTACTTCTCTGTGATTAACTCTTCTTTAGGTCTCCCCTGCCCCTCCCAAGTCTAGGGTGAGTCTACTTTATACAGCCACTCTTTTTTTTTTTAATTTGCAAAAATAATTTTCCTCAAGAACGATAAAAAAAAAAATTGATTTAGGTCAGACATCAAACCTTGTATTATTACAGCAGTAATAGCTGGCTGTTTAATCTGGAGCTAGTGCTTTCTAGATTATATTTGAATTGTTGTTACTTGCTTGTTGAATGATGATCATTATGTCTTCAGTTTCTTAGAAATAGTTGTCTTTTTTTCCTTTATCTCAGACGTGTAATCCTTTTTACGTACCTTGACATGTTTCGGCGGAAATGTCTGCCTTCCTTAGAAAGAAGGCAGGAGTGATAGGACACTTCTGAGGAGGCCAGAAGTTTCCTCAGAAGTTTCCGCTGAAACATGTCAAGGTACGTAAAAAGGATTACACGTCTGAGATAAAGGAAAAAAAGAAAACTGTCTTTACTTGCACTGAGCTTGGGTAAATGCAGGAACATCTATGAGGGTATGCATTATATCACAGCGAACCACATAGTGGCTACAAAGAGCATCTATCATGTATCACTTAATGCAAACCAGGACAGGACCAGGTTATGTTCACAGTAAAAGCCCCATCCTATCATGTATTATCACATGACAGTGTTTCCTGTGGGCAGCTCAGATCCACAGCCCTCAATAACATACAGAAACATTATAACCACAGTGTTATATAAAGCAAGACAAAGTCATGCAGATGCAGCACATTCTGTCCAGAGTCTATTGTGTGCATCATGCGACCACAGAGCCTCAGCGTTCAGTTAGTGATGTGAATACAGATTAGTGTCAGGAAACCCAGTTTCACACACATGCTCATATCTGCTGTGTCTTTGGTAAACTGTAGGAGTTTCAATCAAACCAAACACTCCGTAACCTAAGCAAAAATCTGTCCTTTTATGGTGGCTTTAGTTGTTCTGCTCTCTGAAGGCAGCCGCACTGGAGGATATTTTTCCTCTTAGGCTGTTGCCAGATACAGCTTCTAGTTTTCAGCCCCAAAGTCGTCCAAATACCATCACTATGTGTAAGAAAAACACCCACAATATATCATCTATGCTTTTAGTTCTGTGATGTTATTTTGAGTGGCATACATTGCACCGTAAAAACGAATTGACAACTGATAAATTATTAACACATAGATGACTTTTAAAACAACAAACCACAGCAGCAGCCAAGGATCACAGCATATTGATTTTAGGTGCATTGTCACCACCTTCTACAGCTGATGGGATCTTACTGGAGAGTCATCTTGGTGGGATAGTGATGTCAGTGCATACCCTCGGTACTCAGCATACCTAATTATGATATTTTGAGGACCTTCATGGTTTAGTTCATTCACTGGTTCACATCTTTGTTTTAGCTGAGTGTCAATAAATCTGTGCTCTTCTCATTGCGAGCATCTTCCTCTCTCCTCTTTCCCTCTCCCCCCGCTGCTCCTCTTCTGCTCCTGCCCCCCTGTGACCTTGTGACCCTGTGACCTTTCCCCCTCCTGGATGGACCCTCCCACCTGCCTCCTTCTTCTCCTTCCCATCCTGCCTTTGCGCTGAGTAAGACACATATTTCTATTTGTCCCCTCTCCCATTTGTCTCTTGTCTTTTGTCTCTTGTCTCTCCGCACGTCCAGTGGAGAGGACTAGCAGCCAAGATAGGCCTGGTAGGTGATTTATAAAAACCTGCGCAGACAGAGGTTTCATGCCTAATTAAACCAAGAGGACAATTGAGGTCATCTACTCAAACAGCCTCCGAGCGTGACGCCTGTGACTCTGTGTCCATTTAGTCTCCATCAAGCACTTTAGCCACCATAATCTGTCCATACATCAGCGATAACGCCCTCATTTCCCTCCGACCTAAGTCCATTTTCAGACACTCCATTCCCATTTTGTACCTCTGCACTGCGACTTATCCCTATCATGTTTTTTTGTATCATATATACACGATAACACAGGCATTATTCTGCTCTTCATTATCACCGAGTCATTTCAAAAATTCCTCTGAGGCTGAATGAAGTGCAGCTGCCATCTGCTTCATTTAGCCACACTATCAGGACCTCATCTAAGGTCTCATGCCTGTCTGTGTGTGTGTGTGTGTGCATGTGAGGTATCATGTCGACAAGTGTCTTTGTATGTTCTGAAGCAGGAAAGCTGTTGGGGGTAAAGGACAAAGGAGACGTCCTGTGAGAAACAATTAGAAATGTTTGGAAATGCTTGGGGTGGGGTAAGGTGTGGATTAGAAGCTCCATAAGTACAAAATTTAGCATGTGTACATTTAAAAAAAATATTCAGTGTCATGTAGTCTGAAGTCAGAATGTGTATTTTCAGTTAGCATATCCTCAGTGTTGCTAAACGTCTTTATAGGCCTGGTTTTGGACTAGAGGTGGCCATATTTGGGCAGTGTGTTGGATTTACAATGTCGTCCCTCCCATTGACTGTATCAAAAGACAGAGGAAGTATCTCGAGCCAAGTCAGACCCTTCATGTCTCAGCACAGCAGCCAATCCCCCTGACCCCAGATCGGTGCAAACATACCGCACTGAGTCATCATCTGGGTACAAGTCAGAGCAGTGAGGACTGGACTTGGCAGACCGGGGTATTGCCATCTGCTGCTTCCTCTGAGCCGACTTAAGTAACAAACACAATGTTTATCATTTTCTTTGTTTTATTTTTTTTAATGATCAGTCATCAGTCAGCTGAAGCAGCGTCAAACACTTTGGCTTCGATTTTGTATAGCTATTATGTCATCCATCTCTTTATAGACAAATTTGATGATTTATTGGAAGTCAACATACAATAATAATATAAAGTGAAAAGTGTTTAATTTTGTGCTTCTACTTTCTTAATAAACATATTTGTGACGAAAATGACACAAACTTTGGTGGAAACAAGTGGAGTAAGGAGCAGTTTTCTTAACAGTCATGACAAACCCAAGTTTTACAGCTTGCCTAATGTAGTGGTTGGTTTTCCAAAAGGGGAGAGGGAGAGGCTCCGGAAGAAACTCTTAGCCGCGTTCAGACCAAACGCGACTTGAAGCGACCTAGTCGACACATCCTATGTATTATTCAAAGCCAGGAGGATCACGCTTAAGGAGGAAGATATGAATGTAGGAAAAATTACAACCAGAGCTCTGCTACAATGTAAGATTTTGGTGCTCTGAACTTCTCTGAAGCCTTTGCTAATAAATTAGATGGCCGACCGTCCAGCATTAGCCGGGAGGTCCAGTATTTGAGCCAAAAGAGGCGCGTGGTAAATGCTAAAGCTACATGCTGCTCCGGAGGGGGATTTTGTCCCCCGCCGGCGGAGTTGTCGGGGAAGAAGCGAGCGGCTAAAATACGGGAGGATCCGGTAAATTGGCATAGATCCGGTGTGTTTATCAAAGCGTGGTGGCCGTGCTGAGGCACCGGTGGGAATTTAGGCTGAACAGTAGTAGGATCACGGATAGTTGGTACGGATCCATTCTTTATCTTCAGACATCTAGAAAATCCAGCGTTGAACTGTCCCTCGTTGGTAAAACAGTCCGAAGTGAAATGGTGCGCACATACGTACAGATATTTTGGAAGTGCCGCGGGTACATTCCCATTATAAATAAAATCCACCCATAGAGTCCTCAAATCCTCCGACGAGGGAGTCTGTGCTCGTTTGTGCAGCCAACAACAGAGCAAACGCTGCCTCTTTTTCAGATCGTACTTCCGCCATGATTCTAACCGGAGCAATGCGAGCGAGCGGCCGGGAATAATGGCGGTGTTTTGATAATTTCCGGGCAGGGCAGTGGGCGGCTCCATGGGCAGTACCATCAACCCGCCAGCACTGACATGACATCATGTCAGTGGAGTTTTCAGAACGGCTCTGAGCACACAGTTCCTAAATACGGAAATAACTAAAAAACGACTAGATGGAATTTTTTTTTTCTATCCCTGCCCCCCTCCCGTTAACAAAGTCAGTTTTTCATGCCATGGCCCCTTTAACTCATTCAATAACTCCGCGAGGCTACGGTAGCTGCAGTGCTCCAAAAAGTCAAAAGGATTTGAAGTGCGCCTTATAGTGCGAAAAATACGGTACTTCCAGCTTTCTGAGAATTTAAGGCACAAACACTTTACACTCAAAGTCAAACCACAAAGCGCAAATGTTAAGCTGCAGTGTTTTAGATTTTGTTCACTTGAGCTGATGGAGAAAGTAAAACACAGCTCACTGGCTGGGTTTAATACACAGCAGAAGGCAGACTCCTCAAAAACAGATTAGCAAGGCTAAGCAGCTGAAACCCAATCAGCATTAGGGAAATAAGCAGGGCTCATTCATGGTTTTTAGGAAGAAAACTGCAATGAAATAAAAGCTGGAACCTTATTTTTCCTGCCAGACTTTGGCAACTCTTGGCTTTTTAAGTTTATGCATAAAACACAAAATAGTTGGATGAAACCTTTGCCAGAAGTTGAATGAAATAAAGTTGAAAAGCAGAAAGGCAGGGATGGATTTTTTCCTGAAACGTCCTTTGTAGTGCACTTATTCCTCAGTGGGACACACCCTGCAGATGGAGGTTGTACGTGTCATATCCTCCTCCTTTCACTGGCTCTTTGAAACTCTCTCATCCACTCTCACTGAACTGAAAAGGACTCAGGGGCTCTCTTTTGAAAGGTCAGCTCTGTCTTATTCTCCTGCAAATGATCCACTTTTAACGATCTGCCTCTGTTCTTCCTCTGCCAGGGTGACCAGAAGTCATCAAAGAAGGCCGGTGCAGGGGAAGGCACCCTGACTAGGATCTTCAAAATGGTGAGAAAATATGGAAAAAAAAATCTTTCTCAAACACTTTTAAAGTTATCTCCCTGAAACTTTCTACGCTTCACTCTGGTGGAAGTGAAGTCTGTCAGAAAGTGGAATGTCTCCATAATAACTTTCTTGCCCTCTCCCCTTTTTCCTGCTTCAGTGATGATATCCGCAGCAGAGTGAGTAACTGATATGCACTGGAGGGATACTTGAGTTTAATTCCCTCCGCATGTGTTTGATATGCTTCGAAGACATCGTAATCTCATTACTCCTGTAGCAGCAGCAGCAGCAGTAGCAGTGGAAGCTGCAGCGGAATAATAAGAGGCTTTTAGAGACAAGACTGATCATCATGCACGCTACAAGCTTTGCACCACAGCTGATAAAATCATGCTGGAGATAAGAGATCCTGGTCTGAAGGGCCCTAAGGAGCTATCGCTAACATAATGCACCTGCTTTACAGGGAGGGGGTAAGGGGTTGCTTATGCACATATGTACAATAACCATACTTCACAATACGATCAGTGACTTGCCAAACATGGCTGGCTGCTGCAGATCTTCAGAATAAGCTGTATAAAACTGATCATAGCACCTACAGTATGTTGTTCTCGCAAATGCTACAAAGTTAAACGATGCCAAGGATGGATTTTTCTTCCAAACAACAATAACTGGAAAGTGAAAAATTAAGTGTTGATGAGTTGGTTAGAACAAGAACGTAATAACTACTTCTGTTTTGTTTTTGTTTGTTTTTTTCTTAAAATCATCTTAAAGTTCCTTACACATCGGGAATGACGCAAATACACGACGTGAAATTACAAAATATTCAGAGGCGAATCTTGACACACCTGACTATACACATCAAGCGTGATGCGTCCCAGATGGAAGCGAGAAGACTGACACAACAGCAGACTGACTGTTTTTCAGTTCTGATTAGACACTAGTGTTGAGATGGCTGTCTGTCATGATGTACTGAGTCAGGGCCAGTACCAGATAAGCAAATTAAACTATAATCCATAAACGTAAGGTAACAACCGAGACCTGACAGCAACATGACTGAGTTTGAGACAGTGAAAATACATATGGTATGTTGTATCTGGACAGGTTAGCTTACGAGCTAAAGTTACTTAGCACAGATGAAAGTTACAACAAAGACGTTTAGCAAACTGTTGAAGCACACAAATCATCTTCATAGGAGAAATCCAACGCTATGACTCTCCACAAGTTGTCCTTCAGGTCGTTATCTTTGTAATGTTTGTGTCTTTTATCAAAAAGCACTCTGTTCTCCCACACGTAAACAATCAGCCGGTTGGCCATGTTGGATATACCGGTAATCTGATGTCACAACAACATGCAATCTGATTGGTCAGAAGTGGACACACAGTATGCGAAACTTCAGAAAATTCGACCGTGATACAAAAAAATAAATGTTGCAATATCGCAGGACAGGAAAACGTTGCTGATGTGAATGCTTGTATAGACAGGCTATGGGTTCGGAGAAAAAAAATATATTGACATTGGAAATAATCGCACGACAAAAATGGTTTCCGGGTGTGTAAGGACCTTAAACCTTACCCCTCACCAACTGACCATGCAGCTAGGATACAAATGTCACCAAAACAATTTTTTAAACAAACCAGAAACAGCTTTCCTGAGAGGAACTTTTGGAAAAGACTTTTCAAAAGAATTGATGCTAATCTATGATGTACGAAAGATCATCAGTAACAATCAGTGGTTACCACTTTGTCCACAGGGGGCGCCAAAATCAACACAGATTTAAAAGATCCCCACAGGGACTTTAAAGATACAGTGGGTCAAAATTGGAATAATTACAGATTTTAGATTGATACTCCCCCTCTCTTACCTCTCCTATCAGTTTTGTAATAAGTACCGTACTTTAGGCTAAATGATTTTTAAATAAAGCAGAATCTTTGCTCATTTAAACATGCTTACGGTTATCATGTCACATTTATGCTCAGTCCATTCATCTGTTGCTTAATATTACTCTTCTTAGAGGTTTAAACAGAAGGTTTGCACTTCCCAAACTATGAACTAAAGCAGCAAACCTATTTTTAAGCTTTAGCCCACTCAGGCTTCTTCTGACGGCTTCATTCACGACTGCCTGCATTCCCATTAAAAAACCATCTTCACAGCTGTTGATTTGTATTCAAACACCATGAGCAGGACTGGCAGCTCTCACGCTCTGCAGGTTTTTGTCAGTCAGATTTTAATTAGTCGACCTCCCTCACTGTACCTGAGATAAATTTGCTGAACATTAGATGGTAGTAAAGAGGAATCCTAATTTCCCCTGAGCAGTAAACATCTTCAGAGCTGATGAAGTTCTAGGATGCTCGTTTTACACCCCCCTGATACAGCTAATTAGCTTAAACTGAGAGCCATCACACTGTCACTTCAGTTACAGGTTGACAATTCAAATTAGCATGAGAATAAACCTGCATTTACTTTCAAAGATGTTTCACTCTCCAGCGCTGCTCATTGTCAGTGTATGAGGATTTCTTTCTCTCTCATGCTGGATAATGAATTGCATCCAAAAGGTTTAAAAGACTGACTCAGATCTAAAGCTCAGTCCCTGGCGATGTAAGATAAAGAGAGAGAAAAACTTGAGACAATGTGGATTATCGTCTCAAGCAGTCCATGAGGATTTGTTTCATTTTATAAGCGTTTTGTTTTCAGAATCCTCTTCTCATCCCTCTTATTGATCTGAATTAAAGTGCAACAAAAGAGTTAACCATAATGTCATAGACACAGGAAGTCCTCTCTCAACTGTCTGGACATGAGACAAACACAAAACAGGGAGGTTCTACCTCTAGCAAGATGAAACGCCACAAAGGACAATAAAGACAGCACACTTGTGAGTGAGGCAATATGTAACCTGCAGTTAGAGAATAAAAGTCAACATATTGTTCTTTTATTCTTTATCTTCATGATGAATGTGAGGGAAGCTCCCTCCGACAAAGACTTAAATAATAGTCTGCCTGCAAAATAATGGCCTAAAGTGTGTGGAGGTCCAACTTTACCGATCAGTAGATACAAAAATATATCAGTATTTAAAGGTCATCTTTGAAGGATGTTCAAGACATTTAAATTCAACTCATTCATACAGAGAAAGTGGACTTTTTGTTTGGTATTGATTTACAAGACACACAAACTAAAGCTACTATACAGAGTTTTAATCTGGTTGAGAAGCAGACTGAGATTGATATGTGTCTTTTGGTGACCGTAGGAAGCTGATAAAAGCATGAATAAGAAAACAAAGCAAAAAAAAACTATTTATATTTTGTTATTCAAGTGTCTGAAATGATCATTGATCTGTACCCTGTTGTGTATCCAACACTGAAGAGACACGCAATATTGCCTCTATTCAAAGCTAATCTTGTGTAAAAACAGACATAGAGGTATCAATATAACGCCTGTGAAAGGATGCGAAGATGCATGTCATGTTGTGCACCATGAGTAATGGTGCTAAAGTACTTAAAGGTGGGGTAGACAGGAATCCATTCAAGAAGCGTCTTTTTTGTGGTGTAGATACAAAAAAGCTTTTAATATCAGTCAATAGCTCTTAGTCATTGATGACATTTGGTGATATAACGATATCACTGTGTTTTGTTATGTCTGTGTAGTCAACATTCTACATTTTTAGAGTGCTCCGCTCTTTCTGACTGTAAACAAAGCCATTCCGCGCCTCCCCCATCCTGATTGGTTGTGAGGCAGACGCTGCTCCCCAGTGTCGCTCAGGAGCCCAAACAAAGTTAGCGTGCTACAACATCTGACAGTAGAAACCAACCAGAAAGTTAGCAAAAATTAGCAAAGATGTCTAAACCAACAGCTCAACATACACTCAAATTAAAACGTTATCACACAGGATGACTTTATCCTCATAATGTTATGGTTTTGACATCACTTCATTTATTGTCAGGATATGATGTTGATCCTACAACATTTTGAGTTGATTTTCTTACAACTCTCTTCTCACAATATAATGATAACTGCAATTTTGTTCCTGCAGGAATATATCTTTAAAAAAATTTTTATTTTGTTAATCTTGAAAAAATTATACATATTAATGTGACCCCAATACTCCATCCTAAACTCAGACTGAAGCCTAACTTTAAATCATTTACAGCTCAGTCACATTCTTATTTTCTTTTCAGTGCTTACTTTGTTTTTGTGTTAGCGCTGGATTATTGCTCTCAGCGTGCCAATTATTTTTCTTTTAGCTTCTTTTAGCCTCCATAGTTATGCATCATTGCAGCTCTGAAGATTACCCACAAGCCTGCACTCTTGCCCATTTCCTCTATTTATGGACTCCTCTGGCTTTTATCAGTGCTGAGCTCTGGTCTTATTATTTGGTCGGAGAATAAGCAAAAGGTAAAATGTTACAGAGTTAGAATATTAAAGACTTTCTCCACAGCTTTTATATAAATGAAAAAGTACATGTTGAAATAATAACTCTGTTCTTAGCAAAGTCCTTGGACATGTTCTTCATCGTGATTTGATATTTTTATGAGGCAGCAAATCTTTTCAAGTCATCAGTGGTGATTCATGGTGGTAAAAAAACAAACAAACAAAAAACCCTACCCTAACAGAAGCTGTTTTCCTCAGTGCTGACAAGCGTGGAGAAATCTCTTTACTGAGATTAAACCTGTCATCTCATCCCCCCCAAGACAGTTTCATGGGCCAGAGTTCAGAAACACCAGAGCAGTTCATTAAAGCAGAATCAGACCTGAAGGACTGCCATGTCCACATTTTCATCATCATCTTTATCCTCTCTGTTCTTCAGGGAAGCAGGAGTGCTTCTCCAGCCAAACGCTGAAGTCCCAACACAACCCCCCAACCAACAGCATGAGGGCAAAGGTCAAGACCGCGGGACTGAAGTGGGGAAAAAGAGGAAGAAAAGGAGGAAATCTTGTCACCCCCTAACCTCCCTTTCCTCCCATCTCTGATAACACTCTAATTAAGTCTCCCTCACCTCCCCACCCTTTTTTTGGCTGGTAGATAGCGACACAATCTGTTGCCCCCCCACCCTCCCTCTCTCCCTCCCCTGCATGCTTTGTGCTGAGTCTGTGCAGTCATCATGATTGGTGTGAACTGTTTGCTGAAAGTGATCCTGAAGCCGCTCACATGTGCAGCCTGAATGACCCCCTTCACCCCCCCAAAAACCCCTGACCCCGATCCCGACCCTCCTACCATGGCTCTCCATTCATGTTGCTTGAGTTTCTGTGATCGTCTTTGAAGTTTTTCTAACCAAACTGGCGGCTAAACTGAAGCAGACCTGGAGCAGTTGAAGGTCTCCGGCCGGTTACGAGTCCGACTGACTCGACCGTCATTGCCGCTTGCTGATTGGATGAACAGACCGGGTCGTTTCTGTTTTAGTAAAGAGTGGTTTTCTGTCCTGTTGTACCGTCATCGTCTTCCCTAAACTCTCTTCCATCAAACCGAGCAGTGTTGAAGTTTTGTTTTGAGACGAGTTTTAACAGATTTGACATTATTAAGAGAGCCATTTTGGTCATTGTGTGTTTCCATCAACCCTTGTGTTCAGCTGTTGTAGTTAAGTGTCCTGTCATGAATGTTGTGTTGATCTATGTTCGTCCTAAGAGCCTAAGGCTGGCTGTGGATTTTGTGGTAAAAAAAAATGTAATTTTTAAAACCTGCTAAAAAGATTGTTTCTGCAAAAAAGGATAAATAAGTCACTCCTAACACTCCACGTTGAGATAATGACACACACTTGTTTTCCTTTTCATGTCTACCACCTAAGCATTTCTTATTGGGACTGTTTTACACTCTGAATCTGAAGCGAGATTTAGTGTTGCATTTTACCAGATTCAGACCTCCTCTCTATGCTTATTTGTAGTCTAGGTCTGCTTTTTGTCATGTTTGTTTATATCTCACACACGGCAGCCATAGAAAATTCATCAAACATCCCCCTACAGCTTAAAAAAATCAAACGCCTTTCCTCCTGGCTACCAAAGCGACACCCTGCATTTCCCTCATGTGGAAAAAAAAAACAACAACAACAACACGAACCCAATTTCAAAAAGGTGCTCTGAAAACTAACTTTGTGCAACTTTGATGTGAAAAAGAAAACATGTTGGAGAAAAGTCCCGGCACAAACATCATGCTGATGAAAACATCCATCTTCCAAATGTGTTGAAAAGCAGGCGTGTGTGATGTACAGCCTCCATCTCTCCTCTCGTTTGTGCGTGTGCTTGAGCCTTTGTGAGTGCTGTGTGGTGTTCCTCTGAATGGATCCTGTGGATGAATGTAAAGATCCTCTTCATTATTGTATGTGTAATAAAACATGACCAGCCACTTAACTAAGAATAAAAACATAAAAATGATAAAACCAACTCTACTTCCTGCCCTCTGGAGTGTGTTTTGTTCGTTTCGGCACATCAAAAAAAAAGTGAGGTAGCGGGGGTATAATGTCGCTGGGTCAGGTCAGGACATCCTTACAGCAGACTCAGGTATGACACAGTTTCTCTTACAGAACCCCTGACTCATCTCATAACCAGGGCAGCTGAGAATGCTTCAGAAGAGACATCATTCAGGCTGGAGTGTGTTCACTCTTTGTAGTGCCTGCAGAGTACATGCGTTCATGTCACGCTAAATAACAACAGAACAAAACAGGCTGTGGCACCAAAAGTAAGAACGAAACACAAAACTCTCAATTCATATTCCAATTTTTCTAGATGGACACAATAGATTTCGATGTGTTTCATAACAGAATGTTACTTTCACAACAATGTTTGTATTATCGTTGAGAAACATGAATCAGAGTGAATAAAGATACTGCACAAAGGCAGACTGTATGCACTTTAAAGCCCCCATGAGGGGTTTCAGGCTGGTTATGAAACAGACTCAAATGAATATTGATGACTCTTTTTGACCTACAAAAGCAAACCAGACCATTATCGACGAGATTGATGACTTCTATATAATCAATCAGTGGTGTCTGAAACTGTGGTATTGTGCTATCTGTCAGACAAAGTGAATAACCGCATTGGCTGACAGACTTTTTATCAGAAAACAACATTTAAAAAGAAAAATCTATTCACAGGACGAAATCAGCAAAAGGAGAAGAGGTGCAGCTTTTCCCTCAGAAGGTGCCAAATTCAGCAGAAACACAGGAGTTCTGAATGTGGTGAAGAAGTTTAGTTTGACTCAAGAAGTCAGCCATAGAAAACCGTGATTGAACAGAAGTTTCTCTCTCCCCACTGAATCAAACTTGGGCACAATGCTAACATTAGCTGTGCTCTGATAAGAGCCTGAGTTGTTGTATTTGTTACAAAAATTAAAATACAATCTGATTCCCTTTACATTTTTTTACTATAAGGAAGCAATGGACTAATAACTTTTGTCAAGCTGTTGATGTTTTGACGACTTATGACCATCGCTGTCAAGTATCCTGTTTTGCCAGGGAAACTACCATATTTTTACCCCTCTTTCCCGCCATCTTCCCACATTAGTATTCTCCCAGAATTCTCCCATATTATAATCTATGTATATAAAAAAAACATTTTATGAACTCTGTGACTAGCATGCGCCAAGTACCCACCAACTAGTGGTAATGAGTTGTTATCTGTGATCACACAGACGATGAACTAGTACCCCCCCATCCTACCCCCACTTGCTGCACTGACGCGAGGGGAGGGGGTCGGCAAATTTCCCTTATTTTCCAAACCAATACTTGACAGATATACTTATTGCCTGTCACCCTGGATATGATGTCATGGGAAGATGGTTACTATAGGAGGTAAGTCTGGGGTTGTCTCATTCGCCAAAATATAAGTTTGGCAACTCTTCATAACTGACTGGGGGTATTTTCTTCAGTAGACAATACAGAAAAACATGTAATAATTTTTCCAACTAGAGTTTCTGGATGTGGCCTGTCAAGTGGGAAATAGATGAAGGAAGGCGGAGTTCAAAACAAATGGCGGTTTTATTGGGAGTCACTTATAAAGTAGCAATGGTAATTTGGCTCTTTTACCAAATGGCCAAACGGCTCTTCATTTTACCACTTATACATTCTCTAATTCAGCCAAATTTAGCATTGTTTGGCTCATGATATGTACGTGTGTGTAAACATACCTCTTAAATGATTCAATACATCCTTTGTACTGAAGTATTCACAAGTAAAATTAACATTTTCTAATATCAGTAAATTGCTGTAGCCAATTGTTTTCGTTGCATTTACAGAAAAACAGATGTGCCACTTAGAATTTGTAGAAAAATTACTTTAATCCTCTTAATTTATTATGGACAATAAAAAACAGCTGCAAAAAAAGTGAAAAAAAAAAAACAGCTTCACTTCTGTACAGTGGCTTTGCCATATTACAAATGTAATATTATGTTCAAGTTACATAGTTCTAACCAGTCCATGTCATGGCGCTTCATCAGAAAATAGATCCAATCTAACTACACATATTTACAGAGCTGACCGCAGCAAAGAAACACGGATGTGCTGGGTCTTAATGATATGACAACAACAGAAAACACATGCCCACATGTTCACAAACTTTGTACTGCACCTAATTTGCACCTAGAGTTCGGTACAAAATATCTGGCTCTGTTTTTAACGCGAAAAAACATGAATCATGTTCAAAATGAAATTCACTTCAAACGAAAAATGTACAGTATAAATATGTAGAAAAAAGTGCCACATGTTTTGTTGGGCGGTGGAAAGAAAACGGTGTTGCACAGCTGTTACTAAAATATGACAGCAGTGCAGTCTTTTGCATTTCTGTGTTCCTTGCTGTAAGCAGAGCACTGATAAAAATAGGACTCCTAACTCAGAGTACAGTTTCTTCTCTATGAATGGGGTCAGCATGGAGGAGTCCAGCATATCCAGAATAGAGAAATCAGTGGGATGCCTGTGTTTATGACGCCAAACCTCCTAGGAGGTCATCCTATTCACCGCAGGCTGACAGTAGCAAAACAGATTAATGCCATTAAACCCATCATGGGGAGCCAGATCCTCCTAACCCTACTGCTCATTAGGATTAACAACAGAGGACTGCTGCTGAGGTAAAGCCCTAAGTTCACAGCCAAGGAAATCCACAATATCTTCAGTCTTTTTGAATCGAATTACCCTCTGAGGGGATGAAAACGTTTGGCAAAGGATTAAGTGGTAAAACTGGTGAGGTTGGCACTCAGGGGAAGACGTTGTGCCAGTGTCCGGATGATTCAGGAACCACTTCCAAGTCAAGTTCGGGTGCTACTTCAACCTGAGGCGGCGTTTCTTCCTCGCCCAGAGTAACCTCTTGGATCTGACCTAGAAGGAGAAAGAAAGAGACGAATGAGAAACTATTAACAGGAGCTCCCTGCAGTGAAACTCTGTCTGAAAAAAGACAGTAACTTGGTTAGTAAAACAGAAGTCTATTAACACACATTTACCGAGCTGCACCATCAACTCTGACTCTGTATCCAATTTTCTCGAGGCTATCATGCAAATGAAGCCATTTCTTCTCCTTTGGACTCCTCCGACATTCATTTCAATATGTCAGATTCTCTCTGTCTCCTCTATTTGTTACATAAACTGAAAAATGAGACAAGACAGATGTGGAGCATGCTCATTGTGAGCTCTGAATATGAGCCATGTGTCATTGTACATTCAGCTTTAAATAACTCTCCCACACAAACAACAATACGTGTCTCAGGCTGTGAGGTTCGGACTGGCTCCTTAAGCTGCGGGCCACAAAATGAAATGAGTTTTACGGTGGGAGTCGTTTGATTATCCTCTGTTTTAGCTATAGGCATCAGAAACACGTTCATTAGGATGCAAGAGAAAGAGTGTGTGCATTGAGTCCTCACACGCAGATGTCCTCTGTTTGCAGAACTTTCCTGAAAGTAAGAAACTCATTGAAGGCTAAATAAAGTTTATTTCCGAGCCCCAAGGTGGGCTGTTTGAATAAAATAACAGTGTGAGATTGCAGTCTCTAACAGAGTTATTCAAAATACTGAAACCTTAACAAAGTAAAGACCTGGCATCCAGAGTATGTGTTTTTTCAAATCAGAAATAAATCTGTGCCTCTAGCTCTGAGTAATGGGAGTTATTTGAATCTTTGTCAAGTCTTTTTACACCCTTTTATTGTCTCTATGAACGGCTGCACAAACAGCTGGTGATACACCCAAGTGTCTGTGTTAGCATGTGTACTGGTGTGATGATACCAGTCGGTTGCTCACCAAAGCCGTGCGATCTCTTCATGTGGTGCCTCATGTTGCTCTTCTGGGTGAACCTGATGCTGCAAACTTCACACTTGAAGGGCTTCTTTCCAGTGTGTTTGACCATGTGGACCTGTAGGGCGCTCTTCTGGTTGAAGGCTTTATCACACTGGCTGCACTTAAAGGGACGCTCACCTGCACCGAAGAAAAAACACAGACAAATCATAAACCTGCTGTCTTCTTGTACAAAACCCAATTCCATTGAAGTTGGGAAATTGTGATAAACGTAAATAAAAACAGAATACAATGATTTGCAAATCCTTTTCAACCTATATTCAATTGAATACACTACAAAGACAAGATATTTAATGTTCAAACTCAAACTTTTTTGTTGTTGTTGCAAATAATAGTTAACTCAGAATTTCATGGCTGCAACACATGCCAAAGTAGTTGGGACAGGGGCATGTTTACCTCTGTGTTACATCATCTTTCCTTTTAACAACACTCAATAAACGTTTGGGAACTGAGGAGACTAATTGTTGGAGCTTTGAAGGTGGAATTCTTTCCCATTCTTGCTTGATGCACAGCTTCAGTTGTTCAACAGTCCAGGGTCTCCGTTGTCATATGTTGCCTGAGGGATCGAAGGTCACGGGCATTCAATGTTGGTTGCTGGCCGTGTCGCTTACTTGCAGTGATTTCTCCAGATTCTCTGAACCTTTTGATGATATTATGGACCGTAGATGTTGAAATCCCTAAATTAATTGCAATTGTACTTTGAGAAACGTTGTTCTTAAACTGTTCGACTATTTGCTCACGCAGTTGTTCACAAAGTGGTGAACCTCGCCCCATCCTTGCTTGTGAATGACTGAGAATTTTTGGGGGAGCTGCTTTTATACCCAATCATGGCACCCACCTGTTCCCAATTAGCCTGCTCATGTTCCAAATAAGTGTTTGATGAGCATTCCTCAAATTTCTAAGTATTTTTTGCCACCTTTCCCAACTTCTTTGTCACGTGTTGCTGCCATCAAATTCTGAGTTAATTATTATTTGCAAAAAAACTAAAGTTTATGAGTTTGAAGATTAAATATCTTGTCTTTGTAGTGTATTCAAATAAATATAGGTTGAAAAGGATTTGCAAATCATTGTATTCTGTTTTTATTTACATTTATCACAATTTCCCAACTTCAATGGAATTGGGTTTTGTATTATCTTATCAGCGCTGACTGACTAACTTACATAAACTTGTGTATTTTTTATTCAGTTAAATTCTACATAACTGATAACAGCTGAGCTAAACCACTGCACTGTATTGCCAGCTCTGTGACAGGTATAAACAAATTAAAAAATATATATCATGCTGCCAAAGCTGCACGCCATGAGCCCCAAACAATACTGTTACAGATAAACACGAGTCTGCTGCTATTGACTCCACTTAGTCAAGTGCTCCTGTGGCCTCCCACACACTCCCACATGTTCACACACATACTTGGCTGTACATGCTGCAATTAGTGTTAATTTGTGCAAAAATGTGCTCTGGCATTAGAAAGCTAATGTTTGGTACACAGTGTTAAACATTACAGGCTTATTTGGCAGGATTACTTAAGAAAAACACTCATCCTGGCTGCCAAAGGATCATAATAAACCTTCTTTTTGCCAGTTTAGAACTGCTTACTAAAGACTAGATGACTTTGGTGAATCTGGATTATCAGAAAAACCCAAATCTGATTAGGCTGCAGGTAATAACAGAGTCATCCCTGGTCAACAATGAAATATTGTATCCTCCCCAAGAACTTCAAGCCTCTGTATTCATGATCATTTCATCCCCCCCCTGTGTAGATGGTGTAGCTTTTACAAAGGTATTTCACACTGTTGTCTTTCACAGTCAAATATACAGTATTACTCACTGAAAATTTGCTTTAGAAGAAGTAAAAAGAAAAAGAAATATGCTGTGAGTAATCTGGTTTGACACCTGCCTCCTCACAGTCACGTTGGGCATCAAAGATTACCACAGAGAGATGGACTGTGTCTTCGCAGATGTCCTTATTTGCTTTTTAAGGTCATAAAAAGGCCTCTCTGCGAGTGTCAATCGGTCTCATAATAGGCTTAAAACTCCTCACAGTGGCAGAAAAGCAGCAGGTGTGACAAGTTCTATCAACTTCTCTGCAACCTAGGGCTTCCACCATCGCTTTCAGAGTTGAGTAACAAGCTGATTATTTTCTTTCATGTTTTTACAACTTCAGATACAAGATAAAGTTTCTGTTTGTCTGAACTGAAGTTCCATTTCAAGCACAAACTCAAATATTTGGAGCTGAAACCTGCTATTCTGTTTGACTTTGACTTGTCAATAATATGCTGCTGTATTTACCCTGCAAAAAGTCTTTATAGAGGCAGAGAAGCATCCATGACAGGATTAAACCTGTATTCAATTTTGTCAGTAAGGTGATGATAGCCCTGCACACTCAATGTGTGGTTCCCACTGTGAGTAAAAGTCGTCATTTCATTGGTTACAGCGCAGTAGTCATGTTTCATGGTTGAGGAGGTGGATCTTTGCTCTGATAAAAATGTCCAAAACCCTGTTGATAATGTCACTAACTGCATGAGTGCAGAAGGACCAACCAAGGATATGTAGTGTGTGGTTTCTATGATGCACTTGCAGACAACAGCAGACATCGACACCCTCATATCACCTTTGGACCCTTTGCTAAGTCCTTTCTTCCCTTGAAACAACTTATTGCACATACATTAGGGGTGGGAATCACCAGTGGCCCCACAATACGATTATATCACGATACTTGATCCACAATATGATATTATTGCGATTTTAAATATTTTGCTATACAATGAGTATTCCAGTACAATATATTGCGTCTTATACGATTTTTTCAACCGTTTAGCTAATTTAGCATTTGTCTTTCCTTCATGTTTGTCTTATTTATGCTGTATTTTAATTACATGTAGCACATTTTACAGACCTTTTATATATTTGTTGCACTAACTTTTGCACTAAGATACTTGGTAAATGAGACGATACGATATATCACCAGACAAAATATCGCGATACTATGCTGTACCGATTTTTTCTCCCATCCCTAACATACATGATGACATTTTTTAACTCAGGGGAAAGAAAAGACTTGTGTTTGAGTAATCTTTACAACAGTACTTTTCCTCGTCAAGTCATTCACACTGAACACCAAGCGACAGGGAATAAATTAAGAGAGTAGAAATTGTACCCTGACAAAACTTGTTCGCTGTTGCTTTGATATGATACACAGAAAAACTAATGTCGAGAGATGAGATAAACCAGAACGGAGCAGTCTGAGCTGAATCCCTCACACCGCATTCAAATGAGTCCATTCAAATGTAAATGTGTTTCTTTAGGTACACTGACGGCTGATGATCATTTCTGTGTGTTTTGGATTTAACAGCAAAATGAAGCATTCAAGTTCCATCTGTGGTTATCAAGCATAACTGGGTGGAGGAAAAATGGGGTCTGACAAGAAAAGACAATAGCGGCTTGATTAAACAATCTCCATGATAGAAGTTTTTCATCTTTTCATGGCATGTTGTTCAGGACTGATTATTTATAAATGTCATTATTATGTCAGAATTAAAGTATCTAGAGGGACTGCAATTTTTATCCCATATTTTCCCCACAGATTTTTCACAGTGGCCTTGATCTTTTGACTTTGAAAATTGAATCAGTTCATCTTTGAGTCTAAGTTGATGTTTATGCCAAACTTTAAACTTTTCCCTCCAGGGGCTGACATCCAACAGTGTTTCCCACACAGTGGGAGTAAAGCTGGGGATAGTTCGGGGGACAGGGGGGCATCTGTGTTTAAAATAACTGATAAATTACATTACCCCAGAAAAAACAAACAAACAAAAAACTATAGCATATATGAGCTAACACTAAACAGGAAAAGACACATCACAGCTAAGAAAGTCTTCATCAATCTGTGTTTGTCATCAGATTCTGACACCAACAAGTTTAACTCAGACCATCCTTTTGTGCATCAGATGTTTGAGCCCAATTTGAAGACATTCAGTCTATCTTCCTTCTCACATTTAGCCCTCTGACATTTCTTTTGTCCAGCTTGACCTCTTAACTTGACCTCTAATCTCTTAGTTTTTTTTTCTTGTACATGTGTGAGAGGTGGGGCTTCAAACTATAAGATTTTGGTAATATAATCAAAGATGGCAGATTCTTATTCATATACTGTATTAACACTATTAGTTTTTGTAATGTTTGACACTGTTGGACCTCTTCTGGGTAAACCTCTTACCTGTGTGTGTCCGGTTATGTCTCTCCAGCTGGCTGCGCTTAGCGAAGGCTTTCACACAGGAGGAGCAGTTGAAGACTCTGGGTTTCTGAGAGCTGGGTGATGGGCCTGGCCTGTGCACACGCTCATGTTCCTGTAGACAGATCAAACACATGGTTTTCTGTTTAAAGTTTCTTTAGTTTAAAGGCTGGTAGACAAATCACTCTTACCAGGACATAAACATCTATCATTCTCTGACAAAGAATCAGACAAAATTATAAGTATCAGACTGACACCAGAGGATCTGATCACCTTAACAATCGTCCTGTGGGAAGCTCTGTGCTGCCAACTCTAAGATCACTTTCTTTCTGATTTCACATTTCAGTGAATCTTGAAAGTAACTGTACAGATATTCAATGATTATTCAACATCTGACAAAACTCATCCACTCTCTTCCAGCAGCCGCTTGTTTGAATCACGACCTTGGCGAGTCCAAACTGATTGCAGCAGAGTGACGCAGCTCGAGAAAGAACATTTATCATCATTACTTTATCATTTCCTTAAAGTAATAATCATCATAATTATCATTTTCCACTGCAGACACGGTAGTTCTTCTGCCTTAGCGTCTCGGTCTGATTGCATTTCCATGAAGAAATGATCATAGAATTTTGACTTTAAAGTTATCTGAATTTAAAGTCATAATTCTGACTTTTTTCTTAGAATTCATAATTTAATCTCAGAATTGTGACTTTTAAGTTATCTGACTTTAAAATCAGAATTCTTAGTTTAAAGTCAGAATTCTAACTTTAAAGTCAGAAGTTAAAGTCAGAACTCTGACTTTTTTTTTCAGAATTCTGACTTTAACTACGAATTCTGACTTTAGTATTCAGAATAATAATTTAAAAAATACATATTGGACCTGTTTTTTGTTTTTTTTTTCCAATGGCCCTTATCCTCTTCCGTAGATCTGTGATAAGCTGATGCCAGACAGTAAAACAACAGTTCTCTCGCACTGTGGTAATATTACTTCAGGCTGTTTTATCTTGAAATCTGATAAGATCCTAAAATATTGTGTTCAACTAGCCTTGACTAAAACCCTGAAAAGAGAAAGTAAACAGAAAATTCTGGAGACGTTGTTAGGATCCTTGAGTTGATGTGTTGAGTCAGATTTGTGTAATTTCTCAAAGCACTGAAAGATCAGAGACTGATACTAAAATTACAGATGATAAAACACTACCCACAGGACAGTCATTAAAAACACTAGCATAATAAGTCTGTTGACCTTGAAAGTGTTTCAGCTTTAATTGCATCAAGCCCAAAAGGAGATTTAAGTTTAGAGGCTGTTTGGGGTCATAACGAGGGTAGTATTTATTAAAAGTGCCTGTGGTTTGTTAGAGAAAAACAGACACATTCAGACTCGGACAGAAAGAGAAAAGCGGTTCTCACTGCTGAGTGCTCTCTGCTTCACAGACCATGCTCCTGATAATAAAAGTTTATTCTCAAGGTACAGCAAAACTTTTGTGACATAATCTTGATCACTTCACGGTTATTTGTAGCGTTGCATAATTCAACAACCTTCTTTGGGTGTTTAAAAAACATCTTATGAAGACAAGATGTAGTGTGTGAAATCACTGGAGTAGCACTGGTCAAACCTTTCTTGTTGCATTTGCTAACGGATAATAAATTATCCTCCGAGTGAAAAACAGCAGCCCTCCAAATTTATCCACTGGGTCTTTTGAACAATCTCAAGATCTTTGTTCTTTGTCGCTACTCTATGAGCACCCAGGGGACTGCGACAGGATGAAGCACGGTCACTCTCATTCTAACGTCTCATGGTTGAAACTGTATAAGGCAAAGCAAAGGCACAGTCTTTGTCCTTTGATGAAAGTATGACATTCAGTTGGGAAAGCGCTTGTGTAAAAAGCCTTAGGCTTCTTATCATCTTCGACAGCCTCGGCGTTTACGTGCTCGAGTGTCTCACCCACATGATGCGGATCCTCAGGAAAACCCGTGTGCTCCTCTCACTGCATCAGCTGCAAATTTCCTCTCAGTCTAAGTGCTTTTTCTTAGAGAGAGTGACACACTGGAAGAGCCGATCTCAAATGTCACTTGATTAATTACACTCCATTTCTGCTTCAAATAGTGTGACACATTTTGTCAATGGTATCCTGTCTCTCACTGGCTCCTCGAGTCTATCTTTTCCAGGCTGACGTTAAGGATATTCGGAAAATTAAATGTGTGAAAGTTGATTTACATTTCACGAAAAAAACCAAAAACATTACAGTCGATTTATTACAAGAATCTCACAGTTTTTACGGAGGTGTTACCTTGAGATGTGTAGCTCTCTTAAAGGCCTTGTTACAGAGGCTGCAGACGTGACAGCGGTCCTTGCCGTGGGCTTGCCTACAGTGGCGTCGCAGAGTGTTGACATTATCGAATGCCTCGCTGCAGTAGTAACACTGGTGACGATTATCAGCTTCAGTCTGGCCGTCTTTCCTGCTTTTAGGGTCATCTACTGTCATCTGAATCACAGGATCAAAAACATAAGGCTGACAAGGGACCGCAAACTTTAAAAAGTTTGATTTCAAAGCAACTTGGCCCCTTCGTATCTGAAATGTCACACTATCAGAGGAACTTACCACATCATATCCGTTGTCAGATGCTCCATTTGTGGACTGGGAGTGGTGGCTGACCAGTATAACATGCTGGCCTGAGCTGGCTGGCTGTCCTTGTAAACCAGAGTCATTCAGTACCGCAGGAAAGGTCTGACCCTGAAGATTTGAACAACCTCAAAACTGAGTCCATGTCACTCTACAGAGTCAGGAAACATGAGTGTAACAGCTAAGATTAGAGGCTAAAGATGTGTGTCATACCTGTGTGTTGAGGTTTAAAGTGACACCGTCCAGCATGCCCTGAGCGTCAGCCAGAGTGAGCGTGACGCTGCTATCACTGGCCACGCCTCCTGGTGACATCACTAGGCTCTGGGACGCAGCAGTGTGAGAAATGGTGGTGCTCGGTGGCAGACTAGAGACTAACAAAAGGATAGAGAGAGAAAGCAGGGTTAGATTTGCGTGGGTTTTCATTTCTACATCTGGATAATGGCCGCGCTTTCTACAGCAGCCAGAGCTATTGTTCACTAATGGCTAACCTGGTATGACTAACAGGAATTTAAACCATGACAAATGTTTGAATAGGGACAAATCAGGCCATGAAAATACAATGTTGGTGTTGGGATATCTTGTAACACTATTTTTGCTTTGTCTTTGGGATTATTGCTAAATTGAGAAAAATGAAGATTTCACAGTCTTACAGTCACGCCTTTCTTTTTTCAACTCTGAAACAAATTATTATCTGACACTTGAACCCTCCATTTCATTTGTATGTATGCAATAAAGGGAAGAAAAAGAGTCTTTCTCAGAATAAGAGCTGATCTCATTTCAGTTACTATAAATTAACTTCCATTCAGCTCTGGATTGGTTTCTACGGTTACAGGCTTCAATACGAACTTAACATCTGAGCACTGGCTGCAGTCTGACCCTGAAATGTCTTCTTGTATTAATGTAAGGTGACTGCTGAGGCGCTTGAGGTGATGTACTCTTTACATGGAATAATTTCAGCTCATCAGTCTTTAGACAAAGTAAACCCCGTATCTGTATAATGGGAGAGTAGACATTGAGTTTCGATAAAATCCTCATGTCTGTGCTGTTTATATAGAACACGCTGAAGCACATTTACATAGAGAGTGAAAAGGAACGCTTCAGACTAATCAATAGGAGTGTAGATGCTCTCGGCGTCCCTGGGAAGCGGCAGGGAATGTTTTCCACTCGAGCTGAGAGGAGAGTAATGAAGCGAAAGAGCTGAGAGTTAAACCTGATTAAGCTTTGAGGTGAGAAGCATCCAGAACAATCAGGAAGCTATCTCTCACTGAACAAATCATATTTGCTTACTTCACTGCACACGAGCACACTGCTCTCTTATCGCCGATGCACTGTTTTAACTAAAGGTCCTCCACATTCGAGGTGTGGTTGATGAATTTTAAGCATACATTTGCAATTACTTATAGACATCACAGATTTTCCATGGTATGTTTTTTTTAACCTCTGTGTTATACGTTTACTAAAGGAAATGCAGCATTTTCAAAGGCTAAAATAAAGAGGTACAGTTGTGAGGATCAGAAATAGAGTGACTGCTGTGAGCTAGTTCTGGCAGGTAACTCAAGCTACACTGATTTCACATTAACCACGCATCACTCTAACAATCATATTGGCTTCCAATCCATTAAAAATGAAGATGATTTCTGCCTCTGCTTCACCATGTGACAACTGCCCTGCACCTGTGCTTCCCTGAATCTATCCGCCCCACCTCCTCCACAGCATTGAAGTGCCGGCTGTAACTAAAGATGCCCTTAAATATCATCTCATCACCCCTCAGTGTCTACAGGTTAAGTAGATATGCAAGTAGTGAGGGCGATCTGCTGCTGGAGTTTTAACCAACACAATGTGAGCGGTGACCCTAGATTGCTCTTGTCAGCAGACTACTTTTTGTTCAGTGTTATCAATTGTGATTGGATAACTACGATTAAACTTCCTAAGATTATTTATGAATGACCAGTAAATGTAGCTTCACTCTAACCCAAGATATTCGTACAGGGTTTTTGGGAAATAAAAATAAGCAGCTTCTGAATGCTCCAAGGGTAAACTTTGATCTGCAAAAACCTCTCAAGGGTATATTCCAGCGTAAATTTTAGTTGAGGTCAAACACACTGTAACACTGAGTTAGACACCCCCGCAAGAGATGAATGTTGCTGACTGCTTGCTTCTTTAGCTATACCAACTTTAGTAACGACCGCACAATAGCAATACACAGCGGTCTACGTCTCAACGCGCCTGATGAGTCGATCACCAAGGGCAGCAGATCATTTTCTTGAAGTAATAATCATCATAATAATCATTTTGCTCTGCAGACGTGGTAATTCTTCTGCCTCAGCATCTCGGTCTGATTGCATTTTCATGAAGTAATAATCATAAATGTTCTTCTTTGAGCTGCAAAACTACACTGCACTCGGTGATCGACTCGTCAGGGCTTTTTGGTTGAGGTTTGCGTGTGGAGACATAGACCAATGTGTATTGCTATCTATGTGGTCGTTTCTAAAGTTGGTAGAAGCAAGCAGTTGGCAACATTAATCTCTCGAGGGTGTGTCTAACTCTGTGTTAAAGTGTGTTTGACACTTAATTTTACGCTGGAATATCCCTCTAACTTTACTTGCGTAAACTGATAGAGGCAGATTAACTATTACACATCTTGTTTCAGCAGATCTTAGTAGTTCTGTGTTAGCTAGAAATGAAACATTGCTTCTCTTTATGCTCGTGCAAAACCGTCAATCTACAGCCTATCTTAGGATTTACAAATGTAATGGAAAATTCACCACCCTGAAGCAGCGTGTGAAGCGGCAGCTCTACAACCCACCCAGAGTTCACCAGAATCCACCACATCACCACATAAACTGACTTTTAGACACACACATCATGTTCTTACATCACACTCTTTTAAATAAAAGAAAGCCATGTGGATGAGAGTAAGAACTATAAAACCACGAATCTATCTGATGGCTGTTTCATCTTCAAAAATACACTTTGATGGCTCCACAGAGGGGGAACACCTTTGCATGCCATTTCACAAAAAGGGCACTGATTGACAGTCTGTTAGATCCCCGGATGAAAAAAAAATTGATTGAGAGGCTCAATCACGGATGCCAGAGCAGAGGGAAGCTCCTTTTGTAGCACTAAAAAAAGGATACAAGCTACAGCCGCTGAATCATACCTGTCATTTTGTCACTTTTGTATTTGAAGAAATAAGCAGACAACTGCTTTTGTAGGGAGCTCTGTTAATCACTCTCCCTCATCATGTCTGAGAGACAGAAGAGGCTTTGTCATCAATCGCATGTACAGAGAGAGGGGTAAGGGGTGGGGGCTCGGTCTTTCTGTCTTAGTGATCTTCCTTCGCTGTTCCATCCAGCAAGAGGTGAAATCCAGCCCACGTAGTTTCTCAAACCTACAAAGGCTTGCATCAGCGCTGATAATTAGATGTGGGTGTTCAGGTCGCAATCAGTTCAATACAAATGGGTTACCAGGGTGATATTTGTATTGCAGCCAGCTGGGTACCTTCTACTTTGTTGCAAACTATTGGCATAAAGTGGTGGCCGGGAGTCAAGTGGTGTTATAAGTGGGTACAGCAGGTCACTAATAATGGCCTGATGCAGATCAAGATGGCTGTTGTGTGCATTTACAATGTTGCGTTTGAGTGACTGTAAGAGGGAGGTTAAATACTTCACATAATGAATCTCTGTCAGGCCTTTCAAATCCATTCTCTCCGAGCTGGCAGAGAAGCAAGCTAATGGCACCTGCGTGCTCAAGGTTTTGTTTTGAGTATTCTTCTTCAAATGAAAGGGACGACTATTCAGAGGATCACAAAGGGCCTCCTGCTGCAGGCTAGGCTGGTTAGGCTGCACTGACCTGACAAACAGTAGAACAAAGGTGACTATATTATCATAACTACCTAACTGATACATCTTTCCATGCTGCCAGGGTTAACGTTAACAACCAATTCAAGCTTTGCCATAGATTTTAATACAGTTATTCTTCGCACCAATAGGTCTGCCTTTAAAAATGCTACCAATGCTGGCCAAGTAGCATGATGCGGGAAAAGTTACAGCAAACCCCCTAAAGGTGTACAAACAAGCCGAGGCAAGGGTGGGGAGGCAGAACGTTGCTAGCAGCAGCAGGGTGTGATCAGCATTTGGAGGATGTGTTTGAATGGATCACCTCGTTGTGAGAATGGACTGTGATTGGTTCAAATACAATAACTCAATCAGCAGCCTATCAGCTGATTCAAGTAGTGACCTACAATTTCAGTCAATGCAAGCCAGCGAGTTTTACTCTGCATCTATCCATTGTTGGTTGCTTGGTGATATTGGGTGATGAAGTAATTCAAATATAACATGCAGGTAGATTTTTCAGCCTGCAGTCGTATCTGCTACAGTAAGCCTGCTGATCGCTTGTCAGTGTTAGATGGTTAGTTTATGTCACCTATTACGTTTTAAACTCCTTTGCAACTCTTCCTCTTGCTTTTAGTCGCATTTCTCTTCAGGCAAGACCAGTTTTTTTTTTACAGTACATATGTGCTTTTCTGCATGCACAGTTTCTGTGATGGGACGCGATCATTTAGTCAGTAAGTGGAATCTTCTTCTAAACTTACCCACCCAGGAAAAATTGGTTGAAAAGACTTTGAAAAGAGGTCCTCACCATACGTCTAAACAACGTCTAGATTTGGACCGTCTCAATAAAACCCAGTTTTCAACGTCTTTTTTGGGCTAGATTACGGCCATGACTTAGCCTGAAAACAGATGTCTAAATGATGTCGGGTGTTTGGTGGGATGCTTGCACAGGAGGTGACAGGGAGGAGCTGAATGGAGTTGATGCATGGGAGGAATCAATTATTTGATTTTCCCTGAACACAGACCAAAAGACTCTTAAAAAAAGACGAGAGGTTTCATTTTAAAGCTCAATCTTTGAATATACTGTCAATGCTAAGGTATTTAATGTAACATGAAGAGCATTTAGAGCCCAAAACTTCATGTGAAAACATAACTTTAAAACCAATCAAGGTTAAGGTTAGGTACAGGCAGGCTTGTTTTTCTTTCATCTTCCTGGTGTAGGGGGAAGTAAAATACAGCACAGTTACCAACAAGTGAAAGAATAGAGGGAAACAGAATAAAAACAAACCAGTGAGAGTTTTCATGAAAAGATTTTAAGACATGTTTGTGATTTTTACTGTGTGGAGCACTACTGTTACACTCCTTTTCATACTAGCTCCACCAAATGTAACCCAATTTCTATCTAACTGTGTCACTATGATTTTGGACCTTACTGGGGCATTATGACTCCAATCCAATCACACCAAAGATGAGATTTCTAAAGAGGTAGCCTGGTTTGATTTTGAATAGAAAACTGAGGCTTTCAAACATCCTTCTTCCTCATATGTCTGAGTAGATAATTAAGATACAAACTTAACGTCCTCACCTGCCATTCCAGTGTTGGCGGGGCTCTGAGGTAGGAGGTGGTCGTTGGTGATGGTCAAGGTGGCGTTGGTGGGTTGGCTGTTGAGTGGTGATGCTAGCCTGATGCTGCCGTTGATCTCTGCACCGCTAGGGTTGCTATGCTGGGCGAGCAGATCCTGACCTGGAACAGTATTGGAGCAATAAACGGTCAAAACTCCAAAGTAACCATCTCTGTTTTCTCACATTCATCTACTTTCTGAGTTCTTGTTTGTCTCAGGAGATACGTTGTAGAAAATTCTATGATGAAGAAAAGCTTGTGAGTATGTTCAGAGGAGGGCACAAAAATACGAGCAAAAATAAATGACATGGACTGTAAATAGGTTTAGACATGTTGCTTGGGACCCGATTATTTCTTCCTCTTACAACTGCCTCCAGTTCATAAAAAAATCAATAACTTATGAAAGAGAAATCTACCCACTAAACGTCTCAGTGCGGCTTGAGGGGAAATAAAGACAACTCAGAAGTTGATATAACAATAATAACACGGGACATCTTTGGCTTAAGGGTTTAAATGAGCGCACAAAAATACATCAGAGTGCTAGATGAAGGACGACCAGGCCGAGGAGCAATCTCTTCTGTACTTAAGACAGAAAATTATGTATCATGACTTAAAGAGGCTCAGGCAGAAATTACATCCACAGAGTGGGTGCAGCTCACATCCTAACTGTCTCTAAGACTAAAAGTGCTTTGTGAGAGAAGTGCTTCCCTCGTGGGCTCTAATGCTGAAGCTCTTGATCTTGATCTGTGTAGGAGCTACAAATGGGAAGAAAAGGTCGTTATTGTGTGAGGGGTACTTTGCCTAAAAATATGTTTGCCTTTGTGAGAAAATCAATAAATGTGTAACTGACTTTCCAAGGGCTCTTTCTCATCTTTTTGTTATTGATTGTTTTTGTTCTTGCTGACTCACTGACTGACGAGGTTCAAGTCTTCAGAGTGAGGCTAAAAAGTATAGGGCTGCTTTGCTCCACAAAAAGACAAGATCACGCATTACTGCGAAATCACTGTAGGACTGCTCCGTCTGCAGCAGTGTGTGTTATATTAATCAGATACAACATACTATGCTGCATGTATAGTATGACACACACTTATATGTTTGTTAAACTATTTTGATTTACATTAATCTGGTATGTCCACTTTTCCTGAGCTGGGAAAACATCAGTTAAATAGAGTTTGCCTAAATACGTCATATAATGTGAAAATGGAAAGGTTGAAAGGTTGTGTGATTTTTAACTCATTCAGTGCCATTGACGGATTTGGACGGATTTTTCAGTTTTTTTGTTTTCTGCCAGAGGGCGCTCCTCCCCAACATGCGACTAAGTTTGGGGTCTTTCTGAACACAGAAAGCTGACAAATACGTCATAATCATGTTACAGTAACAAAACGAGTACTCGCCAGTGAGCAGTGTGCAATCAAGTGTGCCAATTAGCCTAGATGTGGAGTGTTATTTCTCTGTGAGGAGAGAAGAAAATGCCGAAGTCATTAGCCAAGAGCTAACGGTCTTGGGGCATCAGTTCCCGTGGGCGCAGTGCTACCATTTCTGGATCCAGTGGAGATCCCGGTACCGGACCTTCACATCGTCAGCCGACAATCAAAGAAACAATTTTCCGGCATGTCATTGTGCCGCCGCTGCTGGTACTGGTGAGCGAGACTGAGCCGGAATTCAGCGACAGTCCCGACAAGGAGGACACGAGCAGTCCATGCAGTTTACGGCGCGGTGTCAGGTTCTCAAGAGCCAATACGACTCCCAGCCGTCACAAAGTGACACATCACAATCGGATCTCAAGAGTGATGAGGAGTGGTGTCCGAGGAGGGAGGACCTTGATGCCACCAGTAAAATAGTTTGAAGAGAAATGAAATAGATGATCAGAGTTCTGCTTTAAAGTCTCTCCTTTGTAAAAATGAGACGATATGACCACGCTGCATTGAGCAGGCAATAACTTAACACAGGAGTGAGTTAGAGACTAACTTTTTTCTGATAAAAGAACAGAATCACCCCTTTCCTTTGAGATAATGAAATTAATTCTAGTCCAAGCGCAAGACATTCTGTGGGTCCTGAAAGATATGGAAATTTCTCTTGCGGTCAATGGTGGCACTGGGTGAAAACTGCATAAATGTGTGTTTGTGTTATATTCTGCAGGGAGTAGTCCAAACCTGATATTGTGAGTGTGATCTCCTGAGGGTTTCCTGTTGCTGTATTGGCACAAGAAGCTGAGGCGAGTGCTTGACTCAGGCTTGAATTGTTGATGGTCAGAGTGATCTCCTGACCGCTGGTACCTCCAGCTACCAGCCCAGAGCTGCCCATCACATGGCTTAGATCCTGAGAACCTTTAGGGTACATATATAATGCATGGATTAGCTCTTTATGTCATATATGTTTGTAACCTCCACTGCTAAAATCATCATGTGTACCTGAAGCATCCTGCTCAGAGAGACCAGCCATCGTGACCTGAGCAGGTGTGATGGAGGAGGGCTGCAGGGCCAGGCTGGTCAGGGGGTGGATAACAACATTAGCAGACACAGAGGGGTCAGAAGAGGGCATGAGCTGATTGCCAGAGTGGGAGACGAGGCCTGTATCAACGCTCAGAGGTTGAGAGAGGAGGCCTTGTTGTAAGGTCTGCTGCAGGAGGGTTGGGTCGATCTAGGGGAGAGAACAAAAGATGCTTTAGATGAAAAGAGGACACATGTACAGAGTGGGAGGAGGAGGTTGAGACCCAATGGGATGTTCTGGGAAGCAGCCTGAGACAAGATTGTTGCTTTCAGAAAAAATACATCAAGAGTAATATACATTTTTGACAACTTAAACCCATCAAGTAGATTAAACTCCAAGAAGTCTGATGAAATGTGATCTTTTTTTTAATGAGCGATGCTTTAAAAGTTACCCAAAGCATCAAGATTCAAGACTTTTTAAACTGCTTATGATCTCAGACTTTGCCTTTTAAACTTGATGAATAAAACAGCCAAGGATGCATTGCTGCAATTCATTGACTGTTTGAATAATACTTGGTGCAAACTAAACTTTGAATCTATTCTGGCATGTAGAACGAATGCGTTCAATTAATCAATGCGTAGCTGTGCGTTCAATTGTAAAGATTTCGAATATCTTTAGCTAAAAAATCATTAAACAGAACCAAATCTGAACAAATGTGATCATTCAAACATTATTCAGCTGTAAAAATAGGATGGATCCCCACTGTGCTGTTAAAGGGGAAAAAATAAATATAAAAAGACATTTATTGTTTTCAAAGGTTAATTCATCCAAACACATCACTGGCACCCTGTGAGGCAGACATGTTCAGTCTTGTTTTGTTCCATTTTTAGATGACAGAGTTTAATCTTCCAGAAGATCACTCACTGTTTTTGATGCATACACATTCACTTGTCATATAGCAAAAAACACAGTTTCCTCTGTTGTAAAGTTAACATCACACACTGCCATAACAGTCAGTCATTATCACAGATTATGTGTTCTGCCTGTAACAAGCAGGTTACTTAATCATCCTTAGATTACAGAGCAGCTTTGTTTTAATGTTTCATCAATGTAACGCACCTCAAAGATGCATTTTATAACTACTACTTCACTGGAAATAAAGCTGATAATGACACACCTCATCTGAAACTATTTTGTACACACTGATTGTGAGGTAACTGAGTGAAATGGTTTCGGGTGAAATGATAATTCTCTCCAGGAATAATTATAAAGTCGGCTGCTGCAAGTGCTCAATTAAATGAATTAGAGACAGCAGGTGCAGTGTTGTGACATTTTTTCAGATTCAAAGCTGAATTCTTCCCACAAACAGACACCAGAAAACACAGAGTTTTAAACATCTCAGACTTTCTGTATTAACAAGCTGAGCAAGGCAACAAATGCCTCTGCTAGTATTACATGGCTAATTTGACAGGGCCACATGAAGCTGGCATTAGGAGGTTATTAGGACATTTAACATCTCAGCATAAATTTTCTGTCCCTGAGATTTAAGAGTATTTTGTTGGATTTCCAAGTAATTCTGATTTTGCAAGACGATTAAAAGTTGTTTCTTCTTAATAAGAAGGTGGTTCCTTGATTCAAAGAATGAAAAAAAGAAAAAAAAGATTGATTTCTAACACCTGAGATCGTTGTGACGAAAAAAAAACCTGAGCGGGATGTTACCTGAAGTGTGATGTTGCTGATGTTGCTGATGTTGCTGGTGTCAATGCCGGAGATCTGGACGTTAGGACACACCAGGTTGGCAGGCGTCAGCTGCAGGTGGATGCCGTCCAGTGTGGTGAGACCGTCTGGGAGAGACACAGTCAGGTCTCCTGCAGCTGCAGAACAAACACACAGTCACACATATGAAAACAAATGATTGAATGAATATTTATCGATCTCTAGCAATCAGATTTCAGATAGAATGAAATGCTCCCTTGCTGATCACACTTGCTGGTGAAGCAACAGTGACCTTTGAGGACAAGAATCTCCTGTGATCCATGATGTTTGTCAAGCTATTGTGATTAAAAAACTTTATCAAAGTAAATACTTTTCTGCACAAAACCTCTCTCTGCTTAACCAAGTCATTCACTTATACAAGAATGAATCTGTTGCTACTTTAGCTGCTCTGTGCTGTGATCGAGGTTTCATTTTCTGTAGATTTTTGTGGCCACTATGGACAAAAGCGGAAGTGTTTTAGCACGTATTGTTGTAAATGCACTTATCTGGCTTATCAGGGCTCCAGAAACGGACTTTTTATAGAGCAGTTTAAAACAGCTTACTTTGTAAATGTATCTAAAATGGGAAGCAAGTCTGGGTCAGCCTGCCGGTGTGAGACAGACGTGGATCAGCAGGACTACTGAGGTTAGTGATACGGAGCTGCTCTGCCTGTCTGTCTTTCTGTCTCTGGTGTGGAGGAGCTTCACACTCCATGGCTGCAGCTGTTGCATGACACGGTGTCTGCAGGAGTCTCCTGCGGCAAGACGTTGTCACCGTTTGTGTAGTGACAGTAATATGCGCGTTTTCAGTGCAAAATAAAGAGAAAAAATGCGCGTGTCGTCTCTGGTCTGACCCGACCACTGGCTCCTGTTTTCCCAGTTTTCACTATTTAGAAATAGCTTATCTTCACACAGATGGGCTTATTCGCTGTTGCAGGTGACAGGGAAAGAGAGATTTTTTTCAAATCTAGTTAAAAGTTCATTAGAAGACGTTTAAGTAGACAGCTATGGAAAACTGCTTGCGTATTCAGGTATTCACACGTTCATTTTCTCATATTTAAGAATATTTTATGATATGTCAACAAAATCTGTTTTTTCAGAGTTTACTAAATACTACACATTGCACCTTTAAATTGGTTTTATTATATGTTAAAAAAAAATTGTAAAGGAATTAAAATCTACTGCAGATGGTACAAAAGGTAACAGCAGGTAAAAGAAGCTTACAAGGACACATCTTAGAGTGTGGACTTGGAAAAAAAAGGAGTTTCTACTTCGGTAGCAGACAAGGACAGCCCTTTAAGCACATACATAATTTTGCATCTAATCAAAACGCTCCTTATAAACACTGCTTGACCTCTGAGCTTACAAAATGCCCTTGTGGTTTCTCTGGAGCATATTTATGAATGAGTAACAACAGAGGGAGTTTGGTGCAGCATCAACTGTTTCCCCAGAAACTGAAAGTGTGGTGACCTATGGGAGAGGTTTAAGCGCCTCTTTCAAAAATGTGTCCAAAATAGAGGAGGAGGAGGAAAAAGACTAAAAATCAGGACTAATGAGCTCCAAGAAGAAAGCCAGGACTGTGAAACAAGTTTGACCCACAGTCTTAGATAGTATACTCCAGGATCAGTGAGGGGGAAGCAATTTCAAAGCTCCAGTCAAGGTTTTTTTACTTTCGATAAATTTGACTGATTTTGTGCATGGTTCTGCACTGAAACAACACAGTGGCTCTGTTACAGCCTTATTGAATATATCCAGAACCCAATAACCCAGTAGGTAGACTTTTTCATAAAGTGTTGTTTAACTTTGTGGACTTGAATTCTGTTATCCTCTTTATTTGTCTTATAAGGCTTAGAATCATTTCTGCTATTTTTTCATTTTCACGAGTATATTTTCGAAGTGTAAAAGGATTTTGCTGCCTTTGACTGAGCAGGCGTTGAAAACCATTAAATAGTTCTTGTTGACTAATGCTGAGGGAGCACACAGAGGTGGTTAGGGGTGATGAAGCACCTTCCTCCTGCCGATGTCTCACCAGGCATTGTGTTGAAATTCGTATTAATCACCAGCTCTGATGCTGCCAACTGATTAACCAACCGACTGACCGACACGGCGAATGATGAGCGCAGCGGTGTTTCAGTTACACCCCTGAACCCTGCTGCATTAATCATCAGCCTGACAGTGCCTTTAGAGAACAAGCCAAATCCTAATAGAGGAAGATGTTGCTGTGTGGTGTGGCAGAACACTAAACCAGGAACTTTTGAGGACATTAAAATTCAGTGCATTTGTTTTGGAGTTTGTTGGATCTATTCCTCCTCTCAAATTAAACTCATCTATTAAAGGACACTCAAACACACTCCTGATTGTTTTTTAAGTAGGCTTCTCAGAACCACTCAGAATAACAGGCACATATTCTTGTCTCAGACTGCTGAACTTCCTTAGTGGTTCAGCTATCAAATTTCATGTCCTAACTTTGTAAGACAGGGATTCATCTTGACTTTCTGTGAATTAAGAATCCCTCCAGGGCTTTCTGCCCGTCCTGTTTGGATTCTGATCTGCTTCACTATCCTGTAACTGTGCTGTATCCTTAACTAAATATGACTCTTTGGCTTTAATTGTTTTTTGATATTGTGAAAGAATATTTTTGCACCAATAATCTGTGATTTGGCCTCCTCTGTTGGTTAGTTTTTTGTAGCAAACTCTCATTTTCTTGGTGACTTTGGATTGGTTAGTTAGGCAGTTCAACAAAAGGCTGATACATTGTCATTCAAAGTTTTATCATAATGCATCCATATGAATAAGGTTTCCTGACTATAAACAGTCAAAATGACATTGTAAGGCATTCTAGTACTCGTACAGTCTATGTGGTCGGTCTAAAATTATGTTCCTGCACAGATGCTTCCTTACCTGACATGGAGGCGGGCAGGATGGCCTGTCCCACCAGTCCTGGCTGCAGTAGGTTCTGGTCAAACTGGCCTGCCAGGACTTGGTTGGCTGGGAGGTAAATGTTGGGGTCAGAGTTGGAGGTGTGTAACAGTCCCACAGGTTGAAGAGCATCCGAAGTTGCCGTTTGCTGGCCCTGAACCTGTCCTGCACCTTGTCCCGTGCCTGTTTCTTGATTCTGGCTGGCCTGACCAGCAGACGAGCCAGAGCGCTTGGATTTGTTTCTGTCGCTGCTCGGCCGGAGGTGGCACTGGATGTGGGTTTTGCGATGGCCTGAAGTTCTGAAGCGGAGTTCACAGAAGGGACATTTGAAGGGCTTGGAGCCAGTGTGGAGGCGCATGTGCACCTTTAAGCTGCCTTTTGTAGAGAAGGAGGTGGAGCACATGTGACAGATGAACAGTTTCTGCCCTGGAAGGAGAAGGAAAGAGTTGGTTTAGTCAGGTCATTTTCAGTTAAGGATAAAACACAACTTCTAATTCATCCTTTTAACCTTTCATTTTTGTTGATGGCTTTATCTGAATCAAGAGACTGATCTTTTGAGACTGGATCATATGTTTGTAGGATTAAACAGGGCTGAAAATATGAGGACATGAAGCGTTTATAATCAGGTCAGGAGCTCGAAGCTTTTATTTGACTAAACTTATTATTCCTCTGCACCTGCAACCTGACTTCAGGACAGTTAGAGTACAAGAAAGTGGCTCTAATTTAGAGTTAGAGAAGAGTACTACGACTTATCTTATGTAAATATGCTACACGTAAAGATACTGCCAGGAGCCAGTCAGCTTAGTTTGGCAAAACCACCTGAAAACAGGTGACTGACTTGAATCTTTTATGAAAATACGACACGATACGATGTGAGATGAGACATTGTGATAAGATACACTTTTCCGTCCCCTTCAGGAAATTTGTCTTGGACTCCAAGAGCTGCACAGATAAAGCTGCCAATTGATGACACAAAGCAAGAGACTCAACAAAGACACAGTCACACAACCCACGCACACTGCACATACACATATTGCTCATACACATATTGTACAAGAATCTCACAGAAATGGTCAAAAGAAACACACTGACAACTAATAACAATGACGAATGACGAATGACGATAAGGAAAACAGGACCAAAAAGGAAATGACAAGATAACACCATGACATGATTGCACAATCCGGCTATATTTTAGGAAACATCATTTAAATACCTAACTGAGGTGGGCATGAATGAGTTTTTAAAGGTAGGAAAAAAATAATGATAACCCACCTTCAGTCCACCCTGAAGCCCTGTCATTAACTTTTATACCTTATCAAATTAATGTTAACTAAAACTGAGATATTTAAACTGGACAAAACAGCTTTAAATGAGGGTATTAAAGCACGTTTTTTCCTTCTTGATGTTAATTTCCTTCAGAAAGTGGATTTTTGAGCGAGACTCGCCTTTTTACCCTTTTCTAGATTGTATCCAAAATAAATCTAACCTATTGCTTCAGAGTGGGTTTTAGCTTTTTCTTTCCCTCTCCAGAAAGAAAGCAGAGGAGCAGATTCCCCCATTTGCTGAACTTTTCTGATATTACAATGTACTGTGACTCTGACAGTAACCAGATTTGCACTCGTGTCTTTTTTAAGTACAGTATTAAAGAAGCTCATTGTTCATTGTCTCACTCAGTACAAAACTGTTTCAACCTTTTTAACCCCAACAAAATCGAACTCCGGAGCTTGAACTCTAACCTGTGTGTGTCTTCACATGGCAGTCGAGGGTAGATTTGACCGTGAAGCTCTTCCCACATTCGTCACACTTGAACGGTCTTTCTCCTGTGTGGATCCGAATGTGTCTAAAAATGGAAACAGAGGGACAAAGGGCATTTCTTTGTCAGCATTATGACAGATTCACATCAGTCAAGGACACAGCTGGTGAGTTGAACTAGTTTCACCCAGTTTGTAGACTTGAAATCATGTTAACAGAAGGCATGATCTACATTCTTAAAAAAAAAAAATCAGGGTTTTTGGCCTCGATTAGGGGAGGACAGGACAGTGAATACAACAGGAAATGGAGAAAGAGCAAGGAGGGATATCAGTCATTTTGAATATCTATCCTGAAAGTGTTGTTACATGAGCGTCAAAGAAGTTGCAGAAACAGGTTGACCATAAATATGAAATATTAAATTGATGCGTGTGGCTCACTGGGAAACATAAAACTCTATTTAACCAGTTATCTCCTCGGGTGACAGGTCAAGACTGTACCGAACAACTAGCTAACTCTGTGTTATGGTGTATTTGGCCACAACTTAAATTTACACTGAAATATCCCTTTAAATGTTGAGCTGCTGAAATAACATGCAGGAGGTGCGAGGATCATGGGTTTGGTGTCAGAGTATTTTATATCTGAGATGTCTGTAACTTCTGTCTTACATCTCTTCTTACCACCTGGACACTGAGTCACAACACAAACATTTGGCAAACAAAAACAGAGGTTGCTGCATTAGGCCAACACATTCAACAACTTCTATCTATGCTGATCTGATCCGGGTGCTCATTTTGTGTGAGACTGAATCAAGTGAGATACAAGTGTTTGAAATGGTTTGTTTATAAACCAAGTATATTTTAAAGGTTCAAGAGGCTCACACAGCTTGTTAAGATCAACATTTTCAGAAGAGGACCTATTTTGTCTCTATGATGAAGGGGTGTTGTGTTTGCAAATCGTCACGGCCTATGCACAGAACAGCCACAATTATGCAAATTAGGGTGGACGAGACTGGAGTTTTCATTTAATGGATCATCAACCAGCGTTTGTACAGGATAGGTGTACTGGTGCCTCATACAGGCCATGGCGAGCTCACACTCTGTCTTGAAAGACCAAAAAAACAGACATGAGGTTTACCTGACGAGGTCACTGGGCTTCTTGAAGCTCTTGGGGCAGTAGTTGCAGCAGTTTGCGAACTTTGGTTCCGTCTCCAGCTCCACCGCCTTGTCTTTGATCTCGCTGATTCGATCCCTCTCGGCTGCTGACTGAGCGAGGATCCGCTCTGACACTGAGGCCTCCTCGCCGGGGTCTTTTGCTAGCTCAGCTGCCTGCTCCTCAGTGAAAGTGATGATTTCCAAACCCCTCCTCTTGGATGACTTTTGCTTCCCATCCTCTTCTTCATCTTCATTGTTATCTTCCATGTCTTGAGACTCTAGACCTACAACTGAGAGAGAAGTTCAGAATTTTAGTTTCATTGGTTTACGCCTCATTTTCGGACACTCAAACTGGGAAGATGATGAGTTCAAATGGACACATTTTCACCGTGAGTAAAAACATGAACTTATCTACACAGCAGGAAATCTTTTCAGCATATCTGAACTTCTCTTTCTGTTCACATAGCTGTTGACATAAAACTTCTCACCCTTCCCTCCTCACTGTGGAGAGGGAACGGCGGTTAAATGACCCTGTGTATGAAAAGTTCAAGGAAATGAAACATCAGAGCGTTGCAGGTGTTCTTACTTTGTTCCTCCACAGCGTGCACTTTGCTCATGTGCCTTTTACACAGCAGGCTGGTCCTGAAGCTCTCCTCACACATGGAGCATTTATAAGACTTGATATGAATGATCATGTGGCGGTTCAGGCTGCCGTTGGTGGTGAATGAGGCGTCACACACACTACACTTGTAGGGCTTCATTCCTGTCAGAGAAAGGTGAGAGAGGTAAGGTTTGCACGTTGAGCTTGGAGGTTATACTTCAAACGTTTTTGATACCTTTTACTGAGAGTTTGATCAATATATCGGCTGATATTCTTTCAAAGTTGATTAAGCAAAAACCTCACATTGCCATTACGTACCATGATACATAAGTCAGGGTTTGTTATGTATGGCAATTAATTTGCAATAATTTACATAGCTGGGAATACAACTTCTATTCTATTTCTATTCTAACTCACTGGAAGAGTACAGTAACATTTGTACATCTTTTTATTTGTTTTTTTCTGTTCAGATACAACAACAATTCACACATACAGTGTATGCAAGAAATCTTATAACAGCTTCTATGAACTGTCTGTAAATCTTTATCCCTTCACACCCACTGTTAGACAAAGGAAAGGAAAGAAAGACAAACACAAAAAAAAATCAAAATTGAAATTATATATTAAAATGAATAAATAAATAGATGAACGTAATAATAATAATAATAATGATAATAATAATAACATTATTATTATTATTAATAATAATAAAAATGATAATAATAATTATTATTATTATTATTATTATTATTATTATTATTATTATTATTATTATTATTATTATTATTTTTATTATTATCATTTTTATTTATTATTATTATTATTATTATTATTATTATTATTATTATTATTATCATTGTTATCAAATAATATAAATAAGAACAAACAAAAGGAAAAAATTAAAACAGGTAAGGAGGAGAGGCATCTAGTTCCTCTCTGGGTAAATTGTAGTTCTGTCTAAGTACTCTAAGAAGGGCTGCCAGGTTATCGGAACCCGCCAGTGAAAATCTAACCTTTTCAAGCTTGATATGAGTTAGGACCTCTCTAAGCCAGCTATTGTGCGAAGGTGGAAGAACATGTTTCCATTTAATCAATATAAGATGTCTGGCCAATAGAGTTGTAAAGGCCAATCCCCGGCGCTTTGACGCAGGGAGTCGAGGTGTCATAAGTGGAGGGCAGCCAAACAGGGCTGTGCAAGGCTCAGGTTTAGGGTCCATATCAAGCACTGTTGCCAGTGTGTCAAAAATATTTGGCGGCAAAAGCCAGTGCGCTTCAGGCAGGACCAAAACATGTGTTTGTGATTAGCAGGTGACTGCTTACATCTTTTACAAGTGTCACTGGTGCCTGTAGTAAAATTGAAATGTAATACCAGCCAACAATCAAGTGAAGTAACAAACCACCTGCTTGATTATTATGATTAGTACTTCTCTGCTGCCTCTTGTGAATATCTTTGCTTTCACCTCTCTCATTCCAAAATGCCAGGTGTGCACGAGAAACACAACATATTAAATCCACATTTGTTTGATGACGAAGGCTGCATGTAATTTATCAATACCAGACCGGATGAGTCACACTGTGATCTAAGAGTGGCATTTGAAATAACACAGCCCAGTCAATACAGATGGGAGGAGACGAGAAAATATAATGGGAACCAATCTGTTATGCATCAACTCGGATTCTATAAGGCGCACAATCTGCCGTGTATTTCTGCAAAAGGTAATTTAAATACATTAACTTATGATGTGCTGAGGAGAGGTGACCCCTGAGATTCTCTTTTCTCTCCCTGCCATCATACATGGCTGATTGAATGTTTCTCTGCAGCGTTTTGAGAACAAAACAAAACATTTATTTATTTTTTTAATGCTATTTCAACATCTAAAGTCCATGCATGACAAAAGGGATAAGCCTATATGATATATAATGCCTGTATTCTCTCAGAGAGACAGACTGTGTTTCATTCTTTAGTATGAACTATGGACAAAGGAGAAGATGTAACAGATATGAGCAGCTACTTTAAGTGGTTGCTGTTGCAGAGAGGAGATGAAAAGAGCGTTGAGCGTGTGATATAACCACAAGGCCTAACCAACAACCCTGAAGTTACTATTAGTTTTCAAGAACATACATGATCTAAATTTAGTTGCATTTCTTTGTCGCAGCTATGGAGGAAAAATAAGAACTTTTCTGAAGGATTTTCAACTCTTTCAGAGCGTAAATCTCACAATCCAATCGCGTATCCACTTCAGGGTCTGTGGATGTTCTTTCATTGAGACTTGTTATGAAAATACCTGCTCTCAGAAAAGGTCAAAAGGAAAGCAGTGTTGTAATAATACTTTAAAGTTTCTTCAAGTTTCATATAATAATTGAAATATGAAATCATGGTGTGGAGGAAACACAAGACATTTGGTAAATAAGGTTATAGCAATAATAATAATCAGGCAACATTTTTTTTTCTAGATATCCCGGTTCAAATGTGGTGCAATAAAATATATATCATAGTCTTCATGGCACGGTGACCTTATGAAGTGTACGCTTACCTGTATGTGTATTAAGGTGTGACTTGAGCACTCCGGCTGATACGAAGGCTCGTCCACAGAGATGACATTTGAACGGTTTCTCCCCTGTGTGCGAGCGCACGTGCTGCTTCAGATGGCTCGACTTTTTAAAGCCCTTGTTACACCAAGTACACCTGGAAAAAGAGAGAAATAAAACATCTTATCGTTTTACAGTTTACAGTGGGCTGAGAGTGGGCGCTGATTATTTTTGAAAGAAAAAATAAAAGACTGTGAAGAGCAAAAAACAAATAAATGAGTGCACCCCTTCAGAGTTATCAGAAAACCTTTAGTTTCCTTTCAAAATCAATATTTTCTATGTCAGACTATACAACAAAATACTCCCCCAAATGTAGGCCAATGATTGCAAACAAGATTTTTGAAGTTGCATACAAAACATTTTTTTTATTATTTAAAATCAGGATGCAAAAATGAGTACACCCCAATCAAAGTTCTGGGAGCCAAGCTAAATTTTAGTTACCATATCGTCCTTATTTTCATCCTATGGTAAATAAAATGTTTTGTTGAACTCAGCTTTGTCCAAACTTTGGAAATTGTACTTCTGCTCATCAAGATATTGAGTAATACATTACTTTTAATAGGGGGTGTACTGACTTATGCTGGGCACTGTATATCAATGTGTCAGCCAATTTTTTAAAGGATAGTAATGAATTAAGATTAAAGGATGCTTCAGAATAAGACAATATGCTTTAATGATTGTGGAAGATCTCACGAAACAATAGAAAAGGCTATTTAGCTTAGACAATACAAACAGCAGGAACCACCTGTCTGCCTCTTTGTCAGGCGTCTCCAAAGAATATTGAAAAACTTGAGACATGGCTCATCCTATATTCCTCCAAAACCCGTGAGGTGTGTCTCAGTGTCACCTCCTGGGCACCATTAGACTAAAATGAAGAGTTCTTTGCTGACAGCCAAGTCTCAACAATCCCCAAAGCAGCTGCCAGATGAAACAAAAGGTTTTTGTGTCTTTGTTGCTTTGGTTGAATGGGCAGGTACGGGTAGCTATTAATTATCTTGTTCTATGTCCAGAAACACTTTGAACACATCAAGGTTCGCTTTTGCAAGAAAGGGGGAGAAGATTTAGACGAGGAGCACCTTGCACAAAAGAAATCTTAATGATTTGACTTTATTTTCATCTTTATCAACTCAGAATCTAAAATGTTCTCTTTTTTTAACTTGTTTTTGTAATTAAGTTTCATTAAAAGATGTTAAGTTTGAACTACCACTGATGAAATCCTGCAGGGAAACAGCATCCCCGGTGTTATACATACACATAAAACTGATGTCCATCTTGGAAACAGAAAATGATAAATAAAAAAATAATAATCGTCTGTTCTATTTTCTCCATGAGTCCCTCAAGTCAATGAGGCACATCCTGGCTGAGATGGGAGTTGTATCAAACCAAGGATGACGCAAAGGCCTGAAACTTAGTGATGAACGACTGGAAATAAATCCATAGAGACGTGGGTGTGACTCTGCTTTTCTTTTGATTTACACAGTTTTCACACGTCACAAAAAAATTGCAATATGTGTTTTTGGCACATCAAAATTACAGATGGAGATAATATGAATCCCACACATTGAGGAGTTGTCTAGAAAAGTATGCATATATCTGAGGGGAATGTCTCTTAAAATATTTCCTGAAAGGTTTAAAAAGAAAAGTTCTGACAACAAAAATAAGGATAGTAGAAGCAGCCATGATAAATGCTGTAAACTTTGCTATTTGTTTTCCCAGGCCCTGAGTTTAGGATGTTGACTCAAACCTCCATCTGTTTTATGCCTTGACATAAAATTGGTTGGATAGTAGAGCACATAAAAACAATTCACACACTTCAATGAAGGAAAACTAAAGTCAACAGACAAGGATATAACCACTTAGCCCCATGGTGGAACCCAGAAATACCAAATGTGAGCACAGCCCGAGGAGCTATCAGGCCTCAATCATCACTCATAAGAAAGTAAAGTCAGCTACTTTTTCAAAAATCAAATCATCTTTAAATCAATATCTTGTTTCATCTTGTATATGTCTTTTGTTGGCAAAAAAAGAGGCCTGGCTGACCAGAACATGTAAATTGACAGCTGTACCTTCACAAATCATCAGGCCTGAGTGCTGCGGCTCAACCAGACTTTGAAGGGTTTGACAGAATGCTTCAAGGACTACTGAGAAAGAGTCTCTCGTACAGTTACTGGTAGTTTCTTTTTGCCACAATGATGGCTTTGGTGAAACAGAAAAAATTGCATCCCCGTTCAAACCATGAGGAGGCTCACTGTTTGGTAAAAAATGAGGGCAGATCTAAGAGAGTGAACAAGAGAATAGTAAATTCATGTTCAAGTACAACTTGAATCACCCAGCCAGGGCATTAGAGTCCCTATTTTAGAGAGTTCATGAATACCCCGGACACCAACAAGAACTAGTGAAAACACTTGATGACCACCTGGTAGAAAAATCTTCCATCTACTTTGACAGTTTAAAAGGGTCTGGATGACTGAAAGCCAGAAGTAGCCCTCGGGAAAGGAGGGTGTGCAACAGCAGCCATGGTTACAACAGTTGGTGCTTTTACAAAGAGGTTGAAATTCACAAGCTGATGAGGTGGGAGCAATTTCTAATACCACGTCGTTGTTTACCTGTAGGCCCTCTTGCTGTTGTCCTCACTGTCCTCCTGGTAGTCCTGTGCTTCAGTGGTCAGCTGTAGCTCAGCCTGACTGCTCTGCTGAAGGAGACCATTAGTCTAGATGAAGATAAGAAGACAAAATTCCATTACTTATAGATAGAGAGAGAAAAAATACAAGAGAAAGATGTCAGTCAGGTCTTGTTTTTCATGTTTAATCCAAGTACACAAACTTCTAAGGGATGGTTGGAAGTGTGTTTAACCCTTGGTTCTTGTTAATATTAAGCTCCATCCAGCCTACACTTTTAAAAACTTTTCTTGACTCATATCTCTTAAAAAACTTCAGCCCTGACTATTAAAAAATAATAAATGAAACATTTAGTGTTACACTCTTTTTATCCTAGTTATTGTGCACCATATCACTGTTATTTTTATTGGTAAAAAACACAAAATCACAGTATTTCCCATATAAAATGGCCTAGATGACTTTTTTTTATTTTTTATTTTATAAATAGACCGGGCCATGTCAATGATGAGAAGTAAAATCGATTTTGGTGCATTTAAAAAATTTTGTGGTGCCAATTTCCATATCTTAAGCTCCCTCCAACCGACTTTGTCCCCAATTTAATTCTGATGATGTTTAGTGGATGAAATAGCGCTTCAAACGTGCTGAGTCTATGAATGAAAACTTTGGTGCACGGCTCCAAAAGGGTTTAAATTATGTGCTGAATCAACCTCTTGGAATCAACCTCACTCTCGGAAAGCAAAATTTAGAGCCCTGGTGATTGAGTGACTACAAAAAAAGGTTGCAATATGTTGTTATGGTACCATAAACACACACTCAAAAACATGTTTTTAATGGAAGTCTACAGTCTGTTTTGTGGACAAAGTAGGCTGGATGGAGCTAAAATGTGGCTACAGAATTCTACAGGTGACACTTTTTTTTTTGTTAATATGAAGAAAAATATCAACTCTCACCAAATTTGATGCCCGAATCTTTAAAAATGTGACTGTCAGCTCAAAAAAAAGATGAAACAAAAGACAAATGTCCGCAAAATGGACATAGTAGGAACCAGGGCTTAAATGAAAAGTGATTTCACCCTTGTGTTGGTAAGTTATCGACAGAGCCAAAGCCACAGGAACTTAGGTTGGAAGGATAAAAAGGTTGGCAGCAGGGTGCAGAGGCTACACTGGCTCCCCTTAGTTCAAAAATACTCCAAGTGATCTATGGGGTGTCACACATAATCAATGATAGCGCTGGTCTAGTAATCAAGCAAATCGCTGCATCAATTAGCAAATTAACTGATTCTGCATGCAATTGCAATTGTGCCATCATTAAAGTTCCCATTTTTATCACATCTTTATGCAAATTTATGCGGCCAAGTGTGTTTTAGATTTTCTCTGATTTTTTGCACAATGAAAACGCGATGAATAACCCACTCTGGCACTTGAGCTACTGGAATAATTTTCTCACTGTGATTATATTCTTTGTGGGCATGCTCTAAGGCCTGGGACTTACCACCTCATTACTGGAAACATGGAGCAGGTTTGGGGGGTGATAGCTGGACGACAGAGCCTGAGACTCCAGGGTGCTGGAATCCTGCAGCTGCTGGACGGTGGAGAACTGCGGCTGGTTGTAGCTCGATTCAGTGATGGTGAAACCTGGTGGGCAAACAGCAAACATTACAAAAGAATCTATCTCGAGTGAGTAATTGGATTTCAAAGTACAAGCACTGACCGACAGGGAAAAAACACTATGCCGCTGGAGATGATAAATCACTTTCAATTTTCAACAGAGTGATCACTCAGTCATTTTGGCAAAACACTAATGTAGAAGTGCAAGTTAGCAATCAATTCAAAAACTCAAATGAAACGCTGTCTAAAGGTAAAACTATGGAGGCTGACTGCCAGATGACACAACAGTGAATGTACAACTCAGCAAAAATGCATTTGACGAGCTCATTAAGTGTGTCTCTCGAGAGAAATGCACCATGAGTGAAGACAGACTTTTACGACTGACTGAACTTTGAGTTTGCTGACACTGACTCAGAATAGGAGAGACAGCAGCAGAAATATAACAGATGGTCTGCAGCCTTGTTTGTTACTGCATCGACGCCATTAAATCACCCTAAAAACAGGAGCAAAGGGCGCTATGTAATTTGACCATACAACCGTTCATTCATAGATTCATACATCACCTGTGATGCATAAGTATGTTCCTCCATTTGTTGGGAGTTTTTTACATTAAGAGAGTAAGCTATTAGAAATACTGTGTTATCACATTGATTTAATCATGATTTCATTTAGTTGTTTTCTTTTTGTTGATTATCTAGAATCTCTTTTGGACAAATCAAAGCAGTTTGATGCTGCTGTAAGTAACCATGACAGACTTCAAGATAAAGTAAATAGCTTTTAATAGCTAATACTACAAGTAAGAGATTTGAAAACAGTGCAGGGCTTCTTTGTTAAACTCAAACATTTGGTGTGACCATTTTTAATCATTGGAAACTTAACCCACCAAACACCCAACATCATTTAGATGTCTTTTTTCAGGCTAAATCACGTCGGTCTGGCTATGGAAACTTGAATTAAGATTAACTGCACCAAAGCCACCATGTCATCGTTCATCCTGAGAAAATGTAAAAGTTGGATTTGTCTGTGGAAAGTTGGCAGCTGTTTTTAACACCCGCCAAAAGCTGCTGCAACTATTTTAGTTTCATAGTCAGCCAACACCATTTTTTGGCATGTTAGCAACTTTGGGTGATTGGCTGGTGGGGTTTAAGTAGCAACCAGATGTTTTTTTAAGGATTAAGAGTTTCACATTAGAGGGGGAAATGGAGTTAATCTTAGAAACAATATATGGATCATTAATAAGTAAATGGTCTTGATGGCTGTGGCAGTTTGGGTAAAACAGATCCTCTCGCAGTAAAAACAAACAATCGTCGTCTTTTTGTCAGTCCATTTCTTTTTGATGATTTTTTAATGACAATCTGAAATGAAAGGCTACATTAAGAATACACACACTTGAGGCAGACAGCAGAAGCAATACAAGAAAATCAGTGCAGGGTAGTTAATTATCAATCAATTACTTTCTTTGAACTTTATGGTCTGAAGTGTTTTAGGAGGCGGCGGTCTAACGAGATTTTGTTTTTGTCATAAATGAATTAACACTCAGATGGGTACATTTTTGAACACTATGGATTTAATACTTCAAAAGCTTGAGAGGACTGCAGGAGGAAAATTGTGACACTCTACATGTTTGTGTGTGTTCCTGTTTGTACCTTGTGTCAGGGCTTGTTGGTCAAAGGCGGGCTGAGGGAGCGCCGGTGTCTCAAACTGGCTGATATTCTGAGGCAGAGCATGTTGGGTATTCACATATGAGTCTGTCACCATAGAGGAAAAGATGCAGAGCAACACAACAGGTTAGTCTGATGCTCACAAACACAAAGATCAATGAAAAGGGCATTCAGTGGTTACAATGATACAAGACAACAGACTTGAAGTCATTTAAATTCAGAGTTATTTCAGGTAATCACTCGCTCTGTCAGTTTTGTCTCCTTTTTTGGTGTTAGCTAAATGTTCTAGAGCAGAGACATCTCTCCAATGGATACAGTATAAAATTGTAAGTAAGTGTTCAAACTAGGAAAGTTTTTCTGAATAGCCAAACAAAGAGTTAAGTAAAGTGTATTCCACTGCAGCAGATCTTCTTAGAAATTGATGCAGAGGTTTTTAGGGATGATTCAGAAGACTGCAAAAACCAACTACAGGCTTCCTCTCCCTTTGAATTTTAATACAAAAAAATCCTCTGACTGCAGGGCGAAATCCCACTTTCAACACTATCAGAATTTCAATGAATTTTGATGAGGTCAAAAGTACGGAGCCTGGCCACAAGACCTTCAATTTAAAGCTGACACATTGGTTCTTAAAGCTATTTCTAAATTCAGAGTTCAGAATGAACAATATGAGACTCTCAGAGATCAACTTGGCTGGTCCTCTGGGTTATTGGGAGCAGCTATTATAGGGCCTTGTGTCTATACTTGGATTAAAATACTGCCACATCATGTTTTCGCTTCCTTTAATGTGCTGTAGTCCACTGTACAACAGTGTTTGTGAACTTTAAAAAGTCGATCACCATGCAGTTTGGAAAATTTTTTCAGAAGAGTAGATTTTTTTTAGATGAAACTTAATATAATGAGAAAGATAACCAAAGCCACCAAACAAGTCAGGAACCGCTTTATATCCATTTTTCCACTTGTCTTCTCTGTAACTCCCTCTCTACAAAAATCCGGTCCTGGGACCAAAGAGAGCAGCACGTGAATGTGTTCAGTAAACCCCCATGTTATGCCACCACACCTTGTTAGTCCTCCCTCTACTTGCCTTCGCCTTGCACGAGGTTCTGGTCAGTCAGTGGGGCCTCCAAAGTTACTTGTTGGCCTCCATTCACAACCTCGGTCTGGCCCAGTCCCAACATGCTTTGCTGCTCTGCAGAGGAAGCAGGGGGTTGTTGCAGGGCATCTCCCTCCATTTCAACCTGCATATCGTGGGCCACAGTGCTGCCTGCTAAGGGGTCTACTGTGGGCTGGGGCTGCAGCTGCTGGGCCAGTTCGTACCTGTGAAAAGAAAAGTAGAACAAGAGATTGATGCAGCTCACATGCTTCAGTCAGACTCACTCCTTTATGTGCAAAAAAAATTGTCCAAACAGATGCACTGACAAAACACAGACCTGTGAGTCTTCATGTGCTTCCTGCAGTTGGGTGATGACTTAAAGGTCTTCTGGCAGTAGGGGCACATGTAAGGTCGCAGGTCACTGTGGGTGGTCATGTGACGTCGCAGGCTGCCGCTGGTCGTGAACGTGGTGTCGCACATCAGGCACTTATACGCCTTGAGACCAGAGTGGGTCCTGATGTGAGCCTTGAGGACTCCTGAGGAGGCAAAACCTCGGCTGCACTGCACACACTTGTAAGGCCTTTCTCCTGTGTGAGACCTGGGAAGGAATGACGAGTAGTATCATGTAAAAAACATACAAATTCACTGTTTTGTTGTTTCATATCAAAGTACATTGTGGTAACATAATTTTAAGATGCCAGAGATCAACAGATACACTGATCAGACTGCTTAAAATTATTAGTGCGGTTTCATGACCAGTTTTTTTTTCCTGTGTGATGGAGATTTAATGTTATTAGCTTACAGTGAAGGAAATAATAATAACAGGATCAACACTTTAAAGACACTCTTCAGAGGACCTTTAAGGACAGAATTTCATTTGCTACAAAGGGTTGATTTTTCAATTCTTGCTTGATGGATAACTGAGAGGTCTTTTAATGGCTCACAAACACAAAATACCATCCATCTGCCTCTCCTCCCACCTGCCAACTTCTCCACTTTTTCTCCTCCAACTCTCTTATCCAGGATTAATTTCCTCTTAACTCCCATGGTACTTTTCTGACACACTGAATCCATCTACTGCTGTCAACACGTCTTTATTATCACTTTCTTTGCTCTCTCCCCGTATCTATCTGTTGACTTTATGTGGATAATCTTGAATCTTATATTCAAGTTCACTTCACAAGCTGAGCAATTTTTACCATCTCAAATAAATAAATACACTGTCTCATTCATTTTAATGCACATGATTGACAAATATTGACTACTTGATCTATTGATCTTCAAAAAGACAGATCCTTATGTACTGAGCATGTGGTGCAGAGAAGAGGCTCTACCTGACGTGTTGTTTCAGATGGCTGGATTTCTTATAGGCTTTATTGCAGAACTGGCACTTGTACGGCCGATCGTTACCCACCACCTCCATGTACTGCTGCAGAGCCAAGCGAGGGTTCTGATAGCCTATTGAGTTAAAAGTGAAACAAGCAACACACCGACTCAAATAAGAAAACATTTTTCAATTTGTGCAACTTCAATAAAGGTCAACAGAGGGGCAATAAACACTCATGCACCGTAACTCAAGGACAAATGAGAAAGGGTGATTATCTTCACAATCATGATTCAGATTCAACACGGCTTTACATAAGAGTCCTTGAACTCGGTCTTACCATAGTCGGTGATGAGGATGGGTTCTTGCAGGGGGATATCAGGCAGAGGTAGATTACTTTTAGAGACTTTGGCTTTGTTGGATTTTCGGGGAAACTTGTGTTTTTTCTGTTGTAAGCTTTTGAAGTGGGAGGCAATGTGTGTTTTTCTGTGGCCCGATGTCCGGAATATCTTGTCGCAGTGGGGGCAGGGGAAAGGACGCACACCTAGGAAAAGTAAAGAAAGAACAGCATTTTGAGAATTAGACAAGTTTTTATACTTTCATTGAAATCTAAACATAAAAACAAATCAATTCAACCATGCATTCAAATCTATTTTCCCTTTGCCAATCACAGGGTTCCTGTGCAAGTATGGAAACGTATGGAAGCAATTTGATCAATTTCCAGGTCTTAAAATTATGGTAAATAAAAAATAAAGTATGGAAAAAAAATATTTTAACAAACTATTTTATCACAGTTATAAAATACTGTTTTCTAAATTATAAAAGTAGGTATTTACAAGAATAATTCTAAAAGGTAGGGTAGGGGAAAGTATGGAAACTACTGTGTAGGAACCTTGCAATCAATGTAAACAATATACATTTCAGGCAAAAACTAAATATGTGAGCAAGCTCATTCAACTTTACTACGTATTTGTCTAGAAAAAATTCACAAAGCTTCATAGTAAAGAAATAATCTATAATTCTGTGACCGCAAATGATTGCTGTCAAACTGTGTCAGCACAATGCCTGAGAACATAGTGGTCAAGAGCGCTAACTCAAAGCTAGCATATAACAAACCAACAGTATGTGGATATAACCTAAAAAAGACACAGCCTTGATATGGTTGTCACAGATGAAAATAAATGCACAGATGCACATAATGACCGAGCTGTTAAAATTTTTTTTATTCATATTAATGCTAACATTTATACCCACCGAGTTACTGACCATTACCCCTCTTAGAGGAAGCAAAAGCAGAAAAAAGCAAACATATGAGTGCAAATTAAGGCTCCAGCCACAGCAGCAGGACTGTATTTACACAGCTTAAGCCTTTGTAATTTGTCATTACAACATACAGCTGAACACTGAATGATAGAGGCTTCCAGGAAAGACAAATCATTAAACTGGAGCCAATATGCTTTATGTCGCCATTACCTGCTGTGCATACTGCTAATGATGGTGCACAGTGTATTTTTTTCAAGAGTAAGACAACATACAGAGAAAAGGTGCATCCAAATCTTCTATTTTCTTTTTTTTTTGCATGGTGTGGACCTGCTTCTCACCTGTGTGCAGCCGCATGTGCACCTTCATGCTGCCAGAAGTGGAGAAGCACTTCAGACAGCACTGGCACTCAAAGGCCTTGATACCCGTGTGCGTTTTCATGTGTGCTGTGAGGGTACTCTTGACGGCGAAAGCTCTGAAGCACTGTTTGCACTTGAAAGGCTTCTCATGGGTGTGGATGCGGATGTGGCGGACGAGATCGCTGGGCTTCTTGAACTCCTTGGCGCAGTATGGACAGCCGTGCCAGCGAACGCCGTTCTCCTCCCTGATGGAGCCTGACAAGGAAAGAAGGGTCAAGAGGCCATCTAGTGTTTCTGTCAGATGTTTGCTTGGTGCTGCTGATGTATCTATAAATACGCCCTTTAATTACATGAATGCAAATGAAGACAAGCACATCTGTGATTGTAGTTTTCTATTTGCATGTGTTCAGTATCTTCACTCAGTACTGATCTGAAATTCTCCTCCAACATGGATTGGCTGAAATTATTTCTAAATGACAGAGGTAGGGTGTGTTAACCTGGCATTTGAATGGGTTTCTTGAAAATGCTCCTTTTCTTTTCCCGGGCAGGTCTGTCAGGAGCTGGTACTTTCTTGCTTTCTACAGTGGCGCCCTCAGTGGTCTGGTTCTGTGACTCCCTGGACGTGGCATCACCTTGTGGCTGGACTACGCTCAGCCCGCTGTTCTCAAGAGCTTGCTGGGATACAGAATACAAATCACAGCTTTGTCAATGTATCATAAGTTACAAATATAAAAACACAAATAGGATGAAGTAGGGCTGGGCGATAAAACGATAACAATATATCAAAAATTAATTTTCCTCAATATCAATATAAAACATGGTCAGTATGTTTTTTGATAGCCAGCATTCTACCATGTTTTGGTAGACTATACGAATAGCCAATGAAAAGGGGAGTTGCTCCAAGTCCACTTCAAGCTGAACCAATCACATGCTGAATTAGAACCAAGTAGCAAACAACTGTGTAGTAGCAGGCTGCAGCTACACGCAACCATAGCACTTTAACACGTGAAACCGACAGCACTGTGGGTAAAAAGAAAAAAACAAAAGAGTGCTACCCCCGGCAGAAATGCAGATGAAGGCTCAACAGATGACAACATCATCAACACTGGCGAGAAAACATCACTGGTGTGGAGGTATTTCATTTTTTTTGAGGTCAGACATGGGGCAGAGAAATGTGTACTGCAAATTATGTCGAGTACATGTTCTCGCAAAGTCAGTGAATACCTCAAATCTTTTTCAACACCTGAAGCAGGGTCACGCGCAACGCAAAAGGTTACAAACCCAGAGCGGAGCCAGGAGCCCATGGCGCCTGTGCAGCCGAAACAGCCGACCATTCAGTCTGCTTTCTCTAGCCCAACGCCTTACAACAAAACATTGAAGAGACACAAAGACCTCACAGATGCAGTTGCTAATTGTATTGCAAAAGACATGCGTCCAATAAACAATGTTAAATTTCATTTAAGAGTAACAGGGAACATTTAAGATTGATAAGTGTTTTTTTATACCCTGATATATATATCAATATCAACTGATATGAAAAAAATATATATTGTGATAAAAAAAATTTCCATATCGCCTAGCCCTAGGATGAAGGCATAAACCTGAATCATGTTAGGATGTTTTATTGTGATACATTAATGAATTTCATGTTGTGCTTACCTAGTGTGCCTGACACCGACAATAATAGGCAAACAAAATTTCACAGCAGGCAAAAACTGTATCCCTGTAAAAATCATATCTTTCTGTGTGCCATTAAGTTCTAAACACCAGGTGTTTATATTCATTGAGCATCCTGTTCCAGAGTCAGAGTATACATTTTCCTTTTCCCTGGGTTGAATGTGGCTCCAAATTCAGTCAAAACAGGAAAGACATTTGGCAGAGCGTCAGCTCAAATTAACATATTTTTAGTGACGTTCTTAAGAGTTTGAAGAAAAGTTTCTTTTCCATCAGCTCTGCTCATTTCTTCTGAATTCAAAATAATCCTGCTGTGGGTGCTACAGTCTGCAAGTACATTTTCACATAAATGGTTCCACTTAGTTTCTGAGATTTAAAGTGACAGATGCTTGTGTGTGTTTTTTAAGTGTGGTGGTGCGCTTGTGTTTATGTGCTCCTGTGCCTAATTGCTCCCAACTCTCACAGATACAAAAACAAGTATAATTTTCCAAAATGTCCATCCTTCAAAATCAGTCACACAGAGAGGTTGGGGCTGAGATGGTGAACTCCTCATGAGCTGCTTTAGGACTGATACTCATCCACTTTCACTTATGCCGGGAGCCTGTAGATCCCAGCAGACCTGCAGGGTCCTGAATACAGCGGAGTTTTGCTCAGGCTGTGTAATTCATTTAATGAGAGTGAATGTCCTTCACCGACCTGCAGGATGTCCTGGTTGATTGCAGTTTCCATGGCGATAACTGGCTCCGGAGGTTGTGGCTGGGCTGTCTCCCCACTGACCTGCTCCGACAGCTCGAGGAGTTGCTGGATGACATCTGTCACCCCCTCACCGCCCTCTGACTCTCCGGGAGCCTGACCTGCTGTCTCTGTCTCCTGAGGGAGAGGTGGAGATGGAATTAGGAGAGAATGAATGAAGGAAAAAGATGAGGACCGGTGTAACAAAGTGCCAATCATAAGACAGGGACAGGTCGTGATTCGCAAGCTGACTGGCTTTTATCATACAGTTAGCAGAGCATCAGCCATTATGTAGCTGACTCATTGACATTCTGGTCATGCATTTTTCCAACAGAGGCGGACATTAATTCAAACAGTGTCTGTGCGAACATTCTGAGTATGAGCGTGGGGCAGAGTTTGGCTCTTATAGAGGAAGTGTACTGTCTTTGTGAAAGTAGTTTACACCAACAAAAAAAATGCGACCGAGAAGATAAAACAGCAAAATTACCTACAAAGACCAGAATGAGGGGCTCCCAGCCTGATATTAAGATATTTATTTATAAAGCCATCTTATTATCTGCTTTTGAGCCAAACTCTACAAACAAACTGCAACAGAAAACTACTCGTTTAACTACAGCTGACTGCTTTCTCCATTGTTTAAACATTTCCAATAATTTGCCATCTGCCTACAGTGTTTGTGTGTGTGTGTTTGGGGGGTAGGGGGTGTTAAGTTGTTCAAGACAAGAACAAGAAAAGCATAATACTGCGCAGAGCGGCGTCAATGTTTAAACAACCCCTGTGTCATGATATCTGCAGACTGCTCACTCACCGAATTGCCGGAGGGCACCTCAATCACAGAGATGTGCATCTTGCTTATGTGGGCATTCAGGCTTCCCAGCTTCTTGAATGAACAGCTACAATCCATGCATGGGAACAGCTGAACACCCTCTCTCTGTAAAACAAACACACACACACACACACACACACACACACACACACACACACACACACACACACACACACACACACACACACACACACAAAGGATTACTTCTATATTCATCTGGCTATCACTGCTCACCTATGATGGTTCATCTCAGTCCCTGAAAAACATGCTAAATGTTGTTATTCAGCCATTATTGTTCATGTATCGAGATAAAGATGTAGAACCATTAACATACATTTAATTCATAAATCCCCACCTTGACTACAGATGCGGTGATTTGACTGCTGGTCAGTCAGATGCAAAATCATATTAGTGTATGTTAGGATGAGTTTCTTTAGTCAATCATGTCCGCCTTTAGGGTGGTGGAGCTGTGTCACTCAAATACCTCAAATACTTTGGTGCTAGATTTCTAGAGCCTTGGGCCTACTACAACTATCCTCAACAAGGACATCACAAAGGTCACCAAAATATGTTCTGTCATGGTATTTCCTTCTATGGACCCTCCATATGTTCACCTAAAGCTCCTTAAAATATGTTGTCCTTTGTTCTTATCGTACACGGATTTTTCTTAGGGTCAACTAAATGTCAGCAGTATGTTTAGAAATGTGGACAGCTATATATACTTGAACAGTCTCAGACCAATCTTTGTTACACTTTGTTATGCTTTGTTACACTTGTGGCATGATGAAGCTGTAACCCAGATCTGTAACCAGTAAAGCTTGTCAAAATGATCATTCGTGTGGACCTTCCATTTTTTATAGTGTGAACATGGGCTGGGCATCCTTACAGTGTATCTGCACTTTTCAACACAAGTATTAAAAAGTGCGTGTGTATCAGTGCATGATATGTTGTTGTTTTAATGAAATACCTTTTTAGCCAAACATTTGGTTAGAAAGTATCACGTCTCAGCTCTCCATGCCCATACATAGTCCAAATCAAAAGTATTAGTATTTTGTTTCTGCAAGACTTGAGGAGAAAATTCACGGTATCATTGGAAAAAGTTGGTCGATCTGAGTCATTCATGATTGATGTTAGCTGATTGAGTGTGGCGCTTTGACCACCATCGAATCTGATGTGGGAATGAAGCATTGATGAGATTTAGACAGAAAACAGCAGAGTCTGTTGAATCGGCCTCGGGGAAGCTCAAGGGACGAACATATTTAAAACAGTCGCACAAGGATGCTTGATACGGTTTGGCAGACTCCTGAGACTCGACTGTGTTTTGAAATGAAGAGGAGATGAGGCTCCAAAAGTAGACCACTGATATCCAAAACGGAAATGACAGCAATAAAAGAGAATGTGGAGTCACAATGAAAAAAGTCAGAAGCTATTCAGAATGAAGCCCGTGTCGACGACTGAGCGAGGCCTTCAAGGAGGACAAAGCACTAGGAAATGATTGCTTCTCTGTGATGGACAAACCACTGCTGACGTAAAGGATAAGTGCTAGTGGACAGTATTGCTTATATAAGGTTACAAAATGATGATGATGATGCATTTAGAGTACATTCGAGTGCTGGGAAATCTGAGACATCCCGCTCGATTGTATCACATCACAGACATGATGATTAAAGGGTAGGTGTGCCCCGGTGTGGGAAAAAAATCGCTTTCATTTCTGGTGTGGTCAGAAAGTGCGTTTTCACCTTTACTGTAATCATCAGGTGAGAGCGGAGGACTGTGACAGAGTGGACGGAGGTGAAATAGATGTCATATGAGGAGGAGGTTAGAGACAGACTGGAGGTGGCAATGATGAAAAGATCAGGGCAGAAATTAAGTCTGAAGAGTGGGAAGAATAGAAAGAAACCAGAATTTCAAAGTAGAGTCATTGAGGGTGTTCGAAGTTCAGATGAGGCTGCAAGTGGGGTTGATATCTGTAGTTAGCAGCAAAGGAAAGACGAGAGATATGGCAGTGTTCCTTCAATACAAAACACAGAGCTAAAGAGTATTTCCTAAACTGTTTAGCACGTTTTTTTTCCTTAGTCTGTACCACTTTGCAGTTTCTCTAACCCTAGAGACCCCCCCCCAATTGAGGTGCCATTGCACATGTCAAATATGAACTTATAGATATGTACCATTTTCAACATGCTTTTGAGCTACAAGGCCAAAACGCCACAAAATTCATCTCAACCATGATAATTTTCCTCCTTCAATTAGCATCTACTGATGGAGTCTACAGCAGATAACACCTGTTTGTAATTCATTTACAAAGTCTATCTTTCATAAGAGAGCTGAAGAACACTTGTGGCAATCAGATTCATTATTTAAATGACTCTGCTGTTTGCCTTTGCACAGGTAAATAGATAAACAGGCCCAATCATGGGCTGTGCAGTATGAGGCATCTCATGAGCAGATTATCTGACCAACTAAACCATTTAAAAAAACGTTTTTTTGGAACATCAAATACAGACTCATGCAAAATAATACGGCCAGACTGCTGAACACAGAGTATCAATTGTGCAGGTTTTTCTCCCCAGACTCAGTCTGAAAGATGAAACATACACAACATTGAAAAAAAGAGAGATGCACTCACTCTCAAAGCAGTTGTAGCTTGGTCAGTAGCTTGATTATCTCTCCTGTCTTTTGCATGTGTTCAGTTGATTATACATCAATTGCAAATGTGTGTAACAAACCTCTTGAGGGACTCGGTTTCTAAATGCACGGCAAGACAAGACACCACCAACTGAAAATGACAGACTCATCATGTTTATCAAGTACTGGACTGAAAGTCTGGCATTCATTTTGTCACGGTTTAGTCTAAGGTCTCTGTTCAGGTCCAACTTGCCCAAAGGATAGTACTTCAAATATGGCACACATGAGCAGTTCGCCTACAGACAGGTCTTCTAAAAGTGAGTCAAAAGGACTCACTAACAGCTCAATCTCTGATGGACTGGATTAAAGATAGGCTCCATGCATGATGGATTGATGGGAACCAAGTACATCATCAGTCCTGACAGTCTCTGATTTACTTTGTCAAAAGGCTCTCTAAATAAGAGGAGCTGGTACAATCAGTCTCATTATGTTGGGAAAGGATTTTGATTTAAAGACAATAAAGGCTGAGAGGATTACATTCTCAAATCAAGGAGCTAGCATCTGCCATTTTAGTCCATTTTGCACACAGTTTTTAAGAGAGGCCCCATGTGGTAATGTGGTATTTATTCAACAGGTAGTTGACTAGTTCTAGGATCACAATGCGCAAACTTGATAAAAATAAAAAATACAAAATCCCTGCAGGTCAGTAACATTACGTAAACTCATCTCTAAATGCTGTTTGTTTGTGATGTGGATTCAACATTTCCAAATGAGATGTTCCAGGGAGTCAAATTAAGAATCTACAGCACCGCTATTACGCCAGTGAAGTAGAACAAGCAATGATGCAAGTCACAATACTGCTACACTAATTTTTACCCAGGTTTAATGCTAGCCACGTTCAACTGCTCATTTAACCAGCCTACTTGTACCACAAACAAAATACATCCAAGGTGGATGGAAATGCCATTGGCTTTGCAGGCATTTCCAACTAACTTCAAGAGATGAAAACTGAAGCCAATAACTGCAGTTCCCTGAAGCTGCTGCCTCCTATTGACTACAAATGGGGGTGTCCCGATACAACTTTTTTACTTCCGATATGATACCGGTATTGTAACCTATTGTAACCTTTTCCACTCAGCTGCAACTTCTTTTTCAGACTTAAACTAAAAATACTGCCACACAGCCATCATCACTCCTCCTACTTGCTGCCTTAGCACACACTGTTGTTGTGATTACATGGGCTCTGCATGCTAGATCCAGGCACGGTTAGATAGAAGTGCTGAAGCAGAGTCTGTAATGGACTGCTTGTATCGGAGTGCTGTTATCAGAGATTTTAGATGCAGGCCGATATAATCCAATATTTGTTTTTTTGCTGATAAATCAATATCGGGTCAGGACAACCCTAGCTACAAAAGCAACCAAACCCCCCTAAAAACCTCATCTTTGAAGCTAAACCAAAAAAAGTGTTTTGTCTGGTATCAAAAAAAATGATTTGGGTGTTATGCCATTTTCCAGAAAACTAACATAGAGGTGACTTTAGATGATCACGTCGATTGTTTGAATAAATATAATATCTGCTTTCCAATGGCCAATGTTAATAATCCAAGAGCTGATGGCTGATATAAAAAGCTGATATCACGTTGTTATTTTTTGACATGTGATAAAATGAAACAATTTAGTCGTGAATTCAAATGAGCAACAAATTGTTGAACTTGAATGAACATGTTATCATGATTGGCTTTCTCTGCTGTTGGTTCAGTAAAAAGGTACTTCAGCAGTTTAGTCCAGCCATCTGTGATTACTCTTATTGTTTTATTTGTTAAAATTTTTAATTAACTTTGCAGGTGTAGGAATCTTACAATGCCATTAATTGGCTGACTCTGATTAAGATAGTCCCTTGTATTTAGTTATGAATCATTTCTTGATATTACTGGGGAACCATGAAATCACTTCTTTCCTCACATCTTCAGGTGCTGAAACTTAACAGCTGCAAAAAGAACTGTGAGATTTTTTCCCAGCATGCACTGGCAGTAGTCAAATAATTAGTGTGGAGCTGGATGTGTGAGCACAAAGCCTCTTTTATACTTTTGAGTCTTTGTTATCTTTTTGATAAAAAAACCTCTGGCCCAGAGCGCTGTGGCATATCCACTGATGTGGGACCCGCTGCACCTCTTGTGATGGAGATCATTGTGTTGCTTTACAATCAGGCTGCCAGAAAGCTGACCTAGTCCAGACAGCAGCCACAATATTGGAAGCAGTCTTCAGCAACGAGTGATTCCTGCCACCATCATTTGCCAGTTAATGGGTTCTTTATAAAAAAAGGGAGAAGCTGAAAAGGACACCTTCACACAGGCAAATTCATTACGCTGTTGACATGGACCTCATCCAGGGAGGACTATGATGAGTCAAACTCTTTGCACTTCAAAACCTCAAGTTTCACAATGAAGACATGACCTCAAAGACAGAGCTCGGTGAGAGAGCAGAGTCTGGGCTAAATGAGACTGGAAAAAAAACATCAGCGAGGACTTTATAAAATTGGCTGCTGTGAATTGCTTACAATAGGCAGGAGCCAAATGTGGAACAAAGAGCTGCAATTTCAACTCATTTCATTTCCAGGAGTCAAAATGCAAGGCAACACGTCCTCTCTTTTCACTGTAATAAGCAGTGAGCAGGAGAGCTGGGATTCAGGGCGTGATTGACGGAAGTAGTGGGCTTACAAACACAAATACACCATGTACAAACACAGGAAAGGTTCAAGAGTTATAAACAAAACCCCTCAGAAACAGCACATGAAAACAGGATAGGTATCTCATATGTTCTGCTTGTTGACAAGTAGACTGTTTTAAAACCATGGTCTAAAACCTCTTGACCCATATTGGCTTTCTTAGTACCTCTCAGTTTCCTGTTTCCTGCTCTCAACAAAAGTCAGCTTTGCATCAGAACAAAATACAAGTATCCGTTTAGCTTTGAGAATGCTAAGCCATGCTTCAATATTTACATAACTCATTCATATAATGTTCAAATATGACACGCATGGATGCCGGCGTGTTTTCCAGAGTATCAGGTTAATTCGTTTCAGGACATGGCCATGGTCAGGTTGTGCAGTCCAATTAGGACAAAGTTTAAGTGCGAGCCCACCTGGTAATGAAACACCCATTTCAAACCACCACTGGACTTTTTCTCCACTCTATACTTTATCAATTCAGCATGTCTCAGCAAGCTTGCCCTAAGGGTTCTTTTGTTGCAGCTGGTTTATCATCCAAAATACAAAGACACCAGAAATCAGAGGGAGGTTTTAAAGTTTTTGAGACAACAGAAGAGAAAGTCTATTAATCAGAGTTTTCTTTTTATAACACAACCCAGGGGATTTTGGGACGATTTAATGTGTCAAACTTGTCTTTTTATTAAAAAAAACAGGAATATAAAGTCAAAATTGGAGATGCTTGTTTCTTGATCTTTTTTTTGACATTGCAAAGTTCACTGACAGTCACACATTTTTTTTTAAGTTAAAACCTTTAAATTACCAAAATTACCACGAAACGGTGAGAACTTAATGGAAAAGCTTTTAGAGAAGCTAATGCTTTCACACTGAAAAAAACACTGTTTGTTATTGCTCTACATTGTTAGAATAGAAGACCAGCTAACCACAAATGCATAGAGTAATTTATTTCATATTTAGTGTCCACAGGAAGTCATTTTCAGAGTTTGTGTGTTTGACTGTCAGACGTGCAGAGATGCTCTCTTACCTCAGAATGAACCCTCTGGACGTGGGAGTGCAGGTTCCCCTTCTGGGAGAAGGAGGCTGGGCAGAACATACAGAGGTGAGGTTTCTCTCCTGTGTGCCTCACCATGTGAGTCTGCAGCACCACCTTCTGGTTGAAAGCCTTCCCGCAATGTGAACACTTATAGGGTCTCTCACCTGAAGGGTAGATCAGGTTACACTCGGGTCAGATGAGATGATGAGAACAATTATTTCTGATTCATACAACTGCATTTTTTTATAAGAATACACAACACTGAAATAAAAGATGAAAGTGTGGGCTAGGGATGTCTATGAGAGATTTTTCATTATGAATCTTCAATGTTCAAATCAATCGAATTTTGCCATTTGATCAGTTTTTATAAGAATAATACACTACACTCTGTTTATATCTTGCTGAACAGCACTCAACGTATTTACCAAGTCCACTCTTCTGTCTCTCAGACTGAATGAAGTATATTATCTGGATGTATCTGTTTGGACGTCGCTGTGTGTGTCGTCTCCCAAAGTGACTCTTGGCTTCATCAGCCAAAGAGCTGCTTGAGATTCAAGGCACAGATGAATCAACTGCATCCTCCATTAGTCATCCAGCTAGCCAGCCAAACAAATTAACATGTGGATGATGTGTAAACAACATGTGGGCGGAAGCTGCTGGTTAGGCGACTTTATCTGTGCCCAGACAGATGAAGGTTTGCACACATTCACACAAAGATAATAGAACTTTAACAGAATATGGCAACTCCACCCACACAGTATCTCTGATTGACAGCTGAGTAACAAACAGAGCCGAGTGTTACAGTCTGAAAGAAAGGAGGGGTAATCACAGCAAACTGCTCAGCTATCAGTGGAGGTCATTTCATGAGAATAAGTTCATTTTAAAAAGTCAAGAGACTTCACGTGTGGCCTCGGGGCTTTCAAAAACATGTGAAATTATGAGACAAAACAGGCAAACGCAGAATGTATAGACTCATAATTCAAAACAGATGTATTAGACATCCAGCATCTAACTTACACATATCATCCCTTTCACTCACCTGTGTGTATCCGTATGTGCCTGACAAGCTGGCTGGGCTTTTTGAAAGCCTTCCCACAGTGATGGCAGCTGTTTGTGAACCCGCTGCGGTCGATGTTTTTCTTGTAGTTTCTGGAGCTCGAGTTGATTGACCTGTAAAAGAAGAAACACCAAGTTTGTAAATCATCCAAGAGGGTCGTCACAGCTCACACAAAACCAGAGTAATCATTTTTCGTTAATATCACATTAATAGGCTATTACGGCGTAAATTTAAGTCATGGTCATACACACAGTAACACTGAGTTAGACACCCCCGATCGATCACCAAGTGCAGCGGATCATTTCAATGAAGTAATAATCATCGTAATAATCACTGCAGATGTGGTAGTTCTTTTGCCTTAGCATCTCAGTCTAATTGCATTTCCATTAACTAATAATCATAAATGTTCTTCCTTGAGCTGTGAAACTCCACTGCACTCAGTGATCGACTAGTCAGGGCTCCCCCACAAACAAGCGGCTGCTGGAGGAGAGTGGGTTAGTTGTGTTTGGTCTCTTTGCTAAAGAAATCAGGCAAAGCTACAAAGATGTTTGATGGCTAGTACTGTGGCTGGGACCCTATATGTACTGTTGATGTAGTTCGGTGCTGTTTTGAGCATTATTTGTGGATATAGAGTGGCGTTTTGGTTGAGGTTCGTGAGTGGAGACAAAGACAGCTGTGTATTGCTAAAGTGCTGTCATTACTTAAGTTGGTATAACTAAAGAAGCAAGCTTTTGGCAACATTCAGCCCTGAGGGGGAGCCTAACTCAGTGTTAATGGTGTGTTTGACCATCATTTAAATTTACACCTGAATATCCCTTTAACTATGCTTTCCTGAATGGTTTGTCCTGGTCAGGTCAATTCTTTTCATATTCTGGTCGAGCTTCTAATGACATTGTTAGGAGATACAATATTTCACATCATGTGTGTTGTCATGTTTAAGAAAAATGTTTTTTACTTATTAGGCATCTTGCAGAAGAACAGTTATTGTGCAGCCAAGAGGTCTGCACAACTTTTAATAAAAACTATGAATAGTGAAAGTGAATCAAAAGTTATACGTACATTTTTGTCACGTTTGTGCTTTTTTGAAAAGCGGATTTCTACTTTGTCACATTCTAGCAGAATCAATCTATATACAAATGCTGGGGGTTCAGCCGGATTTACAGTCCATTTACGTATTTGAAACTATCTTCTTCCAGATAAAGCCTGAAAGTATTTTGTTTTCTTCCATCTAAAGATGATTCTCATCCTATCAGTTGTTTGGGTGTTGTCTGGGGTATCTAGTTTCAAACATCACATCTATCATTTTTCATCATAAAACTTTGTGTATAAAGCACTGCATCTCCTTTCAGGCTTTGTATGCTGCTGCTTTTGCTGCAAAAGACTCTCTTCTCAACCTTGGTTTGAATGTACAGCCTCTGCATGTAACAGCATAAAGATGTTAATGGACAGCCTGTATTGTTTGCCTTGTATGGGTTTATTGTGGCTCTTACGCACATTCAGCTCATGAGATTGAATGCAAATGTAAGCCACTGAAATATGAATGCTATGGCATGCTGTGCATGTTGGCATTAAATATGTTTTTCAAAAAGTTCCTTCCATACATTTTAATGATTTTTTTTCTCTCGTAGAAAAAAAAAACTCACATCAAAATAACAAAAAAAGTCTTTTGTCCAGTGAAGTCTTCTGCTGAAATCAAAGATCTGAAATGGAGCCTGTTTTTTTTGTCTTTTTCTCTAAATTGTTGGCATCTCCTTGGATCTACATTTCTCAAAAGCAGCATATATATTAATAATTCAGTCTGCATAAAGCATTACATTGGAGAACAGATACCGTCTCTAGAGTTTAAATTACCAAGACCAGACTCCTCAGTTATTTTGATTTTCTTTTGACCTTGTGCAATTTTCAGTCTGACTAGCTCAAATGAAATTAATCAGCGTCTGCAGACCTGCCTGACCTCATCTTGACGTGACTCTTCATGTGCTCTTTGAGGTGAGCCGATGTCTTAAACTCTTTGTCGCAGTTCTTGCAGGCGAAGACCTTGACGCCTGACAGCTCTTTTCGGTGGTCCTCCATGTGCAAGTTGAGCTGGCTCTGTAGAACAAATTCATCTCCACACTCAGAGCAGATTAAATTCTGCAAGAAGCAAAGGTATTAAAGATGCAAAACATTTGAAATCCTTCTTCATGAACAAATCGGTGACTGTTAATGTCTTATTTTACTTCTCTTGACTGACCTCTTCCTTTTCGTGCAGCATGACGTGAGACTTGAGACTGGCGATGCGAGAGAACTTCTTGTTGCACACAGGACAGGTGAAGTCTGAGGTTGTGTGTGTGGATTTGTGGAGTGTGAGGTTGAACTCCACATTAAACGTCTGTGGACACAGGTCACACCGATGAGGCTGCAAGAGAGGAAAAGTGAAGTCTGAGTATGGAATAAAAGCAGTAGGAAAATAATCTCAGATGCCTCCCTTTTTATTTCAATCCGTGTTGCTTTTCATTATCCCTGTTGAAGGAGACTAACATATACTCTGAGGTGTTTCACTATAAAGCTGAAAACCTTTTTATTTTCTTTCTCTACTCCTGTCTGACTCAAAAACAAGCATCCCTCTTACCTACAAATCCTGGATAAACCTCTGTATGACAAAACTGTGTGACATATAGTAAGATATACAGAGCAACACTGATATGGTGACTGTTATACAGAGTGGCAGATTACTGCTCTTCAGCCTGGGGAAAAATGTCTACATAAGTGGACATGACTGCCTTCAAATCAAAATGGCTCACAACTACAGGTAAAGCAGCGAATGCCAAGAAGTCGCGGCCTATCATTTTTTATTTTATGTCAGGAAATGCAGTCATGAACACCAGGCAGGCAATGTCAAGAGACTGACATTCAAAGCTGCTCTGCAAATGTGACTAGTCGTGAGATAGTACGATTTTTTAAATGAAGTTGTATGAGGTACTTGTGGACAGTCAGTGTATTTTCCACAGGGGATGCTGATCAGCTCGGGCTCTTTGTTGAGGAATAAAGTCAACCTGACAACCATAACATTCTGTTCAAGGTGGACACAACAGGACCTTTATGAACCACAGTCTACAGACTGAAGAGAGCGCAGAAAAACGTCTGTGTTAACTGAAGAGATCCTGAGTTACACCGCTGTATGGATGTGTTGACTTCAAGATCAGAGCCACAAACTCATAAGAGGACTTTCTGTGATGAGACTTGGTGACACCGATATTTCAGGACATTTCTGAATCAGAGGACACTAGTGACACACATTGGTGCAGTCTACATCACCAGTGTTTTGCCATACTGAGCGCCTCTGATTGTTTTTTACTTCCTTCAATAATTGGAAGTTAAATAAGAAAACCAGTAAAGACAAATGGAAGTGCATCTTTACAGTGAGGGTTCATCTCTCGTTGTTTTAAACCCATCATGTGCACAACATATTTACCTAACTAAAGCACACTGTGTTAGCTACTTAAGGGGAAGAATAAGCCGAAGTTACAAACTCTACACACATTAGTCTTGCTGCACAATAATCTTGGACATTTAGTGCTCTGGTTAATGCCAAACTTAAAATTCACAATATATCCATGACTCACACATTTAAACCTCAACAGCTCAGCCAAGCTGCGGAACTATGAATGTGCTCCATTTGTAAATAAGATAGATGCACTCACTATTAAAAAGTACCTCATACAACAACCCCATTAAAAAAAGAAAAAAAAGAACAATCCCTTTTAACAGCGCAAAGCAAAGTTTTGCACATTTTGCTTGTCATTGCTCCTTGCAGTCCAGTGTCTGTATTAGTGTCTTTGTTGGGGATTAGAAAGACGGCATGAATGAGAACGAGTGAGTACTGGTAGATGCTGAAGAGTGAGCAGACAAAGATGTGAGTGTTGCTGAAAATTGAAATATTGAGAGATAGGGCTGTAAGAACAAATTAACGGGTATCTGTCTAGATAATTAACAGAGACCTGTATGTACATTTATTCTGTATGACTTACTTTAAAATCATGCAGTTAGACTAATACCAGAAGAATGAGTTCCCTCACGAGTGTATCCGTACACACCTGACAAACAAACTATATTTGAAGGCATGGACATTACAGAGCGAGGTCAGGCTCTGGTAATGAAAACAGACACCAGATCACTAACTCATTCAATGCATCAGAGGCTGTGATGATTTATATTTCTTCAATCATTGCAGTGTGTATTTTAGGATGTTCCTATGCAGCACCACAATCTATGAAAGGAAGAAATAGAAATTATTTCAAATAGTCACTGAAACTGAAACACTGCCAAAGAAGAAATTGCTTCCTTGGTTCAATATGTACCAGACAGGATGTTATATTCAAAGTGCTATTTAAGAACATTATTGGGCTACTCAGACATAGAAACCTCAAGAAGGAGGGTTTAGGTATTTTAACTTTAAGCAGTGAAATTAACAATTGTAGCTCTGCTGTAGAAGCAGTACATGTAGTCATTTTCCATTTCTGTCCTCATTTGAAGTTTGACTACGACACTACAACTTAAAGTTCACAGTGTTCAGATTTCAGAACATGTTATTCTCCAGTGTTTCATTGCTCATTAAACATGGCACACATGTCGTGACTCAAACAGGCCTGCTTTGGGACTTCTTAAGCAGGTAATTTAGTCAGCTGTGACTGTGGTCATTCAAGTGTTAGGTTTGCTCTGGAGCTAAGGAGGGAAGGATATAGTGGATTTGGAGGGATACCATTAAGGAAGAGGAGCAGAAGAAGAAGCAAAGGAAGGAGGTGGACAAGAAGAAGAAGAAGAGAACCTTTACTGATCCCCAAGGGAAATCCAAACACTTTTGATTGGATTTCTAATGAATCAAAGAAGGGCCTTTTTTTCATGAGTGCACCTATTTTTAAGCAATGTCACTATGTTCAAGTAATCACTATGATGCTGTCACTACTAACTGCACTTCCCAACAGCAATACAGTCAAACCATAGGCTACTTTGGCCCTCATGCAGGTGTATCTGTTTTCTCTCACCGCCTTATCTCACTGAGTGCCGTGCCAACATCCACAGCTACTTCGCTTGAATCTGAGCACATGAGCAACTGGTTAATACACATGGACTGTGCAAAGTGTACAGTGTTTAGAAATAAAGTGACCTTCATTGATGCTGTAAACGCTATCTCCAATTTTAAGTGATACTGTAAAAGAACACGTCCCCTTTACTGTACTGATTAAAGAAATCTCTGAGGTTACATGTGTGTTTTGGTTGGTAGAAGGGTTGAAGTCACTAGGCTCCACCTGCTAAATCCCTTCTGTTCATGCCTTGCCTCCAAAATATGTCACCAGCCAAACATGCCAGGGCCATAGTGAGAGTATTCTGGCTTCACTCCTTATGACGGGAGGAGATGGATGTGTACAGACCCTATTGAAGCAGTCAGTCAGATTATGTTAAAAATGGCTGATTATACATTAATTAAAAGACATTTAAACAAATACATTATACCCACAAGAACACAGCCACACTGCAGTGTCCAACAGGAATATGTCCTCTGTGTCGATGGTAAAAGGATATTCCAGAAGCGTTGGAAGCAGCTGGCACTAAGCTGAGCCCTCTGCCCCATCTGACGAACAAACAATGGCATCTACGACAGCTTTAACTTCCACATTGTGAATAATTACCAGAGCAGAAAATTCTAGGACACTTCCAGCTTTGACGCAAAAGCCACAAGCTCGGCTCGCATCCAACCTGTAGCTGTGACATTTCCAACCTGCATGGCAGACTGGAACGCTCTTTAACTGCATCAAACTGGTGTGGAAATGTCAGGTGAAGAGTTTTCAGTATTTTCACCATGTATGGAGTTTTTCTTTTTACTTTGAGAAGGTAATCCAGACCACATCGACCACAATACAGATGCTTCTTACAGCTCTGGCAAAGCCTTGAATGCTCCCCAGCTCATACCTACACCATGCCCCTAAGTAATGCAGCAGCACTGTAACAATTGTTTTGGTAATTTTTTGTTGTACGGCATTTAAGAGTAGAGCTTTCTATAATGTCATTGCTGTGAAAATTACCCTCAAGGTGGCTTTAAAGAAGTGATCTGAATCTCTGTTCCCCCAGAGGTGCTGTGTGGAAGCCAACAACAACCATATGGGGACCAAAGGGCCGCAAGGTAATTCATCTAGAGTCCATGGGAGTGGAGAAAGAATACAACACATACCTTGTCATTGATCTCATGTTCACGCTGATGCTTCTGCAGCTGGCTCTCAGTGGTGAAGTTCTGGGAGCAAATTGTGCACTTCTTGTCCTTAAGCTCTCCATCACTGAAACTTTCCCCTTTAGAGTCACTGGGATCTGCATCTATTGAAAGGCACATGAGAGAGTATTTCAATATTCTAGTTTGGCACAAGAGGCTCTTCACTGACAAGAAGAGCCAAAATGGATTTAAACCGAGAGTCTTTCAACAACCCTTTTCATTACACAGGTGCTGAACTAAATAGCTCAATGTTTTTTAAAACGACTAACTCAATCCAAAATGTGTTTTTATGCACCAAATCTTTCAAGAGCTCTCTCTCAAGAATAAAAGTGCTGATGAATGTTGAACATGACTATGCACCTTTTTAAAAAAGCCTGCTGTTTATTTTCAAACTGGGGGCATCAGAACTCAAAGTACTTTCTGAAGTCTTGGTTTCACCACACATGCATCAGCCTACTTTGTTTACTACTGTGGTGATGTGCAAACTTTAGTAGTTTTCACAAGATCTGAACTTAGTCTTGTAATTTATGTTGGTTTTCATGTGGTTAGCTGGAGATCTCAAGTTACTTTTGTCATTATTTTGAATGAAAAGACACGTTTCTGGCAAGACGAAATAATTACAAACGTATGATATTTTTGACATGAGATGGCAATGTGAGCAGTTCTGCTTATACAGCAATAAAGTGACACATTGATTATTGCAAACACAATGGCAACTTTCCCACTCCAACAAGCTTGAAAATGCCAGTTGCATGGAAGTATTTTAAAAGCCAGGGAGCACGTCTTTAATGCTCAAGACGAACAAATGATGTGATATGGACCAAAACAACAATCTTCTAACACTTTAATTTTATTGTGCCTCACAAGCTTAACCATCCTATAAGGGTTGAGTTTCTGAAAAGTAAGATTAAAAGACAGTCAATAAATCTCTCACAGTAAAAGCAACAGGAAAAGTATAGAACAGTAAAGTCTGTATCAGTATTGGCCAGAGTAAGTTTAAAATTTATGTAGTCCTAAAAAAAAAAGGCTCACTGTTATAAACCAGATCATAACACGCCATGCAGCATTGCCCACATCAGTGAGGTTTAGTCTTGTGCAACTCTGAGGATACATTGATCCGAGATGAGATCTTAAGAAAACTGATACTGAATCGTTTACATGATCACAATCATCCGATGAATCAAGTACAAGTGATAATCTGATTTTACCGGATCACATGCATCATTGAGGGAAAAAAAATGTAACACAAGACTGTCAAGTATGTGGCATAAAAACTCAAACTTCCTGTTCTTATTAGACTTCCTGTGTTGTTTTCGACATGTTGTCACCACCAGTCAGGGTTTGACCGTCAGCTATGCTTCTGCTGGAATTGTTAAATTTCCTTCAAACATGCTTAGTTGTATTCTTATTTTTGGTGTAAGCAGATTTGGAGTCAAGAGTGGTGAGGAAATAGATGAGTTTCAGGGAATCGTTAGTTTCTGATTGGGGACAAAATTTCAGAATGTCTCAGAGAGCATTTGTGAACGTGTTTTCTCCTTCCTCTTCTTCTGTACTCTCTTCCGCTTGCTTACTTTCCTCACGTGCAGATGTAATTTAATGAAAAGGGAAAATCAGATCATGCAGTGTACTTGCATTGGAAACAGATTAGGGGAAACACAGTGTTGATCTGACTTTTCATAAACTGATGGTGGATTTTCTGACAGAGAATATCTACAGAGAATCCCACTACTTGTCCAGTAACACCGGATATAAAGACAAATAAATGAAACAGAAAGGTAAATATGGGTTCAGTGTGCATGTAGCTGTGTAGGATGTATGTAACTATCAGCTTCTGAACTAACATTTGAGTTTCTCTCGCTGTTTCATAGAATTTACACAAATTTATCAGCAGTTTTGTATTTAATATGCGTTTTATGAGACATTATTTGTCCAAAACTTTAGGACGTGTATTCTATATTACTTCGGACAATCTGTTTTCACTCCCTCAACTTGACTGGAAAAGTCACACACATTCATAGGAAGCTATGTGACTGATTTCTGTAAAGGCGATGATACGTGGAGTTTATATCATAAGGTATTGTAACTCCTTTATTTTTGATACAGACCAGGTTTACTGAACTTAGATCAATCAGCGGAGTCATCATATCTGGGTTTCGCTCAGTATTCTGATCATGGCACGGACAGTGCTGGTAAACAGACTGTATTCACCTAACCATGTCCACTCTCGTTTTGGGTCCTGTCATTTCACTACTGCACGAGCTCACCCCGACTAAACAGAACTCCTCCACGCGCAGCTGGAAAGCCTCGCTACACTGCCTCGCGGGATCAAAATATCAGTTACCAACATTTCGGCGTCTTAGCATCGATGCTAACAGTAGCGAGGCAAGCTAGTTAGCAACGCGAGGCTAACAATGAATTACTAATAAAAATATTGAAGTTTCAAGACTGTACATTAAGTAAATCTACACGGTACCGCGGCTCATCTCCTCGTGGACACCAATTTAGACTGGAAGCCAATAAGAGGAGGCACCGAGTTGTTATTAATATCATTCCGCCTCAATCACTCCTTCGCCGCACAAAGCAAAGCCCACCCGCAATACTATATCCGGGGACTATATACACTACATTGAAGTGTCATTATAAAAGATACAGAGCTGTTTAACCAAATAAGAGCGGGTTATTTGGATAGCCCATGCACTGTATTTTTTATTTGTTGCATTTTGATACTTGTTACCTGCTTCGTCGCTGCTTTTAACTCTCTGTTTGCGAGGCCGGCCCCGCGGCATAGTTCCAGTACTCGGAGTGGGTGTGCTGTGAACGATTTGCTTTTCAAAATGGCGACTCTGTCATCTGTAGACAGCAGCGTACCCATGAAGACTCACAGCTGCATGGAGTAGGGAGACATCTACTGTCGGACAAATTGTACATGCAACCTCAGGTACATAAGTAAACAATTCTTTTATTATTATGTGGAAAGGGACACTATTCAACAGTGTCACAAGAAAATGGATAAAAGTAATTAATTGCATTTAGGAATACAACTGTAAGTGGCTGTTTTGTGTGCTTTTCTGATGAGTTCTTGAAATTAGCTTACTGTAGTTTTTTTTTCTTTAGACACAATTATTTCTCTCAATTTTACAAAACATTAATCAGAATTTAAAAAGAAATTCTGAAAGCATATAAACTGTCAAGTGCATGGCAGCCAAATGCTTGGATGATGTCTACTCTGCAAAACAGCACAATTCATCAACTGTAATTGTCTCATATCTTGCTAAAGTATGATTGAAACTTCTTTTAAGTTGATGTGAGCTGACAAGTCCAACTTTACATCTTATTTTGAGGTATTTTAAACTCCATTCCAATCCCACAAGTATGCTATGACATCTTTCTTGAGGAAACTCACCAAGAAAATCCTGCTTTCTGCAGAGCAACTGTTTTTACACATTACAGATCCTTAGTGTGGCTACTAAATACAAGCCACTCTGCATTGACTTAATAACTGAGTACTTTGGGAAAATATGCTTGTGGATAAATTAGGCACATCTTACTTCTGTCACCCCCACCACCAAGTGTTTTCTATATTACTCAGTACATGAGGGAAGATGTTAGATGGCACCATCACCTCTGTTATGACAACCCTAGGGGCGGCCAAAATGCATGGGCCAGTTACCTGTGTGTTTATGGAGAAATGGTGGATTTTTAGCAAGTGGAGCTTAATGCACTACTTTTTGTGTGAAAAACTAAACTCTGATTTGAACTGGATCCATGGGCATCACCAGCCTGCCGTTTGCTGTATGTCAAAATCAACACTTTGCAAACAGTACCATTAAACTAATTAAGGGGACAATAATGATTTGTTTTATTTATAGTCCACCTGAATATAATAATAATAATGATACTACTACTACTACTACTACTACTACTAATAATAATAATAATAATAATACATTTTATTTGTAGTGCCCTTTACATGCAGAGACCTCAAAGGGCTACGTGTTAAAAGCAAAAAAGTATCACAATAAGGAATATAAAAACAGGTTATTGGTTAAAAACAAGAGAAACATCTCATCAAAGGTAGAGTTAAAGCAAAATAAGCAGGTTTTAGAAAAAATAATTTATGAGGAGGGACCAAAAGTTCTGCTAAAAAGAAAAGACAGACAAAGATAGGAGGACTGGGATTGCAACATATGTTTAAAACTAAACACAACATAGGAAGAGTCCAACTGAAATAGAAATATGATTTAGGTTGCAATTTGATAACAATCATTAAGACAAAGTGAAAGTAAAATGAAACATGAGATACAAGACTTCCTGGTTCCCAGGATGCATGTGTACACATGTTCAAAATGGAGACAGTCACAAAAGCAGGTTGAAATGGAATATCAAATTTCACCTTGGGGGTAAATAAAGTTCTTCTTATCTCATCTCATCTTATTTTATTTAGGCCCTAAACAATAAAACTTTTATGAAACAACATCATAAGAAAAATAATTAGTAGGTCTAATTTTTGTATTACTTTAACCTGTCCAAGTCCCATACCAAGTCAGTATGTATCTTTACCCAGGTATACCTATTGAAAACATTAATAAAACTTTATATTGGGACCCAAAACAACTCACAAAGTACTTGTAGAGATATTGCTGGGATATTACTGATACCATGGAGAATAAAATTACCTCAAAATACTGTATGATAAGATATCTATAAACTCACCCATGACAGTTTAAATCCCTTAAAAGTCTCAGACATAAAGAGTATAGCATGTGATATGTTGTTTTTGCACGCACAATAGAGGGTCGTAGACAATATGATATTGATTTTTGAGGCAGGTCATAAAATTACTTTTACTGCCTTTCAATACCAGCAGGGGGAGGCAATGAGTTATGTAGGAGTTAGATCATTTATGGGCCAGTAAACCTGGCGATGTCAACTCACTGTGCTGAGTCCTGTTTGGGGTTGTGTTGCCTGATAAACCACATGTTTTGCTCAGATTTCCTTTATATCTGAGTGAGTTATTGCCTTTCATACAACTGGTGCAGGCGTGGAAAATTTAGCATGACACATAACTTTCCAACTAGAATGCCGACATGCAGCTCACACACCTACACAAAAAAGGAACCCAGGATGAGTTAGACTTTAAGATCAGAGATTGGTCTCATTTTTAATTTTTTGTATTTGGGTGTTTGTCATCTCGTGCAACTCTGGTAAGGATCTCCTGTCTTCATCCACGACAACAGGAAGTCAAGAGAATCAAAGTTTTTGGTTGACACAAATGGGCACTCTATTTATAGGTAAGTTAGTTAAGTGGTGTGTTGAAATCAAGGAAGGAAAAGGGACAGAGGATGTCAAGGGTCTGGAGGAGTAAAATGAGGTAGTGGAAGAGTCATTTCAATTCAAGGCAGGGGCACTGTGCCACCAGATCTGTGATTAAATGATTAAATGTGTCCCTTCAATTCTTTTTCTTTTCCTTCTTTTCCTGAGCTTCAATTTCTGCATGTTACAAGATGAAAAACTGTTTAATACTTGCTAAAAATCATATTGCTGATGTAGTCTTTTTTTATGTTGTAAACCGTATTAATAAGCAAGCACCAAATCAACAAATTTTACTCTGAGTCAAGTGTAGTGTCTCTGACTTTTTAAAGCCTGTTGATGTTTCGAACATGTGTGTTTCAACACACACATGTACAATTTTCATCTGACATGCATTCAAATCAAACCACCAGTGGAGCTGTTTGGCTAGTTTAGATCATTTGAATGCTCTTATCAGAGCATGTGTTTTAAAGTTAGCATGTGACACATCTGCTGCTGCTCTCCTGAGAGAAAATAAACGAGAAGTAGCATTAGCAAAAAAGAGTGCTACTCCAGCTCAGACGTTCTTTGAAGAACAAAAAACACTGAACTTTTTAAAAATCTTTCACACAAGACTACAATACAACTCAAAGGCCAAATACTGATGTCCACCCTAAGCACTGTGCTGTCATTGATTTGAGTGACTTCAGGCTTTCAGTCAGTGAGGTCATGAAAGCTGTAGATGGTATAAAATGAGGAGGCACTATCATGCCACCACATGTTGCCTGTTTGAAAATAAAAGATAATAATCTGACCCCCAGAATAAAGGATCTTAAATCAAGCGTTGATATTTAGGAAAGTATCAGTAGTTAGAAGAAAAGTGTCAAAACTTGATGAATATTTTAGGAAAAACCTTTTCATGCTTGCTGTGCTGAAATTTATTTTCTTTTGAAACTACTTTAATATGCCAACAATTGTTTCAGTTAGTAGGAGACTGGACAACTGTTTCCCTTATGTCACCAAGTTCTCAGAGAAACTTGGGTCCTTAAAAACAGACTCTAAGTGAGACTAACTGGTGTAAATGCTCAGTAAACTGTCAAAATTAAGCACAATTTATCTAACATGGCTGAACTCTGGAATCTTGAGTGTGGCTAATGTTAGAGTTGTTGTACTTTGAGGTAAACATTTGCATGCCTTTGCCGGTTATGAATTACAGCAGTTGGTTACATGGTAATTTAACCGGTCAGCCCATATTTAACTTTTTTTTTTCCATTTTTTAGATCAAAATAGAACATGTCCCAGTATGAGGGGCCATCCGTCATTTGAATTTGTTTACTTCTGAGTAGAAGAGCATTGTGGCATTACAGCAGAAGCTACTACTGCACCAGGCACCGGTCAGTGGTGGGTGGCAGCACTACAGCCTATTCAACATATTCCTACCATTTAAATGCCTTTCGTAATGAAGATAGTAAAAATGTGGTCAACCAGCTCATAGTTCTAGTGCCAAATGATGGTGGCAAACATCTCCACTGAGCCCCATAATTAGGTCTGTAGAAAAGCTGACTTAAAGAAAATGTGTTTTCGTGTTGTAAAGTTTTCTTTGCAGAGCTCATGCACTTGATGTGATGAACAGCACTGAGAGCTCACGTAACTTCTGGGGATGTTCATGCATATCGAGTTTGGGATTGGGCAAAAGTTTCTTCGTAGACAAACTTTGACTCGTGAGAAACTTTGAATTTGTGATAATATGAGAGACTCTTGTGGACAAAGTGGTGCCCTTTATCTCTTTGCTGATTTATAAAAAGTGTATATATATATATATATACTTTTTTTAAAAGGCTGTTTCTACAGGTGTGCTGTTAATCACTGGCTGACACTGACCCTGAGGCAGTGGTTTCTTTGGTATTCATCACAGAGGAATAATCCATCTTGTTGCTGATGGTGTTGTTTGCTTTTGGAGATCATTTGTAGAGGTGCCTGTAGTTTTGTAGATTGTGCTTACAAGAGCTGTAAAGGCACATTTGTAGATACGCATCTGTTGTATGAATAAATCTGTTAATTACACTAAGGGTGATTGCCTCAGCAACATTTCTTCCTCATACAGACCTCGATAGAAAGGTAGAAGGCAGTGATTCTGCTGTAATTTTGCTGTAAGTTTCCAAAAATGAGGAAGTTGGCCCTTTGACTTGTAGCAAATAGGCATCCAACCAAGTGCATGTTCATTGTGTAAGAACATCTGTTCCTGCCAAGCCTCCAGTCACTCTGCTGGTCCCCTCGTGGCTGTGCGGGCCACTGATCTCACCGCTGAAAACAAAAGACTGGACATCACTTTGACCTTGTGGGATTGTCCACGCCCATCTTTTCTCCCCTCGTTTATCTCTCCTTTCTCTGTGGTCACCGGCTCTCTTCCTTCTCACCGCAGTCAAAAGGAGAGCGATCAATCATGATCAGGATTGTCATGAAGCCCACCTCTGTAAGACGCAGGCTAAACTGGCGTTGTGAAAAACATGCTGAGAGGGAGAGAGTGAGGGGGCTGCTGTTGTTGAGTTGCATCTTGAGGCTTGTCATTCATGCTAACAAGCCTCACCAACAACACTGACATCAATGATACAGGCTACTCATTGCCACAGACTAGACATGAGTCAGACTTGAAAATGCGGTGCCTGTTTGCAGCACTTTGCAGATGAGGTATCCTGTGAAAAAGCCATGTGTAATTAAAGATTCATTCCTCAATTTCTTAGCGATCAGAAACTTCCTTTGCAATTCAGAGACATCAGACTTGTCTCAGTCAGAGCAGAAACACTTCTGATTAATGCATAGGTTTATTCAAGCCAAGACACTGTTGTCTGCAGATTCAGCAGACAAAGCCCAAGTGAGCCGTCTTTCTCAAACAAAGGATAAATTCAGACACAGTACTTTCCATATGAAGCACAAAGCTGAGCTGTAAATTCCTCCATGACAGGGGGAGATTGGTGACAGGTCTCACACTGACCCTTTGGAGTGACCTTGTTCTCTAACATTTCACAACCTGCCAGTGTTTCTTCTCCCAGGTGTGGCAGAGTCCCCCCCTGTGCTGTCAGAGAGCACTGTCCCCATCCATGGAACCAATCATTCCTCAGCATTATGGAAACCTCATCTGACAGCCTCGGTCACCATGGGCGTCCTCCCCTGTGACCATTCTCCACGGGGGACCGCAGCGGTAAGGCCATGCTTAGCAGCACTCTCTGCTCTGCTGGGTCCTTTCTTGGTAGAGAGGTGTGTGACTCTAAAGCTTTTCTGCGAAAATCCTGAGGAAAAATCACACAATGAAAACTTTGAATGTGGAATAAAAAAAAGCTGCAGTCATGAAAAAAGAGATCGAAAAATATAGCATCTGAATAAGGAGTGAGCAAATGAATATTCAACATCTCACGGTTGGTAATTGACAAACTAGAATTAATAAGAATTGTAATGAGATATTGTTAAGAGCACGCAGTGGATCAGAGAAAAGCTGAATAATACATCTGATATTAAAATATACAGACCTAAGATTACAGTGTGAACATGCTGCATGTACAGACTATGCAATATGCACTCTATCACCATTCTTACATTTGGTATGCAGTTATACACAACGTGTAAAACTGTGGGTTTCAATGATTCCCAAGAACACAGCTCAAAATAAAGGCAAATAAAAGCTGTGAGATGTGACAGAGTCAGTGTGATAACCATTAGATTGTATTTCACCCTCCTATTGTTCCACACTGGTTTGTCTCTGCCTACCTTTGTCTTTTGTCTTGTGCTGATTTCTGCCAGCGTACTGTGCAGAGGGATGTGGAGATAAGGGAGCTGTTTGTGCATATCCACTATTCAGCCTCCCACTGGGTGTTGTAGGCAAAAGAGGTAACGAAGGAGGGGGGTGAAAAGAAAGAGAAAGTGTGCACAAACAAAACCATACAGCCAATAACAGAGGTACATGCTTACAAAAACAAAAAGACAAAATAAAGCCCAACTCATGGTTAGCAGTGCTTGAGAGATGAAATAGCTTTGCAGGAGTGTTTTGTAATCAATAATGCATGGCTGTCCATCTTCGGAAAAGAGAGAAAGGCCCTCCAAACACACCAGAGGCATCAGACACTTTTCATTTCATGCTGAAGGTCAGCAGAGCAGCATGGACGTCCCTGCAGTGCAAAACACCAGGAAGTAAACACAGAGAAAATCACTCTTACGTTCAGTCCCCTACACAAAGAGTCATGCTGTCATAAAGGGACTCTCTTCAATGATAGGAGATTTCAGATTGAGTGCTTTTGATATCATATAATCAATAACGTAATCTTATCTGTTTGGATTGAGGGTTTAGATTACAGCCTTTAAGTGTTATAACCTAATTTAAGATATGGACGGAAATGCCTGAGGTCCGACAGAAGTATGTAGGAGACAGCACATTTCTTTCCAGTTACATGTTAAGAGTTGACATAGAGGTGTGTGACAAGGTGTTATCCTTATACTGTTGCTAATTCTGCCTCTTTCTTGTGACAGTGTTTTTGCTGAGACAAAAAAATATATATCTCACCTTGTCATTTTTATGATTAAATTCATCTCTCCCTGTGAGTATTTGCTACAGGAAAAGTAACAAAGACTGTTTTCTCATTGTACATAACCCCTCACAGCAGTAAGAGACATTAACAATTACAACACAGAAATTGTCAATCTTGTTGTCCCACTATGGACAACTTGGTTCCGCCTTCTGCCAGTATACGGATTGAAAGCCAAAAAGCTCCCGGTAATTCCGCGTTTTTTCTCCACCTCCTGAAACCAACATTGCGCCGTGGCGTTGTATGCACTCCACCACTTGCGCAGTAGCATTGTACGCATTCAGCAGGAGGGTCACCAAGAGTCGCTGTGATGGCACCCAGCTCAAACAGCTTATCCCCCGGGTGAGCTTCGCATTCTTTGTACGCTGATAGGCTGTATCAAGTGTCAATCATAGAAAACATGAACCCCCTAATAACTTTTAGAAATGAAGCTGCACAGAAAAAAGAGGACTTGAGCACAAAACTGTCTTACAGTAACTACATGTCAACATCACAAGCAGGGGGGAGAAAAATTTATATTCTGTGTAATAAATTTCTAAAGTTTGTCCACAGCTCCATTAGGATTGCTGGAGGAGGTGGGATTTATGAACTATACTGCAGCCCGTCACCAGAGGGTGCTGTTCTGTGATTCATGATAAGTTTGATCCTGCGCAAAATACTTAAAAAAAAAAAATTCTATGGATTAAACACTGATTCAGACATACTATATTCTGATTCAAGCACATCTGTTCTACAAACTGCTCTTTTCTAAATGCTAAAATCAAACATTAATAAAATTTAGAAAGGTACTTCTCTGAAATATGTTCAACACTTGTCTTATTCTTCATTTGATTAGTGTTTTATTGATTTCTGGTGTGCGCTGAATAATATTAAATGAAGGATATAGTCTACTGTTATCAAAACACATCCTCCTGATTTTCATTTCATTCTCTTCTTCTAACTTCATTACTCTGCTTACTTGGCCTCAATGCAAATTCAACCCCACACTCCTTGGCATTTTTACCAACAGCCCCCCGCTCAGTTTGGATGGCTGTTAAATATTTATTCCTCTCCCTCCTCGCTGCATTATGACACTGTGCTCATCACCTGCTCCAGAGCCATCGGCCTGGATCGATTTCCCTCCTCAAGCTTCCGCACATCTGGATAAATTATTCTGACCGCAGCACAGCCCGCCTCAGCCACCAGAAATACAAACATGCAGATACACTCGGAAAAACACCCCCCACCCACACACGTATGTATATAAACAGTACACATACAAATAGAAACAGCTATGTGTGGTAGTGTATGAATGTCTGAATGTAATAAGCTAAGCAGGAGCAGCATCCCATCCCCCACCTTTGGTCACACTCACACAGATAACCCAGAGTATATAAAAAAGTACTTATATTTGACCTCACTGGTGTACTTACTTACTTGCAGGCAGAAAAATAGGCCTGCACATGCTAACCTGTATATGCACACACATACAGTACACGCACCGACCATATCACACTATAAAAGCCCTGAGTGCTAAGCGTCTGCTCATGCACTGAGAATGACACATCAGGATAATCAGCTTCCTACCACATGAAGCTCTGGCCCCATGACGGCTCAGATCAATTAGACACCATTAAAGGCTGGTCCCAGAACAGCCATGGAGACTTCCTATGTCTTCTCTCCACTCTGCAGGGTGCTAACGAAATCCATCTTCTCCCTCGCCCAAACCTAATTACAGGTAGCGATGCACTGTGTGAGATGAAAAGCTGGCAGACGCTTTGATGGATGGTGGGCTTCAGCAAAAAAGAGCAAACAGGTAATTAACATGACAATAGGGATGAGGCAGGGGTCTCATACAAAGACATAAGAGTGGGGGTGGTGTGAGAGCAGAGGTGCACACATGTGTGTAATGCATGTGCGTTTGAGAGACAAAGACACCAAAGTGCAGGAAATAAAGGGAGTTGAGGACTAAAGCTGAAAACTTTGATGTGTAGTGAAGTCCTTTCAGTGTGTGAAAGAGAACAGAAAACAGTGGAGCAGGGAGTGACCAGACGTTTAATGGAGGTGTTGAAATAAATAATTGATCCTTTGACAAAGTACACCTCATGAATTTTTCAGCTCAGCATATTTGTGGGTGAATCATGAAGATGTGATAGCTCTGCGGGTTTAAGTTGTCAGGTGTGTTGTTGCTCCTCAGGTGCTGCTCCTCTTCAAACAGTCTGTGGACCTGACCAAATGATCTCACTGTTTTATGTCACTGTCACTGTCTGCTCATATCTATTGACTTGGACTTATTTTGCACATATAGTATAAACATAGGCTGCTTAAATGTCTCATTACAAGACAACACTGAAAAGGGGAAGTGAAAACAAAAGTATACACTTCCATACTGTATTTTAAAGCTCCTAAAAAAAACATGTACGCCCTGATGTACTGTCATGAAGAGCTGCACACTGTGATACCTCTTTTAGCAATGTGCTTCACGTATGTCAAGGTTTCTTTTCATAGATGGCAACAATAGTTTGTTTGTTAAAAACATGTTTCTATTGTTTTTGCAAATACATAAAAACTACAAGAGACAGGTCAATGTGTCAGCATCATAGACTGTATATAGAATGGACGCCGTCTGCCTCCTTGCTGGGTGAAACCATTGTGAGAACAGCACCCTCTGGTGACGGGCTGCAGTATAGGTCATAAATCCTGCCTCCCTCAACAATCCCTATGGAGCTGTGGACAAACTTTGGAAATTTGTTTCACAGAATATAAATTTTTCTCCACCCTGGTTGTGATGTTGACATGTAGTTCCTGTAAGACTGGTTTGTGCTAAAGTCCTCCTTTTGTACAGCTCCATTTTTAAAAGTTATGAGGGGTTCATGTTTTCTATGATTGACACTTGATACAGCCTATGGGCGATACGTAGTTTGAGCTGAGTATCATCACAGTGACTTTCGGCGACCCTCCTGCCGAATGCGTACAATGCTACTGCGCCAGTGGTGGTTCCAGGAAGTGGAGAAAATAGTATACATATTCTATGGTCAGCATTTTTGGGCCAAGACAACCTGAAGCTGTATCCTCTGTGTAGCTTGTAGGCAGTCATCTAAGTTAAAGCAGGTTTATCTGGTTAAAAAAGTTAACATGTTTGTTCAATCTGAAAAAAGTGGTGTTTGTGGAAAGGAAAACTTTCCATAAACAACAGAGACCACATGATAACATCATAGTGACGGAGACAGTATCTCTACAAGAGCTTACAACAGCTTCATCACTTCCTGTGAGGAGGGCAACCTAAATCATCTGTAGACAGACAATGATAGACCTCTTGCTACTAAAGGAAACATCCATATTTTTGTATCTTGTTTTGTTCTTTTGGTGGAGTCTCCTTTAGTTTAAACTGTCTGTGATTCAACTGCTGGCACCAATTTCGTATCTCGTGTCTGTAATAAGTGTCTTGTCAGTGGGCAGATAGTTGTTCTTCCAGTCATTGTTGACAGCAAGCATTGTTCTGAAAGTGGATGGTTAAATATTTTTAGTAATATAATTAAATTTTCAGGAGACTCATCCACCAACCAGTGGTTAAACTGTTGAAAATGTTGACAAAAGCATTCCCAGTGTGAGATTTGGCTCCAAGCCAAGCCAACTTTCCATTGAACAAGTAAAATAATCTGGAAACTACCGGTAATCTAAAACCTGTCTGATCATCCGCTGTTTTGCAAATTTGTTTTCTGGTCAAAACCATAAAATTTCAATTCAATGAGAGCAATTCCAGTGATAACCAGATTACACAAATTATATCATTTCAATCCTGAACATTTAAGCACATAAGGTTAAAGGCTGAACCTTCAACAGCAGAAAAAGACAACAAGAAGTTCAGCTGGACCAGCTAAAGGAGATTATGAAGGCAACATGTTTGCATGTACAGAAGACAGTAATATGGACTCAGCATCTGTATTTGAAGTTTCTGAAGTTAAAGAGTGTTGTAAATAATGCAGGAATCTAACAAGTTAGTCTTTGTGGCAGTATTCTTGTGATTTAACAAGTTACTTGCGCAAGATACCCAATTCTGCATCTAAGTAAATTCTGTCTTAGCAAGGCTATAGTATCAGTCAGTGGTTTTAGGTTTACTTCAATTTTCCCCCATTAGAATATAAAATGACTAACAAGGTATGCTTAGAGCTTCTGCCAGGACACTGACTTGTTGTTAAGCAGACTGAAATTACTACTGATAACTCTTTATCACATTCAAAAGCAGATAAGATAAGTTAAATGTAGCTCTGTGTCAATGTGAGGCTATGATGTATGGATAAAAGGAGGAATTTTAGGATGGTAGAAAGTTTTGTTTATGAGTAGTTACCTTTTTATCTTTATTAGTTTCATTCAAAGAAAATAAAAAATGCAGGTTTTATAACTATAATTGAGCAAGACAATCTTGTGATTTCAAGGAAGTAACTGAAAGTCAATAACTGAGAATAGAGATAAGATTAAGTGAGTTTATACTTTTTCCTTCTCCTTTTCATGCAGGTTGATAAATATGTTTCAGGTTTTTGCTAACAGAATTTATTGATTTGGTTTTTTTTTTTCTTCCTGCTCTTTTTTCTTTTAACAACTCTTCTTTGATTTTTAGTCTCCCGCAGTCAGCATAAAGATTGATTATTTCTGTAGGATTACCTATAATGCTCACAACCTCTGTTCTGCAATGGATCAATGTCGGATGAATTGAGTTACAGCGGAAACAGCCTTTGTTTACTTTTCCATGAAAAGATTCCAATTGTGAGATGCAGTTGATTCTCAAGTGTTTAACGATACTCCTCACATAGTGAAAAGGAAGTGTAGCCTTGTCCACAGGGGGCACCATAATAGCAGTCCCCTCATGAGCCTCAAAGCTGGTGATAGCTGGTGTGTGTGTGGAGGGGGGTTTAGGTTTTCAGTGCCCAATACCTGGAACAAACTACAGTCTGAACTTTGCATTCAAGCTTTTGTGACACTAAATGAATTTAAAACTATAGTGAAATCATTACAATCTACCTCATCGTTGTAAATGTTTTATGTGAGATTGTTTTAATGTTGAGATGTTGTGAATCTTATCTGTTGTAGGAACTATGCTGCTGCCCTCTTGGCCAGGTCTCCCTTATAAAAGAGATTTGTAATCCCAATGGGACGAACCTGGTTAAATAAAGGCCAAATAAAAAATAAAATACCTTGTAGTTGTCAAAGTGCCACCATAGCAAGTTTCCATAAAAGTTTAAAACTTCATAAACACTTTTTTTTACGCACAGTCACCTCCAGCTCCAAAAGATACCAAATGCCAGACTGCTGGAGCAAAAATCTTATTTCAAATCCAAAACCTAGTCTACAAACTGCCAAAGTGCCTACCTCTTTTGTACTATCTGTGAGTGCTGACTAATCTACTCCTGGTGAGTTACATTTTTTTTTAGTTGGTGACCCTTTCCTGACCCGTTCAAAACCTCCGAAAGCTTCAGATTAAAATACCCTTCCTTAATCTTTCCCCTCGTCCTTTGTGTAAATGACACAAACTGCTGTTGTGCTGAAATACAATATGCTTCATTCATAATCCACATTGTAAAATACTGTTATGAGGCTGTGCAGCTCAGACTTCGTCCAAACCCAAACACACACAAAAAAAAAAATGCCTTAACCCTCTTCTTGATGGCCCATCACATGATTGAAATACACGATAATTCCCCGTCTATGGCAGAAATGTTCCTGTAGGATTAGTGTTGTGCACAAAACTCCTTTGTTTTAGGTTTGAGTCGAACATTCTCGCTGCTCTCAAATCATTTCACAACTACAAACCTCCTTTCTACTACCAGCAGAAACCCTGAATGCAATCAGCCAAATCACCCTGACCTGCTACCACCCTTTTTAATATGTGTCATTATTCATCAGGGCACAAAGACGCTTGTGTTTTTCATTGCACTTAAATATTTGTTTTACATTTTCAAGCCAAGAGTAATTAAGCAACAAAAAGCGTGCCTCGGATGCCAAGCTATACATCCAGTTTGCACAATACAGTTGTGCATCACGGAGAGAGTGTGAAAGAGAGACTCGCATACGCTTTCAAGAGGGACGCTCTGAAACTTCCAATGCACATTTGTCATGCTTTTAAGTGATTTACAAATGAGAGGCATGTGGGCTTTGTGAGGGAGGGGAGGGAGAGAGAGAGAGAGGAGGTTTCTATGAGGAGCTTTGTGTGTCCTTGCCTCCCTGCAGCATATAGATGGAGTAAGAAATTGTGTTTGTGCGTCATTAGTGGTCATTAAAGCAGGAGATAGACCAGAGCCACTTGTAGTGATGAAGGAGAGAAGAAAAGATGGGTGATGGTGATGATGAAGTCGATGACAAATGTCTTTCTTGAGTCCTTTGCTCTGATAGTTGATTTAGACAGACGCCAAACCAGCTAGAAAGTGTTGTAACAGAGCAGTAAGAGCTCGGCTTCTGATGTTTCTATGGAGGTTTTATCATAATTGATGTAATTTATGTTCCCTTTGCTGCAGCTCCCTTGTTACCACACCCACTCATTTCCACACACACACACACACACATATATATATATATATATACTGTATTTAGATGTGTGTTTTCACACAGTTTCAGTACATAATATATCAAGTAAATACACCAACTCCCATCAGTGACAGTGTCTTTCCAAATGTATTTTTTCACCCTTTCGACCACTCTTGACTCATTTGTTCTGACTCTCAGGGCGCAGGGGCGGCTTGTTTTAGCCAGGCAGCTCTTTAACAAAGATGAGAGGGAAGAAAAAAAAAAAGACAGAGGAAGAGGGAGGAGGGATGATTTAGAAAGGCGCCCATCCCCCCCTCTTGCATGCTTTACAATGATTTCCTCCCTCACCTTCCTATATGAGGCCCGTGTTTTTCAACCTCAACTTTTTCAACTTAAGTCTTTGCTCATGTAAAACGCTCTGATTTATCTGGGTTCACATGGCCCTCTTTTAGTCCGGAGCTGATTCAAGGGTTTTTATTGGCAACTTTGCTGCTTGAGGCAACAGGTTTCTGTGTGTAGACACTGTTAGGACATGTTCACAGACTAATAAATATTATTTCTGTGTGATCCTACACAAACATACACTCCATATGCCCTCAATTCTTTTGGACTGAGGTCATAAACTCACACTTTTCCACGTCAGCTGTTTTGGACGTGGCTTCTGTTCTGTGCTGGAGCTATTGTTACAGGCTGTATGTTCGTGTGTGTGTGTGTGTGTGTGTGTGTGTGTGTGTGTGTGTGTGTGTGTGTGTGTGTGTGTGTGTGTGTGTGGTTCTCAGGCTCTATACTTGCAAAAGGGATTGGGGGTGGGTATGGAAGGTGCTGTGAATTGGGATGGTGTTGATGGTATTTTGGAGAGGGCGTCTTCCCTCTTACACACAGACACACACACATACACACACTTGTCCTTCAGTAAAATAAAGCACAGATAGAGCTAATTACAAAGTGGATTGGAGCACTTGGAGTAATACAAACAACAGCTGTCTGTGGCAGAAGAAGGAAAGTCAAACACACTGTCATGTTTGAGGCAAACACACACACCTTGGATATAATTAGCAAGATCAAGATAAGTAGGGGGCAACTCAAGACGTCTGTGTGTGTGTGTGTGTGTGATTGTGTGTTTTATGCACCTCTCAAACAACTGTTTGTTCCTCAGTTGAAATGAAGGTGTAGATGCTTGCAGCTAACGGCACATTTAAGCTGAGTTTGCTGCTCATCACATGCTTATTTGCTAGATCAGACATGAATCTGCTTTAAGCAAAGCAGCTCGGCCATGTCTGCAGGTTTCAGTCCACCAGTTTCTGCACAGAGGTGGATCAACTCTGTAACCTGACCAGTGAGTGATCACTGATCTTACCTGTTGAAGTCTTGGCTGGAACGACAGTCTGTACTCTAAGCATTCAATAATCACACATAGTCCTTTCTTATATACTGTGTGTAGTAAGAGTGAGCACAGTGGTATTAGATAAGGATATTCATTTTTAACAGATCTACGCTCAGTTTGTAGGGGATCTTTCAGATTTTTCATTCTAAAGCAGGTCAACCTTCATCAAAACAATCACAAACCAACATTCTCCAAGCAAAGTCGGACATTTGCTCTTGAAAGAGGAGTAATAGAAGGTATATTTAACATAATTTTCAGTTGTTGCGACAAAATTTGTACCAGATGAGAAAAACGTCACACATCGACAATCAGTTTACTTTTTAAATTTCTGTTTGCTGTCTTGTGTGGATCTGGTAAAGGTATGCCAAGCTTGACACAAAGTACTGTGTTTTAACATGTGCAGGGTTTTTTTTTTTTTTCAGTAAAGTTAAACTCTTCTGGATCGCAGATTTCTGCTTCTGTTTTTCATGGACACTAAACACAACAAAGTGTCTCAATGTGTGTGTATGCAGGTATTCTATCAAAAATCTAATTAAACCAATTTCAAATGCACAGGTTTGATACCCTGAACTGATGTGTTAAAAATAGCAGAAGAAACAGTTACCTTTATCTGTTCCTGTTATTCACAAGAACCGCCGCTGCTGCATCATAATAATGCATTAGAAATAAAGTTCAGAGAGTTCTTCTTCTACTCCTTTACCATTGTGATTTTGGATATCTGACTTAAAATTATAGATTAACTTATTTTTTAAATGTTTTAACCTTTGAGACATTCATCAAAATGTTTCATCGCAGAGCCGTTTTTATCAACCGTGGGAAGGACAAAAATGGAAACTTGTCACATAACATAAGGCAGATATCCACCAGAACATGTGTTTCCATGACAATAAAAACATTTAAAGCATGAGCAATTCCTCTCAACTAAGATGAAATTACCTTGGGAATGAGCTGAATTGGACCAATCTGATAAGAATGAGGTGTACGTATATATGGACCACTTAGTTCTGGTCAGGCTGTTATTCACATAAAAAGTCCATGTAAACAAAGTAAGTTATGTGTGCAGAGTTATCTGTGTTGGAGCAAAAACAAAACAACCGATTTTGATTCAAGGGTCCTCATGCCTTTAATTTTTGGGGGGAATGTACCTTTTACACATCAACCTCATTGCAGGAGATAATTCTCATGGGGTGGCTGAGTGGAGCATGCAGGAGGAAGTGGAGTCTTCCATAGCTGTAGCTGTTGATAAGTCAAAATTATTACATGCACAAAGATAATTGTGCTATACAATCACAACAGTTATAATCAACTTGAAGTATTGAGCACCTTTCACTTCTTCTTTCCCCTCTTTTAGTCTGTGTCACCATGCCTTATTAGAGTCACTAGTACACAGTCTCTGAGCTCCATCATGCCGTAGGTTTCTCTGGATCGCTGCTGCAGATGTTTTGCTGCCATTGACCTTCCTGCTTTCCATCTGCTTCAACTATATGCATCAGTCTCACCTGGGATGGGATAGCAGTGGGTCTGATCTTATAAGATGGGGCTCAATCTTACCCCATCTTTACATTGGGTCTTTGTAAACAGAGTATGGTAAAGATGTGTTTTTTGTTGTTTCTTGGGAGAATACTTGTTGTGAGTTGGTGCAATATGAATAAAGATTGACTGATTGTGTATAGCAGTGGTGTATAGAAGTTCTAGTGTGGGGTGGGCGCACAGAAAATTAGATAGGCCCATCTTTCCCAAAATTCATACCTTGTTAGGTCTTCATACATGTATGCTAACTAAATTAACACATTGTAACAGTTTCCTTGTGTGCAGATGAATTTCATTCTATAAGCCACATTAGGTAATGTTATAGGTACTGAAAAGCACACTAAGAGTATCACATAGCCTGTTGTTTAACTGCTCTAGAATTGAGGGCGTGGTTTGGATCCATCAAGAAGCCTTATGAGTGGATGAGTATGAGTGCTCACTGCATTCACATTAAATCTTTGCAGACTTTTTACTACGGGGGTTGGCATGAAATGGTAAAGCTAGATTTACACATGCAGACCATCTGAATGAAATTTTCAGAAGTGAAGTACATGTGTGAAAGGGGCTTATGACAGAACGTCTGAGCTAAAAACTGCTGTACTGCTTTGAATCTCAACACTTCCTTTAATGTGTATCTGCCAAACTTCCAGAGATTCCCACAGTGCAAATACTGAATCACTGGGGTAGTCCTTAAATGATGTCACTGTGGACAGTGTGAACCTCAACAACTTCCACTGTGGTCAGTTTCAACAGCACTGTTAACAGTAACAGTGGTAGTTGTAGTACAACTTGTAGTGGCAATACCAGTTTCAACTTTCCAATAGTGCCGTGGAGGGAGTAAGTGTGGGGGTGGGTGTGATGGTAAGTGAGAGTGTTTGAGGCGAGGGTTAGCTGAGTGGGAGTGTAAGCAGGTTTTTAGATATACAGTAGTACTATTTCAGATTTTGTAAGTGTCTGCAAAGCAGCTAATACAGGCCCTGAACTCTTTAGCAGCTCCAGCTCAAATCGTGTTTCATGGATAAATCAAAAATGCAAGTCAAAAAAAGGAAAAAATTGTGACACTGGGAGTCTCTAAGAGGTACTCCTGTCAGCATGTTTACTAAAACCCTCCTCCAGGTACTTTTAAAACGTCTACATAACACTACAGCTATGGCCTGACTCTGGCTTGTACTTTTATACATCCATCCTGTTTTTTATTTATATTTTATTGAAACAGAACACAGAGTACTAGAGCAGTGTACATGAGCACAAATAATAATGTTGCAAAAGTTGTTCAAAGTCAAAACTATTTTTACCTGATAAATATATATAGACCTGCATTTGTCTGGGTGCTTTAATTGTTGTTTAAAAGATATTTGTAAAACTTGTCATAACGTTATTTGTTAGTCTCTAATATAGAAGAAGCAAAATACTGTAAATCTGACCTTGAAGTTTCATTCCTCACACATACTAAACTTACAAAGAACCAGCTCAACAACTTTGTGCACATTTCGAGGTTAATGTTTATGTATTTTGTATTTTGAAACTCTTTTTTTTTTCTCTGCCAAAAACAAAATTTTATCGCTCTTCTTGAAGTTCTGCAATCCTGTAGATGTAGTTATAGCATTACTGCTCAGCTCAGGATGTTTTTATTTATTCAATTCCTGAAACTGTAACATCAGGGAGGGTAAATTAATGTGCTATAATGAAATTCAACTTTTTAAAGTATTTTTATGACATGTTCTTGTTTGCATTTTGCAAAAGTCAGCAACATGTAAAACTACACAATTACTGTTAAAGCTGGAGATTATAGAAACAGTAGCTACATAAAGAATACGCAGGCATCAATTTGCTGTTAAAGTTGTATTTTTAAATATGTTTTTTAAAGACCCATTTAAGGAAGGATGATTAACTTGTTAATTTTTTGTGCACTGTTTCAAGTTATGGAAATATTGCTTTGCATAACTGAAGGCAGCATGAAGAATTTCCATACTACATTGATTCTGGAGATCCCTTTAGTCAAAACCTGCAGTGTTTTCCCGATGAAGGCTGTTTTTCTCATGAGCACCATCTTTGGTTGTTGTACATGCAAGTTAAAATTCAGTTTCAAAAAGAGAAATTGAAATTGAATGTAAAAAAAAAAAGTTTAAAATAATGTCGAGAAAAAAGGGGCCATCACATATCACACTTTTCCCTAGAATTAAAATATTGACGTTTTGTCCTCTAAAATTCATTATAGCTTTTTTCTCATAAAATTGGATTTTGACATTTTCTTGACGTTAAATTCTGAGATTTTTTTTTTTTTTTTTCTTAAAATTTTGACTTATTTCTCTACATCTAGAATTTTCCTGGAAGTGCATTGCAAAAACAAGCCCCCCAGTTCTCCAATTTAGGATGTCAAATATCTATCAATATATGAATTATATTGAACTGTACATAACAGTGTCAAACCTCTAATCTATTTGCGTTTGTCAGCTTACACAAGGTGAGCAGATCATGATGACCTGTCCGAATGATTGACATGTAGTTCAAAGCTTTCAAACACCAACTTAAACATTAAAATAGGCAAAGCTCTGATCATCAGGTTGATCAAAAAGAAGTCTAAAAACGAAAACAAACATCTTTTTGTTTTTGTTAATCCTGCTCAGGCATCAGCCATGAGCACAAAACATGATATAATAAGAGAATTACACAAAGACAGAAATCTCCTCCTGCTTGTTTACTCTGTGGTCAATGCCAGCCTTAGCCAGAGGAGTTGTAAACATAACCAACTCTTGGCGAGTGCTGAATATCAATTTAATTCAGAAGCACTTATTGGCATGGATACATATGTTTACACTGACAAAAGATAGTGAAGAAAATGAATAAAATGACTATATTTTCCAGCGGAGAGGAAAAAGATGTGCGGAGCTGTGCAGAATAGTAGCATTGTTATTGTCACTTGAATTTATAATCACAGATAAAATGAAAATATAATTATATATACACGTGGTGACAGGCAGCTTTTGGTAAAATAGAAACACTCCACATTTCTTTCTTTTTCTCTTTGTGTGTGGTTTCTGTGTATGTACAGTCTGTATACAAAGGTGATCAGTGGGCATGTAAACAGGTATCAACTCACCTTTGTTCAAGGACAATTGAACACAGGCACTGGAAATCAGTATAAAGAAATAACCAGCCTTGTTGCTGATTATCTTATTTGCATGTAGGTCATGAAGAGGCGTCAGTGTAAAAGTAACACTATAACAGAACAAGTTCAAACTCCTCACAGTGCCTTTACAGAAAAGTGAAACTTGTTGGATAAACATGAAAGTAAAACTTCCTCGTTCTTTCAGCTGCTTTTTTGTCACTTCTCACACGGAGAGTGTAGTGTATTTCATGTGAAGCAAGTTTCCTGTCAAAGGGAAGGAAAAAAAAGAAAGACAAAAAAGTGTGAAATGACTCTCTGGTCTCACTCTTATCACCTCACAGTCACTGAAAAAACCCAACACACATCTGTACTTGTCGACAGGTTGGTTTTGAATCACCTGTTTATTTATTTATTTTTTTTTACTGACCCACAGATGAACTTTTGAAACCTACAGTGCAATAAAAACACCCGAGGAAGCAAGCCGAAAGAGGTTCGGCTGCTGTGTGCACTTTTTTAACACGTTACTGTTTATGAACTGTCCTGACATCTTTTGAAGTGGTGCACTTGATAGTGGCTGCAAAACCAAACAAAGCACATTGAAAACAAAACCTAACTACTAAAATATTCACTGAAGCCAAAGAGTAAGGAAATAAACACTTAATAGTCACACATTACAAAAACAGAACAGAATAGGGCTTTTAATATTATTTATGTATGTTTAATGGAAATTAGAAGTCAGTGTTTTCTGGTGATTTCATTACTCAATATCTTGACAAAAGAAACAAGGTCATCTGTCACAATATCTCTGGATCTCTCCAGATTGTCCTCAAAAGTTTGTGTTGTTTAAAAGGTGAGAGTGAATAAAGAGAAATGTGTGTCAGCCTCAGTCTGGGACCTCATGGTCATATTTCAACAGCAGTGCATTTACAGCTGGTTGGAGAGCTGCTAAATTGGAGTAATAGAGCCTCATGCCAGACAATAATGTGAGTTAAGTCCTTTAGGGCAAGGAGCTGCAGAGATAGCCAAACAAAAGATAATCAATATCATATGCTATGTCGCCTGGAGTCTAGACCGGCCCCTCTCCGGCAGACTCATCACATGCCTCTGAGCGCTCATCTACCACCAGATTCAATGTCAGACACAATGTCAGACAGGCAACACGTCCGTGGCCAATGTGTTAATTACAACATCAACACACAAATAAACACAGAGGTTATGAATCACAGCTGTCAACGACAAGTATGATTGTTTTACTAATGTGAGAATGAGCAGGTTGGATGTATATAATTGGATGCGGGTGTTCACTTGTAATGCAGACTGCTGGGAAAATGTAGGGATTGGATTGTCTCACACTCACGTTCAGATGTTAAATTCCAGTAAAAGATTTATAAAGTCATTGAAATAAGTTTCCTATGGAATGATTTACATGTATATGCAAACTAATTTTTTAAAGATGTTTTAAAAATAAGAAAAAAATGTTCTCTTAGTGCAAAACAACTCAGATATTTGACGGTTTCTGTTTTGCCACTTCTTTATCTCTCTTGATTAACTCAGTCAAATGGAAACTTACTCTTTGTGGTTAAAAATTCCATTATTTTGCATGTCAAAACAACAACAGCAATCTTACCGTTGTTGTGATTTGGGAATCAAAGAAATGCAGTTAGTTGCCACTCGTTTAGCATGTACTGTAGTCTACCTAATGTCTTCAGCTTAGTTTCATCTACAGGTCTGAGGGGATTCACCTTCAAATTATAGTCAGAGTCTCTTTTGGGAAGATGTGTGATCAAAGGGGTGACAGCGTCTAAGGCTAATGAGATGAGCAAGCAGAAGAACTGTGATGACTGGGCAGTAACCGGCTGATTTCTGATGATGTCGTCCATTGCTGATAAGATGATGTTGCTAACAAAACTGTAGGAATGGGCTGGGATAAGGAGGAGGAGAGTTGTGAATACTATGAATGAACTGGAGGAAAAGAAATGAAAAAAAAAAGACTGCAGCAAAGTGACAGTCTAACAATGAGGGTGTGTGTTACGGTAATGTTAGACAAACGTGACCAGGTGATGAGAACAGCTGATGACTACACAGGATATGAGAGAGCATGAGTGGAGGGGTGAACACAATAAAGCGATGATTGAACCGAGTTAGCTGTCCCTGAACTTTAACCGAAGCTACATATTACTTTTCACTCATCAACTGAGAGATGCCTGGGAGTTTTCAAACATGACATCTGCCATTTAAATATGAAACTGTGTAATTTCTCGTCATGGCAGCAACAGGGAGATGCTGCGGCTGCTTTACGGTGCGCCAAAAGGGACAAAAAGCATAAAGTTAAAAGAAAATAGTGGTTATATCTTACCTTAAAGAGGGGATTTTTATTTTTTTATTTTTTCATATTTTAAAAACAAGTGTCATGTTTAAATGTTGGTTGTTTGTTAATGTGTGTAGAATACAGTCATCTCCTGATGGACCACAGGGCTCTCTGATCAGCTTGTTCAAAAAGTGTCACCAGAATCCAGGGAGCGGAACATGAAATTTGCTTACATTGTGATGTCACCAGACAGTGAAATTTCTTAACAGAGCAAATTTATCATTTTACAAAAAGAAAAACAACTTGCTGTTGCATGGCAACAGTGAAGGAGGCTTCCAGAATGCTAAATATTTATATTATTCATATTATTTATATTTTCCAACTAAACATAACTGATGTACTTTGCATTTCTGTAGAACAATATGGTCTCACCAAAGTGATGATCCTTATAAAATGTTTAAAAATTTTCTTACTGCAACTTGAACCAGTGTGTCATTTTTAATCTAAATCAATAGCTTAAGGAAAAAACTATCAGGTTGATGCCCTGTCACCTGTGTAAAAATGCCATTAAAAATTATATAACAATTAATGTAAATTAAAACAAAATCTTTTAGCTATTGGAGGACAAAAATCTTACCTTCTTCATTCTTTTTTTTTCTTTGTTCATTTTGCATACAAACTTCCAAAGATAGTTTTTCAAAGAAGTGATGGCAGACTTGCTTTAGCTGAAAAGAAAAGTGGAAGTGATACCGTGAGAAGTCAGTGAAAAAATGTTATATAAGTGCTTTTAAAATACCATCATTGGACGCCATGAAAACTAGGCTGAGACAGAGTATGAAGCAGAACGTGTGGTTTCAGCTATGTGGATGTATAGTTTATACACTGGAAGGCATATACAGCCGAGTCGAGGCAACTTGTACAGATACCTTTTTCCAACCCCCCTACCACACACTCAGCCAACACCCTCTCCCTCCCCTCCATCTCCTTTGAACCCATGGACACACAGACCCTCTGTGTGTTTGAATTAAAGGGCTGTGTCCAGAGTGGCTACTTCCCCTCCTCTGTGACAGGCTGTATGTAATAGGGTCGCTGTCACTGCTAAGACAAACCATGCATTTACACGTGGCAAAGGTACAACAACAGCCTCTTGCTTGACTTCCTTGTTAGCATGTGTGTGAGACAGACATGGGATCCTTCTGTGGGCTCTGCAATACTCTCACAGAATGACACCAGATTACATGATGAAACCCTCAGGCTGTGATATTCTCAGTGTGTCCCTGGTGGCTGTTTTTCTCTCATTGTTTGCTGCACCTGAACATGCACTGCTGCTTTTGAATGAGACTACACTGTATGTGAGGGGGTGGGGAGGGGGTTACAGTAGTTTTGCTGTAGGGAATACGTAGCTACCTTTTCACTGAGTGTTTGCATGCGTGCACTTTGGGGACATCAGTTCTCTTTCAACCAGCTTGTGCACTTTTTAACTCTGTTATGTTTTTCACATGTGCTCATGCGGAGAATGTGCACACATCTGTATTTTTGTGTATGTGCGCACCCAGAGCTGTAGTGTGTGTGTGTGTGTGTGTTTTTTTTTTACAGTGATAATTCTGCTGAGAGGCAGGCAGACAGCAAGGGAGGGTGAAGAAGGAGGAGGAGGAGGAGGAGGAAGAGGACTGAAGACAATGTGAGCGCTGCAGTATGATCCTGTATCCATCAGGCTGCCTCCTGCAGTCACCGCTGCTTAAAATGCACTGCCACAGACACACACACATACACACACACACACTTTCTGTCTCATACACACAGGAAATGGCCTCAATCACTGTAGCACACAGTCCACAGTTTCTCATTCCAGATGGGATTATGATGTTATTACTGCACGATTACACAGCATAACTATATTAACAACAGAACACAACCTGGGACTTCTCAATCAGTCACCTTCCCTTTACACTGAGAGGACTTTTCAACAACCCCTCCCTGCTTCCCTCCTTCACACACACAGGGACACACGCTGTACACACCCTGAACTAACAACAGTAGGAGTCAGCCATTTACCTTTATCTTTATCTTCCTCCCTGCCGCTGCTGTTGCTGAATGAGTTATTATGAGCCTGATTTAACAATGTTTGTGCCCTGATGGATTGCCATTTTTATGTCTCTGAATTTATGTTGATCTGGTGACGCAACAAGGTTTGTGTTGGGGAGCTTTTGCAGGTGGATGTTGCAGCCCAGCTGTGAACAAGGCTGCTAAAATAGCATGAATGATTACTCGTGGGTGGATCCATGCTCACTTCCCCTCCCCGCCCAGTGGAATTTGATAAGATGGAAAGGAAAGGTGGTCAAAAGAAAAGAGAGGAGATAGAAATAGAGGAGGGGAGGAGATGGAGGGGGAGATGTGAAAATATAGAAAAAAATTGAGAGGGAGGAGTAGTGAAACCAGGAAATAGATGAGATTCAAAAACTGTTTCAGATTGAGTCAACAAGGTAGAGAAAGACAAGAGTGAGAGTGAGAGTAGCGCTCCTTCCTGTAAATATAAAGAAGTAAAAACAAGACAAGACGTGTCATTTAAACAGAATGAATTCGATCTGTAAAGCTCTATGTCTGTTGAAACATCTACAGAAAAAGAAAGACACATTTAACAACATAAGCATGAAGCTGCCAAATTCAACACAGTGAAGAAGATGAAAAAAATGAAACGGGTTTATTCTCTCCGCAACTCAAAAGCACATCTGACTTCAGTTAAATTCTTTTCTATGCAGCTGAAATAAAAGAAGGTGTGGCACTGGAGTCCAAAAGGAGCTTTATTTGCCTTATTCAAAGGATGTAATGTGATATCCCATAAATACTTTATGCTGTATAGCAAGACGTGGGCTTCTTCCTCCTGCTGCTGCTGTGTGATACTGTATTTGCTCATGGGCTGGTTAGGCAACAAAGCACAGAACCACCACCACCACCCACCCATCCACCCACCCCTCAACCAGCTCTCCCTGAGGTGTCTCCTTGAGGGCTCTCCTTGCCAGCTGACAATTAGCATGCGGTCGCTAATGCACTGCGAGCTAATTGAGCACAAGGGGGCTAGAGGTGTCAGTCACTGGAGAAGCCTTGTAATCGCTGTGTAGCCTGGAAACGAACACTAGTATCACTATAAGACAAGAGGGTGTAGACTTTATTAAACCATTTAAGATGAATTAGTCACATGTGGAGAAAATTAAAGTCAGTGTCAGAATAAAAGGACTGTCAAGGAAACTCACAGATTAAATATGGACAATGATCTGCTGTATGGATGTATACAACACTCCAACTCCACATTTGCATATATTTGTTTGCCATATTCTAATAACCTCTTTTTAGACAGGACCAAAACATGCACAGATATAGACAGTAATGTAAACCAAAGCTGTCTGGAACAGTGCACATCATTGTGTTGGATAGCATGGGTTGCTATCTTAAGAGCTGCCCTGAGGTGTGCGTTTGTGTCTGCCACGCATGCACAAGCAGCTCTACATGCAAGAATGTGCACATGCATGCATGCATTGTTGTCTGCCTGCAACCTTTTTAGAGTAATGCAGACAATTCATTATAAACCCTCAGTTTTAAAGGTGAAGGTTCACTGAGGTATATTTTAAAATGCTGAGTGGGTGACCTGCAGTCTGAAGGGCGTTTGACAAACGGCAGAGGAGCTTCTCTGCCGACCGCTTCAGAGAGAGAAAAGAGAGAGAGAGGAAAAGAGGGAGAGGACACCTTGGTGTGTGTTTGGAGAGACATTCCCTCTGACTTGGAAAGCAGGAATAGAGCGAGAAAAAGGGCTGTTTCTAAAGACTGCTCGCTTATAGCAGGAAGTATTTGAAGAGTGACTCACATTCTACAGGGAGAGAGAGAGCAGGGAGGATCTGTTCGTTGTGTTAAAACTATGTACCACTAATGTGCACGTGTGTGGAATTATTTCATGGATGTGAGCGTTGATGTTTCTCACATGCATTTAATAATAAGCATCAGCGATGGTGTCGTGTGTGCAGGAGAATCACAGTTTTCAAGGCACGAAAGAATATATTCCAGTAGCTGTGTTAAACATATGCTACAGTGTGAGTGTTTGAATGCTTGTGTGTGTGTGTCTGCGCGTGTGTAACTGGGTCCATATGGATACATGTGTATGGATGTGGATATCTGTGTCTTATATGTGCTTGCAGTTCACATTCTAAAGATGCACGTCTGAATATTATTAGATATGTGTGCATGTGTGTGTGATACTCTGAGGCTGTTAGTGTGTTTTGTTTGTGTGCAGCTAATTATGCTTCAGGAAGAACTACCTTGACTGACTTGCACGTTCATATGCTCACAAACAAGTTTTTTGGGATAGTTGAAGTCGCGCACTGACGCATCCATGATTTTATAATCCTCACGGGTCAATATGTGTATGTGTGTTTGTGCAGGTTTAAGTGTAGAGAGCCCCCGTGAAGCTGCATACATGAAGCCCTGTACCTGCCATTACGACTCAAGAGCACGCCGCTGATAAGATGTCCATGTGTCTTAACTCACTGGTACATCAGCAGTCGACAACATGGCTCCCTCTCACTGCGCACACGCTGAGCAAACAAGCCTGACCTCTGCACAGCAACCACAACAACACTCTGAAGTGACACTTATTACACATGACTTTAAGTGTGCAATAAGATGAAGTACATTTTTACCTCGTTTCAGAGAGCTGCTGGTGCCTGCCGGTGGGGTTTGTACTGTGACAAAGACGTCATCAGAGGTATTTTATAAGACAGTACCGCACAATCACAGTTAATTACTTGTTGGATTTATTGGGACTTGAATGATTCTTTCATTCGTTTGGGTAATTATATTTTCTACAAGCTTGTCTAGATTTTCCAGTCCTTCAAGGTAGTTACATTTAACCCATTTGCTGCCTGACAAATACCTGGTTTTATGTAAATCTTATTTTTTAATCAGTAAATCGTTTTTCAGAAGGTGTAAAATTTGAACTTAGAAAACACAATAAAGAGAAACATGGGTATTGCAACCACTAGTCATTGTGTAATGTCCTTTTGTGCAAAAAAATTTGACCTCAGATTGTTTCTGTTTTGTTTGTTATTGTCAGGTGAGTTTTAAACAGGATTGAAAACCTGCTTGACAGAAAAAAGAAGTTAGGTTATTCTTCACAGCGAGTAAGTCATAAAAAAAAACTTGATATATCTATATCTGTATTATGAAGTATTTTTATATATTTGAGGGGGGAAACTAAGGCTACTCTGTCTGTTAAAATAGGACAGATGTTTGTGCTTTGAATCCATTTTCATTTCCTCCTGGACTTTTCCACTCAATACAAAAAGCATTACCTTGCCAGCACAGAATAGGACAATAAACTCACGGAATAAGTAAAGCAAATTTATTTGATTCAAAGAGGAAGTGGGCTTTCTGAGCTTAGGCCTGTGAATCAAGTTATTCAAACTTTAATATGGTGATATTTCCTTGGATTTCCGACCATTACGGTAAAATGAAGCCCCACTGCATACCCACAGAGCCAATAAGGCTTTACCTAAGACACAGCTGAGTGTTGCTAGGGTGGAGTTCAGGGGGGTGACTCTCCGGCCATCTATTATATGACGCTTTACCGGTGGAGTTAAATTACATTATCATCAATCTTCACATCTTTCAAATTAACCGTGTAATCAAATTCAGTATCACCACATGTAAAAATCCTTCGGTAAAATTGAAATTTCTATACTCCCGAGGCACTTTTTGAAGTCCTTGGCAGTATCAACAACTTTTCGCTGATGAGACAATAGCAGATAGTTCCATTTAATGCGAGAGGAACCATTTTATCACAGAAAGGGGAGAGGGGGTTGATGTCAAACGAGCACATAAGCTGCAATACAGTTTTCTATGTAAGCTTCCTTTTTGTCTTTTTAACTCTCTCTACGAGGAAGTGTCTTTATTTGACACGAAACGATACGACAACAAGGGGGAAAAAGTCGGATTGGGATTTCAGTCCACCCCCACGATGCAGAATGGACTCGACCTACTCAATCATGCACTTCAGCATACACTGCAAAGAGCATGCTTTCACCTTTAGGATTGTCTGAGCTTCTGGAAGTCACCCTGGATTATTTTTGTGGATAAAACAGGTACGTACACATTTTCTCTCTTTTCACGCGTTTTCCACTGAGTGTAGCGGACCACCTCGTGGGCTCTATATGGGCTGGAGGTGGAAGCCGATTGTCTGATCTTGATTTATAAATAGGTTACACGCAGGGAAGGCTGGAGTGTAGTGTTTGAAATAGAAAAAAATCTTGTTTGACCTCTTGTCGGTGATCGTCACAAGGAAATTGTGCCAGGAGAGCGTTAATGAGAAGTAGTATGATACAGACACCCCGCAGACATATTTTTGAAGCCATTTATTACACTTGTGAGTTATGTCAGGCGTTTAAAAGCTGCGTAAAGTCCATTATTCAAACAGAAAATATAGTGACAGTCTTGATTCATAGCCTTCACAGAGTCAAAGCAAACTTTCCACCACTTCCCCACAATCATCACCACTTTACACAGCAATCATCACATCATCCAACACACATACACACACTTGTGTTTTAAATAGAATAAAAAAAATAAGGCATAAACGTAACTGGGAGGTGTGGGGTGGGGAGGGGGGGGGGGGGGGCAGTCATTCTTTTTCTTTTCAAAGGTTGTTTTATTCACTCAGTGGCAGACACACAGGGTGGAGGTGGACGTTACAGGGAGGGATAAGGGGGGGTATATCCATATTAGGAAGTGGTGTCCTACATAATAGACATGGCACAACTGCCTCCGAGCAAGGCACAGGTGCCAAAAGCCGGTAAAGGTTCTTCTTTTCACCATTATGAGGATGTGAAACCGCTGGAACAACTCTACTATGTCGTGTTTCTTCTCCTTTCAATCTGCGCATATTTAAGCTCTCTCAACTCATCTGTGCGTGTGTGTGTGTGTGCGCGAGTGTGTTTGTGTGCGATGTGGGGGTGCGGAAACATGTGGCGGGGGAGGGGGGGGGGGGGTATGTGTGTTTGATGGGGGTCTGTGAGCATGTAACCTAACATTTTTTTCTCTCCCCCTGAATGATGATGTACCTACAGGATGTGAGCCTGCTGTTATTGTAAAGGGACACAAGGAGGGGGTGGGGGGGTCAGCGCAAGACAGTCAAAGATGTTTTACTTTTTTTTTTTGTCTTTTTTGGGTTCCCTTTAACTCGTCAATCTGACAAGTTACTGGCGCAAAACGAGGGCGAAACTGAGCAAGAAGAGCGATCACAGATAATGATAACTCCCCGTGGCACCAACATGTCCTTTTACGCACGAACCCTATTGCGTATGTCATGATATGGAGACTGCTATGTAGCTGGTGGTGATTGTTCAGTGTCGCCTCCTTTCTTCTCTGTGCACCTTAGACTAAACACACACAAATATGAACACAGCAGCGGATGGATCCCGCTGATAGGAAGCGATGGAGACATACATGAAACACAAAGACGCATTGACATGTTTGGGACGGTGAAGTGTGCAGACGGTGAATTAGTGACAAGGGACAAACTTTTCGCCTTCTCCTTTTTTTTCGCACTCGATCTTGTCTTCACACACTCGTTTCACATACACACAAAGCTTCTTTCCCTTCACGGTGCGTTCAGGTGCTCTGAAAAGCTCCGTCATGATTAAATTGGACGACTTTGATAAGAAACTCTACTTACTGTGGTTAGCATTCGAAAAGACATATACTGTATTTTTTTTGTCGTGGGAATGTATAGGGTTGTCACAGATGTTCATCACAAGACCATAGCCTACATGTGCCAACTCAAAGCACTTCCTCATAGTTGAACAAGGTTAGTATAACAGAAAAAGTAAACAAACTGACATTTTTTAATGAGAAATCTCAGGGTATTTTGCCCTTTCTATGTTACAGTTAATTTAAATATGTTTGGCTTATATCAGGAAAATGCTCTTGAAGTGTCTTTTTATATCAACCACAATCCAAAAGCTATGCACCTTTATGATGTTTTCAAAAGTCAACACAATTGAGATAACTTTTAAAAAGAATTCCTAATAATAACAATTATTAAATTGATAAAATTAAGAAAATCAGAAAAAAATATTGAATGCGTGTTGTGATACCTAAACTTCTCCTTTATAAAAACATATTGTTACCAGAGGCATGTACAGAGGTGCACTGGTCCCCTTCATATCAAATTGACCACCCCAGATGCCACCTGAAAATCCTGAACTTTGATGTACCGTTTGATCCAGAACTGCATTAGCGGGACTTATTTCACTCAGCCTATGTGTCATTAGACTTGTCATAGCTTTTGCTGAATTTTTAAATGTTGCTTATCTACTTGTGGTAATGTCTTCAGTAGTGACTTTAAGAAATATATAAATATATAAAACTCAGACCATTTATGCTGCCAAGCCGTCGTGTTTCCCTTAAAACAAAATCAAACACATTTATAAATTAGCTGTGCTACTCAGGTATTGCATGTTGAAGTAGATGGATGGCCACCCCTGCCTGTGATGGGCCACCTTTACCAAAAAGTTTGGACACGCCCCTGATTGTTCTGAGAAAATCCCATCTGAAGCTTGAGGAAACGCCAGGCTCCATTCAGGGGAAGTCTGTTGAGAATTTCAACCTTTTGTGAATATGTTTAAAAAACACGAAATCGTATCAACTCCCCCCTTTCTTTGTAAATGTCACAAAACAGCGTGAAAACATTTATCCATTCACTGAACCTTCAACCGAAATCCATCGTCTGTCCGTTTTTATTCAAACTCTGAAATCAAGCCATTTCCGACTACACCTGAAGGCAGCAGCAGCGAAACGACACGAGACAAGAGCGAGAGACAGTGAGGAGCAAAGAGCGGAGAGAGAGAGAGAGAGAGAGGAACCTGTGCTGTTCTGTAACACAGGGAGACAGGAATCAGTCAGAGATATATTCCGATAAATATAATTGTCGGCGGTTTTCTTGCAGAGTTGAACCCCGGGTCGCTGTTGTCAGTCGCTGCACTGGAAGCTTCACTGTGTCTCCTCTTATCTCTGTGGATCTGGACTCTTTGCGTTTGCTTTTGGAGAGCTGCACCGGTCCCCCCCTCTTTCTGTGCGACTGTGTGAAGCCCAGCGGTGTTTGAACTGGTAAGGAAGTGACTGTGTATAATTTGTTGTGTTTGTTGTTTTGAGGGTGCGTTCGTCGGTATGACCATTGCTACTCCTTCTGCTGCTGCTGCTTTAAAGTGCAATCTTTAGACCATTACACACTCTTAACCTCATCTCCCTTAAAGGTGGAGAGACGACTGATAAAGAAAACGGGTAGCTAAAGTATATGCGCTGATAAGGGTCATTTTGAGGAATGTTTGGCTGATAAGAAGAGAGTGGAACCTTGCAAAAAAAACAGGCAAGAGCGATTCAATGACACGTACAGAGAGGACACTACAGTAACAAGCGAGTAGATTAAGTTTTAACGCCAATTTAACCGTGATATTTCACGCGACAAACTGCTCTACAGCAGCACCAGAGGACCATAAACTTGTAAGGAGAAGCTGTAGTATCAAAGTGGTGATTATAGCTCTATCAAAGGTGATAAAAGTATCATAAAAGGTAAAGGTAAGGTCACAGTTAAGGCTATAAACATTAAAGATGTGCTGTTATAAGTGTAAAATGGGATTGTCACAGTGATCCTCCCTTAGGGCCAACTGGAGTTGTTATCAGGGGAGATAGTTATGTAAAAAGCAGAGTTTGCAGTAGAGAGAGAGAGAAGACAGGATGTGCGCGTACTCGTATGCGCACACGCATAAAAACCTGCTCCATCCCGTGTTATTTATAGTTTAATGAAAAGAAATGACATTGGAATTAATGTGGGCGTGGTCTTATAAGGGTTTGATGTCTCAAGAATTTAAATAAGCACTTTTGTTCACACAGACAAGTTCACACACATAAATCACAACATTCAAACTCCTGTTGTCGCCTGTGTGGGCTACACAGGTGAGATTTGTTGTTGTGTTTTTCACTTACAGTGTGGCTTTTGTAAACTTGTGTAGTGTTTCTTTCCTTAATAATCCTTTAAAAACTCACAGTGTGTACTGTATCATCCAGTGTGAGTTTTCTGTATTTGACAGCATTTTCCCCCCTCTCCTTAAATATTGACTTTCTGCAGTGTGCTGTTTTTCTGTCTTGGTGTTTAAAGATACAGTATTTTCTCCTCTGTCAGCACACACACTGAAAGAGATAGAGAGAGAGAGAGAGAGAGCAGCAAGTAGAGGGGGGAGGGAGGGGACAGGAGGGAGAGAGGCAGAGCGTTGTTTTGCAGACAGGATTACATTGTCTCCCCCATGTCAGATTTCAGACACCGTGTTAAACATTTCTTCTTCAGCCCATAGCTCTCACTCTGTTGTTAACTTTGTGAACACAACTCTGAACAAAAACAACAAGCAATGATTTAACCTTTCCAAATTGACTGGTAGATAATAAATGGTCCTTAAAAACACCACCTGTTCTCCAACCCATGAATAGGAGCAGGGATAAATGGATGCAAAGTCATTGAAGATGTGGAGAAATACTTTTCTGAACACTCAATATATTTTGGTATTCTCGCAGACTTTTAGGTCATACTTGTTTTTTTTTTATGTCTGTTTAAGAGAAAGCCACAAATCTACCTTAGGATCCTAACGTGGGAGTGTTTTTCTTATAGTGTTATGTCATGCAGTTGCTGAAACTCCCTCATGTCTGAGATCACTTGTTGGGCATTGTTTGCAAAAAAAAAGCAGCATGAGCTATGTTTAAATATGACACACTGTGATCTTTTGCTGACTGTTACAAACAAGTTGATTCAAGTTTGAACCACATTTGAAAAATAACACAAAATGACTTTTTTGTCAAATGGGCCTTTGGCAGATGCCCTTTATTCACGTGTTGATCCCTCACACATGACTCGAGTGAAGCTTTTTGTATTTGATTGCCCTCCACCATTGTGCCTCTTTTCATACACTGAATAAATACTGCATACATGGGGCTTTTCTCAATAGAAGTGTTTGTCTTTTGTAAGCAGCCTGTATGCTTACTTTTCCATCCCCGTGCTTATCATGATCAAACTTTCAACCCTACCGTGACTCTTTATCTCTCCCAAAAACTTGACTGTTTTGCAAACCCCCCCCCCCCCCCCCCCCCCATTACCTCCCCCATTTTTTCCTATATCTGTGGGAGTAAAATTAGCAATTTCATTTTTCTGTCTTCTGCATTCAGAATGTGGAAGTGTTTTATTGGTGTGCTGAAAAACAATGAGGACAAGGCAGGGCTTTGTGGTGGCAGAAATGCATTTTTAACCCATGTGAATGAATGGCGCCTCACATTCCACAGCAGCAGGCCCTTTACTGAATGGCAGCACTAACTCGGCTGTTTTCATTACTCATTACTGCCTTGTGCCTTTTCACCATGGACATAGTCATTTACCTTTACCAACTCAGGGGGGGTTCAACATCAAATAAGAGCCTGACACAGATTGTCGAGCAGCATGTCTTAGTTTAGGGGCAAACCTTTAAAACAAAAAAAAAGAAAAACTTTTTTACTGATTGATAAATAAGATTTTAGCCAATTCTGGTCCATCACCAACTCATCACCAAATATCAAAGCTAGTATTGTGGAAACATGTGTATCATATATAGACACAACGATTATGTGTATACAAAGATGTTGCTTAAAGATACAGTAAGTAGTATTTTGTGGCCTTTAGCAAGCAGACTTGACGTTGAATATGTTATATTCATGAGTATGTTAAAATGTATGTTGTTTAGTTAGCTTTGAACAAGGCTTTTATATCTACAAAGGAGCAGGTCCCCTTCTATGGAGGCTGCCATCCTATATTACCATCTTATTGTCGTTGTAATGTAATGCAGAACAGACAAACTATGTGTTTTTGTACTTAGTGAGAGGCTGTGCAAGTTGCACTGGTTGGAGGAAAAAGAAGATTGAAATAGACAGACTTGTTTGCAAAAGGATTTATATTTGTCAAAGTATTTGATGGTAATGATTTGACAAATGGAGGTTCACAGTTTACTCATCATTTATCAAAGGAGCTTATTGTCCTCACAGGCCACCATTCCTTCACTGACATGAGAAGTGAGCAGGGGAGCATTTCAAACTAGAACCTGACCTCCAGCTTTCACTTTTCTTATTTCTACACTGTACCTTTAAGGTGATGAAGGTGACATCACTTAGCTGTGTATTTATTTTAACGTTTGTACAGGCTAGTTATTTCGCTAGTTATTTTTACAACCCGAAGTTCAAATTTTCTTATATATTTACATCAAATATTTTCATTGTGCACCCCTAGGATGCCAAAACTGAGCTTTTGTGTTTAAAAAGTAAACTAGTTTATGATAATGAATGACACAGTTATCCCTGTGTTTGCCTTGATTTAAGACATTTTAATACCTAACTATTGTATACTTTCATGATTATGATGTGTGTCTCTCTGCTAGTATCACTTTGAGTTACTCTTTCTGGAAATAAAACGTGGGTTGGATGTCTAGATGCCCCTTTCTTGCAATGAAAAGTAGTTTTCCTTTCCTTTTTAATTTGATACTGGTGAGTATTAGCATGGTTCAAGGTCTTTGTGGGTGGTTTTCCGGCACCTTGTGGAATTCATGTCTGGAAGATTTCCAGAACAAGCTAGCTTTGTTTTACATGTTCATGCTTCTGTCATAGATTGATCCCATTCAGTGCTTTTTAGAGTTTAATTGCTACTCTGCTTAGACTCTACTTTTTCATCTCTGTCCAAGCTGCTCCTGTTAAAACTGTGTGGCTTTGAACCAGAGTGAATATAGGAAAAAGTAAAGACATCAAGTCACAAGACCGACATGTTTTCCTACCGAGCTGATGCCTTATGCGTCCTGTTCCTTCTCTCATCTCTTCCTTGTTATGCTTTAGATTGTATCAGCCTTTTCTACATGAAAGCAAAGATGTATCCGCCTTCACTCGCTTAAATAACTTTCTGTGGCATATTGAGGTTGGATTATGGGGAGAGACAGTAAACAAGTGCAGACCCGTTTAGCTGCTGTTCATCTTTTTGAGGGTTAGAATAAAAAAAGGATATTGTACCAAAAAAAGTGTCATTCTTTCTACTGGTGGTCCAGACAGTCCTATCATTTTAATATGAGGTCTGGTGTTTGTTCTGTGGTGACGGCATTGATTCCCTGCTGCATGGTGGGGGTTTCCACTCTGAAAGGGCAATCTCTCTGTGTTAGCCTAGAAACACCAAGCTCCTGGATTAAATTATAAATGAGCCCTCCATGGGAAACATAGCACTTACTCAGAGGGAATTTACATTTCCTGCTACTGTCATCCTACACATTTCCAGTCTATTAATACTAAAACAGTCTGGGTTGCAAATTTTCTTGAAACTTTGGTGACAGGTGGGTAGTTAATCCCTTTATTTGGGTGGCACCTGCATCAGTCAAACCCATACGGATCAATAGAGTCTCTGCTGCTAAGCCTGGCAGCTCTGTCCGGGCAGTACAGAGTGAAGCCTGATGGCTGTTTTAATGAGGGCTGAAGAAAATGATGTAGTAATGGGAGGATTAAGATAGGAGAGGGGTTAGAGTTGGTAGGGGGTAGGGGAGATGCTGGTGGGGGGATTTAGGCAAGGGGCAGCCTTTGCCTACTTTAGTGAGACATAGGGAATAAATGTGGTAGAGATCAACTGTTGCACATACTGATATATATATATATATATGTATATATATATATATATCAATTAAAAGATGATATTTCGATCTGTGATTTTATTTAATTGACTTTACTTATATGACAGATGATTTTTCTTTCACCATAAAGTTCACTATTGATGTTGTGGAAACCCCCTAAACAGACAAAGAGTCATCATGGGACTTCAGAATTTCCCATGTGTATTTCCAGGCTTTTTCGTTAACCTGAGGGGATAGGAAATCTAGAAAAACAACACAAAATCATGACAAAGAAGTGTGGAAATACCTAAGACAGTTTGATTACACTCTGTGGCCCATGGGGAAGCATGTGGTGAAGAGACTGAATTCAGGAATGGAGGAAAATAATATTTTTTTAAAGTAGAAAAACAGTATCCATATTAATGTTTCTGTAATTTTGTAATGTTACAACATGACATTTCTATTTTTTTTGTATTAGGTTACTATAAAAAAATCAGTTTTATGCACATAGATTCTGTCAACCTGCAAAGTACAGGAATAAGAACATTAAACCACGCCAAACACCTGCAGCTATTTTTTTGTTCACCACATAAGTTTGATTATGAAGTATGATCACCACATTTGACACAACTATTTCCTGTTGGTAGCTTGAAACAGCCATTTGGAATGATTTAAAAGTCTGAAATAAGACATAATGTTGATCATGTCCTGTACATGCATATGAAATGTTTTCTACACAGAGACCTCATATTTGTTTCCTTTTCAGAGTCAGTCTGGGAGCTTTGCCAAAGGAAAACATAAAAACAGGCTTTGTTAGAGCTGTGCTGTTGATCACATCATCTGATACCTACCCTCTGGCAACATTTATAATAATTTAAATCACTTAAAGCTCCTGGGAGAAGTTTTTTTTTTCTTGACATTTCAAAAGTTCATTTTCATGCCTCTCCTTGATATCCAAAAGCAAGCTGGAACAGCAGCGACAAGATTGGTGAATTTGTTAAATGTAATTTTTAATGCCTGAAACTGGGGTGAGGGGTAAGTGTCAGCTGAGTAGCTTCATAAAACAGCCCTGTTTTTACAATTTCAACAGAAGATATTCACAAAATATGACACAATTGATATATAAGAGTCAGCAGGGTGAGATTTTTTTTAATCACAAGTTACTACTTAAGTGTATTGAGGACAAGTTGCGCAAAGCTTGTTTTGTCCACAGGCGGGTGCCAAAATTGACCCAAACCACAAGTTCCTCATGACCTTTAATAGAGATATTTAAACTTTGACCTGCTGGTTTATGTGCTTTTAAAGCCATAAAGAGGCACCAGTAGCCTATCAGTTAAGTCCATTTTGGAAAAAGTTAGAAACACCTCACAGGAGCTTTAATCTTTCTAAAAAAAAAAAAGAAAAAGTCATTTAATATGGACTCCAGTGCAGTTTCTTTGGCTTTTGAATGCAACCTCAAGCTGACACTCAAGGTACTGCAGGTTTTTTGCACTTCTGCATTGGCTAATCTTTTTTCTAACACTTAAGTCAAATGAGACAATGGAGGTTAAAAGTTTCACTTTCTCTATACGTCAATCATAATTAAGAAATCACTCCGAGAGTTTGGTATATTTTAGCATGTAAGTGACAAGAGGGCATAATTAGTCCCTGTACTGTGATGCTGGCGCAGAGCTCAAGTAGTTGGCAAGTAGTTGTTTTGCTTTAGTGCTGACTACAGTAAGTAAAAGAAGACAAGCCTTTATACTTGGTTAATGCGACAAGTGGTTGAATGACGTCAAGATGCTAATTTAACCATTGTGTTTCCCCTGACAAAGATAAACAGGTCAAAATGTAACATTAAAAAAAACAACTCTCCTAGCGTCCAGTAAGTGTTCGGACTTATCTTCTTTTATCTGCAGATGTTTATGAATCCTCTAATTTTAGATAAACTTAATAGAAAATATTCCACCCTCTGGGAAATTTAACTCAAGCTAGCACACTTGTAGTTTATAACGTAAACATCATCGTAATTTAAAGACAAACAGAAATCAAAATGCTGGCATGAAGTTTTCTGAATGCTTGAAAACAATTCAAGTGTGTTATGATGACCCTCCTGTTTGTGTCGTTTTTCTTGCTTTTCTGCATTTCACATATTTAAACCTGTAGCTGTTAGACCACTATTTCACTCTAAATCAAAAACCTTGAAGACTACTTCTTTACTGCTGCTACTTCCTCTACTAGTACTACTACAGCTATAGATGTATTAATGATTTCATTATCTGTGTAAAGGCTGAAACCCTGAATCAAACCAGCGGTGCATCACGGTGAGTGGCTGATAATCTGATAATCAGGGTTCAGTATCACCTCCATTTACCAGTGCATCTCTGTGTGTATTAACTAAGGAGGCTCGCTGCAGTGTGGGGTTTTTACACAAAGAGAAATCACTCCTCAGTTCTAATGATTCAAAGCTAAATTTCTACCTTATAAGTCGTATTATCCGTCACCGTCACTCATGTCGATTTCCCATCTTACACATTATTGATGATCTAATGAAATAACAATCACTGACACACCGTGCTGAGCCGAGCGTGCTGGATTCATTAGCTGTGCTTATCAGCTTTGGCTGACATAGTGATCATAGTTAATAGATTTCTGCCTGCGTCTATGAACTGACGGCTGGCATTGTTGCTGTGATTGCTGCGGGATTAAAGAAGAGAAATAAGCTTAGCTGGGAGAAATAGCCCAGAGGACCACGTGGCTGTGATCAGGGATTGAGAGGGAGAGAGCTGCCGAGGAAGGGAACAGCACTCTTTGTCAGATGTCAATGTAGGAGACTACCATTATTGATCTATTGCATTACATACAAACAAGCACATCGTCTGTGCACGCCAGGTATGAAGGTTTAGGCAGTAACTCCTTTATTAGATATGAAAAAGTGGGAATTAGACTGATCCAAAACACATGTATGATAACTATCAGCCAATAAAATAATACCTAATGATGTCTTTCGCAATGCCTCACTTCCTGTTGTTGGCTGATCATTTTTCAAACAGGTTTTTTTCTCACCTTTTTATTCTTCCCACCCTTTGTATCTGATCTGTTAATCTCTCTGTAAGACTGTTGCCTTCCTAATGGCCTCCTCCATATTTGATGGGCCACACAAACTCTGCTTTGCAGGGGTGATGGCTGGGCTCGGTAGGGAGGGGACATGGCACCCAAACTTAATCCAAACTCACAGCAGCCCAGAGGGCATTAAGAGGTGGGTGGGGGTTGGGTGAACTGTTTCCTAAGCAGAGAGAGAGAGAGAGAGAGGCTCCTTTTTAGCATTCACCACTCGGCTCCAGTTCATAAACACACTCCAAATGGGAATGAAAAAGTCTAGAGAAAGTCATGCAGGTAATCTTTGATTAACTGAGGCTCTTTTATGGTTTTCTTGCAAAAAATGAACTTTGAACACAGGAAGCTGTTCCCTTTTTTTTGCTACTGTTTTGGAGTAAGTGAAAGAGTGTTCAGGATAGGTGTCACTCAAAAGAGCTCAAGCTACATAAACAGAATATCCCAAGCTTTGTTTGCTTAGAGATTCCTGGAAAGTTGGATGAAGGACTTCCCCTCAAAAATGAGAATCGCGGCCTTTAGTTGGAAACTTAAAAAGACAATTTGTAGGATAGTACTTTGAGATTGTTTGCAAATACTTGCAACCTTTCATTTAGTCTTTGGTTTCACTTTGATGCAAATATGTATCTGCTACCTACTCCACCCTTTTACACAAACACGCACACACTCACATTGTCTTATCTCCCCAAAGGAACTGCCATTGTTACTCAGTTGAGTATGAAAACAACTTCATACGAAACCATCCTCTCCCTCTGATTACTCGCCTCTAACCCCCTGAGCTGCCCCCACATTTACTACATCTATTACGATCCGAAAGTCCCTCAATTCTCTTTGCAGACAGAATTGGACAGAGTAGATGTAGTTAGTGCAGACTGAAGAGTAGTGATGTTGCATGTCCGACCAACTCAGGGAAACAAGCTGGAAATGTCTCCAGGCTACTGCAGCTAATCATTCAGCACACAGAGGAACTGATCGTTAGCCGCTGATGTCAGCCTAACCTTGTCGGGATGGGATCTAGTGTGTGTTTGTGTGTGTGTGTGTGTGAATGGAATGGGGGTGGGGGTATGCATAGATGGAAGTTTGGACTCCATCCTGTCAGAAATGTTTGTTTTTCTGATTATAGAGGCAAAAAGGAAAAGACAGAATTCTTTAGCTCAATTATAGGATCCTATCATGGAGGTAAAAGTTTGTTCTTTTAAATGAGCGGGACTTTTGTGCAGCGCTGTTATTGACGTGCCTGCATGTCACTATTGTCATGTCCTTTTGCTGCAGGAAAAGAAAAGAAATCCTGCTGTGGTAGAGCAGAGCCACTCATATGGAAATAAAGAGGGCAGTTTGACTTCACATTTACAGCTAAAAAAAAAACAATTTGAGAACATAAAAAAAACAAGAATGACTAATACTAAGTGACCGTTTTTGGTGTGCAGAAGCTTTGTCGTCATCCAAATGAGGGAAGTTTGGATAGTTATAGTTTTGATCCGCTTTTCTCTTTATTGTAATTCTTTGTGTTCTCCTTTGCGCTCTCAAGGGAGTGAACAGGCATTAGGAGACGTAGTTTTAGGAGCTCCTGCAGGGTCAAGCAGGTTTAGGGTCACAGAGGACAGAGGTGGAGGGGGCGGAGGAGGAGGGTCCCTCATGGGCTAATGGGTTTAACCCGAACCCACATGTGGATTAGAGTTACAGTTTAACGCCGAGAATGAAAGCAAGATGAATGCAGATTGGACATAAGCAGGTTTCAAGACACTTACATGCAAATGTGTTCATCTCTTTTCTGAGAGGAAGGACAAAAATGAGTGGTTTCTATTCATTTTGCAGTCCTCTGTCTTTCTTTATGTGTGTAACATATGTAAGAAGAAAATGACAGACAGCCTGGATTTAAATAGCAGAAATTGTCACGCCTCGGTAACTTAAATGTTAGACTGTCAGTACCGCACATGACATTACGCTATGGAGCAACATCCTTGTTTTTTGTGCTTTGTTCGTGTTGTCAAATGATATCATACAGATTATGTTTGCTGTCACCTAAAGGCCTTCTGTTTGACAAGATGGGAGAATTAAATACCCTTAGCAATAAAGTTCTCAGTTTTACAGTCTTATTTTTAGGAGTGAGGTTGGAGTGATGTCCAGGCTTTTTGGACTAGGGTGTCCAATTTGGGCATACATACATATCCAAAGAAATGGCATGCATTAAACCTCTCTGTCTTGAAAAGCATTCTAAGTATTCTTTGTGATTGATCTTGAGAAATGTTATCAATCAATTCTCGATTACTTCAAACTTAGAGAATAAGGAGGCACCAGTGTTGCTGGTGTGTAGGGATACAGGTGTGTAAATTCCTTCCTCTGAACGATACTTCCAGAGATTTATAATATATCCTCGACATTCATATTCCTGTTGTTGGTGATACTTTCAGTCCTCTAAAGGTTATAGAGTTGATATGTTTCCAATATTGGTATGCTGGCATCGGTATCAGCGAGTACTGGATTACAGGCACCAATCCGATACCATGTAATTTATTAAATTAGTAATTTACTCACTGGTTAGCTCCATTAGGTCTGTTCTGTTTAAATTCTGTTTTATTTTAAAAATTGGGGCTGCACTATATTTTTTCTTAAAAACAATTATTCCTAGATTTATTTCCAGATTCTGTAATCTGTATCGGGAGGTATCAGAATATCTCTAAACGGTTGTGTTTGTAGTTTCAGACTTCACATTTTTATTAAATGTGAAATTGTTGTATGTTTCTTCACAAATATTCTTGATTCAGTGATCATTCATTTTCACTATTGTGTGAATCCATAGGTTAGATTGAATTAGTCATATTATAATGCATAATTTAATCCAAGTGACCTTAACTGCAGATTTTCACTTCTTTGGCTGGTGTGATGGTTAAACAAACATGAAAGACTTATGCAGGACAGTCATCATGCAAATCGAGCTTATTTGAATTTGAATTGATGTGGTGTGAAATGCCTCTGAAGTTTAAAATGTAGAAACCATTGTTGATGGTTGTACTGGTGCCAGGGTCTTTCCAGGGAACAAAATAGAACATAAAAACACATCACATCTCTGTGTTTAATCACTAATCTAAAACTTTCTGTTTAAACACAATTAGAGTTGAACTCTTGTGAATCTCTTGTTAGCGATTAAAATGGTCACATGTTTTTATACACTGTGGAAATCACACTTAAAGTGGAAGTACCTGCATTTAAAGGTAAATATGGCTGTTGTGATGAATTATTGTGTCCATTTTATTTAACCAGCAATAAGTAAAACCACCAGATTTTTTTTCCCTCCTCTGGATGTTTTCTCCCACATTGTGATTCCTGAGCTGCTGTTTGCCTCCTACCTCAGTCCCAGCTGCCTTTCTCTCTCTCCCTCTCTGTGTTTGTCTGTCTGTTGCTCGGGGGCCTTGCAGTCAACTACACAGAGAAGAAGAGACCAAAGACAGGGAGCTTTTTACTACCCCCCACCACAACACACACAACCCCACTGCCCCACATCTACCAGCAGCAGCAGCAGCAGCAGAAGCAGAAGCACCTTTTTCCACTGGCTCTTGATGTTGTGTAAAGAATCCCTGGCTCACTCACACCCTCCCTCTGGCTCTACCTCTGGCCCCAGCGCCCTGTTCCCACATTGTATCCAGATGTGAGGAGGGTAGTTGAAGGGGGAAAGACATGGGGCCCCCCTGGTATTGCCCTCCTCTACCCCAGCCCCAAACTTAGAGCATCCCATCACTGCAGGTTTTCCAATATGATCAGCTTAAAACTAGACTAAATGGGTTTGACCTGAGGAATAGATACCCCGCTTTGACTCATCCCTATTTTTTTTATCTTTGTCTCTGGAAAGTCCATAAAATTTCAAGATGACTCAAAGTCAATTTCATCTTTCATTATTCAGTCAGGGTAACTCACAGAGTAGTTTGGCGCTATTTGCAGATAAAAAGGCTCCTCATGATATTGACCCTCATTTCAGCACTATTCAGCCTCTGCCTGAAACACGTCTATTTGGCTGCTTTTTAGTGGTCTCAAGTCAAACTGGGTTTGTGGGTGTTACTTTTAACACAGTTTTGTAGCCACAAAATGACCCGAAAATTACGCCTTTATATTAAAAATAATAATAATAGAATCCTAGGCTAGTCATTAGTGCCCACTTACCTCCTACTTTACCACTGTTAGCATATACTCACCTGTGTTAAATTGACTGCTGTTATTATGTTGCAGCATAATGAGGGTTCTCCTTTAAACATGCACAAATGTCTCTTCACATCTTCCTGAAACTGCTGTTTTATCCAACCAGCTACATCTGTTATTCTTCCTCAAACTAAAACCTTGAAAACCTGCTGCTCTCCAGGCTGACTGGCTGTGATCATCTAATCCCTGGTCGTAGACCTCTATTTAAAGAGCATAGCTGCTAATCCCTCTAGATTATACCTGACCAACTCCACAAAATCACCCAATTAATAGTCTTAGAAAAGGCCACAAAATCCTGGCATCCCTAAAAAAACAAACCCTGATAAATCAGGGAGAAAAATCTGACCCATTTATGGAGTCCTAATCTAAGGCTAAATCTCAAACAGAGAGGCAGGTGGGGCACAGAGTAATCCCTGACAGGAGGAACATATCTGTTTTGTATGTGTTCCTTTAGATTCCAATGTAAGTGTATCCACCACCCTTAAATGACATTTTATGGGTGTAATGTGGTTATCAAAGGTTGTATCTTCTGGTGTATGTGCCCTGAAATGACTCCTTGGAAGTGCAAACTGGTTTTCACAGTAAGGTTTGAGCCAGGCCCACAAGCAGCTGGTGGTCTTAAATTGAAATACCTGGATTGCAGGCACCACAGGCATCTTTGTCCCAGTTAGATCTGATACATACTTGGATGTATCGGGAGTTTTTGAAGGCTTGTGCTGCCAACACTTTAACAGAAGCGGCAGAGCATTGGTGCCAAATTTCTGTATTTTTAAAACTGCAGATTTTTTTTTTCATCATAAAACCTTTAGAGGGGATCCAAACAGTCAGAGTAGAAAAGCTCCCGAAACAGCAGTAAATACAGCACAAGCTGTACAGCTGATTGAAATGGAGTCAGCAGCCCATTGAATGCAGTATTTATTAATTGTGAAACAAAGTTCAACTCAATTCAGAAGCATGCTGTCAGCAGCATCAAACACATTACAGTAATGCATGTTTTGGGAACTGTATGATGCAAGCTTAGCTTATAGTTGCTGATGCTTGTGAGACAGTATTTACAGTGGAGCTCCTTTTGATCAGTCTAAAGTATTTCACCTGCAACCATGTCAGCCTTCAGCACGTTACACTGTAGTTTATGACAGAGTAGCTCCTTTTCAGTTTATGTTCACATCACTATTTAATTTGCTTATCTAAGATTTAAACAAATGTATGCAAGTTAACTCTCTCCTCATGTGTGTGTGTCGCTGGGCATGAGCTGTCTCCATTTTTAGTAACCCATCCTGCAGTCTTTGAGTCAGACCCCGGTGCAGTGTGTTGTGTAAAGCTGTCCACTGGTGCGATGTGGAGAGAATGACAGTGTGCGTAATCCTCAGTCACTTATTTCTTGTGTAACAGGCCTACATGTTTGGAGCGTTGGCCAACTGGCTGCTTGGCTGGCTTAATGGCTGTTTTGCTGCCTGGTTGATGCAGGTAACTCCCGATGGAAGCGTCTGATCTCTCTAGGGAGAGCTGCACAAACATGACTGCTTGATGCAACATTTGCCTCCTCCTGTACTACCCCTGGTTTCTCCTCTTAGTTAGCAGTTCAGATTTACTTCAGACTTTCTTACCCTCACAATGATGCTCATATTACAGCTAATCTCAAAATAAGAACATCAGTTTTACACTTTATGAATGCTACGTATCCAGTTTTCACAAATTCATAAGCACATTACTCACTACTGTTTCTGTCAGGGTATAAATATGCCAAAACTGCCTTTCCATTAAGGCACATCCATCTTTGTTGCTGAAATCTCTGTGCTTAAGACTCTACAGCTCGTCCTTAAGAATAAGACAGCTGATTTATCGTTGTTGTCAAACAGTAAGGTGTGTAACACTGAGCAGCTGACACTTGGTGATAGGTTATTAAAACAACAGTGTATCTCATCCTCGAATAATTAATGGTCTAACTCTAAAGTTTTATTGATGATGAAGTGTTTGAAGCCAGGAAATAATTATGTTGACTTCCAAGATCCATATTGATGCTTTGAGCTGGATGCTAACAGTAGTCTGCCAGGATGCTTAGTTGTAATATAACTGTCCTTAGTGTTGCAACCTTTGGTGCTGAAAAGTGAAACCTGTGCTGATGTACAGAAGAATTCAGGTCCTGGAGTGTCCTCTTGAGGGCGGCTGAAAAAGACACACGATTCCCCAGAGGGTTTCATGTTGAAATTCTTGGTTTTTAACTGTGGAATGACTCATTTTTACAGATTGATTAAAAAAATTAAGTTTACTCATTTATTTGAGCAGAGGAGGTTATATTTTATGGAATAAATCCGTGCAGATACTGCAGAGAGTAAAAGTTATACACATTAGGCGTTTGGTCACATCATATTGTGCTGTTAAGCCTTTCATACATGTTTTTTTAACCTGCCTCTGTTTACTTATTACTGAGCCTGGGAGGTGACATGAACTTTTATTTTCAATTCGCAAATATCTTGCACTTGCATTTTATCATATCACGGGCGCAATTTAGTATCTTGTACATGTGTTTTATTTGTATTTTTCAAGTGCATTTTGTAAATAATTCTCTCATTTGTGAGAGAAGAAGGACAGTGTCATGGACAGAGAGCATATTATCAACATTATCTTTCATTTAGGTATGACTCACGAAAATATACTTTACAACTTATCCACATTAGGATCCTTAAAGCACAGCAACTTTGACATTGGCGATATTCAGACTTGCAGGAAGTGATTTTGTTTATTAAGGAACAGTTAATAAATCGCACGTGCGAATAAAAAACAAAAGTTAATGTCACCTCCCGGGCTCCTCACCTTAACTTATCACAGTACCATCAGAGTCTTGTCATTTAGTGTCACTCTGTAGTTTTTCTTCAGTCGAACCATAACTGAGCAGTCTGCTGTATCTCGTCGCAGGAGTTGTATTTTCTCGTGTGTGTCAGATTCTTGTCAGACTTGTAATGTAATAAGATGACTCACTGGTGTTCAGCATCATGCTGTTGGTGCTCAAGAAGTCAGTTATTCATCATATCAGGTGGAAAACTTTATAAACAAAAACAATTACATCATGTCTGTGATTTGCTGCTGTGTCTAAAGTGTATTCAGGAAGGACTTAAATGAAGTCTGGCCTGTACATAGAGTATATACAGTATGTGAAAGAGTTACGCAAACACATCGCAACTGAAGAAACTCAAAAGTTTCCCTCTGATGAGAGTTTGTTTCTCTCAATATTCGGTGAAGACAGTGGAGCCCATTACCAGGTGGGGTGTCGGTCTGCATTTTCTACCAGTTATAATCCTGCTTGCTTCCAGATGCTGCTCTGGTATATTCACTGCTGTGTAAACATGGCTACTGGTGCAGATCAGGTTATGCTAGAGTTTATTGCAAACAGCCGTGTTCAGGAATGCTACTTGTTTGTCGACAAGATGCTGCGACCTGGTTTTCTTAGAGCCACCTGCGTCAGGAGCGCAAATAATCCAGGAGAGTGGCTGATTTATACACAAAAGGATTTTCTTTTACTTCATACGAAATATTTATGTTTACCAATTTGTTAATGACTTCTCTGCACATTATAGATTTAATTCTAGTCTTCTTTTCAAGATATTTCAACTCTGGTCATTATCATCTGTATTCCTCCATGAGATGTTGTTTTTTCTGTCAAACCTCTGGAAACAGCTGCTTTCAAATTTGATCACTGACAGAATTAGGGGTTTTTCTCTTTTCCAGCTCCTCGGTGGGACTGTTCCCTTGTTTTTTAACTCTTTAAACTAAAACATCTGTCAAAACAGCAGAAAAAGTCATTTCGACTTTCTCAGGGACTCATCGGTCTCCACTCTTGAGTAAACACACCTACACACAAACCTGATGAGCTCACGCACACACGCTTTGCATACTGTGGCACACACACCTTCATTTGCACTGCTTAGTGAGGGTTGATTGGGAAGTTGTGGGAGGTTAGAGTGTAACTACACTACCGCGTTTTCTGTTGGATGAGTGATGACTGAGTGGATACTGGCCAGCTTCCTGTGCTGTGGTGGAGCTGCAAAGATTATCTGTGAAAAAAGAGCCACATATTGACCGTTTGAGTAGCTGTGGAGGAGAATTTGAGTGAGGCAATGCTGATTATAAAAATACACATTTGCTTTTTATCCCCACTGTGGTAATAAACAGTCCAGATTCCTAAAAAGTCAGAGTCCTCCTGTGTGATGGACACATTCTGCAGTGAGCAGCCCACAGCCTGCATTTCTCTCTCTCTCTCTTTCTTGCCCTCTCTCTCTCTCTCACACACACACCCCTCTCTGTCTTCCTCTCTGTCAGCTCTTGTTATCCCAATCTATCTCCTACCGTGACTTTACATCACTATTTACCACTTATCCTCCCTCTGCTGCCCTCCCTCTCATTATTTGCTCTGCCTTTTCTACTCTCCTTGACATGCATCTCTCTCTCTCTCTCGTCAGACACTGCCTTGTTTTCCTCACTATTAGTTTAGAGGTTTTCCACCGGGTGGGTTAACAAGCTGGCATGATTTCATCAATGTGAATCAGTCAGCCTGATAAGACGTGACCCAGATGGGATCTCTGGTCCTTTTTTATACAGCCATCCATCAAAACAGCGCTGCCATATAAGCGCTCTCTCACCGTGATGCCTGTCACCCTGCAGATGAAAGAAATGTGTCATATAGTCTCAGTGTTGCTCCTGGAAAAACTCTCTGTCCTGTATTACAGGCTGACAGCATTTGTCATTCTCATCTCTGGTTTGTGTGGTGTGTGTGGGGCTTCTTTTAATGTTGGCTATGAAATCCTGGGCAGATACTCAGGACACACTCAGGCACATAAAACCCAAAACACTTGAGGAAATATTCAGATGATCTTTAAAGATTAATGGTAATCCTATTGAATGAATTTAATTTTGAGTCGCATGCTGTTCATATTCCACAATAATCCTACAGGGGATGTTAGCATGCTTGCAGGACATGAAAGTAACAGTGGTCAAATATGTCTGTGCACCTTAAGTCCTTGAAACAAGTTTTAAAAAATCAGTGCTTTTGCCACATCTGCAAACACTGCCTGTTGTCAAAGCTTAGCATGAGGACTGGAAAGAGGGTCAGCAGTTAGCCTGTAAGCTAACTCCTTGCACCTGCCAAACTTTTAAATATTTTGCAACGTGTGATATCTCATTTCTTTTGTGTAAGCTAGGTAGCTAGCTGTGAGCCAGGTAGGCTTTGGTCTTTTATTTCTTTCTTTACTTGTTTCGCTAGTGAAAGATGTTTGTTTACGTTTGCTTTGTCAAACAACTTAGATGGAGAAGATGTGACTTCTACTACTTCTATATTGTTACTGTTTGGGCTTGAAAAGCATTATAGACACGGTTTTATGGTGTTTTTAGGCAGAGAGCGCAGCTTTGTTTTAAACGTTGTTCAGATCAAGCTGACTGCAATACTGTATGTTGTCCCAGTTAAACAACTCATTTACATTTTAGCGAAAAACTAGCGAGCATTGGAGACATGCCAGTTTAGCTTGGACTCAATTTTTAACCCTGTATGTTACCAGTTCTACAAAGTTTTTGGTATTTCTGTTCAGTCTGATTTTTGTTCTGATTTTCAATTTTTTTGAAATTTGAACATGGACTTTATGGTGCTTGAATGTTAGGTCAGTGTGTCTCAAATGGAAAGAAAGAATGGAAAGAACATTTGATTCTGAAGGCTCTTATTTTACCACGAGTGACTAACCAGCAGTGGTTTTTATCATAAAAGAATCGAACTGGCACATTTATCGCGGCTGCATTGAACTACTATAATGAAAATAATTCACATTTTGTCAAGTGTGGTATTCAGTGAAGGTTCTAAATAGCTACAGTGGTAATTATTTTGTTCCATGGTGGCTTTATTTCTGGGGTATGGCAATGAGTCGCCTATAGTGTGACAATGATAATCATTATTTCTACACTTTCTTAGTGTTACCCAAAGGTGATTCATGGTGAGTAAGACGCCTTTTAATTGTCAGTGGAATTACATCTTTCTTACATATGCACTCTTACAGAAAGGATTCAGTACAGAGCAGTCTGCACAGTAACACTTTCAAGGGGAAAATTCGGATTTTACCCTCAGGTAACTTTCTGTGGAGTTTTGCTTCTTCATAATGTTTGTGTTTTCTTTTTTTTTTTACTCTCTGTTTTTTGGTCTATCGTGTGTGTTTGTACTTTAGAGCAGTTTGTGAACCACCTCACACAACAACAACTGCCTGTCGTAGCCCACACACTTTCTCTGTAGTAGAGCCATCAGGAGATTTCTGTGGAAACCCTCCCATCCTGCCTGCCAGCTTGGTGTGTGTGTGTGTGTGTGTGTGTGTGTGTGTGTGTGTGTGTGTGTGTGTGTGTGTGTGTGTGTGTGTGTGTTGGCGGTAAGGCAGAGTCAAAAGCAGATCTGTTGCCCTGTTATGTTCACATATCTCCCCTTGACAGCTCTTACAGGATGTGTTCAGCAGATTTTGCCTCGAGGTGAAGACAGGTTCGAAAATAAGGTCCACAGTAGGCAAAATATATAAAAAAACAACATTCAACTAAGTAAATGAGAAGAGGAACAGATATTCTGAATGTGCATCTCCTAAAACTACTAAACGCTTGAGAGTTGTTCATTTCAACTAGAAATAATTATAAAATCTAAATTATTTTAGCTTCCCAGTAAATGAGGAGCACTTTTTTAAGACTGCGCTTGTTTGGAAGTTGCTTGGCAGTTTCTCTCATGCTTTTGGGGTTTTTTACATCTTGATATTGGTATTTTCATGTAGCATTGACCTGAAATTTTGCACACCAGCCCTCTTGTAAAACTTCCCTAAGCCACGTGCGACTACATGTGTCCCAGCAGGTAAATGTCACCAAAACTTTCATCAGAGGTGTTAGCGTTCATGTCAACCACTGATGGACGCCTCTGAAACTTCTTACCTTTTTGATCAAGTCCTTTACATATTGGAAGTTTGCAACAGCTCAAAGATCATCACACCTTGGCTCTCTCAAGCTGAATAAATAGTGTCTAACTTCACTACGGCTGTGTGAAAGCATGAGAGGTTAACACATAGCAGAAAGGCTTTACATAAACACACTCTTCTCTGCACGAACACACACCTCTGTCTGCTCTGCCCGCTCCTAGTCTCACTTCTGTAACACCTTTGTCACTTCTAATGCCAGCACAGTCACGACACCTCTTAGTCCCATTATACACTTTATATAAAATGGATAGAAGTTTGGATGTTGCTAAAGGCCGAGAGACTTGTCAAATTCCCCAAGTTTTGTCCCAGGTGTGATGATGTCAGTCCTACGACGCAATCAGCCAAGTTGCTTGTGGGCGTTTGGTGGTTTTACTAGTGAGAATGTTGGCATCTGTGGAGCTATTGTGAGTAGAAGTGATGTTTTTACTCTTTATACAGCCGCTAGTCGTACTATTCTACCCCTGTTTCATTTTGGTTGGAGACTTCACAGGGGCTTAAATATTGCATCTTTAGCTGGCGTGTGAAAAGGGCTTAAATGTCTTAGAGGTGTAATGATGGGACCAAGTTGTCCAACATCTGAGCTGGCGCCAGAGTTCGTATCTTAGGCATTAAAAAGGCAGTACAGGATCACTGCAGACCACTATGTGAAGTCTGAGGAATTGTGTATGTGAAGTTCAGCTCTCATGCTCCTGCAATAGAGTTACACAAATAGCCCATTTAAACACAACAAAAGACTTTCAAGAGACTTATTTAACACTTTTGCTGTGATACTGCAACGCTAAATCAAATCCATTCCATCACTTGCTGCGGGGCCATCAAATAAAACGGTGATATCAGACCGTGTGACACCGTGAAAGACCGGTGGCCAGCTTTGAGGTCAGCGCTCTAATTACACTTCAGAGAGACTGATTTAGGTTCAGTTGCAGAGGTTGAGCGGGGCTGCAGATGGATGGAGGTGCGAGGAGAAGGAAGAGGGAGGGAGAGCTGTGAGAGCAGTGGACAGTTGTTCCCGGAGTGAAAAAAAAAAAAAGGATGGAGGAGTTTCAATTTGGATTTAAATCGAACACTATCACCACAAGAGTCTCTTCTGCTGTCATGCTCATTTTACCTTTTGCTTATTGTCTGTTTCTGCTTTTATTTTTTCTCCTCACCCATTTCACCTCCTCTTGGCTGTGAACAAACTTTTAAAAGAGAAGATTTTACTGCATCAAATTAGGATACATACGATTTTTTATCAAGCAGGGCTGTAACTTTCTATGAGAGTTAAGTATCTGTGTGCAGAACATGAATATTAACAAGATCCTGTTACATAACTGTATTTCGATCTTCCTCACTTAGTATTTTGGGATTAAGATTAAGATTTATGTCAGATTAAGGTCCAGGTCAAAGTTAAGGTTGAGTTTAAGGATTTAGAGATGAATCATTTGAAGCAGAAACCCAGGGTAAAGGAAATTTATGCTGTAAGCCTATCTTTTGTTGGTGAACCCTAAGTTAAGATCATGTAATGATAGTTTGGCCTGTGTTGCACAGTGACAGTGTGTTAGTCTGTGTGTGTCTGTGTGTGTGTGTTTGAGAGGAATGCTGCTGTGGTGCATGATGAGGGGGGGGACTCTATGGGCAGGAGCACCCAGGGGTTAACGAGCGGTGTGAGAAAAACAGGCAGAGTTTGAGAAGGAGGGGGGAGGGACGTCATGCACACACACGCACGCACACACACACACATAGATACGCATTCAGAGCGAGTCCCAGGGGAAGCTGACGATTGGGCCCATGAGGGAGGCGGCTCTTGTTGAGCTAAATCAAAGCAGCAGGTATCTCTACTTGCTGATCAGATGAGAACTTCTAAGTGATGTTTGGGTTTTTAGTTGAATGGATGATTTTTTTCCTAACCTCAGTAGTCATAAATGAAACCTACAGGTGCGCACCAATCCTGAAGCAGCAGTGTAATGAGACAGCTGTTTCCACCAGCTATTACAACAAAGTGTTTTATCCCACTGTAATGTACTCTATAGGTCCCAGAACTGCCCACTTCTCCAGTAATCCCACTCGTATGGAGCGGTCACCAAAATGTAAGATGACAGTGTTGACCCAAACACCTGCCACTTCCTCCACACATACACATACGTTTACCCACACAGACCTGGTGGACTCTTTTCTATCCAAAAAGCTCTTCTCACGCAAATAGAGTGGGCAGGCAGGATCCCCTCTCAGCCTATTTATCAGAGGAGGGGGAGTTTGAGAAGGGACAGACAGCGTGGACCCCCTCCATTGTTCTGACTGGGTTTAAGAGATGGGGGAGGCAGGGATGGATCTAGGAATAGGATGGGAATCGGAGACCCCAACAATGCCACAAAGCCCCCCACTGCTCTTCCTGCTTATGAGCATGACCTGCTCTGACAGAGCAGAGATGGACCCCGAGTAGGGGGAATTAGAATATAACTCGAACAAAACTTCACCCAGTTTGGTCTTGAATGGATTCTTAAATCTACCTGAACTTAAAGTTGATGATGTAGGCCGACACTAGAGGGAGTGGCATCAATCCGACAAGATCCAAACTACCAAAGCTTTGCCAAATGAAGACACATTCCTCATGCATGGGATTGCTGCATTGTGTTGTAGGAGCATGGTCAAATTCTTCAGTGAATTGATTAAAAAATGACAGTCCTACAAGAATCAAACCAAATGACACAGATTAACATTAATGATCCATACAATGTAAACTAGTCCTACCTCATCCAAAACTGGAGCATGTCTTTGGCTTTTCATGACTTTATCGACAGATTGAAGACAGATGATGATGAGTGTTGGAAAGTTATTAAACTAATCCATTAGCTCTTGATATTGTTAGTGACATTTGCTTAACACTGATTGATTGCATGAAATAAGACAAAGTTACGAACAAACACTTAAGGTTTTTAACTATTGTTGTTTCTCTGAGTCGGGATTGCGACTTCAGGGATGGTCATGGGCATATAAAGTTACGATTTGACACCAAGAGGGGGGGTTTATCTTTGGAGGTAAGATTTAAAAATGACTTATTTGAAATCTAAGATTGAGGACAAAGTAGTGGAGTATTATGAATACTCTTAGCTGTCTAATTAAAAAAAATTGAATATACTCACAAAGCTTATGTGTGAAAAGAGCAGAAAAGAGCATTGATAGCCCGACTTAAACTTCTCAATGATTATACAACAGAACATTCTCACTCTCGCTTGCTCCCTCGCAGGGAATTTTCCTTACCTTTATCTACTGCCGTCACACACTGGTTCACCAAACTTTACAGGAAATGATCCAAGCAGAGTCGGTATGCAGTACTAGGCAGTTTGTGCTTTTGCTGCATGATATTAAGAAGTAGTATAGCATTTTTTTTAATATATATACTGCTTTATGAAAAAATACAAGGATTTATGAGGAAATGCTCCGAAACAATTCCATTTCAAAAACACATCTGTTATTTATAATTTGGATCTTTAAGTGATTTTAGACAGATATGCATTATGGATCAATCTTGGATGACAGAGCATGTTGTGATTCAGGTCGCCTGACTGACATTGCGCATGTGTGCATCATAGTTGTGATGGTTAAACAGTATATTGCTCGAATCCAGATCCAGATCAGGGAGCGTCAAGTATATTACTGAACCAAGAAAGACCCAAACACACAGCTGCATAACATTCATTGCATCCAGTCTCTAAAGGACTGTCCCATCTCAGCTTGATTACACACACAAATGCATACAAGGCCAGATGTGCTTCCCTGCAAGAATGTGAGTTATGTAAGTTGTACATCCTGGGATAAACTCACACATTCGAATAACAAGAATACAGTACAACTAACATTTCCTAGAACAATGAATTCCAGTTGAGAATCTTGTTCGTGCCTTTTCATTTTGAAAGAACAGACTTTTGTATGTGTGTTTTTCACTTTAAACCACACATGTAGGTTATAACTGATTCTGCAGCACTTCACAGCTGTTGAAAGATTCTCATCGTTTGAGGTTGCTAAAACCTCTTTTTTTTGTGCCACAGCTGACAGATTTTTTTTTACCCTAAAATGTCCTGAAGCTTTAGCATGTGTGTGTTTTGCAAACAGCCCACACGTGTGTATGTGTGTGTGTGTGTGTGTGTGTGTGTGTGTGTGTGTGGTTGTGTGCATCCAGCTGTGCTTTACCCCTCATTCTCTCCATCGTAGAGCTCGCAGCAGACCTTTGTCTGCCAGTTTAGAGTCGGGTGTGAGGTGAAGAGCAGTTTGTTCATAATGGATTATTGATTGGTCTGAGAATACACTGCCTCTGCACTGTGTGTGTATGTTTGTGTGTGTGTGTGTGTGTGTGTGTCTGTGTATGCGTTAAAGAGACTCCATACCATCTCCTCTTCTGTCCCACTCTGTGCACTGAATGTCTCCACTTTATGAGCAAGTGAACAGAGGATAGCAGGGTTTTCGGAGAGTGCTCTCTGTATGTCATGCTCTGTGAAGCAGTATGCGCCTGAATGTGTGTGTGCGAATGTGCGTGCGTGTGTGTGTGAGCAGCTCTCTGTATGGGCCGTTAAGCTTTCAATGCTGCCTGTATGAACCAGTGTTAAAAGCCCACAGTGTGCACATATAGACTTTGAAAAGATGTGTGTGCACAACATTAAAAGCCCCCTCTGTTTTGCTTCTTGATTCCTCAGTTTCCTTGAATGCATAAGTGCGAGTTTGTGTGTGTGTGTGTGTGCGCGCGTGTGCATTTCAACAAGAGGTCCACTCTTTATTTGTGTGTATTTTTCTTGATTTTAAATGCCTGTCTCTGTGCTGCTACGGCTGCCTCTGTGTAGGAGGGGAACAGATCCCATCACAGCTGAAGGATGTCCCACATGAGACCGACCTATAGTCATTATCAGTGATAAGGTGACAGTGTGAGTGAGTCACCCTGTTATGAAAGCCAATCTTGGCACCCTTGGGTGCAAGAGATTTGTGTCACGGCTGCCTCTGGGATGATTGCAGTGATGAAGGTGCTTCCTGCCTGGATGATGAGGAAGGAAGAGGCTTTTTCTTTCGATGATTTTTACTTTAATTCTAGGCTCTTCAAATGGTGGGCTGTAGTAGTAGATTAAAAAATCATTCCACCACAATCCACATTTGTTCTGCAGCGTGAGTTTGTAGCCTCTAGAGGGAGCAATTAAGCAGTTTGCAATAAAACACAAACACCTTCTAACTTTCCTTCAAAAATTTGCAGATTGACTGATCAAAATGCCAAAAAGTCTAATAGTTACACTTAATACTTGTTAAATGTATGTCATACTGCACAAAACTGAAAATCCATCTTTGCCAGGGTTCAAATATGTGAAAACAAATACAAAACAGAACAATCTAGCGGCTTTGAGCAGGTTCTCATCTGGCCTGCCTACACAGTTTGACACTGTTTGTTTCAAATTCACTCCAGATGTGAACCTCAGGAGGCTCAGGAACAGAAATAGCCGGCTGCTCTGAAAATGTTGTGCATGGATGGGAAAATAAGAGTGGATTTCCTCCTCTTCGCCCACCTCTGCTGCCACAGCGCAGCGCTCAGAAAGCAGAACAGCAGAAGTTGAGCGTGCAAAGGAAGGGGAGAGAGAGAAAAAAAAAGGAACAGTTTGTTATTGTTTGACACAGCAGTCATTATCAGCTGAGAGTAGGCCTCCACTCACTCCCAGTGACTCACGGTGAGGCAGCTTAAGTGACCATTAATGGCATGTCTGACATGAGACCAATGACAGTAACAACAAGGGTGAACCTAGTCTGAATTATTTAAAGACAACCGAATTTCTGCAAGAAAGAAAAACTGGATTTAAGCACAAAGAGGAGATGAAACAGCAATTCTAGGTAACACACTCTGCCCGGTTTTATTAATCTGTGTGTGTGTGTGTGTGTGTGCGTAGTGTTAGTGTTGTATGTGACGTTCATAGCCTGGAGGATGTCAATAACAGTAAAGATTTATCAATTGAAGTGTTCTTTTTAGCTTCAGGAAGGCTCTAAATCCATTTATTGCACCATTATGGCCTTTAACAGAGCTTTGATACCTCTCCTCTTTTTTGATGACTTCGATGATTGCTAATCCCATCCATCTTTCCTGGATAGTTTCTCCCTCCTTAAGCCAATTTGTCATTTTTTCCCCCTTTGCCTGCATGGCCAGGAGCCTGCATTGTTTCCCTTCTGGGGGATAATCTCATTACGTTTCAATTTGCACATACGACTGTCTGGTGGATGACAGGCTTACTGTTGAAGAGTCTCAACCCCCCCAAAAGCCCTCCTGACCCCCAATCAGCATGGTCATTTAATAGGAAATAAGATTATTACCCTGTTTTTTTTTTTAGTGCAAGACGTGGAAGAAACTACTAAGTAATAATGAGTAACAGTAGGATGTGGAGGTGGAGAGCAGATGGAACAGATGGGGGGAAACCCACATAGGATGGATAGACTGGGGTTGGACAGCTTTGTTTTTGCTGCTTTTTGTCTATAATCACTGACCTGGCTCGGTTGTGTTGGATGTTATTCCCAAAGCTCTGCTAGGGCCTTTTCTTAATCTTTCCCCCGGAAAACCTAAGATACTAAGGATGTGCCTTCAGATGGATCCATTTAGTCATATTTGGTTGTTTTATCCTTTCGTAAAAGTTGCATGTGGTTCATGTAACAACAAAAATCCAGCATCCATCGCTGTACTTTTAGTATTGTGGTAACACCCACAGACTGTGTATGGACGCCATCTGCCTCCTTGCTGGTTGAAGCCACCCCAAGAACAGCACCTTCTGGTGACGGGCTGCAGTATAGGTCATAAATCCTGCCTCATCCGGCAATCCCTATGGAGCTGTGGACAAACTTCAGAAATTGATTACACAGAATATAAATTTTTCTCCCCCCCGCTTGTGATGTTGACATGTAGTTATTGTAAGACTGGTTTGTGCTCAAGTCCTCTTTTTTCTGTACAGCTCCGTTTTTAAAAGTTATTAGGGGGTTCATGTTTTCTATAAGCCAGTTATGAGAGTCATCCAGCACCTCTTTATTAACCTCACAGAAACCATTTAGTCTTTTTTAAAATGCCTTGTATAGATAATAGCATTCTAATAGCCAAATGTAATCGAGATTGTGCCACAGCATAAAAAGCTGATTTAGACCTGATAATTTGACCTTAAAGAAAGAGTGTGGTTAGTCTCTTCTCTATGTGGACCTCCCCCTTTGTTGTTAACAAAGTTGGTATCAGAATGCCCCTCCTTTCTTGATTTTGATTGATCAGAGATCAGTCAATCAAGCATGGCAGTGTTCCAGAAGTTGAACCATTTCTAACTTAGATCACTGAGAGCCACGACATTAGACAGCCGAAGCTGAGTGCATTTTTGCGCACAGGACTCTAAAATCGCTGAACTTCACTGGCTTTCGTACAGAAAATAGGCGCCTCCAGTGTAACAAAGTACATTGATGGACAGTGTGTGTAATACTCAGAGACAGTCTACAGGCAGACTCTGCGCTATCAGCTGCAGAAGTACATCTCTGTTATCACCCACAGACAGAACACATGCCAGACGTCTCTAACTGAAACAGCACTCACACTTTAGGTGTCAAACTCCTCAACTGAGTTTAAAGTCTGTAACACACTGAGAATATCATTATATATTCACACCTATCAATAATAAATAACTGAATAACTGCACTATAACTGTAAAACTCCTTGACTTCAGCATTCATGGTCCCTCGAGGCTTTGCTCCAACACATTTGTTCAAACTCAACTTCTCACCTCTGGGTTACAGCAACATCATACAACATATCAAACTAAGGGCGGCATGGGTACAGAGATCAGAGAAAAAAAAAGTTGTGATTTTCACAAAATCTTGTGTGAAAACAAACACAGCTAAGATTGTTTTCCATTCACTGCTGTTTTCTTCTCTTAGTTTATCTCAGTTAGCATGGTAACATTTGGCTGATTACACTTGACAAAAAAGTACAGCTAGAGCTTGTAAAGAGTTATAAGTTCTTTAATGAATTACTTCAAAATTTAATTTTTGACATCATGATGTTTCGAAACAGAAAGTCACAGAACTCTAAGGTGATGAGTTTCGATTCTGTCCAAAAGCTACTTTTGTAAACCTTCAGTGAAGAATAAATGTCAGATTTATCATTAATCATCCTCAAGAGAACATGGATGTATGTAGAAAGTGTTAAAAACTGAATGATAATCACGACTGTCAACTATAAAACCATGGTGCTGAAAAAAGTTTCTTTTTTTTCAAAGTTTTCAAATGCAAAATCAAAATATGAGCCTCCATCCTTTATTAAAATGAACACTGGTAAATCTTGTTTGTTTTTTATGAAATCTCAAAGGCCTACATCTGAAAGTAAATTTACGTTCTCAGTAATGTCATCCACAGCTGCACTTCTGGCTGGAACAGCACTTGTTAGCTGAGGGCCTTCGCTTACTAAGCACTCCAGGAGGAAGTATGGGGAACCATTGAGCTTGCACTGATTTCAATAGCATAAATCATTTTGGATAGATAGGTCGCTCCGGCGCAGGGTAGTCATTTTCAGTGTGAGAGTTGAAGACATATGATTGTTCTTGTGCTAACGTCCCTCCTCCACCACCTTATCCTCTCATGATTATGATCAATTATCCACTTATAATTAAAGGCTGGCAGTAACTCAGCTTATGGGCTCTGGCACTTTATGTAATAGCCTGTAATAATGCTGTCAGTCACATTTCATATAGTCCCACTCTCAGGCTCCAGCATCTGCTGGAATTAATACCCCAGTAAAAATGTGTCGGTGATCAACAGTTATAACATAAAGAGATCTTATTTAATGATGTTTCCAATGAGCTTACAGAAAGGAAAGAAGAAAGGGTGTGATTAACAGTGAGTGATTCTTGTGAGAAGAATTGAACCTTGCAAAAGCCAATAATCAGCGGTAATAATGAAATGTGTTTTAAACATATACACATATCAGTTGTAGCATTAGAATCAAATGTTAAGAGCCGTATGGCCCCCCTCTGGTTTGGCCAGTAATGAGATAGTCCCGACCTGACATGACACGGACTCCACCAGACAATGTTCAGGTGTGTGGTGGTTTCTGGCAACAAGACATAAGCAGGAGATCCTTGAAGTCCTTTTAGGTGCAGCTGGATCAGACTTGGCTGTCCAGTACATTCCGCCCATGCTCAATTGGGTTGAGATTAAGGAAACTTGGAGACTAAGTTAGCCTAGTTTTGACCTTCATTCATTGCTCTGTGATCCAGTTTCGATCGTCATGTGCCCATCGTGGGCATCCTGGTCACTCTGCAGCTACGCAGCTCCAACAAACAACTGCACTGTGTGTTTGGACACCTTTCTATCAGAACCAGTGTCAACTCTGTCAGCAGTTTTCTTTCCTTTATTTTAAAGGGACCCCCACTGCTACTGACTAGGAACACCCCATAATACATACTTGCAGTATTGGAGATGCTCTAACTCAGTTGCTTTGCCATCACAGTTTGGCTCTTCTCCAAGTCCCCCACATCCTTAATCTTGTTCATATTTTTTAAACATGTTAATTTCAATTTTCTACTTTTTACCAATATATCATGCCAACTGACAGGGGCCATAATGCAGATGGCTGACTGGTGTGTGCTTAAATAATATAATGAGTATGAATTAATTAAACCTAATAGTTGTCGGGAAGCAGACCAAACAACAACAAAAAAGAGAATTTGCTAATTGTTTTCTACAAATATAATAATAATACATTTATTTGTAAAGTATAGGAGGTATGAAAGCAAAACAATGTCAAAGTCTTTGTCTGTTTCCTTTTTGAGCTCTCTTTCTCTCTCTCACTTCCCCTCTCTCTCTTTTATTTTTTCTGTTTGACTCTCCCTCGACCCCATTCAACTCCTGTCTGAGAAATAGAGCAAAGCAAACTGTCTGAAGAGCCACTTCCTGTTGTGTACTTAAGATCCCTGTCATGTGATAGTGTCAGTTGAAGCTGGTGTGTGGGGCCGGTATGGGGAGAGAATATGGTGGCAGTGCTGATCTTGCTGATGTGAATAGAGGCTCCCACCACCACAGCCACCCCCTCCTAACTCTGATTGTGTAAAGTGTCGACTCAGCCAGTGCAGTGTGCAGGCCCCCCCCCCCAAGCCCTGAACGCTTCATGAGTGTCCACAACCAACAGAGATGCGCGTGTGCAGTGGTGTCATAGATTTGTATTCATCTTTTTACATGATGATCAATTCCCACATACCTAATGAGTTTGTGTTTTGTTATTGTCTGGTTGTGGTCCAACACTTCACCCTTCACAATGGTTATTGATATGAAAACGCACAAAACAGGAATAGTCAATCTTGGTGCAAATTGTTTTATTTGCTTTAAGGGGCATCACAGCTAAAATCAGTCAGTTTCATCACCAGTTAAAAACCCCTAACAGAGGCCTTTAGTGGTTTTTAAATTTCCTAGCAGCTTGACAGATCTGCTCTGACACATGCAGTGCACTGTATATATAAATAGTAACTAAATATGTAGGCTATATATGAAATTAGTTAATTGCTTTGAATTCTTAACTAATCTTTTCTTCCTCTTTCCCGTGTTCCCCCCTTTTTCTCTCATTTTCTTCAGGTGGATGATAAACAGCACCTACAGAAGGACACACGTCTATGACCCAGAAGTCGCCAATGTGCCGCACATCTGAAGAGAAGTCTGTAAAATGAAGAAAAGAAGTGTGGTGGAAAGACCAGTCAGAATGTGTCTCCGGTGATAAGTGATGATGACCCAGAACTGGTGAAAACCTTCACTCTCTACTGACAAGGACATTGAAAACTCTAGTTATATTTGGATTAGGATGAAACTGAGTTTACATTTCACTGCATCTGACTGACTAAGAAAGTAACATTACAGTTTTCTATGATGCCAATTGTGTCCAGATAGTTTGAGCCACTATAGTTTATTAATGAAGATGGACATATGGTGTTGAATCCAGTAACTGGAGAGTACTTGACAGGCTGCTGTGTAAGCAGCTGATTCTGTGAATGACCAACAGCAGATAGCATTTTAACTGGCCAACAAAGACACATGAGATATCGCTAGATGAGCAGCTGCAGATAGCAGGAGTTTTAGGTTTCGTTGAGCTTGTCAGAGGCCAGGTGGAGAGCGTTGCTTGGTTCGTACAATGACTACTAGAGAGAGTGTTGAGTTGATGGAGACTCAGGAGGGAGGTCTGAAGGAGAAGCTACTTGGAGGCAAAGTCAACCATGAAAACGAGGTTGAAGCAGAGGATGAAAAATCCCCTGGGGCTTACAACTGCAACATCTGCGGACGCAGTTTCCCTTTCCTCAGCTCTTTGTCGCAGCATATGAGACGCCACACAGGTGCTCGTCCTTACAAATGCCCCTACTGTGACCACAGAGCCTCTCAGAAGGGGAACCTTAAAGTCCACATCCGAAGCCACAAGCTGGGCACATTGTCCAGTCACCATTCTAATGAGGACGAAGATGGCGGGGCTGAGGAGGAGGAGATGAGTGTTTCAGAAGGTCTTGATGGAGGTACAAGCCCCACTAAGAGCAGCTCAGCCTGTAACCGGATGATCAATGGAGACAGTGGTGAAGAGAACCGAAGGAAAGTGCCGGGGAGGAGCATGAAGAGAGAGAAGTCTGTTAATGACCAAAGGCCTTTCTGTTGCCGTCTTTGTGGCTTTGAGGCTCTGCGAGAGGACCAGCTCCTCAGCCATATTGAGAAGGTCCATATAACAGCAGACGCAGATGAGGAGACTATTGTTAAAGAGGAGACTGTGACAGAATCTGAAGCCCTCCAACCCCAAAACGATGGGACCTTCCCCTGTGAGACCTGTGGCCAAGTCTTCACCCAGGCCTGGTTTCTAAAGTCACACATGAAGAAACATGCAGGGATCTTGGACCACTGCTGTCGTATCTGTGGGAGACGGTTCCGTGAAGCTTGGTTTCTCAAATCACACATGAAAACGCACAACACCAGATCCAGGTCGCGGTCTAAAGCAGATTCCGCTGAGATTCCTGTGACCATCAACGATGTAGCCCAGGACCCTGACATTGTTGCTTGCTCAATTACATCCACGTATCAAGTGTGTTCTAAATGTGGAAACCTGTTCCACAACAGGGAGAGCCTGAGGGTCCATGAGAAAGTCCACAGTTTGAGCAATGGCAGGAAATCCCAAAGTGAATGCAGACTTAGTGATGATGAGGACTCACCAGCTGCTAAAAGACGATACCTTGAGTACCTAAACCTTAAGCCTGCCATAAAGAGCTTGGACGAAGAGGAAGAGAGTGAGAGTAAGATGTTGGGTCAAAGAATCCCAGAGCTTGACCCAGTGTGTAGTTACCAAGCTTGGCAATTAGCCACCAAAGGAAGGGTTGTGGAGCCAGTGGAGCCCAGTTACAAAGCCTCCTTTGGGGGTGGAAGCATGGGCGAGGAGGCCCTCGCTGAAGCTGCTGTGGTTTTTGAGAAGGAGAGCAGTCGTTATGTCCTGCAAAGTCAAGAGAAACGCGGCAGCTCAGGTCGACGTAGCAGCTCAGGTTTGGGAAGCCATGCTTCATCAGGGGACCGGACGCCAGAGAGCCTCAGTGACTCCGAGTACAGACCAGCTTCACGCCAAGACAGGAGGCGACCTTCTCAGTCACAAGCCTCCTCCAAAAACGAGTGCTTTGAGTGTGGGAAGGTGTTTCGTAGTCGCCACCAGATGATCGTCCATCAGCGGGTCCACAGAAGGGATGGAGGTCGAGCATCTGTGGGAGACAAGGAAAGATCTGCAAGAGATGACAGATGGGGCTCCACCAGCGATCCAGACTCAGGTTCCCCCAGCAGGCCCTGCACTCCAGGGTATGGAGACTCTCCACCAGCCTCCACGCTTGGAGACCAGGCCTCAGAGATGGGTACAGCAAACTCTGGAGAGATGACAGGTGAGTCTAAACCTCGAGCTCTGTCCTTGTTGGTAACCTAGAAGTGTTTCGAATGTTCTTCTTTTTAAGTACTGCAAAGATAGAGGTGCATTACATCTGTATTCTTTCAAATGGCCAGCAGGAGGAGACTCCTCTGGGTACAATAAGAAGCCTCCAATATCAATGGGGTCACTGTCAAAGCTTTAAACACTGTTGCCATTATCACTATTGATCGCTTATTAAGTAACTTTGTAGGGATTGGCAACAGAAAATAAGATCACTGGCTGTGTTGCTATTTACCTGGATTTCAGGAAATGATTTTGGCCACTTTCCCCTATTATCTCTTCTCTCCTGGCACCCAGAAGCCCATCAGACTGCACTCCCATCTTAAACCAGTAACTGTCACTGACTCGTTAGGCTAGCCTTAGATGGAAATTAATGTTTCTGCTGTGATGTAGAATGTTAACAGGCAGGGGTGAAATTTGTCAGACACATCTCTGTGGACTGATTTGATATGACGTGAGTGACTGGGTTGTCCCTGGCATCACTATTGAGAGTTATTTGCTGATTATATGAAGTTTTGACCAATTGGAATCAAGTATTGAACAGAGCTGAATAAAAGACCAACGTTTTTGAATAATCTTTTTTGAGCAGTTAAAAGACAAATAGTCAGTGTTCTCCGTGTGTTTGTTTAAGATACTGACTTGAGGCGGATAACAGATCTTTGGAAATAACTTCATAGTATGGTATTCAAGTAAGTGAATGGTATGTACTGAAGATTAGCAAAACAAACATGCTCTGTGGGTTTTTTTCAGTGACAGAAATGACTGCGAGCCTTTTTAAGCCTCCCACTCGAGGCCTCTGACTCTGTCACTCTGTAGTAAACATCTGTTGATGAAATGGGCTTTGTGTAGGTGCTGAACATGAGATTTCGTGGAGTGGAAACTAGAGCCCCCATGTGGCAAAATGACAAAATTACACCCCTCTGAGGCTCTTTTATAGAGAGCTGCTCAAAATTACTATCAAACAATGTCAATAAAATTTAACAGCTGCTTGAAATTCTGTTTACAGCGGGGCGGTTATTTGGTGTCACAGAGCGGTAAAGCAAACTGTTAAGTGCAACCTTGTGACTTCAGTGGCATGTCAGTGGAAAAGGGGGCATTTTTGAAATGCCTATCATTTTTTACCTCCACAACCAATAAACACTGCAGAGCAAAAGGAGGAGACCTACCCATGCAAGGGCAAAAACACCCATAATCATGACTGGAATAGGCTACAAGAGGATTCCTGTGTTTGTGCTCCAGAGCTTTGCTGTCTTTATATTTTATCCTACAATCCCTCTGAAAACACTCTTCATGCAGGTTAGGATAGTAGACAGCAACGAGCCGCAGTGATTGTTTCCATTCCTCCATGTTAGAATAGAGATTCAAAAATAGCTGCAACATTTCTTCAGGCCTGATCGAGCTGTGAGCTATTTCAGGTCTTCCTGTCTCAGGAAACTCCCCTCGCCCCCCTTATCTGTGCGTGAATATGGTTTTTGCTCTCCCTTTTATGTCTTTGTCATAAAATTCTGTATCCGTATTTCCTTGTTCCATTTGTTGAGGTTGTCGCCCATAAAACAAACGATTATTAGTCTGGGATACAATAGCAGCCATGCTGTCTAACAGCTGAAGGTGAGTCTTACCTTCTTGTGCAGCTGGAAGTGTGCTCTGCGGTAATCAGTCTCTCATAATGCACAGGCATGGTGTCGGGTTTCAGGAATTGCAGGTTGGAGACAAAATTGGTCAAGGTCAACAATGACGGCAAATTTATTGTATAGATTGAAGTCAAAACCTGCAGCTTTAACAGATATTGTTAAATGTGATAGCCTCTGTTGATGCCCTTCAAAAACATTTGATTAAATACAGTATAGTTGTATTGAGGCCAAGTTTATTTCAAGAATTTATAACTTAAAAAAAGGGAATAGATCTTTTTCTCGTAATGCAAAACCATCTGCCTTTTCCTCTGTTTTTCCCTCGCCCCTCTTTAAATCCCCTGTGACTCTTTCCTAATCTCTAATGTCACCTCCTGTGGCACCTGCACCGCCTCTCATCCACTCTTCTTACCACTGAGCCAGCCAGGCTGCCCCATGTCTGAGAGATTGGATATTTATAGAGTCACCTCCTGATTGAGAAGGATTCAGGCAACGAGGAAGAAGTCACTCAGAGGACAGTTTAGTCACAGATGACACCCTGATGTCCCTTACAGACATTTAGATGGAAATGCAAATGAAAAATTTCAGTCCCAGTACCAACATGTGCCAATCTGAAAAACTTTTAGAGCAATCAGTTACTGTATAGGGTTGTTTCCCTCTATGGAAAATAGTTTGCAAGCAGAGCATGGAATCAATTGATTTCCACACAGCTGTGATTGCTGAATCTGCACTGTTCACGGCCAAAACTATGTGCATCTACTGGTGAGAGCTGACATCCATACTTTCTTTTGATCAGCTCTGTGCCAGTGTGAAATTCAGGCTATATTTGTATAGTAGCCATCAAGTCAAGGTTGTATGAATACTTTGAATAAACTCCAGGGTACATGCATTGTACTCGTTGTTTACCTTTGCCAAGGACACTTTTTATATGGTTACAACATCAGCCCTACAGCAAGATCATGATTTTAATGGCCGTATCTCTGTCTTTGTGTTACTCTGTATGCATTTTTTGCATCGCTTGATTGAAAAAGCAAGATTGCCCACATTGTCTGATTTAGTTATGAACTCTGACTTTGGGTGAAGCTTTTAAAATCCCAGTATTGAATTGCACCATTTCTAATTAATTACGGATAAACAAAGGACCAATATGGACCCGACAGAAAAGGACTCACAGTCCTAAACACCTTCTCTACTGAAGTGCCCAGCCCTGGAGCATCACCTTGGCAGATCCTGAGCTGTGTGTTGCCAACAGGAAGCCGAATGAAAAACAGATGGCAGGTAGCTGGTGTTATTCTGAAAAAAAAAGAGGAGTAGTGGGATATGATCTGTTGTGTCACCGCAGACTCCATCCAGTGTGTGCAAAATCAAATAGTCTCTTTTACCTGATTTCTTCAAATTTACAGGTGGAAACACTTGTAATGCCTTTAAACACTCTTGATATTACTAATTTGATCAGTGTCTTTTCTTGTTCAGTAATGCTCCTGAAAATAAGCTCTGAAAAAAAACGAGTCTCTCAGGTGTTGCCATGCCAAGGACCCCCATGTAGCAGTAGCCTGTAGCTCCCCTTATTACAAAATTTCTTCTATTCCATGGAGCACAAGCCCAGAAACTCTAAAACAATCTCCCTTTTTAATCAATGAATTTGAAAATATAGTTTAAATTTATGTCTCGCAAGGTCTTTTTCAAATTCTTCTCAAAAAACATTTATGCCCATCACAGCTATTCTTACCTGATATAACAAAGCCATTCTTTATGTATGCTGGCTCATACTGACTTACAGATGGTGTTCTGTGGTCAGGGCTCTTTTGCTACTGTTTAGTCTGGTCACCTGGTGGTCTTTTCCCTTTTAGAGATCTTTCCATTTCCAGAATTTTTAGGAAGCAAGTGTCCGGCAAAACAGCGACTCTCTGACCCATCGGTGTCACTGATAGCAGTTTCTTAACTCTGATTGGCGAGCGTAGTGTGTGGTATTTATTAACAATAAAAAGGATGCAGAATATCAGTATGTGGGGATTAATAACAAGCTGTTTTTATTTATCAGCAAAAGCATGAACAGAATATTGTATATGCTTCCTTGACAAATGGCCCACACGTCCAATTACTCAGACACTTGAATGAGTCATTTGCAGGGTCTTTCTCTATAGAAATACACTACTCTTTGTTTGCAGTATGACTGTCATACATGTCTTTATGCAGACTAATTACAGTCTTTGTGTCTACTCAGTTCTAGTTTGTAGAAGTGCACTCATTCAGTACATAGAATCTTTTTTCTTATTGTCAATAACAATAAAGCACTATGTACAACATAACTTTGGTCTGTATCTAGTATATTTCTGGATGCTTCTCCAACTAAAATCAGTCCAGGGTCCATGGGAACAGGAGCTTTCAGTATTTTTTTTTTCACTCAGTCCTCATTTATCTCTCACTGAAATCCCCGCAGCACTGGACAGTACCATAAATATGAGAATGGCCACCTATCATGTTGGGTTTTATTTTTGTTATGTTTGCCTCTTTTTTCTCTTCAAGTTTCAGCAACACCCCCTTACACCCCCCTGGTTGCCCCCAAGGGAGGTCAGGACCACTGCTTAAAAAAAACACTGCTCTGAAAGATATTGAATTTTCCCAGAAACAAATCGTTGTATTCACTTTATGGACAGGTCACAAGCGCCATCTTGTGGGGAAAATCTAAAACTGCACTCTGTGAATCAACCGTAACAGTCACTGAATTTGCAGCAGCAGTTTGATAAAGTTACAGTTCTCAAGCCATATGGTTTTTAACCACCTTTATAGGACCTGCACAACATGAAACCCCGAATCTGTTATTAATGTGTTTATAAAATTGTGCAGTTATTTATTTTGATGATCTTATTAAGTGGTTTATTGGAATTTAAAAAAGTGATCTGATAGTAAAAAGTTGAAAAACACTATGTGAAAATAAATGTGAGTTATGACATGATCATCATATAGATGTGTCATCTGTTACAGGTCACTGTAACTGTGCAGAGTCCTCAAACAGAATCTTATGGTCCTATCATATAAGAGTTATTGTTTTTACATGGTCAGTGTGTTTTTGTCTTTGTAGAGGATATTTTAATTTATCACAGTAAAGGTTTACAGATAGAAGGAAAGAAGCCCTTAGTGCAAACTTTTCAATAGTGCCATCTAGTGGCTGATCATCCAAACGACACCTGGCTGAAACAATGTGACTCTGGCTTGAATGGTTTCCTGAGCAGCCCCTGATCTATACGTTGTCTTTCTTCCTCCCCACAGATGAAAAGCCGTACATCCGCAGCCTTACTGACTTTGTCACCACGGACCTGCAGACCTATTCTTCTCATGTTCGTGTCAAATCCTCTGAAGAAAGACCCAGCCCCATCCCCAGCCCCAGCTCGTGCTCAGACAGAGGCACCCCCAGTGGTTACCCCAAGCTGAAGAACGCTCTCCTTCAGGAAATTAACAGCTCAGCCTCGCCTTCTAGTTACCGTTCAGCTCGATCTTCTCCGCTGGATCCCAGCCTAACCCCTGTGGATCTCTGTGTGAGGGCCGAGGGCTGTCGGGGCATCTCCTCCCTGAACCTGGACAGGAAGAACCTGCCCAGCCACAAGTGCTCCTTCTGCTCCCACTCCACCCGCTACCCTGAGGTGCTGTGGATGCACCAAACTGTGGCTCACCGCATCAACAGCAGTAGCTCCAATCTTGCTCCGAAATGGGCCTTGAGGAATAGCACCAAGAGCTCAAGGGAGAATTCATCATCTTCCAAGAGACGCACTGGTCCTCCTCCAGTCCTGGAAGGCAAAGAGTGTCCACCACTTCCTCCACTGATGAGCACCCAACGCACCCGGCCCCCAAACTTCTCCAGTGAGGTTATAAAGAAGAGCAAGCCTCAAAGTCAAGCAGCCACGCCATCATCGTCAGCAGCCTCCTCCTCCTCCTCCTCACTTTCCAGGGGCTCCTCATCCACTTTGGGCACCCAAGCTGGGAGAGTCCCTGTTCAATCAGGTACCAGCTCCAGCAGACACACTGAAGACCAGAGTCACCAGTCCCGCTTCAGACCTAAAGTTGATATTTACCCCCATGCGAGCTCATCCTCTTCACCCAGCTCCTTGGAGAAGAGCACCAGAGTCCTCTCACGTTCCTCAGCCCCGAGTCCCAGCTCCGCTCCTCCATCCCGAGTCTCTGACCGCTACATGATGCCTCAGGAGGGCCTGGGCTTCATGCTGACCAGCAAACATGGCCTGGCAGAGTACAGCCGAGCCAGGGGTTCCCCTCATCAGCTTCCACCCAAGGCTCACCACAGCCAGGGACGGGCCAATACCACGAGGCCCAGCACCATCACCCATAGTTCTGCAGCTGGACGCAACTACGGGACCTGTCAGGCCTACGGAGGCAGTCCACAGAATCTTCCCTCCTCATCCTCATCCTCTTCCTCCTCCTCCTCCTCTTCTTTGCCTTCTCAAGCACGTGGGGATGTAAAACAGGAGCTAATGGCTGAGACACCAGAGATGCCAGCTGACATCCTGAGCTTCCTCAAGAACTACAGTCCCCATGAGCTGGCTGCCCTCTACCACCGCTGGGGAGCAGCCAACGCCCTCCTGGATCCAACTGGTGAGTTACAGCTTTCTTTAATCGTCACTATAGATTCATATATTAACAAGATATGCTCTGACAAGAAGACAAGGCCATCAGTGACAGGAATGACATTTATTATAAGGTTATTTAAGCGCCTGTTACTGCTGTGAGAGGGTTAGGTGTCCAATAAGACAATTTGCAGCTCTGTGCAGGAACAGCTTCATTTGATCCTGTTTGAAAGCAAACATTCACATTTCCCTGTTTAAAGGCATCTTTGGTCAAAAAACACTACTTGCCATGTGTAGAAAGAAACCAGTGAGGATGTGCGAGGTTCATTCTCTGACACGAACAGAAAAGTTCCTGACAGGAGCTTTAATGTCAAGTCTACCAGAGACCACCTGAGCTGCTGCAGAATCATAACCAAGGCTGGGTTATATTGAAATGTATGACACGAAGAAGAACTATGAGAGATCAGATCAAGACCACACACACACACACACACACACACTAGGACTGCACAATTAATCGATTTTGAATCGTAATCTGATTATTTGATGATATTTATTTGACGATGTTAAAAAAATTTAAATAGTCAAATCATCTGTCTCGCACCTCCAGGCCACCGTAGACTCCCCCTTCCTGCGGGAGGGCACCCCAGTTCCCACACACACCAGTGTGAACAAACATGGCGATAATTTCGTGGCTAATTAGGGCAAGAGTAAGTCAGGCATGTGGAATTGGTACGGCTTTGCAGTTTTGGTTAAGGACCAAACTACTCCCTGCTGCAAAAGTCTGTCTGAAGGTGGTATCAACCCGTCCACACGGAAACGAATTCAAGAGTAAACGCAAAAGTTTTTTGTCGTATTGGCATTTTATCTACAGGAAAACAGAGTTTCGGCTGACTGTAAACTGTACTTTTCATGATACTTAGATCTGTGACTGTAAACAAAAATATTTTATTGGAGTTTACAGTATATCTTGGTAAATCTATATGTTCTCACTTCATTTTTTGAGCTTTTAAAATTAGAATACTGGATAAAGCAATACAACAGGATAAGTAGAGACAGAAAAGGTGGACAAAATGTGCTCCTTTAAATACTTAATGCCCCCCTCACATCAAAGCACTAACCCAGTTTAGCAACCCTCGTCCAAAAAGTCTGGACACACCCTGCTTGCAGACAACAGGCACTCCTTGCATCAACCCTTAAGGATCCACATTACCTAAGAAGAAAGAAAACAGAACATTGTTTCTCATAATAACTGTATAATGTACAGTATTCATGTATGTTCTGTGTAGATTTGAATGCAGTCTTATTAACTAAATCACTGTCAATCAATCTTTTTCTATTTTCACATTTACTATTTTTTACTTGAACCAAACAGAAATATTACTTTTGCTCTAAGTCATTATTATTAGAGCAGGAGAAGCTCATGAAAGAAACTCACCCAAGTTCATCATAGTGTGTATTTGGTCAGCATGTGGCATGAAACTGTAATTTAGCCCACTCACATCACTCTCTGCTGTGACGCATTGGCTCTCTCCCCCCTTGGTGTGGGACTAACACCTGAGAAGAAGTGTTCTTCAGACAGGTCTAACACCACTCTTGAGATCCACATCACCATCTATAAGTAGTGAAAGACTCTGCTCATCATCAGCTCACATACGCCAAAACGCCCTGAGGAGCTTTACTTTGGAGAAAATGCCAAATGTCAAGAGTCGAAGAGGAATGTTTTCCAATGACTGAACGTTTTGGTTGGCTGTTTGGAGCAGAATTAACTAAATTTGACAAAAGACAAAGCTACAAGACTCTGAAGGATCCGGGCTTTACATACGAGCAATACTCAATCATTGATAGATACTTACCCCCTGAATACACACTGTCTGTGTCTCAGACGAATTCACCATCTGGCAGAAAGTGATTGACAGACACATTAACTGCTCAGTTCTGACGGGGCATTAAATAATGAAGAGAAGATCCATTAAACGCACATGCGTGCCCGCATGTTTGTGAGGTAAAATAAAAGGCTGTATCTGGGGCAGAGTGTGTGTGTGTGTATGTGCGCCTGTGCATGTGTGCCCGTATGTGCTTGTTTTTTTTTTTTAGATGGAAGTGTGCGCTTGTGTGTGTCTGTGTGTGTGTGTATCTTTTTTTTTTTTTTAACTTTGAAAGACGTGAGAGAACCTTTGCTTCTCTCAGGTCTGCGAGGCATGCCTAGTCTCCAGCTCCACTCTCCCAGAAAGCTGTCACAAACTGTTTAGGTCACGGCTCTGCCTGACGAGAGACTCGCACAGATGCGAATAGAGGGAGGCAAAACGGAGAGAAAGAGAGAGAGAGAGAGAGTGAGGGAGAGAGAGGGAACATGTGAGGCAAAGAGAAAGATGAGACAGAATAATTACCCCACCAGCTGCTTTGGAAATGGTCATTACTGAACATCCACATTATTTGCCCATTTTTCAGTTGTGTCTCTAAGGTCAAGTGGGGCTGTATGGAGCCAGAGGTCAGAGACAACAGCCCCAGAGCGGACGCATGACATCGCTGTCACCCGTCCAGGCACATATCGTCACCCTGCGCCTTAGCCCTTTGAGTCACATGCTATAAAGTGACCTTTTTTGAGCAAACTGAGTCTTTCTCCCATTTCTCTCTGTAATAATTGTATGAGTGTGTGTGTCTGCTTGTGTTTTCTGTCCAGCTCTGTCTTGTCTTTCATTAGTGCATCAGTGAGAAGGGCTGGCTGCCCAAAGTACAAGTCCAGTATCCAGAGGCCAGCAGTCCGGCTGCCAAAGACACTCTCAGTCACCTCCTCTGCCTCCCCGTCCTCCTCCTTGTCCAGCTAACCCCCCACCCCCCTCACCCCGTGCACCGTAAACATACACAAACATAAACACACACATACACACATCATGCACTACCCAGGTACATACCAGCCTCAGTGCTTTGGGGGGGTGTAATACACGTTCCCCTCACCAAAAGCACCGCTGCATCCTCAGGCCCTGTTATCTGTCAGTATGGGAGGTCACAGAAGTGCATGTGTGTGTGTTTATGCACATTAGTTTGTGTGTTTATTTAACATTCACTGTGTCATCATAAAGACCCAACCCCTTTGTAAACCCCTCTGGTTGCTTTCCCTGTGGCTTTAGCTGTATATTCAGATTTACACTTGAACTGGGTTTTTTTTACCTCTTATGGTAACAACAGGTTTCATAATGTTTAAAGACATTGGACTGTTTTGGTTTGCATTCAGTTGTCTTTGCCTTACATAGTTGGGCTTCATGCCCCCTTAAGAACAACCATTTCAACTGGTGTGTAGGAGAAACTTCTAGGAAATGAGCACTATGCTATACACTAGTGCCATCAGTACAGAATAGAATATAAGTATTGTATCACATAATGCTATTTTACCCAGAGAACGGCCTTTTAGAAAGCAAGCCGCGACTTTCGTCTGCAGTGCACCACTTTATAATGCCTTTGTTCTCTATTGGGTCATAATATCACACTAAAAGAAAACCAGGATAGACTATTAAGAAAATAAACCCTTTGAGGTGCTGGTTTGACCAAAACCACGCTCCGATGTAAGACTACAGGTCACGAGTGTTGGTCACTGTAGCGAGTTATGGTGAGTTGGTTCAAAGCGGTGAACCCATCCTTGTAACTGTCAAGCCTGTAATAGGCTGTGCTCACAATGCTGCTAACTTTCAGGATGGCATTTACAGCCAGCACAATGAGGAGCTACACATCTGCATAAAACCTGAACATTCCTGAACCCAATAGATATCTCCATGCCAGGACAGTCCCAGCCTTCGTTCTTCTTGAAGCCCCTCAAATATAGACACACCTTACATACCTATGGGGCAAATATAACAGATCTGAAGGTACTTTGTTGATGGCACTATTAAAAACACCTCATCAGGGCTAAAGAATTCTTATTAACTGTTTTAAGATTTGCCAGGTTTCATGAGGCTGGATAGAAAAAAAATGCTTTCAGTGATAAATAAAAAAATAAATAAAAATAAAAATAAATAAATAAAATAAAATAAATAAAATTGTCAGAAAAACAGAAAGAGGGGGAAAAATATTTGTACAAAAAAACAGAAGAAAAAAGAAGTCAGAAAAACAGAAAGAGTTAAAAAATAGTCCAGAAAACAGCAAAGAAAAAACAAAAACAAAAACAAAAGAAAAAGTGTCCTTTTTTTGGGTAAGTGAATGCAATACGCTTCCATAGTGATAACATAGTTTGATGTCAAAAATTATTTGTGTATTATTATTAATAATTATTTGTATTGAATCCAAGATGTTGAAAAGGGCTGTTTAGATACGTGTTGAAATTTTGCATTCCAATATAACAACAGCTGTGTATGCCAAGGATTCCTTTGACCAGATTATTTATTGTTGTTTATTTTATTGTGGCTAAGGTGCATACAGAGCAGGAAATGTAATAAGTTATTTTTAGCCAAAATATGAACCAAATCTATCCTTAAAAATTCAACACCTGCTGGTGAACTGACCTGGATGATTTACCGGATTTGTTGAAAAAGAATTAAACTCATTTGTTCTCCTGACATATTTTTTTATTGGAGCAAGAGATGTATCGTTTTATGAGTTGTATAATGATTTAATATCTGTGAAGTACAATAAAACGATACAAATTTTCAACAAGTGTTTTCCAAGCCGGGTGATTAAAATGATGTAACTCAAAGATTTCATTAATACTGACAGGGCGTGGATGGTTTAATCTTCACCCACCTCCACTAACAAAGTGACAGAGTGAAAAACAGCCCTGATTCCTCTTGTAGTTGTGTCAGATGACAGAATTTATTAGTTTTGAAGTCATCAAAATTCAACAAGTTTCTGTTTTTCCATGGTGACCCATTAGCATGTAAAGATGTCTTGTGCATATTAATAAGTGTTGTTGTGTCATAGTGTTTTTGTGAGCGCGCGTGTGTGTGTGCATGTGTGTGAAAAAGTAGCCAGTGTGTCCCTCCAGCCTATGCCTCACTTACCTCCCTTGGACCAAACACACATATACAACTCTTGAAATACACACACACACACATGGAAGCACACACCTGACATGTGACACACGGGCAGCGGAGCGGGCACATCACAGCCGGGGCGTTTTAATTGCCTGTAATTTATGCGGTGTGTGTGTGTGTGTGTGTGTGTGTGTGCTGTGCGTGTGTCTGGCTGTCAGCCTCTGAGATGATGCTGTGTGACAGCTGCAGTCCAGCCCCTGGAGCTAGCCGCTCATAATGACACATTAGACATACTAATGATGCCTGAGCGAGTCCACTACTGACGCTACCTACCTCCACTGCTCCAGCCGGCCTCTGTGCTTCTGTACACCCACTCACTCTCTGCCCATTACTGACCTTTACGTCTTCATTCAATCTCTGCAAACACGAAAATGTCTTCTGACTGGGAATAAACTGATGCTGATGTTCACCTTTTCAAATACTCGTCTCTGAAAAAGTCACATGTGAGATCTGGCATGGAAGTTTAAAGCATATGTGATTTAAGGACATGTTGGCCTTTGTATGTGAGCCTATAACTTTATAAAAAAAAAGTCTGTGAAGTTTTGAATTCTGAATTTACCTTTCTGAGTGTAAAGATTTGTCCTTTTTTGGTGCAGACAGTGTCAATGTTTTTGAAGGAACTTTCATCAAGAAAGTGGCCATGGTTGAGATCAGCTCTGCTAAAATCAAACAGCACCTTTATAGTTTAGCCTATGTGTCTCCTGGGTAACCCCAGTAAGTGTTCGGTGGTGAACTTTAGTAGTAGTGTAATGAATGTTTCTCTTTCCTGTTTGTGCACGTTCAGGGATGCTGAGGTCTCTCATGCGGCAAGGACAGTACTTCTGCCAGGAGTGCGGGAAGAGTTTCAGTCAGCCGAGCCACCTGCGCACTCATATGAGATCCCATACAGGTAAATACAGCCGGAACATACACACACTTACAAATATGTAGGTTGCAGACATGCTCACATTTTAAGTCCTTGAGCAAAAAAAAGGTTAAGCATGATGAAAACCATTCAAAGTGAATCCTACCAGTTTATACCTCAGTAAAGTTTATACCTCCTACACTTTTGTGTAACACGATGAACACAGTAGATTCAAAAATTAGCCACAACACAAAATAATACATGTATCACAGATCCTAACCTGACAAAACAATCAGCATTAAGCTATGGTATTACACCAGTGGTTCTCAAGTCCAGTCCTCTAGGCCCACTGTCCTGCATGTTTTGGATGTTTTCCTGCTCAAACACACCTGATTCAAATGATCAGCTCGTTATTAAGCCATTACAGATCTTGATAACGAGCTGATCATTTGAATCAGGTGTGTTGGTGCAGGAAAACATCCAAAACATGCAGGACGGGGGGGCACGAGGACTGGACTTGAGAACCACTGTATTACACTAATAAGTTAATATTCAATTTAAAGCTCCAGTGAGGGATTTTTTTTTGACAGTTACAAAACAGACTAAAATTAAGTGTTTTCTTTTGACAACTTACAAAAGTAAAAAAAGCCCATCCACATACAGATGAACTATCTCTATACAGTTCATTTTACTGTCTGAAACAGCTGGCAGGAGTAGGTGTCAGTCAAAGAGTTTTAGTGCCCAAAGTAGAAATAACCTTTGTGAATATTAATTACAGCAAATGAGTATCAGGTAGTGTTAAAATGAGTGAAATGAGATTTTTTCGTAAAAGTAGAGGTTAGATGATTCACACATGTGCAAGATGCAGTCAATAGAGCTACTCGCCAGACATGGAGTAGCTAAAGCTTAAATGATAACTGCATAAAAATGACCAGTCCTGTTACTTGTGGTTTTATTTGCTGATATACAGTATATCATATAAATGCACAATGATGAATTTTTAGCCCATTTCATGAATGTGAATAAAAATCTCCAAAACTAACCCATATTATGTATATTCTCTTATAAAGTCATTCACATACAAAGGAAGGAGTGTGTTCCACTGAAACTGTAATATAGTTTGGGATTCAGTACCTTTTATTTTTTAACTGGACTCATTTTACTCATTTTTTGATTTTGAGATACAAAATCTGAAAACTTTCAACAATAAAGTCCCAGCCAAGACAACTGCAACAAAGTTTCACACCATGAGGAACAACAGACTGTACCAAGCAACACTACAAATACATATGATATGAACTCAGAAAAGGCAAAATGATTTACCACCACTGAGCAAATCAAATCAAATGCAATAAATAAATAAAAAAGACCCTGTTGTTAAATTAGGCAGATTAACTACTTTTCTGAGACAAGACACAGTGGTACACTCTGTGTCAGGAAATATGTGTTTTATTTATACTAAAAGAATAATAAGTCAAGCTATATGTCCATCATTATGTAGTTAACAAGCAGTTCTCTTACGGTTTATGAACCATGAAGGTGATGCATATGATCGATGTTTGCCTGAACCTCGGCCTTCAGGAGCCTGAACATAGATTTTTTTTAATGTAGTATAAGTAATTGAAGTTAAAAACAATGATTAAAATGGGTTTGAAATGAAAAATGATAGGTGATCATGTTGCAGGAGTGGGTGTGACAGAGCGAGATCATTTAGTTTTCCTAAGAAGACATTTTAGTGATATGTCAGAAAAGTTGAAAACCTCATTAGCTACTTTTTATTCATGTAAAACGAGATGTTCCCTCTTTTTTAACCACTCCTTCAACAGTCACCCATCCCCCTGCCACCTGCGCGCACACATCATCATCCTCGCAGCTATTTATTCACCCAGAAACACTCGCATGAGATATAGAGAATAAATGCATGGGGATTCACATTCTCAACATATTTCATCGTCTGACTCTCCCAAATAAATCACAACAGATCTTTTGGTTCAGCTGAGTGTGACAGGCGGTCTGTGAGTCGTCCCCGCCCTGGGCTGGGCAGCTGTCTCTATTTTTTAAACTGAAACATGATTTGCTCCGGATACTGACCTGTGACAAATTGTATACATTATTAATCACATGTCAATTAGAGAGATGGAATTGTGCATTCTAATGAGACAGAGCAGCATTTGTCCACGCCAACCCTGTGAGGACATTTGCATGTGTCCTGATGCCATTCACTGAACAGCCTGATGTAGACATACCTCCACCTCACTCCTCCACTTTCTGCATATCTCTCTCTTTTTACTCTTTCTTGATGGCTAAATCTCTTTATTGCCCTCACTTGCAGCCTTTTCCTTTCTTTTTTTTTCCTCTATTTTGCTCTCTTTCTTTTCACTTCTACTCGTTCCCTACTTTACCTCAGCTTTCTTTTTTCTTTTCCCCCTTACTTTTCCTCTGATGTGTCCTCTCTCCTTGGCTCTTTTATATCCCCCCCCCTTCAGTTTCTTGATTCGGACTCTTTGGTCCGTCCTTTTCCTATATCACTTCCTCAGGTCTTATATACTTTCCTTCTCTACCTTTTTTCTGTCCTTTCTTGCTCTCCTATCTTGAGGCTCTTCCTATCTGCTGTCCTTTCATTTATTTAGATTTCTCTCATTTGACTTTACGTTCTCTTCAATTCCTCTTTGGTTTCCTTAATTTCTGTCTTTCATGCTTTTCTCATCTTTTTTCCCTCTCTTCTCCTCAATTTAACCCTTCCTATTCCTCATTTCTCCTTTCCTTTTTTATACTTTTCTTGTTTCCTCAACCTCTTCCATAACTTTCCATTACACCTGTGTGTTGTCATCTTTTATCTCCTCTTCTCTACCCTTCTTTCCTCACCTTTTATACCCCCTCCTCTTCTCATCTACTTTCTCTTACCTTTCTTATTCCCTCTCATCCCGCCTTACCTCTCTCTCTCTCTCTCTCTTTGCTTTCTTTTCTGTCTTTCTCCTTCTTCCTCCTCTCCTGTCCTGTCATGTCCATCACCCATGCTGGCAGTGATCACAGCCGACAGTGTGATAAGTAGCTTCTTTATGGAGAGTGTGAATGATATGTGGCACGGCCAGTGATTCCAAGTGACAGAGGCCAAATGGTAAGTGATGCAGAGCTCAGCTTTCCCCGGGGCCGTATTGTAAACACACACACTGCATTAACAAACACACACACACGCACACACACACACACACACAGCCATGCGCAGGGTCTGTAAACACTTGCCGAGGCTGTAATTAATGTTGTCACCGACGCTTGTCTTCAGCATGGACGTGCACACGCAGAAAAGGCCAGCCACCCCGAGGCCTCTATTAACATGCGTCATATTAAATCACTGACTCTCCTCCACCAGGTTCCATCACCATCATCATCATCAGCATCATCATCACTGCCAGCTCCCCTCGATTAGCAAGGGTGCTGGTGGCAAACACTGCTGTGTTCTGGGGCTGGTGGAATTAAAAAAAAAAAATGCTTGGTAGCGCTTTTAACCGAATGCCCTCCTCCCCTTCCTTCCTCCTCCTCCTCCTCCTCTTCCACCTCCTTTTCCTTCCCTCCCCCCCCTTCCATCCTCCTTCTCCCCTCACAGTTGGGTTTGATTTTAACGGACTCCACAGAGGTACTGACGCTCACACCACCGCTACTGAAGCTCCCAAACAAGTATGTGGCACGATGGCTAACACCGGGCTCCTTCATCGCTTTAGCATGTTCCTCCTCCTTTATTTTTGTTGTTGTTGTGTCACCTCCGCATGTTGTGTGTGTGTCTGTGTCAACCCGGCCTTCGCATCCTTTTGTCAGTGTTTTTTATTATTATTTGTAAGAGTCATGTGGCACCCTCTGCACCTGTATTAACACCTGGCAGTCTGGCATGCAGCTGGATGATGACGAGTGTCAAAAGTACAAACACATTGAAACACTCCATTTTTTTTTTTTTTACACCAAGCCTTTTAAGCATATTTTAATCAAACTTTAAGCATTGATGTGTTTTCTAATTTCAAACTCATATTACTGCCATTTTCCCTGGATATCACCCAGAGTGAAAAGCTCAAATTATGTCATAATTTTACTAGGGCTGGTACTCGATTAAAAAATTTGTCCCATTAATCAGAGGCTTTGTAATTAGATTAATCGCAATTAATCGCATTTTAATCGCATATGAATATTTGACCTGAGAACAGTGAGAATCATTTTTTTAACAGTGTACAAGTGAATCAATGAATAGTGAACTGAATGAATACATACGCTTAAGCAATCAAGACCTTATTTTTTTCAAGGTGATACTTAACCAAGACCAACAGATCAGTGATTTTTTTATGCCAGTCGAGTGATACCCAGTGAGCCAGAGTTTGTTAATTTTCTTGATGTGGACTTACTCATCTTAGCTCTGGGTGAGCGTGGGTTGGGTGTGGGTCGCTGTACTCGAGGTCAGACTAACATTAGCTTCCACGCTAGCTGCAGCATGTTTAGCATTCAGGTGATACCAGAGGCTTGACGTGCTGCGGTGATATGCAAATTAGTTTTTGCATAGTTTGCACAAGACTATATATATATATATTTTTTTTATCCAGGCTTCCATCCATCTTTTTTTAAAACAAAAATGCCCATCCATGCCGGAGCCAATCAAAGCACATTCATCCGCCCCTGATTATTTTGACTTTTTGCAATTTTTTATAGCAAAGACGTTATTGTCCGTCTTCTAACATAACTTAAACGTTCACAAATATTTAACGTTTTAATATGGTGTGATGTCCCTTCAGGTCTGAACTGTTTCATTATCAGTTAACTTTACAGGTTTTTCATCAATTCAAATTCAAAACACGATAATGACGATAATGAATGAACCTGGAGACACTGAAGCAACATTTTAGCGTCTCACCTTCAGCATTAAATTAGAGGAAAATGACTGCTATGTCAATCTGGTCAGCTGTCTAAAAGCTCTTCCACCCCTCACAGATACATATAAAGATCACTTTGATGAACAACATGAAATTAACATCAAGATATCACTGCGTCACTGCATCTCCTCATAACATCCATGCATTTGAGCGCACCTTTACTTTCTTTATTACTTCCCTTTTGAAGTGTGGCACTTCTCAGTTGCTCTCTCAGTTGTACAAAACTTAACCCCTGTTATCTTTGCACAATACAATAGAGCAAACTTCAGCAGGAGTTCTCCTGTATGACAGCAGAAAGTTAGTATTTGTTCAGTGGTTGCACAGAGGACTGTAATATTCTTCAGTAGTGGTTCTAGTAAACTATAAACTGAAGTCATTTTCCTCCCTCTAAAATACCTGTTGATGGCATTTTGTTGTTGAGGCAATTAGTGAAACAACCTTGTAAGTGGATTAGCTAATCATGAAGCCGCATTAAATCATGATGGTCTATTTCGGGGTAGCAAACAAAACAAAAACATAAGGAACATGCATGGTTGATAAATATGTATTAAACAAAGCTTTTGACTAATTACTGTAACTAACACGGTGGAAAAATGCTCATCAATCCATCAGTTTAATTCCAAAGATAAATTTTTAGATGGAATAACAGCTCAATATCTAAAGTTTACAAATACAATCCCTCGTAGTTTGTTGAATGACATTTCAGGTTTTCATTGAGTCACAGAGACGAGCACTGAGGCAGAGGAGACAGAAGAGTAAATCAGTTCTGCTCTGACATTCGGAGAGCGCCGGTTTCCACACGCCGCGCCTCCATCTTAATTAATCACACACATCACACACTCACGCACCCACATGGACTCAGATTTACCGCACGCCATGAATGATGGGAGCAGGCGCTGCGGAGGGGTCCAATTAGATGTAGTGTTGACGCTGCTTTACGGTGACGATAACCTTTAGTATAATGTAGTGCACCGGTTCCGTCAGCGATGTTTCCTCGCAGGACGATGTCGTGGAGGTTCCTGCTTTCCTCTCACGTCTCACCCTCACCGTCTCTCCAGCTGTTTTTTTTTTTCTTTTTTTTTTAGATTTTGGTGTGATTAATTATCCCTTTTTTGTTTTTATCTCTCTCTCTCTTTCTCCCCCTCCTTTCTTCCTCTCTGTTGTGTTTCTGATGATGTATGATAACAGCTATATTTCCTTGTTTCTTCTTCAGGGAGAAGGGTGCGGGAAGGGGGCAGGGAGAGTCATTTGTTTTCCCGCTTTGATACTCTTCCATTTATCAAAATGATAATTAGGTGCAATTAAATGGCAATCTCATTTGTTTTGTTCAGGTGTGTGTTGCTTATTATTATTTTTTTATATTTTCTGCAGAGGTGTTGGTGCCATTGTAGGTCAGTCTAATTAGAAGAGAGAGTGCAGGTTGTGTGTGTGTGTGCGTGTGTGTTTGTTCGTGTGTGTGTGTGTGTGTGTGTGTGTGTGAAGTGTGTGTGAAGTGTGTGTGAAGTGTGTGTGAAGTGTGTTGGGGGTGATCAGGTGATTGAGGGGTACAAAGACCAACGTAGGACCGTTCAGTTTGAAAGGAAATAAAGCCGACTAATGTCATGTGTAGAAGCTAAATTAGTTCTATTGATATTAAGGGAAATTAAATCTTAAAAAGTTAAATATGAGGGTTTCACAGATGGCCGAGTGGGTCAGCCCGGAACCGTGGTCCCTGCAGCGGTCGTGGGTTCGACCATGTGCTACATGTCCTTCCCCTTCCTTCTCTATCTCCCCACATTTCACCCTGTACTATCAATAAAAAACACAAAATCACCAAAAATAATACATGAAAATAAAAAAAGTTAAATGTGAATGCCTGTCTGAATCTTCATCATGTCCCATTTCAAGCCGAGTGCCTCACAAGTCTCAGTTTGTTCGTCTGCGTGTTCACTTGTATCCATTTTTGTTCCAACCACAGCGAGTCTCTGTGTTTCATCTTGTTATGTCTCATTGAATCCTCTTAAAAAATCTCCAAATTCTACCTGTGACGTCCTCTCCGGCCCGCACCTGACCTTTTATCTCTGATATGTGTGTGTTATTTGTGTGTTCACCAGGGGAGAGGCCATTCTGCTGCCAGCTCTGCCCATACCGAGCCTCTCAGAAAGGGAACCTAAAGACGCACGTCCAGAGCGTCCACCATATGCCTTTTGACAACAGCCAGTACCCAGACTCGAGGAGCTTGCTACTGAGCCAGGAGGAGCAAAGAGAGCTGGATGCCAAACATCCACCAAACATCAAATAGATCCAGACGTGAGAGCAGACTTGTCAGGGAATTAAACTACCCCAAAACACCATCAGCGTTTGGAATTTTGAGAGTTTCAGAGGACCCTAAAGACGACCAGTCTTCAGTGAATGAGGAAGATTTTCTCGGATGAAGGCCCTTGTAATTTTTGAAAGTTTTTTTTCCCTGAGAAAGAAGCTTGCAAATGCTACACAAGGCAATTACAACATCAAACCTATTGAACGCCAGGACAAGAGTGACAACAGTGTCTTATCTACTTATAGAGAGACTTTTCTGGTGACTTTTTTGCAGGTAGAAATTCAGGTGTCAGGTGTGCACACAAGTTAAAAAATTTCCCCTGAAACAGAAGAAACTGGGAGAGATCTCTGACGTGTTCGAACACCAAGAAACTCGACTCCATGGTGATTGATTTTTGTGCTTTTTTGGATCTTGGTTAAAATGAAGGCTGGACAGAAAGAGCTGATTGTGCATAGTTTACATCACCTTACAGGATTTTTTGTTAAGAAAAGGCCCTGAAAAATTCAAAAAAGTTACCTCTTGCTGCCATTTTGGAGGTACTAAAAGGGGAAGTTGCCTCATCCAGCTTTATAGGAAAAGAAAAAAAAACATTTGTAATGAAATGAAACGGAGCTAAAATGCTAAAGGTTTAATTCTGAGTGTGGAATTGCATGGCTGCTGTGGTTACTCTGTGTCTCCCCTTTGCTATACTGTAAGAATTAGTGCATTTCTCAGGACACACCGATAATCAGACAGAGAAGACGTTCTGCAGTTCATCAACAGACACATTTCAAGCTTGACTCACATCTGTGTCTGCATGTGTCTGTGTGTGTCTGTGTGTGTGTAAAACTCACTTCCCTCCACTCTGGAGTGTAATGTCTAAGTGCAGTGACCACTCTGAGGCTGATGATTAGAGGAAGAGGAGAGGGAGAAAGAAAGAGAGAGGTAGGGTTAAAAGAGAGAAGGTGAAAGAGAGAAAGAAAGAGAGAGAGTGCACGCTAACGGGGGTGTCTACTTTAGTGCTCATTAAAAAGAGTGTGCGTTTTTAATAGCCAATATAAATGAGCGTACCTTTTTATGGTCATTCAATTATTGTCCATTTAAGAGGAAGGGACTGAGTGGAGGCAGTTTTCCTCCATAACTTCTTCACATTAGAGAGTTTTTCCCACTCTGAACCATCTGACTTTGAATCAGACTGAACTCAGAACAGCTGGAAATAAAGGTGGGGCCCCGGATCACTCAGATTAGACTCAAAATTGGGTCTCTGCAGTGGCAAATATGGAGCTGCCATTTACTAATTATTCATTTCATTTTGCTAAAGGGCAACATTGACTCTCTGGCCTTTTGTAACCAAACCAATCCCGGCTTGCCTTTGAGTTAAGCTGGCGGGTTAATGTATAAGACAAAGGCATAGGCATGTTTAAAAACAAAATCAAAAATGGAGAGAAAAAGTGACTTTTTCAGGCTATAATTTTGACACAAAATGTTGATTTAACTGTAACTAGGCTATATGACAGACGCAGTGTCACAGCTGCCTTACCAGAATGAATCGGAATACGCTCATGGACTACATGGATTGCGAACTCTACTAAACTTTTGTACAAGAGTGAAACCATAAATACTCTATGCTGAGCTAAGCTAAATAGCAGCTAGTTTTAGCCTTTTGTTTAATTTGATATAAAAGTGATGTTAATCTTTTACTTGAACTTTATGCCAGATTAGAGAGAGTTTATTTCCCCCCAAAATTACCCAAAGTTTTCCTCACATTTGTCGTTATCGTGACAGAGCTTTTTCTAATGAGCTTAACTCCCTGATGCTGTCAGTCTTATTTCTTGAATGGGGATGTGTAGATTTGTATTCCAGGAGAAAGAGTGAGGAGGTCAGAGAGAGAGAGAGAGAGACAGAAAGACAGAGGTCAGAGGTCAGGCTTTTAGAGAGTTCAGGTACAAACACACAGACGAGTATCTTCTTGAGTTAATGTAGAGCTGTCACGGCCTTCTCAAGGGTGTGAGAGAGTGTGTACTTTTGTATGTGTGTGTGTGTGTGCGTGTGTGTTTCAAACTTCTCCACACTGTATAAGAGGTTGCCTCACTCCCGTGTGCCACAGCCTTCTTCTAGTTGCTTGTATACTAGCCTACCTCCTCTGCAAGGAAAGCCTGTTACTTCATCGGCTAGCGTAAAGACGAACAGGGCTGTATTTGCGAGGGGGTGTGTTTTCTTTGTGAACTAGGCTTGATTTTTCATTCTCATCAGCCTTTAGGATTGAAAAATAAAGCCATGCCTTGATATATATGTGGAGAACAACAAATACAGACAAAACTCAGATGCTCAAAGCGAGAGTCGAGCGATGGAGACATTTTTGTAAACATGAATTTAAATTTCAAAGCAGTGAAAGGTTACAGAGCGGACAGAGTACTGTACTTCCCGTCTATTTTGAGACCTCAGTAGTTTTTACATGACGATGAAATGGTTGCTTTGCATACAGTAAAGTGTGCTTGAATATGCCTAATGATACACAAGTGTGTATAATGAAGGTGTGGGTAGTGAAAATACTTGAAATAAGGATACTCTAGCCTTCGAGGTAGTGTAGTACTAATACCAATGTTGTACAGAATTCCCTTTAATATTAACTCCTCAGTTATGAATTTGTACTCCGAAGTGTGACTTAGAAAAACTATGAAGCAGGAGTGAGTGTATGTAAAATAAACTGTACATCTGTAATCCACTCTTACCAAACCCTTATATACAGCAGTAGAAACCAAATGGCATTACTAGTGCACTTAGACTAGGTTACTGCTTTAACCGTTCTCATTTTGTCCGATTCTAGCGAAGGGTTATTATTTTTAATTTTTTTGAGAATGTCTTTTTAACAGTGCCGGCTAACACTCTCATTGTCATTCCTGGTTTCAGAGCTTTTCTTTAGGATAATACCCTAGATTTTAATGACAAATGGTTTGTTCTGTGACAGATTAGCTCATGGAAAGTTTGATAATGCTAGTTTCAGCAATGCTTTTTTTTTTTTTTCCAAAAGATGTAAGAGTGTGTTTTTAGTCTTTCTCTTTGCTAAACTGTAGGGTTTGTTCAGTAGCTAGTCATGGCTGCCCTCCCAGAGGGGCTGGCAGGTGTTGTTCTTTTCTCTTTGGTTGGGTTTCTATCACGTCTCTTAAGTTGTATTATTTGTGTCCGTATTGCTTTCTTTTTTTATTTGTTTTGAACTTCATGATTAATTTACCTTAGAAGACGTTATTATTATTCCAAATGTATTTGGTTGATATCTGTATTTATTATCACTTCAAAAAAGGATGAGAGGACAAAGGCAGACAGGAGTGTTTGTTTAATTTGATTTTTCTGGGTTGTTTTTGTTTTTATACTGTGTAGTTTTCATGCCAGCAAGCCGATGTGAAAGCTCTACCTCGTCTGAGCCATTCTCAGTTCTGTTACACTTTTGTACATCATTTCAAAAAGATGTAATGTCATGTCCACAATAAAGACACACAAAATGGCACCTGTTGGCACTGTTTCATCTGGTTTCGCTTGTTTGTTTAAATTTACCTCAGCCACCGTGTGACTGAACACTTCCAAGTTTAGATGAAAAAGCTTCACAGATTCACAGTTTGCAAATGTTCGCTTTCTCTTTTGCTCACACTGACGGTGTGAAATTCACAAAGAGGCATGCAGAGCTCTGTTTATCCGGATATTGACAGGATTAAAAAAAACGAGCATATTTTGTATTCTTTTGTGTCTCTCACACAACTTGTTCTCACCATGGTCACTCACTGTCATCAGATTTTACTGTCAGAACACAAGCTGTACTGGTGAATACTGAACAAAGCCACTCAGACATGTCCATATTTTCCCCAGACCAGAGCAGAGAATACAAAATCACTCCGAAATCTGCTATGAATTTGAATTTTGTGAAGGGGGGGTTACTTTTATTTACTTGATAAGACAACTGAAGAGAGGCAGGACCTGTGTGTAGAGAGAGGGTAGTGATAGGCACCCACCAAAAAACTGCAGGATTAGAAGTCAAAACAGGGGTTGAGGTTCCAGTATGAGGGGTATCCGCACTACAGACAGAGCCCAGCTGTGTTCCTATCATAGACTGTATATACTATAGACAACTTGGTTCCGCCTTACACCAGTATATGTATTGCTCTCTGCATTTCCAGGTTTTTTCTCCATTTCCTGAAACCAATATTGCGCAGTAGTGTTGTACGCACTCCACCACTTGCGCAGTAGCATTGTACGCTTCGGATGGGAAAGTCGCCGGGAGTCACTGTGATGACGATCGGCTCAAACAGAGTATCCCCAGGGTGAGCTACGCAGCCTTCATACGCCCATCAAGTGTCAATCATAGAAAACATGAACTCCCTAATAACTATATAACACTATATATCATAACTATAGGGGATAAAATGTATATTCTGTGTAATTAGTTTGTAAAGTTTGTCCACAGCTCCATAGGGATTGCTGGAGGAGGCGGGATTTATAACCTATACTGCAGGGGGCAGATGGCGTCCATTCTATATACAGTCTATGGTTCTTATTTAAACACCGGCAGCTTATAACAGAGGCACTGTGTATCTGGGTTTCTGTAAGTGGTTCAAGCGACATAGATGACCAGATTAGACATTTAAGGATTAATGACTGCAGACCCACATGGGGTTTGACTAATTTACAATATAGGGCTGTCAGTATATTTGATATATTTTCACCATAAAATGCCAGATTATTGCAATATTTGAGGGAAACTTTCAATAAGACGGTCAAATTTAGGAAAAGGCAGGATAAGAATGGAACAACACATGACGTCATAAACTTGACTGAAAAAAGTAACTTCTCATAATGTTCAAATGTAGGACTTTTCCACATCTCCAGCCCTGTGATCAAAACTTCTGAGGTGAAGTTTTGAGTTTCCAACATGGCGAACTCATCCCAGAGTCTGTTTTATGTTTGATCTAGTCTGGTTTGGACCATACTTGTTTAGTCTGCTTTTATGGTATACTGTACATGGTCTCCAAAAGCATTTTCAGGGTTACAACATACCTGCTGTATTTTGACAGATGTTTTCTTTTTGTTGTTTTGTCCCACACATTTCATCATAATAACTTTGCTTTAATGTAACTGCAGCAAAATCTTTGACCCCGAACTTTGCCTTCTTCACTTGCTTCCAGTCTGCTCTTTCTAAAATAAAAGGAAGTGTTGTTACGATATTCCCATGGCTCTACAGTATCTGGCTTCACACAATCTGCATTACGTTGAGGATAATGAAAAGGCGGTCATGATTCATGAAGACGAGGTGAAAACAGACCAGACCCGAGCCACACTGCCAGCTGTTCTCTTTCATACGATGTGACATGTTTGATAGATAGAGACTTTGATGTTTGTCAGGACCCGTTGGCACCTTGATGTCCATGTGTGGCCGCGCAGTTGAAGCCGAGCTGCCAAGCAACAGTGATGAGAAAACTCTCACCCTTCAACTCGGAGGGACCACCTAGGGATTTGCTGCTGCTTTGCCAGTCTCTTTCATGTTCCCTGTCTACGTGCACCATCTGTCTGTCGGCTTGAGTGACGGCTGACTGACAGGTTCCCTCTGAGAACATGGCACATAACGTTAATGCCAGGCAGGCCCGCGGGCTGAGGAAAGTCTGCAGCTGCCCGTCACTCTTCCCAACCTCATCAGTCACTGCGGAGGCAGACGTGACGGCCCTGAGCTCCCTGGAAAACCTGTTCCCTGACATCTCTTCTTTCTGTCACACAACAAGAGAGGGAAACTGACTGACTGAATGACTGACTGAGGCGGAAAATATGCTGAATGTCAGGCTGACTCTGATTTGATGGATAGGTGTGGATGGAGAACACAGAATAATGTGATTTTTCTATCTTTTCTTTATGTCCTAAAAAGAAACCTGTTGTTGTTACCTTGCTTTTATGTGGGTGCAAACACATGTGACATCTTTATAAGATTACTTTGTGAAAAGACAGATGTATTTTTTACCATTTGAAACACATCTTAAGTTTTATTTAGTGTGGTTACACCTTAGATCAATCAATGCAGGGTTTCAGGGTTGAGCCTCCTGATGGTGGACTACCTCCAGACTGATTCTGACAATGTGTTTCACTCAGAGTCGAGTTTAGAACAAGGTAAGAAAACCTTAAAAAAAACATTGAGACGTCTACTGAACAACAAGGCATCAGTTTACTCCAGGAAAAATGGTTACTAGGCTGTCAGTCAGTGCAGGAAGGGTCTCTCCATAACCTGAGGTTTTAACTGTGAAGACTCAATCTGACAGTTTGAGTAACTTTAAAAAACAATCTTTAGAGTAAATTCAGACAATCCTGTTTCACACAGCAGCTGGACATAAAAGTGAGCAGAATTAAATAGCTTCTTTGAATCCCTAAATAAATTTCACTTTCTATGTTGATCAAACAGGAAGAATTTTAAGGAGTGACTGTCCAAAAATTCAACATTATCCCTGTTCGCTCAACGATTTGTTGCTGGAATAAACAACCTACCTCTAAATGTTGGACAATTTTTTCCAGGTTATTTATTTTGAGGAAACTCCAGTTCTTAAGACGCTCAGCCTCTGCCATGTGGTAAGTATGAATGCGATGTGAATGTGACGTGATGTAAGAGTTATTTTATCAATTGGCAAAATTGATTCAAGAGCTGGTGTTATGTAAGATGTTAGGGAATAAAAAAAGTAAATATTGTTTTAATTCTTTCTGTACAAGTCATTATAGCCCCACTTTGTTTTGTTTCTTTCTTAACTTCTTGAAGTGTTCTCAGTGGTCTTTAAATTCTGATTCTTAAGTTTTTAACCAAAATCACGTTACCTGTGTCATTTTCAAGAGCTTTTCTTTGCAGAGCTCCAGTAGCTCATTAGAAATTCACTTCTGAGTGGTGGGCGGAGACAGCGCTGCTCTGCACACTCCCCTTCATGCTAGCTTGTAGCCTAACATTACCAGTGTCGTAGAAGTGGCAGGTAACATAGGAGCTATTCAGCTCTCAGACACTAATGTTTTTAGGGGACATGATGAAAGTTAATATCATAATTAGCTTTCTTACAAGCATTGCAATCCGCTAACACGCACGCTTGTTCCGCAACTGTCCTCTCTACTTCTCCAAGTCTGGCCTACAGAGTAGAGCTCTGGGGGCGGAGCTTGGAAATCACACTATGTCTGAACCTGCCGTTTGGGTCTGTGAGAGGTTCACAGAGATTTGAATGAAGAAATAATCAGAAATGCAATTTTGCACTTATTCTTCTCATATGTCCTGTAGCATCAGAACAATGTCGTATGAACATGCAGACAATGAGAAAAACATGATTTTCATCAGAGTGGGTCTTTAACACACGGACAGTATCACATAAAATTATGTCTTTAGTGTCCTGTGGTGGGATCAGAAAGGGTCACTGTTTATGAACTCATACATATTTTGGTTCATAACTTTAACGTTCTGAGTGGAACTCAATGTCTGTTCTAGCTTTGGTGCCTCCTATATCTGCTGATCTTGTACTGTCCATAATATACCAGAAATACTACGCATGATGAATATTTGCTGTGGAAAATGAATTCAAGGGTTTTTCTTTACACTATTGTGCCATCTGACACTTAAAGGCATTAAAAACGACGTTTTCAGTCGGATCAGCTTTGGTGACCCCCGTGGTCAATGCACGGCCCTTATCTCCTTGCTGATTTTGTCCTGTGCAGATGTTCGTGGGGTTTATTAATAACCCTCCTAAATTCCTCTAATGCAGAAGGGGAATTGCACAACTGTTGCAGACACTGAAACAAAGAAACGGCCAGTCTGAGGGCTAAAAGTCCAATTTCCTTTTGTTGCTCATAAAGAAACATTTGTAATAATCTTGGTTCCCTCCATCACCAGCCAAAAGGCTTTGCTTTAAGCCATGAATGATAAACTCCATACTTAAACTGCTGGAATGAAACACTCTTCACTCTAACGTGGCTCTTTCACAGCAAACGTTGTGTCTGACCCTTTTATTTCACCGCTGACACTTTAATATCTCTTGCGCAGTCCTTCCTGTAAGAATGAACTTACCCAACCCTCTGCAGTCGTGTCTTTCTATTTCTTCACATGTAACCCTCTGTATCTCTGTTGAGTTCTGTCCAAGTCAGAGGGCATGATCTGTATCTGCCACCAGGGAGCACTATGCCTCTCTAATGGCTGCTAAATGGCCTTCTTCAGGAGGACAAAGGCCACATCACAGACCAAATGGCACTTGTATATGTGAACTGGCTGCAGCAGCAGCAGCGTGGGCGGTGGAGGGGTAAATATACTTAAAACACACTACGGCGTACATCGGCGCAGCAGCCTTGACTACAGTTACCACCAGAGAGTCCTACTCCTCCGCGTTTCCCAGGCAAAAGGCCAAACGCATTTACAACACTTCAAGTGTCTGCGACACAAGAACGCCCTCTCCACTGTGAAATATGTAAATATTGCACTAATCAAAGGGTTGTGGAATCGCAAAATGCCACGGAAAGGTTATGACCCGGAGCCTGTGCTAATAGGGGAGCGAGGGGAGGGGAGGGGAGGAAGAGGAGGTGATGTAGGGAGGGCTGGGGGTTGAGTTGTGGTGGGGGAGTGGAGGAGTGACAGCTACCACAGGCGTTTCTCCTGCCTGAGGAGGACCTTCACATGCTGACCTCCGCCTCCTGCACTCCGGCGCTCTGACAGTAATGAATAGGAAGGGGCTGTTTATGCATATCAAATGTTATTTACTCTCCCACAGTCAACTGTAGCCACAGAGGAAAGAAAGAGAGAGGAGCAAAGAAAACAAAAAAGAAAAAAACTCAACAGGATATTCCCAAAGACCGTGGGCTGCCATTAGAACAATGTGGACGTGGATGCGGAGGCCTCCGTGGTGCACTGGGGTTAATCTATCTATCGCAGTGAATTACATGACATGGGTTTTTGTGGGGCTTTGGCTCAACTTGCTTCTAAAATGCCGCATTGTTCACCGCCTTGATTTTCTCCTGGATGGGGGCGCCTGACAGATACAGAGTACCTACATGAAAACAAGCCCTCGTAAGTATCTAAGCGAACTTGACAATGAACTCCTCTTGATATCTCGCCCGCGCGATTATTTACTTCAACTATCTCCTTTTCCGCCAAACTAAAGTCTATATCCAGAGACAGAATCAGGGGGATGTTAACATACATTCTAGTCATGTAATATATTTTTTAAGCAGGATTAATTCCTTTCCACATTGACATGATTGGTCTTAAATAGCACAAACCTTAAAGCCAGAGGGAGGAAAAGCCTGAGCGGAATTATTCAAGGGAATGACGTCCGACGACAAGCTCAAGAAAATAACCTTGAGCACGAACAATGAAGAATCAGCCGCCAGAAAACGTTTGTGTGTGTTTTTTTTTTTTTTTTTCTTTTCCTCCCTGAGTCTGCGTGTCATCGTCATCGCTTTACGGCTCGGCTTCATTTTCCATCAGCTCTTGTGAGAATTAAGTTGGATCTTAAGTATGTAAATGAGAACCTATTCTGTGGCCCCCACCCTCTGTTATATGAATCCCAGGACAGACCATGACATTTAACATCGCCTTCACTAATTTGTGCTTAATAGCCAAAAAGTGATTAGAATTAACATTAATGACATTTCATATGTCTCCCTTTCTACATTCATTACCTCTTCTCTGCTGCTGATACTTAACCAGCTAATGCTGCCGGCTGCCTCCTGCAGCTTAAATTTCATGTTACACTTTTTGGCAGAAATCTTTCAGTCGCCCTTCTCCCTGCTCCTTTGCGAGAAGACAACAAGGAAGGAGAATTAAAGAAAGGGAGGAGGAGGAGGAGGAGGCAGATGATATAAAGCCCCTTAAGTTGGGAATCTATTCCATCGGTCACACCCTCTTTGCCAATTGACACAAGCATCCCAGCAGATTAAGAATAAAGGGGGTCATCTCTTTTCTGGCTCAATGCCTGCTCTATCACCCTCAGTGCTTCTTGTTGAAACAGACGCTGTCCGATACCCTTCATCTCTTTGTCCTCTTGAACCCAACGCCAGTACACTCTTCTGCCACCAAAGTCAAATCACAGAGGATCACAGGGCCAGTTTATTCTCGTCTTTGTGCTTCGATCTGAACATGGAGGAGATAATTCCAGAAAAAAATGAGCATTGTGTTTTTATTAAACAAGTCTCCTCACCAGTCCTATACGCCCTACTCTCTTCTGTAACGGCTGCCAGCATTGTTGAAGGGCACGGAGCTTTTCCCATGTCTCTGTTGGAAGGTCACCAGATCTTGTGGTTCAATGTTAGCCTCCTTGGCAAATCATTATTTATTAGATGATAGTTATTTGATGGCAAACACCATTTAACAGGGGGTGGGATATGAAAGGGATGCAGGTATGTGATTGGTGTAAACCTTTGTAAAATCTCCTCAAGCTTTAGGAGAGCTGTACTTTTCTTCCATGTATGTTGAGAAGGTATCACAAATGAATATTAGATCTTTTTAATCTTGAACCTTTCCTTATATAGTGTCTGTGCGCTGAGTTGGATAAACTCAAGATTTTTCTGTAGGAAAAGCTGAGAAACAATGAATTTAAAAGAAGAGAAACAGCAGAGACACAGAGTTTGCCCCCAAAAATGTAAAGACTTCATATTAATCATATTGGACATTGAGTTTGAATCCTCCTCTTTAGCTGTCTTGGTTCTAACTTGGGATGTCAAACAATTCGATTTTTCTAGTCTAGATGAATTCCTGTTAATCTAATGTCTAATATCATGTTTAAAATTCAATGATTTTGCATTTTAAAAACAGTTTTTAAGTCCAAAGCTATAATGTAAAGCACTCCTCGCCAGTGTCGTGAAATAACTGAATGCAATAAAATGTGCTATATGAACTTGACTTTATTTTTTTTTTACTTTAACAGCCAAACAGAGCAGCATACAGAGCAGCATACAGAGAGGGTTGAAGAGCTGCGTTTACATGTGCCGCCATCTTTCTGTACCAGTGTGTTTGTCTTTTTAAAGTTCGTTTTGTATCAATCTACATATTAATTAATTCACATATTTTTACTGGTATTTGCATCTGATGTGACTGCATCCAATTTCATTGTACATGTCCCATTTACAATAAAGATAATCTGTTTGTTTTAATTTAAATAAATGCTGCATTGCTTCACCAGTATGATCTGAAACTATTTTAAATCCAAATTACCTATTATTGTTATTATTTTCACCAGTATCTCTACCTGATTTCTATCCTCAGCTCATTAACAATTTGGAATTATCAAAATAGAGCTCTGTAAGATTTTGTGACGAGGTTTCTCGCTGATCTCAGTCTGATAATCTGCACAGGTATCTTAAGCAGTATATCAACTGTGTTTGATTCAATAGAAAATAGACTTTCAAGTGTACTTAACAGCAACAATATTTCTGACTTACAGTTCTGTGAAAGTCCAGACCAGTTACAGGTTAGGAAAAACAGAAATGCTTGAAAACATTAGAAATGTCAGTTTTAATGTCGAGGGGGGAAAAAAAGTATTAATTCATTCTGTTTCAAGTTTTCTGGTTGTTTCATCCCATTAAATTTTTGGACTGGAGGGCAGAGTTTAAACACCTTCTTTTGTTTATCACTTAAACAGCGTTGTAAAACAAGGAAGCAGGACAGAGGTGGCAGTAAAAGCAGAAAACACTGCAGTGGACAGAGGGAGAGGAGAGAGGGTATTTCAGTGCAGGGGTGGGGGGTTAAAAGGGTAAGAGGAGCTGGGGGTGATCATGGGTAATGGCAGGGACTTGGCTGCTGACGGACAGGCCAATCTCCCGCCTGGACAGACTCAAGAGAGATGTGTCAGTTTCCAGCGGCACCCCCGGCCAGCCGCACCAGCACACCGCTAAATGTGTATTGGCAAAGTGTCGGTGCCAATGCCATTAGCCGGCGTACTTAAATTCCCCTGTAATTTTCTATGGCGCTGCTCGTTATTGGCACCTCTGATGGGCTGAGTGTTTGAATCCTGGTTCAGCTTTAATGGATGAGTGGTGGTGGTGAGCGATGAGGCCATTTGTTATCACACTTACAAGACATGGGGGATACTGTCCTCCTTAAGACCTCCACAGACACACTCTCTAACCCACCTATCTCATTGCTAAACAAAGAACCTAACACTACGATGTAATAATGATCACAATAAACCAAATTTATAATTAAGTGTTGATACAAGAAATCATCTTGAATCTACAGAGATAGTAAGTTGTGTTTAACCTACACTCTTAAACAGTAACAAACCAGAGAGTCTCGAGTTAAGATGCCTGGGAGTTGTCTGCAGATCCTCCAAAAAGAGATTTCCAATAAAATCCTCTCAGATATTTCAATATCTGTTCCAGGCCCAAGAGGAGGAAGTTTTCAGTATTTTTTTATGAAAAAGAAAAAATTGAAGATAAAAAATAAAGCCAAAGAAATATAAATGGGGTCATAAATCAAATTAATGACTCCACAGAGTTATCTTGTGACCTCTTTGGAGGTGTTGGGAAAACACAGGCCGACACACTGAAGTAGCAGAAAGTCGCTCCACAAGCTATTAGAAGTCATGTAAACCAGCGAAGCTCTGCCAGTCTGTGGTGACACTTTTACTCTTCATACCATACCTTAGTTCTTTTGAATGATTTATGATAAATACACTTTAAATACCTGCATTAAAGACTGGTCTACTGGCTGCATGGAAGAACAACTACTCTTTTTTTGAACTACTATCAATCACAGAATTTTGAAGTGAGTCACTATTAATTGCATTTTCAATCATGCTATGCTGGAGTGCATGAACAGAACCAGGGTCAGAATGGTGTGCAGTCAGATGTAAATGAGCTTTAAAGCTAACTGTGGCTCAGCAGCTTATGCTGTGTGTGATCCCTGTCAAGCAATCAGCATCATTCAAAGCTCCATTTTGATCACACACTGACATCCAGGGAGTTCTAGTTGATTTAGCGATTACACTTTTTAGGAGTTCCAGTTTGGTTGGTTTTATGTTTCATGAGCTAATGGGTCTTACATATGCATGAAACTTTTGTTCCCTGCATGTAGGGCATATGTAAAGTCAGAACATGCTGACCTGAAGACAACTATGGGTAGGTCTGTGGCGATTCACACATCTCAATATAGTGCCCACTTACATTTGTTAACCTCACCTGTATGCTTTTTTAAAATACTTTATTTACAACTTTTAACTTTACAAAACTGTACAACACATAGCAGAACAAAGAAACAAACAAGGATAATAATAAAAAAAGATTAAAAATGAATAAATAAAATAAAGACAAAGAAAGAGGGGCTGCCAGACAATTGTAAATTACATGAATAGACCTACAGCAAAATAAATAAATGGTAACGCTTTCTTTTACGGTACAGGTATTACCAGGTAATTAACGGGTAATTACCTAGTAACAACATTAAATTATCTGGTTATTACATGATAACTACTAAGTCAATACTGTCTAGCTACCAGGTATGTAACCTTCCATCATCATACAAATCTGAAGCTGAATTGCTCTGGTATTACCAGGATTTTCTCCGCTTCCTGGAACCACCACTTGCGCAGTAGCATTGTACGCATTCAGCGGGTCAGTCGCTGTGATAATGCTCGGCTCAAACAGCGTATCGCTACGCAATCTTCACACGCCCACAGGCTGTATCAAGTGTCAATCATAGAAAATAAGAACCCAGAATAGCTTTTGAAAAAAAGAAAAACTAGACAGTATTGACTTAGTAGTTATCATGTAATTACCAGATAATTTCATGTTGTTACTAGGTAATTAACTGTTAATTACCTGGTAATAAGTGTACCGTAAAAGAAAGCGTTACCAAATAAATAAAAACTTACAGTTGTAATGTAAAGCAAGTACTGCGTGAAAAGTTGAATCAGGAATCACGCCTGATATTGGTCCAGGAAGGGTCCCCAGATTCTCTCAAATCTACTCTGTTCATTGGGTTTGTACAGGCCTAGTCTCTCCATTTGAACAACTGATAACATCTTACTGAGCCAATGAGCAAAAGTAGGAGGAGTTATGGACTTCCAAGTTAAGAGAATAAGTTTCTTGGCCACCACCATCCTCAAGTGCAGAGCAATTTGTGTGTCGTGCGTAAGATCAGAGGTCTCGGACACACCTGTATGCTAAGAGTAAAAAATACCTGTCCCTTAAAATTCCACATACAGGATTTTTTTTATCTAAAAAACAAAAACAGAATGAAGTTTAAAAATACAGTAGAAACAAACACTTGGACACCTCTTATTTCACCATCAGTATACAGACGTAATGAAGGAGTATACTTTTCCAACTTCTCATCCTGATCCAAGTTTAGGCCTTTCCAGGTCAAACCTCACCCATTATCTTCATGGGGCAACAAGGACAAACCTGTATGAGAACTCATTATGATTAGCATTTAATTCATTTTTAATTTTTCAGCTTCATTCTCCCTGGATCATAATACGATGGGCGCAAAGACATGAGATATTTTTACTTCCTCTTACCATCTGTGACCCAAAAACACATTAAAACTGCTGGAATTTTCATGAGCAAACGATTGTGAAGTTGTTTTGCACTCTTGTGGGATTCACAGCTTTGAACGTCCCTTTTGCAATTTTTACAAATCTGCTGTCTCCCTTCCAGCGACATTGCCCGTAGAGCACCGAGGGAATACAAGCCTTCATCAGGCCCAAGACAAACACACACACACGCACACACACACACACGAGCTCTCCACAAAAGTTAAACAACTACATACAGGAGCAATTTAGCAAGGCTGTAATTTGTATATAGTGTTTGACAACCTCACTGCAGAAGTTTTCACCCCAGAAATGCTAAGTAGTCCCAGCAGGAGTCAGTCAGGAAGAGGAGAGGGAGTCTTTGCTGTTTAATGTATTCTTCAGCAGCCTAGAGGCCTCCAAAACGCTGCGTGTCTGTACCATCCAGCTTACACACACACACACACACAGACACACACACTCACATATCTGTCGGCAGTCAGGCTCTGAAGGAACGCTGCTAATGGGGCTGTTTTTAATGAGCCAGGAAGAGGAGAGTGACCCTTGGAAGGTGAATATCTCTATCTCTCTCTCTGTCTGTTTTCTGCTGTGTGTTTGCATGCATGCCACTCACATGCACACATTTGCGCATTAAGGCGTACAAGTCCTCGTGATTTTACACCAAGTTGTAATATTTATGTCTAATTGTTTTTAACCAGCATAATTACTTTCAGCTCTCGGCTCATTCATTCATCGTATCCTCTCATCAGGAGCGAGCGCAGAGACATCAGAAGGCAGAAATGTGTGTTTTTTAACGGCTGGAGAGCCTGCATAAATTGTAAGGGTTTTGAAAAAAAAAAAAAAAAACCCTGCAGCAATAGTTCTCCGCAAAGCTGCAGGAGATCCGTCGATTTCCTCAAGTTCCACTTCACGTTGCAAGGGACATATCCATCCCCAGACAACCATTTCACTTTATTTCACTGATTTTATGATCTTTTTTTTCCTCTGTTAAGAAAAAAAAAACAGAGGGAGCAGTTCAGAGAGTGACCAAAAGATGGCACACTATGAATGGTGGGAGGAAAAGGGGGACGCTGTGACGAGGGTTTGGGCGGCTGTGGTGCCTGTGTTTAACCTAGAACCTGGAGAGTGTCTGTGTCTCCTCTGCTGGGAATCTTCTGCTTCTAGGATCCATGCAAGAAGAAGAAGAGGAGGAGGAGGAGGAGGAGGAGGAGGGAGCAGAAGGAGCAAGGTAGGTGAACGGATGTCATGCTTCTGCTCATGTTGCTCAACAGGCCCGACTGGGGCTGCTTTTACACTGAAATGAGCCTGAGGAAATATGGATGTGACATTTCATCCCCTTCATTTTGTCTGGGTAGAGTTACAGAGCAATCTGAGGAAATACGGCTTAAAAATAATGGTTATGCTGATGATTTGTGTTTTTAATGTCTCACATGGGGAAATTGATGCACTAGCCGACCAGGTAGGGCAGACTGAGCAGGTTAATATTTTTGGGCTCCCAAAACAAATGAGAGTGGGATGAAAAAGATCCTTTCATACATCATTTTTTAAGCTAATTTGTCATGAAGTGAGCTCTATAATGCCACCGAAATTGTCTTTTTATGGATGATGCAGATTTCTTTTAATCATTTGTTCCTCACGCTGAGGCGGTCTTAAAGCTGTTATGAACAATTCTTTTATTTTCTGCAGACATGAATGATAGGAATGTCCTTTTTTTGGCCTTATTTACCACCGATACCAAAATGCAACATGAAAATGTGAAATTTTCTCTCTGAAAATAGATTACAGTTCATGAACTGCCTTTTCTTTACTCTTTATACTCTCAGAAACTATAAGCTCAAGTACATACGCATGTTTTCACAAACAGAATACATGCATTCACTTTTTTAAAACCTCCATATAAATGCATTTCTCTATCACACTTCCACATGCAGCCGGCATTAACGCAGTAAGTGAGTGTAACAGTGTGCTCAAGCAGTGTGATTACATTTGCTCTGTTACTACACAAACACTCAACATCCCTGCTTTGAACATGGACATGCTGCTGTACTCACACACACACACAAAGACATACAAACACACACATACACACACACGCACATGCAACAAGACCACTGAAAATCAATGTGACAGGTTTCAGTCGTCCCTCAGTGTACACATCCCCTCTCAGACTCTCTCCTGACATCTGCTCGATTACCTCCTACAGCCACACACACACACACACACACACACACACACACACACACACACACACACACACACACACACACACACACACACACACACACACACACACACACACACACACACACACACACACACACACACACACACACAGACGCCCTCCCCGTGGCCGCTCTAAGCCCCTCTGAGCCATATGAAATGTAGTCGGTGCAGGAGAAACCAGATACTGCTGGCTGTGTCACATTGCGTTTGCCGCCACCCGTCAGGAGCGGGTCTGTTTGACTGCCAGACGTTATGACAGCGTCAGTCATCCTCCAGCCCAGCAGCAGGCTGCGGGACAGAGGGGAGGAAGAAGAAGAGGAAGAAGAAGAGAGGAGGGGGAGAAGGGGGGAGTGGATCAGACCACCACAGGCTGAGTAGAAGGTGGTGAGTTCTGCGTTTACATGGAGGAGAATGTGAAGTGTCAGGTCTTACATGCTAACACCTCCTGCATCAGATTTTTAATATTTTTTTGAATATCTTTTAATCTATAAAAGAAGGTTATTGTTTTTTAAACAGCACCCTTTCCTTTGATATAGCCACACATCCAAGACAGGGTGGGTGATCCTGTTTTTTGAGCTGAAGCGACCTTTAGAGAGTCCAGGGTGCAGCATTCTTTCGTGTGTGTGAGTGAGTGTGTGTGTGTTAGTGTCTAGTTTGCGGATTTGACAGCTGGCAAGTTAGTGATTGAGCTGCTTATCCTGTCAGTCCTGACAGCCAGACCTGCATTTTTATTTCATTTTATGCTGCTTTATATATTTTTTAGGCTAAGCTGCAGGAGGGTGCAATATGTCACCAAGAAAGAAGCGCAGCCAGCAGCCCGCTCCAACAATCATGGCAGTCAAGGACACACACACACACACACACACACACACACACACACACACACACACAAACAAACACAGGTGCACAGTAGTGAGAAAAAGCTGCACTTCATACTTCCCGTACACACTCTGAAGATGTGTTGTTGTCAGGCCATCCGACAGCCGACAGCCCCACCAGCTCCCATGTGGCCTGGAGAGTTTCCAGACAGCAGGACAGGAGGCCCGGACAGCAGCACCTCACGCCCTCACCTCATCTTCATCACAACCCCCCTCCTCCTCACCTCCACCCACCGCCTCTCACCGTACAGGACAGCAACCCTCAGAAGAGCCGGGCAGGATGAGAGGTGATGGACGGGCCGTCTCTGGTGTGAACTCTCGCCCTCTCCAGCCGACGTCATGGACAGACAGCTCGCTGTGACAGAAAGCAGCCGAAGAGGAAACAGAGTTTAAGTGGTAATCCTCAGAATGCTCCAGCTTTGGTGATGTGTTGTTGTCTCTGTGTGCGGCTGTGATGTCTTTGCTTTGTGGTTCTGTGTGTCAATCACCCGGTGTCTGTTGGGTCTGATGACGTCCGCGTTTGTAAAGGTGGTGATAGTTTCGCCACAGTGGTTATCAGCGCCCAAACTTTCACGGATACTGAGAGTGAAATGTCACATGCATCACCTCCTGAGTGTCACATATTCTGCTTTTTAGAGCAGCAAGTGTCAAACTCATGTTAACCGCTGGAATTTCATTTAGTGCCAGTTCTTATAAATCATTGGTGCTTTTAAATCAACCGAAACAAGACAGTAGATTTATCACAAAATCTGTCTTTAAAGGTACAAGAGTATGATGCACAAAAATATGAACACACAATCATAATGGGTATTGTAATTATTATTATTATTTTTATATGTTCATAATAAACTTCAATCAATCAATGATTTGACTGAGAAATAATTTTATACAGTCAGGGCAGCTGTTGTTACCCTTCAGCTGCAAAGAAAGTCAGGTCTGAACTTTACTCTTTGTTTGATCTTTGGCTTCTTTCTGCTTCTGTCTGCCATTGTAATGATTCACCACTGTGCTTTTCAATGGTGCGTTTCTTTTCCAAACATTTTCAGACGGCCCAGCTGACAAATCAGATGTTATGTGCACTAAGAGTCTGAAGGACATGAGACATCACTGAAGTTATATGGGTTTGAGCTAAGCATACAGGTGCAACGATACAGACAGAAGTCAGCAGATGACTGCATCACAAAACCTGCAGGTGCTATTTTTTTTTTTTTTTTAATGAGTGAAACACTTAGCGTTGTTAATATGGTCTCGAAATATGGTGTTCAACCACTCTGGTGTAATAATGCAGCATTTATTTGAATAAAAGAGATAATGACAAAATACATGTCATTGAATCCATTTTTTTTATAAACCAAGACATGAGTCAATATTACTTTACATAGTTAGCATGAACTTATAAAATGCAGAGGTATAAAAATGGGATTCATCATGACTAACCATTGAAATTCGATACATACTATGGGTTGAAAAAAACAAAAAACATCTGACATCCCTGAAAATGATGGAATTGCATCTTTGCTCTCTAAAAGAGTCCAGACTTGAAGAAATATGATCTCTCATGACTATCTGATGAATTTGGCAGTTGTTTGCTACGCTTTAAAAAAACAACCTCGAACTAATGACATAAGTTATAAAACATGTTGCAAACTCCCTGATCACCATTTCAACTCCCCAGAGTCAAGTGGCTATTGCAGTTAGCTGTATTGTGGCCTTATTTGAAGATTTCCTCCTTAAAAATCATTCATTGAAACCCTGAAAAACATGCACAACCACACGTGGATATATAAACTTAGAAAGGTCAGCATTCTTGAATGTAAAATCCGAACAATATCAAATGTTGTAGAGATAATGGTGTATTCCCCTGTGAAATGTAATATCATAGATACACTACCAGTACCCTGAAGTGTAATACTTCTCTCTATATAAATAGATCCATGCATAAACTTGCATGAATCCACAGAATCCTGCAGAGTATGCATTTGCAGACTGATCCTTTTCATTCTGCATGGAGCCCACTCAGTGCTGCTGTCAGTCCGCTTCATGTCCATTCTCTGTTTCACTACCTCTGAAATGAAGGCTCTCTGCTATGAATGATTAATAAACAAACCCATTAAAAATGCGGCAGACATTTCACAAAAGCTTCATTTTGCGGAAATACAATCTCCCTTTTGTTAATAATGTCCATTAATCATGTGAGGATGTCACTTAACGCAAGGTTAATGAAACACTGCTAATGCCTGGCTAATCTATCCGCAGTCACAAAGCCGCTGTAACTGTAATTCCTAACCCTCGAAACTATTTTCCGGAGGATTCTCAGCGTGTGATTGATGGATGCAGGACAGGGGATGTCCATTATTTCAAAGTGGAACACAGAGGCAGAGTGTGGGGTCAGCTGTGGGCCGGACTAGGAAAGCTTTACCTATCCAAACCTCTAATGAAGCGCTGACAAGATGTATGAGAACACTTTAAGTATGACATAACTACTTGATAATGGATTTATTGTGGCGCTCTTTCACAATCAAACACGCTCGTCATGGCCTTCTTCTGCCATAATCCTCTGGCAAACTATTGATGAGAAGAGCAGCTTTAGCTCGCGCTGATTTTCGCAAGTTAGGATGTGTGTGTTTTTGTGCACGCCTTGTTCTGACTTTCATTTTCCAGCTGTCAGACCAACCTATTAAACAGAGTATTATTTTTTTATGTGCGTGCATTGTGTCTGTGTAAGCATGGCGTGGTGTAAGCACAACATTAGGAGCGAATGTTTATTGTAATGTGAGTGTCTGGTGCCAGCTGAGCTGAGCTGCAAGCTGTTTGGAGAAGCGGATGACTGTTTGATTGTGTGATGACAATGTGAAGCCTTGCATCTCTCTTCCTTTCGTCTGCGTCTCTGAAGAATGCTGACATTAAATGTTTGATGTTGGCACGCACAACTGATGTACAAATAAAAACCTCACCGGTGAGACATGTTTTTTTGCTTCTTCTTCTTGCATTTTGACAATACATTTGTTGTTTTTCTGTTGTTTCCAGATTTGATTCAAGTTTACCTTTTCCCCCCTTTTTAAAAGTTTGGGTTGTTTTTTATCTTCCTTTTTTTTTCTCTTCCTCTTGAACCAGAAAGTCACCAGAACTGAGAAGCAAAGGCAGGAAATTCTCTCCTAAGACTTGAGGAGTAAATGTTTTCTGTCAGAACACCTCTTGGTTTTTAATGGGGAGTGTGTACAGCATGACGTTATGAGAGTGGAGGAGGTGCTGGTGGAGGAGAGGCAGGTCAATATGAGTCCTAATAAAGCGTGAGTTCATTTCCCCGCTGCGCTCGCCCCCCCCAGGCCACCGAGCGCTCCATATACAAGTCAAATCGGCTTTTTGCCTCCCAAAGCCCTGTGATTTATGACCCGGCTCCATTGACCAGACCAGCTAGTTTTCATTTTTGTTAAATCACGCGGCCTCTTAAATGAAACTATTGATTTAAAGTCAGCTTACTGAGGATTTAATTTGTATTTGGAAAATTAAAGCAGGTAACGCTTTATAATTTCACACTAGACTGGAGTGGAACCAGTTATCCCCTTCATCCCAGGACCCAACGCCACCTTTATTGCCCCCCCCCTTTATTCTCCCCTCCGTCTGGTTTCAGCGCACTTGTGTGGCCATTAATGAATTTTGGACAGGGAGAGGAGGGATTTATGGCCCTGAGACGCCAGCCTGGATCGTCCCATACTTAGTGCCCCTTTGCTGCCACTACACATCAGCACTTAATTTCATGTCTTTCCTCTGATTCCTCGTAACCTTGACTCACTCCGGTGTTGTCTCAACTTGACTTTCCTGCTGGTCAACACCTCTCCTGTAGCTGTCAGGACGCTGCTGTGGCTGCTGTCACTTCATTACAGAGAGACGAAGAAAATCAGGTTAACTCCTTCTTTTGTGCGCGTATCAAAGAAAAAAAAAAGCCTTTGTGTCAGTTCATTTGTTTGTTTGTTCGCCGGTTTGTCACCACTGTTCCACTTTCGGTGAAACTTGGGGAAATGATGTATCAGTCCACGATAAATCAGGAGAAAACAGCGAAAACAAATCAGCTACATTCTGGTATTTTCAAAATGGCACAGCACAGGGAAGCTACTTTGTTACTCCCTCCATCAACAAGCACCCCTGCGTCCCATTTTTGACAAAAACCTGCAGAAATGATGCATCTCACCTTTTCAAATATTACACCTCCTGGCCAGAAGAGGGAAGCTACCATTACAGCTCAAAAACACGCTGACATATTTGTTACTGATTGTCCCTCATTTGTGCTGGAGGAGACACCCTCACTGTCGCCTTGCCTCAGCTTTGTCTCCAGGTCTGCTTCCGCCATCTCCTCCCGGCTGACACCCTGGCAGCTAGGCTACCCCGCTCTCCCTGCTTCCTCACCCCTCACCCTGCCATAAGCTCCTTCACCAAGCCCCTCATTAACCCCTCCCTTCTGCACTGGCATTGAAAAGGCGCTGTCTTTAAACCTGTCGGCGCATCTTCAACACAGTTTTCAGCAGTGAGCATGTGGGCGGAGGGGTGGATCTGTTTCCCGGAGCCCCCGCACCGACTGTTTTATATTATATTTAGTAATAATAATCACAGTTATCGCACCACCTCCTCCTCCTCCTTCCTTTTTGTTTGAGCCTCCCGTTTGCAGAGCGGTGGGACGGCATGGCTGTCTCCCCGGCCTCTTCACCTCCGTACGGGCTGTGCGTGTCGCTCAGCCTCCATAAAGGAGAGGGAGGAGCGGCGGGTGGGGGTGGGAAGCTCTAGGGTGTCATTAACTCCTTTCTTCTCCCCTGGAGGAAACAGCAGTTTGACTACCATGATCCTGACCCCCCATTCAGCTCAACCTCCCTAACCCCTTTCACCCTACTCAGTTCCTTCCATCCTTACGACCCCCCAGAGCACCCCCCACCCCCGGGTGCTCTCCATAACTGTTTATTAACACGTCTTTGACTTCACCAGACTCTTTAAACTGAGCTCACCCCTCCACCCACCTCCTTCACTCAGGCGTCACTGTTAGCTGGTGCTCTCCCTTTCATTATCAGGGGCCTGTTAGCGCGCAGGATGCTTAACCTTTTAGCTCGGTGCACGTCAGGAATCTCCCTTCACAGCTTTGGATGTCCTCTTTTCTCTGACTTTGTGTGGAGGCAGTCATGAAAAGATCTGGAAAGAGCAGCTTTGATAACGCTGGCCTTGAAGTACAAACTTTATTAACTCGAAACCAGAACTTACAGCAACAACAAGATTGAAATATTTGAAGCATCACTTGTCTGAATTTCTTGCCACAGTTTTTATGAAAAGGGATGAATTTCCTTTCTGCTTTGGAAGATTCTTGTCGAAGTGTCACTGTAAAATGTGTATTTTACTTATTTTCCAGTAGGGGGGTGGATATGGATTTTTTTTTAAGTGGATAGAGGTAACTAACCTGATGAAACAGCTAGTACTTTTTTCTTTAAATGTATCGATGCACATCGGAGGAAACGAGAGGCTGAGACTGAGTGAACAAAGATGCAGAAATATACTTATCAGAACTGGAGAACTCTTGTGAATGCAACAATGTCTTTTTCATGAAAACCTCTATGTTGACTCAACAACATATCAGTGCTTCAGTGACCTGCACCGTCTTGAGCAGCACACGTTTGTTGGAGTGTCCATGTTGTTCTGCAGTAATTTGCTGAAGGACAAGTTGGCAGTTTAATTTCTATCCAGGTTTCCAGTTTGGCTACATACTCTGCTTGTTTGTGTACTGGAAACCATGGCAGACTACAGATTACATATGTGAGCATCAGTGTAAGTGTGGGCCTGTGTCCTACCCATAGACTCTATGGACAACTTGGCTCAGCCCTCCGTCATTATACGAATTTGAAGCTGAATTGCTCTTGGTATGTCCGGGATTTTTCTCCACTTCCTGGAACCACCATTCGCGCAGTAGTATTGTATGCATTTGGCAGGAGAGCTGTCGAGAGTCGCTGTGATCTTCTTCCTCTTCTCATGCCCATAGGCTGTATCAAGTGTCAATCATAGAAAACATGAACCCCCTAATAACTTTTAAAAATGGAGCTGTACAGAAAAAAAGAGGACTTGAGCACAAACCAGTCTTACAGTAACTACATGTCAACATTGCAACCAGGGGCGAGAAAAATGTATATTCTGTGTAATAAATTTCTAAAGTTTGTCCACAGCTCCATAGGGATTGCTGGAGGAGGTGGGATTTATGACCTATACTGCAGCCCGTCACCAGAGGGTGCTGTTCTCGCAGTGGCTTCACCCAGCCTCAATATATGAACCTCAATCATATACCAATTCCTGCCATGTTAGAATATTCAGGTGTGTTAGTAAGGAAATGAAAAGTTTTATTATCATCTTACCGTTTATAATGAATAATCATCAAATATTTTCAAAGGTTGGTTGTATTATAAAACCAGACTAATAAGTATTATGCACCCTTCATTATTTATTCTTTCTTGATTCGTGCAGAGGGGTTGAAACACTGGATCGTCCACAATCACAGTTAAAGATATATATGAGTTAAAAATATCTTTAAACTATCAATTATGCCTCTTTGAAAATTCACACAAATTATCTCTATTTGATTTAGACAGGTCAACTAATTTAAACCTCTTCTGAAATGTTTTCCTCCTCGACAAATTCAACATTTGATGTCTCATGAATCAAATAGTGAGCTGCAGTTTATGCCCACTTAAACACACATCAGCTATTTCAACATGTAGAGAAATAAAATATTTATAAATAGGAGGGTGTAGGAGTCAGAAAACTGTCCATTGCCTCCAGGCTATGATATGTGTTTCAACATTTGTAGTTATGTATATTTTTTTAATGTCTTTTGAGAATTAGCTGGAGTTGGTATATGATGGAGAGCTTCTATTCCTGAAAATGGCAGGAGTAAAATACGATCAACTTTTTTTACCCCCTAAAAAAGATTCAAAGTAGGACAATTGTAGCTTTAAAAGCAAAGAGGAAACTTGGAAAAAGGTCTAAATAAACTCAAAACTGCACAATCCAATGTAAGAACCAGGATCTGTGAGCTCAAAGGTTTCAACTTCTCAGACAATGAACTAGTTTTGTAGAAAGAAGAGGTTTCACAAACACAACAGAAAGCATTTGTGAGCGGCTGCCTTGAAATCCGGATCAGTCAGACACAGAGTACAGCTGTCGCTCAGGTCTGGCTTTGATTCTTTCTGTTTGTCTCAGAGGAGGAAGTTTGATGGTTTGGGACGATCCAGGACAGTAGTAGCTGCCTGACTGTGTGAAAGTCCCAGAGGGAGAAAGCACCGGGGTCTCAGAGCTGGGCTGCCAAGCTCATATCTCTCTCCTCTTATAAACATCACAGAGCGCTGATGTCTTTAAAAAGCCCTGAATGACATCTGGGAGTGGAGGAACACTGTGATTAATCGCCACATTGATTCTCATGGAAATCAGTCTAGTTCCACGCAGAAAGAGAGGAGGAGGAGCTGAAAACCGTGTGAAACCAGCTCCGGCCAAATACACAAAGATGATTGCTCACAGGGGGATTTTTATGGTATCAAAAAGGGGATTGTGTTTGGTACAATGGCCTTCCTCTTGTGCCAATGTGTTTGTCCATATTTTAAATCTATCGCTTATAAATTGGCATCTGAGAACATTTTGAAAAGGGTCGTCCTGCATAAAACTTGTTGAGATGTTTAAATCATCTCCTAATCATGTGCCAGACGCTGACACATGACATTAAAAAAAAAAATCTTTTAGAAGTGTTTTTTTTTTTGTGTGTGTGTGTGCTAAAAAGTCACTTGCCATGACTCAATTCTGATCCACAAAACAGCTCCCTACAACATGCACGTCACAAATGAATGAGCAACATCAATTAATGACACAAGTGTTGTGCTTGTGGATAAGTGCAGGGCTGTAAATATGGGATTATACTTGATTTAATGGGGGTGTTTGGTACTGAGTCACTGACTCTGATTTCCCACAGGAGGAAACCTCTATCTCTTGTAAATGCTCTGCATGTACGGGCTTAGGCAATTCATCCTGGAGATCATTCAAATAAACAGATCTCAGTGATAAACACAGGTTTTGGATAGACAGAGATGGATTTGTGTTCTTATAAAAAAAAAAAAAAAAAAAAAAAAAAGACGGTTTGTGCCACATTTGAGGAACTGCGAAATTCACAACACTACTTCTTCATAACAAAGCCTTGGAAAGTTGAGGCTGACACCTCCAAAAATGAATGAAAGTTCAATGGCGTTCTGAATGTTTGTCAGGAGATGTACTCTCCACTCTTTGGCATAACTGCCTTCCCCGAGCCATAAGTCTATGCCAGCATTAAAAACAAATAGCTGCGCTGAAAAAAAGGCAGGCAAGGAGGAAATTTGCCCGAGTGAGGAATTGATTTTGTCTGGCCCAAGAGAGTACTTCATTCTTGGTCACGGCAGCAGGAGGGCTCGGAGACGTGTTTTACTAACAGGAGAGCAAAGGCACCCATGCAAAACTATTTTTTAACAGCGCCTGGAAAAATCACCCACTCCTGTGCAACCATTTTTTTCTTCTTTACAGATGACACAATACTTTCCAGTCACTCGTCAGCAGGAGCAGCTCACGGCCACTTTTCAGATTTAAAGCTGCAGCGATGCAGCATGCTGCCTTTTGCTATGCAAGCAGGGGGAAATGTACACTTGTTATGTGGGATTTACAGTGAAAATGGATACAGAAAGAATTTCCCACTGGAGGTGTATGTGTCAAAGTTATCACACTTCTCTTTAACACTCCATAAATCGTTCTGAACGTGTCTGCTTTAACAGTTAATCCTCATATCTGTTGTGCGGTATCATATGCAACAGACTTTTGACTTTGATTCCAAATGATTATGGCCAATCATATCACAATTCTCTCCATGTAATTGAATATCTCTTTTCTAACTTTATCAAAACACCGGTTACAGATAGAGTGTGCGCTGCGGCTGTCACCGTTTCTGTCCACCTCAGCAGAAGCGGCGGGTTTTATAGGGCTGGTAAGGAGCGGAAAATGTGAATAAGCGAATTTGGAAAGCCCGACTCTCCTCTGCAGCGCTATGCAATTTGCAATTTAGTGCGCGAGCTAAGTGGCTCATTTTTATGTGAACACCATTGTGTTCCTAACAGTGCAGCAAACAATCGCTGTTCCAAGGCAAAGAATGACACAATGTGAACAATGGAACAATGAGGGCCTTTTTTTCCCTCTCTGTTTCTGCCTGGAGGAGAAAAAAAAAAAAAGATTTGTATGAAACAAAAAAAACAAAAAAAAAACTGGGCTGGTATAATTGTTTTCTAAGGCTGCGATTCGGAGATGTTAAGTATGTTTTTTTTATTATTTTTAAAGAGGAGACAGGATGATGCTACGCACAAAAGAATGTGAAGTGTGCTCCGTTACATGCATGTGCAGACACATAAGCATGCAGAGGTCGTATCCTCACGGAAACACACACTCAGGCTCACGTATACACGGATCAGCCAGCGCCGCCTGATGTCATGTGTGTTAGTGTGTATGTTGACAGGGATCAGCGATGGGTGTTAAAACATTTCAGGCCTCTGCTCTCCCCACAGCCACAGCATTGACAGTGTGAGACCTGCCACTGAGCAGCCTAACCTGACACTATCTATCACTGGGAGCATGCAGGAGTCAATGCTACAGTGCACACACCGACACACAATCTCCCTCACTGTCTGCTGCACTCTGTCTCACTTCCGCTGCCTGGCTATTTCATTCCCTCTCTCTTTCTGTATTTATGTATGTCTCTTTGTCCCCATGCCTGTGCTCCTCTCACAGACGCTGAGGTCCACACACACACACACACACACACACACATCTGTGCACATGCAGTCTCAGGGATTCCTTGAAGTTGTGCATGTGTATCATAAATCAAAATGATCATATCAGTCTCCTGCACAAAGCTGTATTTATAGCGAGGAGTGATGATACAATAGATTTCATCCTCCCTCGTGCTCGCTGTGGTAACACATTATCAGTTGGTGTATCAAACTTTTTCAGCGTGTGTACGTGTGTCTCGCTCTCAGTCCCACCCACCAAACACTTGACTCTTTCCAAAGTAAAAAATAAAAATAAAAAAATAAAAAAGAAAGGAAGAAAGAAACACCCCCGGGTGGCTTATAGTCCTACATCTGTTTGTGATATACAATGTAATACAGCACCTCACCCACATGCTACCACGTCAGACTCACAGGACGGCAATGAACTGACTCTGTGTACTTTCCCATAAGGTCTTGCTCCCAACGTCTGCAACCAACCCCCCTCACCACCACCACCACCACCAGCTCAACCAACAACCCCCCTCCTTCAAATCCTCACCCTGCTAACATGGACAGCTCATAATAGCAGACATGAATCTGTGTCTCCCTTTGCTCCAAACAGATGCTGGCTGTCCATAAATCACATGCCTCCATTTTGTTGAGCAGAACAAAAAGCGTTGTTTCAGTGGGCCCGGTAATAATCCCTGTGCCCCATGTTGTGTTTTGTCTCTGGGCCGGCTCTCGTCTCCCCTCTCCTCTGTCACGCTCTGCCTTCTCCACATGCATTACAATAGGGGCAGCCAGGTGATGAATATTTGTGTCTGGCCTGCCGTTAAGATTTCATTAATCACACCCAGACTTGAGAGCAAAGCTGCGTACCTGGCCGGCCAGCAGGCAGTGGGCCTCCGCATACAACCTCCTGGGGACGACGTGCAGCCATGTTGTGTTGTGTTATGGCAAGGCTTATTTGTTGTATTTGTCTCTCTTCTCTCTCTCTCTCCCTCTCTCTGTCTCTCTGTTTCGGTTTCCAAGTAACACAGTTTCTCTAAAAAGAATGAATTTTCGCTGAAAGGTGCAAAAACAAAAGTTTTTACTGTCCAAAAGTACAAAAGAACCATGATATGTCAGCAGAGCTTGTTACTGCTGTTGATCAATTTCAACTGAGTCAACTTTTATACGTCCAGGTGTTCGGATTTCTGGCTCTTAAAATGCTATATTTACAACTGTGCGATGATGGAGGACAGCGCTGTACTCCTGTGACTCAAAGTGCAGCGCTGAAGTTTCCTACAAGGCCTCATTTTGGAGCCAAGATTAAAATTACAAGACAGTCTTGTTCTCTGTGAATACCGACTCCTGTCCTACATGTTACATACACAAGTACAGGGACTGACCGACCCCCACTGGGCAGCTGACATGGAGTCACACCACTTTAAGTAGGTGTGCTTGGACTCATTGGTTAACATTGAGCTAAGTAGGTTTATAAGCGAACTTGTCCATTTATTCACCAACCAGGGTTACAAATGCAACCAACTGTGTCAACAAGATTTGTGTCTTACCTTCTATATTAAAAACAGACTGTTGCAGAGTGGACTGATGCCTGTGGGACTGACCTGAGAGACGGTGGTGCTTCCATTGGCATCAACTGGAATGGATGTGGATTAGTTCTGGGGTTTGCTGCACTTTCATTCAGCTTTATGTCAATAAACTTGTCTGAATCTGAAACACAATGAGCTGTCAAACAATAAAAATTTGAATTACAATTACTTTTATTTAATTACATGTTTAAATTTCCATTATGGTACAATTCAGAACAGTTTTTTGCAGTCTTTGTATTTGTAATGTAAAGCAATTATTGACAGTGTTTTTTAACTGTGAACCAAAGACTGCAACAAAGAACCAATATGCCATTCAAAAGCACAGTGGTGGTGTTATTCCTCATCAGGGCAGGAAAGAGAAATAAAATAGCTCGAAAACATGTGTTGAACAAATCTTTTCAATGAACACGCTGAACCAAATCATTTCCTCAAGTGATTCGTTTGTTGCTCAGTTCAGTTGAGCTGTCAGCAGCGCAAACTAAAAATGTTAGATTGGTAGTAATGAGAAGAGCGTGAGACTCACCAGCTGTAGCAAGTCCTTGACGGGATTGACGGAGGGAGATAGGGGTGTTTTGTGTTCAAGTGCACCTCTGAACTAACTTTAACTTAAAACCTGAACTGTTCAGTTGTGTATCATTTCAAGAAGTCGGAGTCGCAGGCTCCTGAATGATTCAGTGATTTGGTGAACAAATCTTTTGAACAAATTGACTGTTTATAAACATATTATTTATATGCACTGGTGTATATTCTTGAATTCAGAATTTCATTACAGTGCCATTAACTCAGGCGTAGGCAACCATGTGCCATGGAGAGCCGAGAGGCTGCAGGTTTTCTTTCCAACCCAAAACTCCACCAGGTGATTTCACTGATTAGTCCCTGCTCTCTGCTTGGAGGTAAGGTAATCAGTGAAATCACCTGATGGAGTTTTGGGTTGGAAAGAAAACCTGCAGCCTCTCGGCTCTCCATGGCACATGGTTGCCCACCCCTGCATTAACTTGTTCATGCTGATGGTATTAATCCTGATGAACAGAAGTATTTTAGTGTCGCATGGCAAGCCTTTTGAAAGTCATGCCACCATTTTCTTTCATGGGTTTAGTCACATAACTTAAAAATAACGACTTCTTCAATTTCCACCTGTTCTCACACCAACTCCCTCCATTTCTTGAGAATTTTTTTAAGGCACTAAAAGGAAAAGTCCCTGGAAAAAGTCATGGTGAAAATGTTTAAAGAGTTTCGCACCCATATTACAACAGCTACTGTAACTTATTTTGTAATCTGCTTTATTGCTTGACATGCCACATACAAAAAGATGAAATCATTCAACACTCAGATGCATCTTGTGGTTTAACTTGCATCTCGCTTATTCACTCCATTGACTCTGTACTCCACTACACCATTTCTGAAATCCACCTTCTATTCTGCCTTAACTCAGTCATCATTAAAAACATCTTTAAAGGAGTATTTGATATTTTAGTGCATCTCTAATGATTTAAAAATCCTTTTTCCTCTCTCAGCTGTGACGCCTAATTGCTGGTATCACAGGTTCAAAGGTTAACCTGACTAAAACTTTCACTCAGGCATGACTGCATGCCTACAGCAGGACTGCTGTCTCTCTGTCTCGCTTTCCTCTTTTCTCCTCCTCTCTCTCTTTTACAGCACTGGTGAGACAGTAACAGATGGAGAGACAGAGTGCAGGGATGATGAGGACGTAAAATGTGCAACGTTTACTCATTTGCTTCTTTATTGTCTTTCGCTGCAGGAGCAGAGTGAGGGAGTGAGCGGAAAAACAAACCGGTGGGTACAAGGACACGGGCCTCCCGAGCCTCATTCGCCAACCAATCGGCCTTGATAGGATCCACCAGCTGCCAAGGATACACCGACTCCCTCTCTCTTCCTTCCCTCTCACCCTATGTCTCTTTCTCCACCCTTGACTTCCCACCTGTTCTCTTGCTGTCAGTCAATTTTTACTCTCTTTTTGCTGTCTATTTGCACCCCTCCCCTCTGCCTGCCTTTCTTCCTGTCTGTAATGTGGAGCGGTGATGGATAGACATGTGCCGGCGTACAGAGGAACCTATTTGGACTGGTGTGTCAGCCCATCTTTATCAAATGTTGCAGAGGTATATTCTCTTGCTATGCTTCATTACTCTGGAATGGCAGGCCCTGAAATGTTTGACTGCTCTGTCTTCTCTCCTCTTCACCCCCTTTTTCTCTCCATCCTCCCCCCTCTCTCCCACTCATTTAGCGCCTGTGAGCTGTAGTATTGGAGCTGAGGAGTGAGTGTGAGCATGGCTGTCTTCCCCTCTGTCGGCTGGCCGGGGGAACGCAGCGATGCCTCAGGGGGTAGATATCGATTCCATCGCACGGCTGAGGCGCTAACGAAGCCCCTCCCCTGCCTGCCCATTCTCATGACAACCAGCTGCCACACTGGGCCGCCATTGGCCGAGCCTCAGCAGTGCCTCTGCCAATCAAAACGCCACTGACAGCTCCTGTGTGTGAGCATGACCTCAGGATGACATCACTGGAAAGACATTAAAGTAATAAAGAGCTTGGTAGTACACTACTGTAAAGGGCAGAGCTACATAAAGACTCATCGATCAGCGCGTACAGAATCTAAATTGAGGTGTTTCAGTCGTAGTTGAACGAGGGGTCAGCTCTCCCTGAGTGGCCTCGTAAGGGAAAACTTTTCTCTCACAGTCCATCAGTCCTGTCATGATATTCTGTGTATATCTGCACCCCACACCTTGTCAGTAAGCTCGAGACTAAATGTGTGTGTGGATGAAGGTATATCACCCTGCAGGAAGTGGGGATCAATAGTAAATCCTCCTGAGCTGGGGGTATTTCTCCAGAGAGGTGGGGACCTTAAGCCAGATCAATGAGGAGCACAGACACCGTCTTGGACCTGATGGAAGTTTTGAGTGATAGGAATCAGGCCGTCGCTGATTTTTAGCAACTATCATCACAGAGAAAGTGACACTCGGCCTGAGTCAAAAAACTGCTCTGACCTTCATTGGACTTTTCTGGTTGAAATGTCTCCTTACTCGCTACAACTCATTCAAAGGGACCCATACCCCACATGATCCAATCATAAACAAGCTTTTGGACTAGACACCATTCACCATAGAAAGATTCTCACATGAACTTACCTGAAAGATAAGTGTCAAAAGTATGAAGTTTATCAAATACATCACATTATGATGCTCCATCAATAAATTTTACTGGTAGCAATAATGTTGAATTTGATTTGGTTATTTGTTTTATGTGTCTGCTCTGATAATTTAGCAGGTTATTGTTTTCCCAGGACTGACAGTCATTTTTTTGTATTCTCTATGTTTAAAGCTGTAGTATGAAACTTTTGCTTTGATGATTTCGACATCTCATATGGACAAAGTAATACGTATTATCCATACACTGGATATAGAATGGATGCTGTCTGCCTCCTCGCTGGGTGAAGCCACCGTGAGAACAGCACCCTCTGGTGACAGGCTGCAGTATAGGTCATAAATCCTGCCTCATCTAGCACTCCCTATGGGGCTGTGGATAAACAGCCTATAGGCATACAAAGATTGTGTAGACATGCTGTTTGAGACGAACGTCATCACAGCAAATCTTGGCGACTCTCTCGCCGAATGCACACAATGCTACTGTGCAAGTGATAGTTCCAGGAAGTAGGGAAAATCCTCAAAATACTGAGAGCAATTCGGCTTCAAATTCGTATAATGATGGTAGGCGGAGCCAAGTTTTCCATAGTATATACAGTCTATGGTATTATCTCATGATTTGTACATGTGAAACCTCATCCCTTTTTTTTAAACAGAGCATTGTTTTACTTGAGTTAAGTCTCTTTCAGAGATCCACAAAGTTCCTGCTATTACACATCATTAAAAACAACACCAATGACAGAATGACATCAAGTTAAATGCTGCTTGGCTATCTAGTCCATCCACTGTGGTCTGGTTTCTTTCCTTGTCAGTTCGACTGTGGTTATGTTATTGGAGACATTGTGTAAACAATGAGATTACTGTCACAAATCAGCATGTTGGTCCTCCATGTGTGATGGCCTTCTTACTTTATGCCTTGTGGGTAATTTGTTGTGCTTTCTTTTTTCGGTCAGTCAGCTCGCTCTGTGGTCATTACATTGTATGAGACAATCTAAAGAGTGCTTACTTGGCCGTCCTTGACGTTCCATCCATACAACAGGATTTCTGATCGTAAACACTGAATGAGGATCTTTTTTCAAGCAGATCAGCAAAACTAGAATCAATCTTAACGTTCCTCACACCACAGGGTACCTTGGAAAAAAAATCTATAGTTCAGAATCTGGTGACTTTTGACAAGATGGGGGTACTAGGCCAAATAAAGAGTTTGTTGGGGTCTTATGTTGTTCATGCAAAAATTCCAGGTTTGGCATAGGCACATATTAAATATTACACACTTGTAAAACATCACAAAATCACCATTTTTGGATCATGATGCTCAAACATAATGAAAGCCCCATTTGTCTTCTGGCCATAACCCTTTGCCGCCTATCATCCCCCACTCTCTACTCTTTAAAAGAGGGAAAATCCCACTTTAAAAGGATCCCTTGAGTATTTTAAGAGGATATTATATGTAGGGACCCTGTGGTTTGTGTTTTCCAAGCTTCTTTTTTTGAGATATCATTAAAAAAAGAATCATATAAAGATCTGGTTTGAAATCTCCCAGACACAGTGCATACCTCTGATGAATGCATGCCTAACACCACCTTCCACAGTGCCCTGTTTTGTGCATCTATTCCAGTAATTGTGTAATTGTCAACATAACTTCAGAATGACACTCAGTTGGAGCCAGATTGGAGCCAAGCTGTAGGGCAGCTGGTTCCACTGTTAGATTTGTTGCAGTCATATCTGAGCCTTCCCCGAGGCGAGTGGAGCCTCTGTTCCTCCAGCAGCCCCATTTGGACCCGACTGGCCTTTCCCTAAATAGCCCGTTTGGCCCTATAATCCACGACAGGAGACGGGGACACAGTGGGATCAAAGGGAAAGCGTGGAACCCTAAAGAAGCCATAACTCTGGGCTTTAATTGTGTTTCGAGTAAATGTCAGAGCACCCCAGACGTCTGGGAATCATCTCCCTGCCTTTAATACACGTTATTGTCATTCTATCAAACAAAATCACATTTGGACCAAAATATTTGGAGGAGCAGCATGCGGGAGATTCACTCCACGCTGAGCAGTAAATTAGAGGGTAAATGTAAACGGGGAGCTGTTTTATGACACACACAGTAAACATGCTGTAAATTAGATTGTCATTGGTGCATTTCTTTTAAAAAAGCTGCAGAGAGATGAGTGTTACAGGGTGGAGTCGTGTTAATCGTCTGCACTAACATTGCTTTATAACAGGAGTTAAACCGAGCAGCTCATGTGTCTGTGATAATTAGAGCTATATTCTGTTTTGCATAATCGCCCAGAAAGATAAAAAAAAGAAAAAGTTGAGATGAAGCATTATCAAAACAATGATAACTGCACGAGGAGATGTTATCGATGTATCTGTTTCACATCCTGAATTCCCTCTCATATTTTGACAACCTATATAGCGCATTTAACCTTCGGTGTCTGTTTCTCAAAATGAAATTGCACCGTGAAAAAGAGAGAGAGAGAGAAGAAAGACTCATATTACCGTGAAAAAAGATGGCTTTTCTCTGGAACAATAAGCAGTCCTTGAACTCCACGTCATTAAAGTGAATGCCATCATTTCCTTTCATTAAGATGACTGTGTGCAGACACATATTGCAGTTGGAAGGCGAAGCTGCGGCAGGAGACTCATTTAAAAACCGCCCTAATCTGGAAAATGATTCTAATGTTTCTCAAATGTTATATCCTCCCAACCTAGCATGTGAGACGCTAAAGAGAGCTGTAACATTTTGAGGCGTTTAAACGAGGCTCTGCTTAAAAAATGCACCCTGAGAGCTGCTTCCTCTGCTTTCACATATATTGCCAATATTTCTGACGATAAATATTGAAAAACCGAATAAAAGCCTCTTTTCTTCCCCTCGTAGATTATGTTTATCACATTCAAAAAAGGCCTCTTATAAATGTTGAGTCTCTGTTTGTGTGCTTTTTTTTGTTGGTGTCAGAGCGCAGTAATATCCCTGCCCTCCCCTGCTTTCCTTATTTGACTCAACGGGTGTGAAACAGTCTCTCATATCCTTGTCTTGTCCATAAGAGATGAAATGACTTTAAGACTGTGCAGTGTTGCCACAGGCTGGCCGGCTGAAAGGCTATTTCAGGAGAAATGGACATGGACATAAATATCCTCACGGGGTGCTTTGTAATAAAAGGAAAAAAAAAAACACACAATGTTATGAAACGCAGTGAAACATAAAGAAAGGAAGGAGGAAGGAGGGGTGAGTATGTGTGTATGTGTGCGCACTGTGTTTGAGGGGAAATATCCATCAAATTAACACATCAGTGGCTTTGATTGTAATCTCTCCGCCCCGGCTCTTGCTCTGCCACGCTAGACAAGCAGCCAAACGTGATTTATCAATGCAAAGCTAATGGCATCAATATGAATCTAACTAAAAATCAATATTTCATTACCAAATTGTTAGCGAGAATGAAGAAAAATGGCCACGGCCGGAGCGTTCTCCAGGGTAGGAGCATCTGGAGTTCAATGTGACAAGATGAGCGATGCGTGACTCGGGGCTCGAGGAAGGACACGGCGAGGACAGGACTCAGTCTAGGCACACTTTGAACTCTCCCTCTCCCTCTCTTTCTCTTTCCTCCTCCTCCTCCTCCGCTGCGTTTCAGCCAGGCCCAACAATGTTCCCTTCACTTTATTATGTTTTCACTTCCTCTCCCTCTCTTCCCTCCTTTCATATCTTTATCACGCCGTTTCCTCGATCAATCTCCCCTTGTGTGTCAGCGAGGGTGTCGGCGGAGGACCACACAGTGTTTCACATTCCTCCTCAATTAATGACCAACTCGAACATGGAGCCACTCAATCTCCCCCCCTTCTCCACCTCGTCCCTTACCCCTCCTGCACACACACATACACACACATCCCATTTCAATTATTTTTGCCTCCTTTGAAGACAAGTCAGCATTTTTTTATCTATTCCCCTTCCCCTTCGGTCTCTCTCTCTACCTCTCTCCCTCCCAGTGGATATATCTCCCAAGGCTCATCACACGTTCCCCTAACCAGCGCTGCATGGCTTCTTCTGTAATGAGCGCCAGAGAGAAAGAGCACGAAAGAGAGACGGAGTATGGGAGAAAGAAAGAGAGGGAGAGAGGGAGGTTGGGTTGATGGGTAAGACACTTACCTCTGGACCAGATCCCGCCTTCTTCAGATGTGACCTTCACTTTATTTATATTCGAGTTTTTAGTAAGGAGTATTTATTAGGGAGGGCCTGTGATTGTGGCGCTCTGTCAGGTAAGTAATGATGCACCTTTGTGCTTGTGCAGCAGCCCAGGTTGCAATTAAAAACAAACACCCTTTGTCTTTCTTTTCCCGTACTGCATCTTCCCATCAACATCCCCAAATATTCTCACGCACTTCTTTAACTCTCTCTTTCTTCCAGCTTTTGGATGCACTCCAGTTCTTCTTCTTCTTCCTTCGTTTCTTCCCCCCCAGTCTCCTCCTTTTGCCACCAGCTCATTTATGTGTCCCCTGAGAGGAGGTGGTAATGTCCGAGAGGCCCATTTCTCTCCAGCAGGAGCGGACAGGTCCACTCCTCCGAATGAAAAGGGGAAGGGGGTGATTGTAAAACATGTGTCATTACTGTGTCAAAACACCACACAAGCACAATGACTCCATCCTCCATCCTTCGCCTCTGATGTTTCGGAGGGAATTCATCCCCTAATTTATGGCTCATGAGATAAGCATCCCCTGAACTGTGTTGGTGCGCTAAAGGGCTGGCAATGACGAATATCATACATGGACAGAGCGGCTAATATGAATGCTAATATCGGCCCTGACATACAGTAAATCGACCCTGGGGTGTGAAACATATGCAGCTTTGGATAAAGTGTTCATGTTTCCATTGGTGCGAGATTAACCTGCTATGGATTTTATTGACATTTGCACACTGTGGAGCAGGAGTGTGGGAACATGAGTGTGTGTGTGGGTGTGTGGGGGCTCTCATGCAAATACAGCTGATGAAAAAAAAAAAGTACCTCCCACTTAAAGTATAGAAATGCATGTACGCACTCAACATCAGAAGCACTTTTCTCCTATAGATACAAAGTGTTGAAC